TTAATAATTTAATAAAGATATTTTTTTTTATAAAGGATTTTTTATCTTTTAAATATTTAAAAATATTTTAATTTATTATTTATTATAGCTATAATGCTTTATTAACCTATTATTAATAAACTTAAAGATAATTTAATAATATTTTATTATTTTTATTTATTTTCCTTATTAAAATGCTTTATAATATTTTAATAGGGGTATTTAATATAATATCTTTAATTAAATAATTATCCTTTATTTCTGCTTTTTATTATTTTACCTTTTTAAATAAATTAATTAATATATAAAACTTTATTATAAGTATAAATTAAATTATAATACCTTTTATTTTATATAAAAGTAAAAAGTTTAATATTATAAAAATTTATATTTTTATTTAATTATTTCTTTAATAAGTTTTTATTATTAATATAATAATTATTTATAATATAAGTCTTAATTATAAATTTTCCTTAAATTAATTTATAAATTTAAATATATTTTTTATTATAATAATAATATTTTATTATATTTTTATTTTTATATTTTTATTTTATATATTTTTAATATATTTAATTATTAATTAATTTATAAGTTATAATATTAAAACTATAATAATTTTAAAATAATATTTAACTTATTTAATAGTTATATATATAATATTAAAGTTTTTATAAAGTTTTTTAATATATATTATATTATATATTATTTAAAGATTATTTTTACTTTAATATTATTTATAAAGTATAATACTTTTAATTATATTATAATTATAATTAATATTTTATAGGTTTATATATATTTTATATTTATAAAGCTTTATAATAAATATTTTAAATTAATAAGGGTTTAATATTTAATTATTATTTTATTATATAATTTAATTAAAATATTAAAATAAAAGGATATATTAAAACTTATTAATTTAATATATAGATTTATTTATTTATTTTTAATTTTTTTTTATTATACCTTTAATTATAACTTTTATTAAAAGTTATATATTTTTTACTTTATTCCTATTTAAATATTTAAATAATAATATTTATTTATAGTTTTACTTTATTTTTATTATTAATAAGTAAAATAAAGTAAAATATTTTATACCTTTATAATATAAATATAGCTTTAATAACTATTTTTTTATTTTTTTTTATTTATTAAAAGTAATTTAAATTATTTAATATAAATTTTATTTAATTATATTAAGTTATTTATATTTTATTTAATTAATATTATTAAAATATATATTAAATAAAAAGGATATTTCTTTTAAAATTTAAGGTTTATTAAATTATTAAAAAAGTTATATAATAATTATATTTATCCTATTATATTATTTTCCTTTAATTAATTTATTTATAAAATAAAAGCTTTTTATAATTTAATATTAACTTTAACTTTTAACCCTTTTATTTATTATTTATTTAATTATTTACTTTTTTTTATTAATTAATAAATTTAAAAATAAAATTAATATAAAGTAAATCCTTTTATTTTAAACTTTTAAATTTTTATATTACTTTTATATATATATTAATAATAATATATAAATTGTTTAATATTTTAAATAGGTTATTATATATTACTTATATCTATTTTTTAAATCTTCTTTAATTATTTATTATTTTTTTAATTTATTATTAAATTTAAATATATATAGCTTTAAATAATTTAAAATATATATATAAGATTTTATTAAATTTATTAAAAAATGCCCTTTAATTTAATATTAGCTTTAGCTATATCTTTAACCATTAAATTATATATTTAATTTATTATTTATTTAAATTTAGTTTTAACTTATTAAATATTAAAGGTTCCCCTTTTTAATTTTTCTTATATTTAATAATATATTATTAATAATTTAATATTAATGCTATAATATTAAATCTTTATATAATAGGTAAATTTAATATAGTTTTTAAATTTATTTAAAAAGCTAATAATAGGGGGAAAGGGTTTAATAAGGTTAAAAGGATTATAATTAATATTAAAGTTTAAATTATTATTAATTAAATTCCTTTAAATAGGATTTAAAGCATTAATAAAGTAATAACTTATTAATTATTATTTATTTATATTTAAATAAATATTATTATTTATTATTATAGGTTCCCTTTAATATTCTTTATTATTTAAAGTTTATTTATTAATATAATTTTTAAAGTTAAAACTTTAATATAGGTTTACTTTATTATATTTATTTATTATTATATTAAATTTTAATATATTTTATATTTAATATCTTTTTATTTAAGTTCTTTTATTAATATATTTATATTTTCCTTTAAGGTAATAATTTAAGGTATTATATTTATTATATAAAGTAATAATTATTAAAGGAATTATTAAAATTATTTTAAAGTATTTATAAATTTTTATAATATATTCTTTAAAATTATAGCATTTAGGTTTAAATTTTATAAAGCTATTATAATTATTAAATAGCTATTAATAATATTAATAATTATATACCTATATATAGGAAGTTCTGTTAAAGTAGAAATGTTAAGGGTTAAAGGTTTTAACTTTATAATATTTTAAAAGTAAATTTAAAGTATTTATATAAGCTAATTCCTAAAAAAGGATATTACTTATTTTTTAAATATAATAAATTATTATAGTACTACTTAGCTATAGTTTTATATATTTATTCTATTATTGTATAAAGAGGGAAGTTCTAGTTTTCGCCCCTTATTCCCTTTCCTAGCGTTATATACAATGTTCCTTAATCCATGCTATATATCGGAAATTAGGCTTCCTTGGTTCCGTGACAGGGACGTTGGGTAATTATACCCTTTGTAAGATGGTTCGCTAGACCATAGCAACTTGGCCATTCAGCCCTCGTATTCGAGTATGGAAGACAACTTCAAGGAGGCCATATATAGTTCTATACCCTTGGGGGTAAGGTAACACATCGGCCCTTACTGGTCGGGCGATGGCAGGAACAATAAGAATGTAGATATAGTCTAGGTTAGCCAACTAACTTTACCTACAAGGTATCATTCTGGCGGGGGGGGAAAAAGCACTCAATATCAGACGCATATTCTCCTCGGTTGAATGAAGTTGGACTAAATTTATCATATACTATATCCTTGTCACATTTACAATCTTGCGAGTAATTCTCTTACAAACGCGTGCCATTATTCGGGTTTGTTACTAGGCATAACTGATGCCCACGGCCTACTTATAGAGCCAATTTTATATAAAGAAGAGTCACGCAGCCCGTATACCACTAGTACGATTAATCCCGAGTGGTACGGTGATAATATGTTTCCGGAACGCATGCCATAGTAACTACGTAGCTAATTATACATCTTACGACGATGGGGTGGCCTTATCGCAACAAATGGAAATTCTATGTTACTCTGTATCTTATGATAATGATTTCAATCATCCCGATATCAATTACAAATATCAACCATCTATATTGTACTGTATATCTCTCCGGTACGTCAATCTTGCCTGAGATCTGCTTAGTAATGGAACGCAAGAGCATTTCGATGTGATACGTTACACCCCATTTTTGGTCTAAAGTCTAATATGGCTCAAAGCGCTGTGGTGATGAACTAACCCGAGCAGGTCTCTCAAAACCTGCAACAACATTTGTATGGTTCTTCCACCATCTCAGCACAGATTATAAGCACAAAGCTATTCATAATTCATTCCACAAGTCATCAATGGTTCAATAGAAAATCTCATGAATAATAAGTCCCACGAACTCCACGCCACAGCAAATATCTTAAGCAAGCTCCTTCTCTTCAAACTCTTTCTTGTCTCGTTGCTCCTGATCGGCGAGCTCTCCTTGAGGCAATTTTCGAGCCATGACAACAATGTCCCACGGCGAGGAAGCGTCTTTGAAGACGCCGTTTATCGCCTCCAAGTTCCTAGTGGTGTGTTAGCGCGCTCGTTCCGCTCGAGTAATACAATAATATTAGATATAACACATACCTGTTCATCGTCTCGGGATAGAAGAAGAAGACCACAATGGGGATCAAGGCGGAAACAATGGCGTAGATGATGTAGTATTTATACCCGATAGTAGCCAATGCCACAGGGGTTACCATGGTAACAACAAAGTTCCAAAGCCAGTGATTGGCCGTTGAAATGGAATTCATGGCGACGCGGAGACGCATAGGAGCGACCTCTGTGCAATACAGAAAATTGCCTCCCAGAAAGCCAAAGGGATAGAACACGTTGAAGATGAATATGAAGAATGCCGAAGCAATAGATGCCCCGTAGTTGGTGCTGGGAAAGCTGGAGCTGACTGCGAGCGCCGCCATTGAAAGAGACATACCGGCACCGCTGATCATGAAAACGGTGCGTCTACCGAGGCGATCAATGGCGAAGAAGGCCAGAAAACAACAGAGCCATTTCCATGTTAATGTACTAGCTGCCAAGATTTTGGCGGTGATTGGCGCAAGTCCGAGGTTTTCTTCGAAAATCGTGGAAGCATATACAGAGATGAGAGTGCCACCACAAGCCTGCTGGAAGAATTGGAGGGCGAAGCAAAGGCAAAACCGGTAGAACATTCTCTCATTGTCATCCTTGGAGAACATCTCCATTAGAGAGGCTTTCTGGACAGCAACGCCTTCGACAGCGGATTCAATCTGCGCAATCTCAGTTTGGATGGTCTGGTCGTCTTCAGGAAGGTTCCTCAATGCTGCTAGGTTGTGTGTAGCTTGTTGTGTCTTGCCAACACTGACCAGGAAGCGTGGAGATTCTGGCAGAAAGAAGATGGCCACAATAACGATTAGGGTCAGTGCGAGGGACACGGCTAGTGGTAGTCGCCATTGCAAGGATGAGTGTGGGATAAAGTAAAAGCCAAGGTCCAACCAGTTACTCAAGGCATAGCCGAGGGTCATGGCTATTCCAGTGGTGATGACATCTCGTCCTCTATGCGAGGCAGAAGAGCATTCGGCCAGCCATACTGGTACTGCAACACTGTATTGACCGATACCAAAGCCCAGGGCAACCCGGCCGATCACGAACTGGATCAAATTCCAAGAAGCCACCTGAAGGACTTGACCAATTATGGAAATGATAGACGCAAGGACGATACAATTCCGTCTGCCCAACCTGTCGCCTAAAGGAATCACAGAGAGAGAACCAAACAGGGCCCCCACTTGAAAAGAGGCAATGACACCTCCCTTACGGGTTGCATACAATCCTGTGGCTCCGCCGTCATTGTTGACTGTATCGACCTGCGGGAAGACAGAAACAAAGCTCTGTAGAGTTGCAAGAGGACCAAGACCAGACTGATTATAGCCAAAGAAGGTGAAGGCCGGTATAACGATCAATAAGATCTGCGCGATTCTAAGAGAGTGGCCCCGGAAGCCCATGAATGAAGGAATCGACGACATGGTGAACCCAAACGGTGAGGCAGATAATTATTGTCCCCGAGACAGAGGAGAAAACTGCAAGAGGAAAGTTTGGGGGACCCGGTTGCTCTTTTAACATTTGGTTTGGGGCCCCAGAGCTTATCCACAACTGCCCCAGGCCTGAATAATATCTCGGACTCATTCAGGAGAAAGGACGGGGCCCCAACATGTAGATTATAAATTTACGACATCTCGTACTGTATATGCCAGTTGTTGTGGGCACAGGCGGGTGAGTGAACTTCCGCCCACATGGAGTAAAAATGTAGACCCGAGAGCCGAAGGAGAATCTGATCATCGCGAGTCGCGGCCGGTGGGGTGTTCATGGCTTCGGACCAGCCTCACCCTGCATCCATACCCGCTCTTATGTTCGGGCAGTCCACGATAAAGGCGATGGAGGAGGGTCACATGATAGCGTCTCGCTACGAATTTCAGGTTTCGAAGACTTTCGACTATCGTTTCTCGTAGAGAGCTCTACTAATCGTATGCAAGGCAATCGTGGATCATGGACCGAGGGTGACGACATGAGTCAGCCGCTGAACGTCTTCAAACAAGAAGGTGGTAGCATTTGACCCAACAAATCACCACAATTGGTCCTAGACGTCGAGGTCCCACTCTGGCTCATACTAGAATCCATGATCGGGACGTAGCTTTGCTGGCTAACATGAATCTGCACGAACTAGATCTGCCGACCAGGACAACCTAGTCGGTACCCTAGATTACATGTAAGAAGCCGCACGCGCTAGACTAGGTCAGATAGGTAGGGCCGGACCGGGCATACATGTATCTGCGCTCTGTCACCGCCAACGAAGAGCCAGGTGCTTGATGGACCAGTAGTGGCGATAGGAGAGTAAGCAGATCTGCAATCAGCTCGAGGCTGCGAGGTAACAATGGCTTCACTAGCTTGCACCTCGTGTCGGGCAAAGAAACAGCGGGTGAGCTAGAGATATCCTGATACGTTGCAGACTCTGCGTGCCCTATAAAGCTGACATAGATATCGGCAGTGCGACCGCGAACTGTAGGTTTTTCAAAAGAAACGAAAACAACAAGAAGGCAGTTAGAGAATACTAGTCCTGACCCTACCTACATACAGACCATCATGCATGCAATGCATAAACGCTCAGCAGCCATGCCGATACCCAGATCAACACAAGAGGTATTTAAGCTATTCAGCGTCAAACACCATTCTTTGTATTGATTGGCTTTTATGTCAACAGGGGTCTACCTGCGGGCTTTCTAAATGCGTTAGAGGCGCGCCTGCGGGAAACCGAGGAAGCTCTCTTCTACGCACTGAGCGAGCTGCATGAGGGCACCGTCGAGAACCAGGCATATGCTAGAATTTCGAGCTCGCACTTCGCACGCCGCGCCTTGTCCCAGAGCAAGAGCGAAATGATGGAGATGTGGGCACATCTCCCCCTAGGAGACCGGAGCCAAGCGAAAGCGTGGTTTCTCAGTCTCCGCCTCGGTGGGGATGAGGAGTCGTCGCCCACCAACATCCAGCTCGAGCTGCCGCAATCGGGTGCGAACCCGGGTGCGCAGCCGTCGTCACCATCATCATCATCATCACAAGATGCCATAGAAAACGCCCAAGCGAGATCTGCGCGCGTCGGCGACATGATGCCATCATCGCCCAGACAGACTTCTCCATTGCTTGATTCCTCTACCGCGGCGCCTGCATCTTACCCACGGTCGCAGAGTCTGCGAACGCTGGCCGAGAAAACCACCACGGCGACAGAACCGTCTCCGAGGTCGATGACATCAGCTCCTGATAGCCTGGGGCTGTCCACTCGAGTGAAGGCAATTGTAGAGTCTCGTAGGGACATATATTTCTAATGCTAGCGTAGCATTTCGTTCGAGGCGACGGTGACTTTGGAGATGGGGGGAGATGGGGGGAGATGGAGGGAGATGGAGAGAGCTGCTTAGATTCGGCATAATGAGGGACGGGTATACTTGTCGAAACAGGCGAATTCGATAGAGCTACCCTTATATACATGTAAGTAGTCAGTCATCTCTATCTTGGCTTATAGGGATGCCGTCTTGGCTGCTGTTGAGTGCCGCCTTGGCTGGGTGATTGGCGTCTTGGCTCCTGTATCACATACAAAGTAGGAAGGGATCTTTCTTTTGGTCCTTGGCGTTATTCGTGCTACAGGAGAAAGGATGGAACTCTGATGGGACTGAACTCGAGGAGCAAGACAGTGGGAGATTTTTGATTTCACGGAGGGTGTCGAGGCGGCGAGGCGGCTACTTACATATATATGAGCGCTCGAAGGCCCTGCTTCTTTCCTTTGCCCAAACAGTCACGTCACGGTTTCGGGTCATTGCGGAGCTAGTCCACATTCTGATCGTTCTTTCTCTCTTGTATATACGCGAAAGAGGGGGAAAAAACAGAAAGAACGAATGATGAAGGTCACACACATATTTCACGAGACTGCCTTTCCAGTGCAGCCCAGCCTACTACTGCCGGAGATGATATCGAGTCGCTGAGCTGCAGGCGGCGGCGGCGAACAAAACAGACCGCTTATGCTGGCAAATTCAAATCTATTCAAGTTTACTTGCCCCCTTTGCCATACGAGGCGAGAATATCTTCAATAACAGCCTTGGTAACATCTGCTGTCTTGGCCGTCCCGCCAAGATCTGCCGTCACGATTCCCCTCTCACAGACGCGCTCCACCGAGTCCAGCAACTTTTGGCTGGCGTCCTTCTCACCGAGCCATGCAAGCATCTCCGCACTCGTCCAGAACGTAGCAACTGGATTTGCGACTCCCTTTCCTGTGATGTCAAAAGCGGACCCGTGGATTGGCTCGAACATGCTGGGGTTTCGCCTTGTTGGGTCAAGATTCGAGGTCGGCGCGATACCGATCGATCCCGCGAGGGCAGCCGCGAGATCGGATAGAATATCGGCGTGGAGGTTGGTCGCGACAATCGTGTCGAGTGACTCGGGGTGTAGCACCATCCGGCAGGTCATGGCGTCCACTAACATCTTATCCTGCTTCACTTCGGGGAAGTCCTTGGCTACAGCAGCGGCGACCTCATCCCACAGTACCATACCGTTGCGCTGTGCGTTGCTCTTAGTGACAACTGTCAGTAATTTGCGGGGTCGACTCTGCGCCGTTTCAAAGGCAAAACGAATGATACGTTCGACGGCGTGACGGGTGAAGATAGACACCTCGGTTGCTATCTCCCAGGGCTTCCCTGCGTGAGACCGACCGCCCTGTCCGGCATACTCGCCCTCACTGTTTTCGCGCACGATGACCCAGTCCAGATCTCCCGTCTTGCAGTTACGAAGAGGCGACTGTGTGCCCCTGAATACCTTGGTAGGGCGAACGTTGGCGTATTGCTGGAAAGGCTGGCAGATGGCCAGCCTCAACCCCCAGAGGGAGATGTGATCAGGTACATCTATATTGAGTTAACAGTACCGATCTGCATCCCCTGCGGTATCGGACAAACGTACCTGGTGCGCCGACGGCACCAAAGAGGATCGCATCATGTTTCCTCAGTTCTTCCAGACCACCATTAGGTATGTATTTTCCAGTTTTTTTGTATGTCTCGGAGCTCCAGTCGTAGTTAGTGAAGTTGAACGTGAACGTGCCAAGAGTTTCGGCGAGGCTGTTGAGGACCTCGATAGCCGCCTCCACAACCTCGGGTCCGATACCGTCGGCTGGTATGGAGGCAATACTGTAGGATTTGGATGCCAAGACAGCAGAGGGCGACATAGTGTAGATGTGTTTGTGGAGATATCCACCACGATACCTTTCAAGTATACGTAGACGAGGCACAACCTAGATTAGTAATGTGTATGAATCTATTTCCCACCCATACTATTGTACATGTTACATATAGGCGCGTGCAGGATATTTATCTCACATCAAAGTCCCAGAGTTAGAGTTGCCGCCGGACTGCGGGCTGCGGACTTCGGACTTGCATTTGTCCTGACCGCTGACCAGATAACTGAGAGAGATGCTGTGGAGCATTCCCATGGTGGCGGTGGACTTGAATTTGTCCGGTTGAAATGACTAAGATGTCGGCTTTTCGTCTGCCGAATCGAGCGAGACCCGCTGTATCCCACCACAGGATCACCTCAGAGTGAGAATAGGGTCATAGGCTGCGCGTGATGGAGCGTCCGCCATCGGCAAAAGCCCACCGGCTACATCTAATACAAGGGCAAGGGTTTTATGAAGTACTACATCACTATTTGGCCTGCTTTTGTGCGATGAGAGTCCGCCTTGGCCCTATCCCCATTCCTCCTTTGGTCAAGGAGCTGGCAGCGCACCAAAACTATTCATGAAAGATCCCTTGGCACGATGACGCCGCCGCTTGTCCTCAAGAGGTGTCGAGTGCCAGCGAATAGGATTTTGTATCAGGATAAACGTTTAGCAGAAGACAGAACCCCCTTTTTCTGTGTTAGTCTGCAAGGGCCGGACAACGTACTTGCGCCGCTAGCGGTAGCTAATGCCGAGCTTGAGCAATTCTTGCCAGCCTAAAGCTTATCATATTCAGTAGTGATGTATATCTTCCACATATCGATCTTATTCGATCAAGCGGAATGGGCCTGCGTAGCTGGTCACCTGTTTTGAGACAAAGAGCAATCTGACATCTACGAGGAATCTCTATCTACGGTAGTCCATGACAATTCATACGATGGAATGAGATATGGCCCTTTCTATGAACCTGAACAAAATCACGTCAACATTGGCATACACAACATGCTAGAATAAATTGACAATAGGCGCCATGAGCGCCGCCGTTAACGTCATCTTATTCGAGAAACCGTACACTGAATTTTCATCACTGTTTAACGCTGGTCTTTAGGCGAGCGGCGCGTTTTAAGGAGCATACACTACACTTGAGCAACGCCATTAATCAGTCATTTTGGTTCACATGGTGTTCGGCGAGAATTGCTTGAGAATCGCTACCCAAGGACCGCTTGAAATTGTCAAATGATATAACGAGACCTACAGATCAAATAAGCTTGGGCCATTTTGACCATACCGGCTTGAGACATATTCTCTCCTAGTTATGAGCAACTACATGCAACGACACAGAAACTACTGACAGAGTATCCTGAACTTTGTGTAGCTTACATAACTAGATGGTAAAGACTAGTTTATCGATAAAGTAGGGCTTCTGATAGTCTACGTACAATGTATATCACGTTTAGAATCACTGAGATTTTGAAAGTTACTCTAAGTTCATGCCAGTTATGCTACTAGTTGAATAAGGCGCCTACATTCATATTGTGTTTCAATGGCCACTTCCAATACCTTTCCAAGTAAATCAAGCATATCAAACGGCTGTGCAAATATGGGAACTGTAAAAGAGCGTCCAAACTATACTAGTCCATTCCTGGGCTGGTCTGGTCGAGTGTGGGTTTTCCCCTTGCCTGGCTCTAGCGAAGCTAAGGAGAGTTGAGAACTCCACTTCATTACATCTTCATCTATACTTGTATTCTTCATTCACGATAGAGCGCGGCAAGTAGGAATCGCCAAGTACTATATGGTCAGCCACTTGGTGTGTGGATGATGTTGTATACAATGCTTGTGAAAGTGCTTGGAGTCTCAGGAAATGAGCTATGGACTCCCCAACGAATGACGACCACGGCGATCCACGGTCACGCCCGCTGAATGCAGGAGGTCATGCAACCAAACGACGGCGTACGGATGGGGAGCGAGGTGTCATGCGTGGCGGCAACGAGTTGGGGCTGCCTCGTTTCATCGGAAGTGGCAGTGGCATTCATCTAATTAGAACCGTTTATGACTTGCTCGCTCGCGCCCATACAGATCAAAACCACACCCCTCGCGATGTTGCGGCTGACCTTGTTCCAGGGGAAGAAGATCCATCTCCATCTGGTCTTCAGACTCGTGGCTATGTTCCTATCAGCTCTTTCTGGCTACCAGAAGAGATTGAGGGCAGTATGGTAGCCGTCAATTTTGACAATCTGATTCTATGGACTGAAAATTACTTCAGACACTGGCATCCTATCTTTCCTTTCTTGCACGGCCCAGCATTCCTCGATGTTTTGGAGCAGGTGGGCGAGCGCGGCATTGAGGTACTTAACCAAGCCGATGCTATTATCGTTCGATCGCTTCTATCAATATCGTTGGCTGATACCCGCCAAATGGGTAATCGCCGTCACCCTTATCCGCCAAGTCTATTGCTTCTCAGTCAGGACGACATTTCTGCAAGCTTGGATTTTGTGCTGAGTAGCCCTGCATCCATTAGCAACATTCAGGCGGCCTTATGCGTAGAGTTATTCTTGATATCCATGTTGAATTTTAGTATGGCTTCTAGGATTGGCGGGATTATCGTGCGCATGTCGTTCAGCTTGGGGTTGCATCGATGTCCCAGCCGTTACCCAAATTTCAATTCCCACGACGCCATGATGAGAAAACGACTCTGGTGGTCGATTTACAGTCTAGACAGAGCGGTTTGTCAAACGCTAGGCTTACCATTGGCTATACAAGATGATGATGTTGACGTGTGCCTGCTCTCGGAGGAGCTACATAACCGAGGGGGAGATACGCAAAGTAATAACACGACTCTACAGGGTGAGGCACAAGTCAGCTACAATGGTCTGTCTGACTAAGGTTAACTTATGTTGCATAGCTGGGCACGGGCACGATTATGAACAGTTACAACTGCTCGTCATGCTATCAAAGCATGCTAAGCTCAGAGGGATGATCCTAGAACTGAGGAACAAGTCCCTCAGCGCCAGGCGGGATGACTCAGAGCAGGCTTTGCGAGTACAGGCAGAACTCAAGAAATGGGCGAATGAAGTCTACGATCTCACTAACACGAACCCCCTATCACACCCCAGCCTAATCGAGGATCCAGATGACGCGGCCTGTGATACGTCCGATAATTACATCGGTTCATCGCACAGAATCTTACTTGTCATCCTACAACATGAATTGATTCTATCATTCTATAGGCCACTTCTTGTGTCAGATCTAGGTACACCGTCTTCCCAAGCTGCCTTCCAGGAGTGCGTCAATGCATCAAGGGCAATCATAGATACTGCGGCAAGGAATTCTTCAGGTGGTGGGGGGAACGGTATGCACCTGAAGAAGCATGGCTTTCTTCTTTGGCCTTCGCTAACTTGGTCGATCTGGATGAGCTGCTTTGCACTCACTTACGCCGCCATGAAGGGGATAACGACAGCACTGTCTGCTAGGAGGCAAGTCGTTTTGTTCATACGACATTATCGATACATATTCCAATGTTAACGTGCTTTTATCGACCACAGATACGCTGATCGCGCCCTTCAAGTCTTGAAACTTCTGTCTCTACGAAAAACGTCGTGGCCGGACAAATGTATCCTTGCTGTAGAGCAACTGATCTCATTCCTTAATCAGGTGTGCATCAACAAGGAACAATCAATCACGACCGCGCCTCGCAATCAAAAGCGGCCACAATCCAAGTACTCCACTGAAACTACTAGAATTCCCGCCACTTCTAATCAACCTCTAAATCCAAATACATTACAGGAAGGTCGCCGCTATTCTCGTCCTTGTCAGCCAAGGTACACCACATCAGCCGACTATCTTGACGTTATACACCGACTAATTATCCTGTAGGCTCGACAACCAAGGAACTCTCAACCAGCAAGATGTCCCCTCATCAGCTGGCGCATTTCTTCCAGCAACGACAGATACCCAAGATTACTCAAGTTCCAACTTTTCTGAGTTCTTCCCAAATATGACCCACGACTACACCAATATGCTGGGCATGGCTGATCCACTGATCGCCCTCGATTTTGCCAACTTTGCCCAGGCCCCGGATACCCAAAGCATAATGGATTATGACTTTGGCCAAAACGGATTCAGTTGAATTATGAGCCGCCATGGTTTTTGAATCTACCAGTATAGTACTCAGGTTTCTCATCTTCCCCTAATCACAACAAATGATCAGCCCACTAGATAGAATTGAACCCGAATTCGCAATAATTATCCAAATTTTGATCGCTCATTGTAGCACGTATGAGGGTTAGGAATCACGCACATAGAAGACCAAACAAAGCTAGAATTCTTACGGATCACTGGACATATTTGATTCCCCGGATGTTAATATCTACCTACTTATCTTTAGAATAAGAATAAGAATAAGATACACATACCTTGATAACCTATGCTGAAAATGTAAAATTGCAAGGATAATTTCACACACACTAGACCAGCAGCATGGTGAAAATGGATATACCCGCGTTCGCTCTAACAGCATGATGAAGAGAAGGTTTTACACACACAACATATATTTTAGTCCGAAAACCTGAACTACCAAACTGACTTCCATGATTACGATAATTTTCTGTAATTGATATTAGATTGATACAGGATCTCTCGTTATCTTCGAGACAATTTCAGTCCACAGTATCATATAAGAGTGGTCAATGTCAAAGAAGCTATATGTGGATAACTCTCGCTAATATCTGGGGTTGAAATAAGACCTGGTTCGACAGCCCAATATTATGTGTCCAGGACCACCAATTCATCTTGTGAGGTGAAATATTAAGCTTCTTATTTGTGCCAAATTCACGGGTTGCTTATAATACAGCTAGTTAGAATATTGAAAAATGCAATATTTTTAACAATTCGAGACCGGCGACTGTCATATTAATTAAAAGGCCGAGGATTGGCATAAAGTGACCCAAATCCTCACTTATGTATATAACTGCCGACTATCTTCTTTCAATTATATGAGAGCTTCCCTGTATATACATAGGCGAGCCTGGAAGCCTGCCACCAGTTCCGATCCGAAGCTCATCTATTGGATCGCATAACCCCGCGTAAACCACGACAACCACTAGAAGGGCAGCGCCGAAAGGTCAGGGTCGAGGGTCCTACGCGAAGCCAGTCGTACAACATCAGATAATGAGTGCAATTGGACACGGCGGAAATATCAAGGTCTAGCACGCATGTAGCTGTTTCAGTGTAAAGGTTGGATACATCTCCTCGGGATTTGGATCTAGTTAAGCGCGCCCTTCCCTTCAGATTTATAGGCGATATACTGCACTACCTTACCTCGATAGAGTGCCTAGCTGGAACTCATTTGTTGAATCCCCGCATTGTAACATGTAATGATGATGTTATCTACTCTCTATATAACTAGCGACACCAACCTAGATTTGCAGAAGTGTCTTTGCATGACAACACTATTTTCTCGTTCGTTCAGCTGTTTATTTAGAAAATCGAAGGGCCAATACGTAGAACAAAGAGCATCAGCGTAGGAGACCTAGGCTGAATCTTCTAAGCGGGTGCTGAAAACCTCCCATTTGGACCTCGCCAATCACTACATCTCCCACAATGGCGTCGACAGACAGGCATCTCGTTCTAATCGGCGTCGGTCCCGGGATCGGACGCTCCGTGGCCTGCCTATTCGCCTCAAAGCGGTACAACAAGGTCACGTTGATCGCGCGGCGCGCAGAACAACTCAAGATCGAACAAGCCCAAATAGAGGCCGCCACAGAAAAGTCCCATTCCGTCACGGTGAAGACATACGCAGTAGACATATCCGATCACACCGCTCTCACCACCACCCTCATTGATGCGGAAGCTAGCCTCGGCAAGCCGGAGTGCGTCTACTTCAATGCGGCGCGGGTGATACCGTCTCAGTTACTTACCCACGACGTCAAGGACGTCGAATACGATTTCAAAGTAAAATAGCCTGTGCTCCTTTTCCATCGCATTTGATGGTTGTATATCCCCCCACAATAGACTGATATGATATACCATTTAGCTCACCGTGTCTGCTCTATACGTCACCGCGCAGTGGGCGATGCCTTTACTCCTCGACCTCGCCAAGGTAGATCCTTCAGCACAGCCAGCCTTCGTTGTGACGGGTGGGTTGCTTCACGTCGAGCCAGATCCCAAATTATTCGCCTTAGTAAGTGAATTTCTCCAATAGATAAGAGAGAAAAAAGTTTAGTCAACAATACATCCACACTCGATAACTTCAAAAAGCAACTCTCTATAGATCTCTCCATCGCCCTCAAACCCCAAAATAGTAAAAGAACACACTAACCAACTGTCTCAACCCCTTCAAAAGTCCTTAGTAAAAGCCGCTCAGCGTAACCTAGTGCAAAGCCTAGCTCTATCGTACGGCGCCTCAGGCGTACGCATAGGCATGATTCTAGTCTCCGGGGTCGTGGGACCTGAAGAAGAAGAGCTGAATCCGGCGAATATTGCACAGAAGGCGTGGGGATGGCTTTCCAACGGTGATGCCGAAGCTCCTTTCGAGATAGTTATTTGATGCGAAGAACCAGCCTTGGATTAACGCCATCCATCGTCAGACCTGCTCAAAAAAAAAAAAAAGGCCGTCCGAATTAGAAAATGAGGGCGGTTGCAGAAAAACACATGTTCAGAAGTTATACATAGTGAAAGCGGGATAGGGTTAAGTTGAGAACTGAGATTCTATGAAACGCGTTACTGCTTCACCGGAGATTGGGCAATATTTAAATACTTTAGCTACATCCTAACTACCATCGTCTCTCAAATAAGGTAACTTCATATAACATCTCATAAGATAATTAATTACCTTTTAATCCACTACTTCTTTAGTTATCAATTATTTTAAAGTATTATTTCTAACTTTTATTTAGTTAACTGTATTTATTATAATTATGTATTTAAATATCACTATTCGAGATTTGAGAGCTGCAGCTGTGGTTATCAAGTACAATGCCTACTGCTTCAAGATACTTCCCATAGTGTTCTTCTAGGGTAATTATCAAAGTACATGCGCACACACGAGATAAGCAAGATCGAGGTTCATGGAAGACCAACATATCTCCAAAGACGACGTAATCGTAATCGTAGATTCTCGTAGCATTACACTAATACATGCGTTATGATGTCGTGGATAATGTACAATTGTACAAGCTCCGAACTCAGAGTCCACGTCGCCCGCTTGACTCCTCCTACCATGCAAGTGGACCTTGAACTTTTCCAGCCGTATGAATGTATACACTCCCACAACTACCACCATCCATTAACTAATCTAAGCACGCACCATTTGATTTTCCCATGCCAAATACAGATGTAGAAAAGCCTTGGTCCGTGTTGCCAAAGCTCCCCTAAATAATACCCAGCCGCCGATCCACGCCCAAAGTCAATCCTGTCGCTATTCTGCGGCGTCCAAGGGGGATATTTCCCTCGCTTGTATACCGCTCGGGTTTTAGTAATTGTATTGTGTGTTGTGTAAGCTCCAACTTGCCTGAACTCCTGATGAAGTATTGCTTAAGAGTTAATAGCCTGAGCAGCACCTCTACCACGAGCCGGTCCACCTCGACCGCGGTTCTGGCCCCCAAAGCTGCCACGGGAACCATGACTTCCAGAGCGACCAGTATCGAATCCACCACGTCCGCCGCGATTGTGTGCATTGCCGCGCCCGGTATTGTAGTTGCTTCCTCCGTAAGCACCAGCTTTAGGGCGGCGAGGCTCAACAACAATATTCTCTCCGCTGATCACGTGTGGGTTAGCCGCCACGGCGGCTTGGTAACCGGCGGTCGTCTTAAACTCTACGAATGCACAGTTCTGTATGCAATATTAGTAAAATATTGAGTACGTGTCATAAGATAATACACACCTTCTGACGATTGATGTCGAAGTACGCCAGCTCACCATACTGAGCTAGCGCAGCTTCGAGCTCATCACGGGCCACTTTGTCTGTAACGTATTTAACATAACCTAACGTGCCCTCTTTCTCAGCAGGAGGACCTGAGATAGATTGAGGCCTGTTTTGACGTTTAGAGTCACTTCCCGCGGTTTGCCACTCAGCGCCCGCTTCCTTTGTGGATGCCCCTGTCTCTTGCGGTTGGGCTGCTGATGTCGCTGGCTGGGCGGCTGCAGCTGGTGCTGCCGCGACAGCAGGGCGTGCAGGTACAGGAGCAGGCACTGGTGCAGCTTTGGTCAACGGCGTAGCAGGACTCACTTTAGGAGGGCCTGCCGCTGCCGCGATGCGGCTAGCCCATGTCATAGGCTTTGGTGGCTGCGCAGGCGTAGGCGCTGGCGCTGGAGCCGGAGGCTGACGTGCTACAACGGGAGTCGGAGTAGGGTCTTTCGGCTTCTCGGGCTCCCGTGCAGACTCTTCAGCGAGCTCCTGCGCAGCTGTATCAGGGTTAGGAAGAGCCTCACCGGTCTCCTTGGTAGCATCTTCAGATGTGGTTGTAGGATCCTCGGCAGCGGTCTCAGGAGCGGCGTCACCGTTGGTAGACGCGGCCTCTTGTGGTGCTGCGCTAACCTCTTCTAGTTTCTTGTCAACAGCCTCGGTATCGAATGAGCTAGATTCATCCTTGGAGGGCTGCTCCTCGGTCGGCTCGGCTTGCTTTCCCTCTTCAGTAGGAGCTGGAATATCCATCTCCACGCCTGGGGCCTCCTGCTCGTCGGGTTGGACATTAGGCTCTTCTTCGGGCTCCTCGTCAATGTAACGCAGTATGTCATTGAGCACGAAATATCCAGACGGCTGTTGAGCGAGAACAAAGGTCTGGACGAATTTTTTAGAATTTCCGTCTTTGGTGGAAGTTTCACCGATAACTTGGATCACGATATTCTCGAAAGAGGCCTGGGAGTCGACATTAGAGACTCGAACTTTGCAGTTCTGAAAATCGAGGTCCTTGATGCGCTCTTGAATGGTCTGTTGGGCCAATTAATTAGCAAACACACGTCCCAACTATTAATCATACATGTAGAGTAGCTCTAGATAAAACTGCATACCTGCCGGCCAACACTGACGTTGGCAGTCTGGCCTTCTTGACCATACACAAACTGTGAGCGCTTTCCGTAAAAAAGCTATGAATTGGTTAGCCTGTGGGTTGGCGAGCAAGCAATGAATCTGTAGTTTGACGTACATGGAGCTTTTCGGGTGTTTTGCTCAAGGTAGTGTAGTACTGCTCGACGAAGAACCAGGCAACCTCATCCTTTCCGAGGTTAGCGGATGAATCAGAGGTGGTGGATGCAGGGGCGGTCACGGAAGTGCCGCCGCTGGACTGGTACTGGTCGTTGTGAGTGGGAGCGCTCGACGCCATGGTTGGGTTGCTCTGAGTGTTGTGTTGTTGGTTGTGCGCTCAGAAACTGTGGGGGGGCGTTTCTCGTGAAATCCAAGTGGATGGCAAGTATAGTAGGACCTTATTAAGCAACTACAAACAGTTCAATGAGCTACTGTACAATGGCATGCAGGAAAGGGACATTATATATACCTAGGTCCAGAATTGGGTGAGAAGGAAAAAAACAGCGTAGGCAAGAAAAAACACACGCCTTGCGAAAGACAGGCTCAGATGCGGTGGTTAAAGAGTGTCGTCGTGGGAGAGTGGCAGAGAAGATTGTCTCGGAGCAGAATAGGCTCCCACGTCGATTTGCAAGATATAGAAACAAAGAATTATAATCAAAAAAACCTCCGGCGTCGTCGGTGGGGTGGAATATGTGGAAAGTGGTAGAGAGGTGAAGATACCGGAGCTGGACAATCGAGAAGAATTTGCGTAGCGGCGTGCAAGGAGGAATCCAGCAAAGTAGCGAAGAAACTGGGCGGATACAATTGCGAGTAGAAACGCGACGGCGCGCCTATGAAAACGGCGGGTAGACGGACGAACGGGGGGGGGGATGTCAAGATTGGAGGAGAGGCAGAGAGAGGAGAGGAGAGGACAGGAGAAGAGAAGAGAAGAGGGAGGGAGTCGCGGAGGCTCAGCTTGTAGTCGGAGTGGTGGGTCGGTGGTATGCGCCAACGAGGAAGGGTGAGGATGAGGATGAAGGTGAAGGTGAAAGGTGCTATAGGACGTAGTACCTGATCTATCACGGGAGCAAGAGGTTGGTGGCGACTCGAGATGGAGAGAGAGGAGGCGGGAGGCGTAGACAGAAGATTGATAAGTAGGTGTTGTGTGTGTAGGTATGTAGGTAGGTACGGAGGTTAAGAGGGAGGGAGAACCGCAAGCAGGAGGCAGGTTCAGTAGCAGGTTCACTGCGTGGAGGCACAGATAGGTAGTGCGGGTAGTGCGTAGGGCAAGGCGGGAGGGTGTTGTTAGGTCGGTCACACCTGCTAGGTTAGTGATCTAATGTACCTGACCAGGCTGGGCTGAGAAGTATTTAGGTGTACCTACTTAGGTAAGTACATACCTAAGTGATAGCCCGATACCTATCTACATAGTACCTATGTAAATACAGTGGGTACCTTGGGAGGAGGGAGGGTTGAGGAGCAAGACTTTGGGGTAAATTCGCCGCTCTCTATTTTTTTATGTCCTTTTTTTTTATTTTTTATTTTTTATTTTTTTTTTATTTTTTTCCTCTTCTCGGGGGCTCAGGCGATATCTGGGCGATGATTGGAAGGGGAGCTTCAATGCTCTCCAACGACCTACATAAGTACAGTAGGAAGCTCCCTCCAGGGCTGCAAATTGCCCCACCATCATATTTTGTTCGTTCAGTCTTGTCTGTTTGCACTCGCAGTTTGAACGCGTTGAATATGCATGGTACGACCTGGTACGAGAATCATACCCTTAATAGAATAACGGAGTGCATACCCAGGTAATAGATGAATACCCGCATACTTAATACACGTGTTCCATTTTTGATCTGTCTACCTACTTAAAGTGCTACATACCTATGTATGATCAGACTATGATGTACCTGGCGACTTTCTCTCGGCATGCATCCTCCGAATTAATAAGCTAGGTAGTTGCCTTCATTCGGCCGACATACACATAAGTAAGTGCTTTAGGTGCACAGTGCCAGGCAGTGTTCAAGGACCTCAGCAACTTCAATGGTGTCTTTTAGGTAGGATTGGAGACCTACCTAGCATAGTCAGTCTGTTTAACATGCTGGTTATCTGCAGGACTCGAAGGGTTCTTCCTTGATGCCCAAGTGATCCTCGATGGTTATAACCCGCCTGCCTGTAGGGACCAACGTAACCCCCTAACCTATGCAAAACACCGTATTTGTTACCGTGTTTGCGCTCAGTTCGTTGAACTGCGTCATACAATTGAGAACTGCATGGTATCCCTCGGCTTGTAACCAACATAGGTATGTGTGTTACAGACAGCCGGATGCCTTATCCATATATAAAATGGAGGACATTGTCTTATTTGTACATACTAACGTAGCTTCCACTTAAGCTTAGATATCGCTAGTAAAAAGTACACCTAAAAACTACACGGGTGCATGCGCCATGGAAGTATCAATTATGATATATATACTGTACTTACAGCAATTGCTTAATTGAACGAGACTTCTGGTACTCAGGTCTGTGTGAGGGTTCACAAGTTTCAACACGCGAGTCTCGTTACTGTTTGTGTCCTGTGTTACCCAGCCGCTTCACATCGATCTTGCAACAAGTAACACATGGCAGTTTCGATCAACCACTGCCCACGGTGCCGTTATTTGCCTTCCAATTGGTGTACTGTCATAATCAGCACATCCGGCCAAATAGTAGTCTGTCCTCATGATCAAAAAGAAAAAAAAGAAAAAAAGGGAAAGATTGATAGAGAGTTTGCTACTTCTTCGTCATCTTGATTAATCAATTCAAGAGTGACATATAAAAGTATTCGAGTTAAGGGATAGGAGGGTAATGGAAACGACGACCAGGTACCACATCATATCAAGCCCCTCGTGCTTGGCTTGTTCGGCACGCCTGAGATCTACTATAACGTTATGAGAAAGTGTGTTATACATATCTTGTTGCTTGTGTTAGCTTATATCTATCAGATCAAGAGCGTGCCTCGTGTGTTCTGTATCAAGCCGTCATGTTAACAAGACTATCGAGATATTGGTACTCGACCCATCATCTTTATGCCATATTTCTGCATCTTGATCGAACCTATTGTGAGTAGTGCCTAAGCCTTATAATCTTTGCATAACTCCTGATAGAGCCTCCACTGGCTCTTGACTGACGATAACTGGCGATCTACTGGTTGTGTCCGTTTGCAGGGACCTCCGATGTTCTTCCATAACCTCCGCCAGCGAAAGGGCGTGGTACATGCCCATACTCCTCCACACCACCTGTAGGATATTATAGGCCCAGTCCCAGAAATCTGGAGGGACGTTCGGCGCACAGCCAGAAACCTTAAGATGCCACAACAACGTGGGAAGTCCCGCAGCCCCTGCACCGCCCTGACCCGGGGCCTCATATTTCTTGGCCGTAGCCTCGTCGAGCACTGGGTGATGCCAATGAGAAGGAGTACTAGTTAGCATTTCTTCAGCTACCCTCTCAATGGTGGCGTAACACTGGACTCTGTGAGGAGGTCGGATGTGCCGTGCACTTGAGCGAGGGTATCTGATGGTGAATCTAATTATATACTCTCCTAGGAGAAGGCGAGCCCAACGGTAATGATTCCATATCCGGGCACCCCATATTTCACTATATCTATGCCATCTGCCACGGAAAAGCGCTGGGGAGGGCTCATCAACCTGATGTTCCACAAAGGGATAGGCGGTTCGTAGGCGGTCTTCCATGTGATCCAACGCGGCCTCCTCTGATAGGAATTGCTGGATTAGATCGTCAATCTCCGGCTGACCATCGATAGGTGTTGCTCGGTCGACGATTAAAAGTAGTTCTAAGAGGCGGGCTATTGCAAATGCTAGGTCAACACCACAAGACTCGATGCAGTCCTGAAGTAGCTGTTGACATGTTTTAAGACACTCAAAAAACCCCGGAGGTAGAGGCATATCAGTCATCTGACAAGGGATCAACTATGTCCAGTTAGATTAATTAACACATAATAATTAGGTGATAGCAGGAATTACCATGGAAAACAGAAGCTGTAGGATCCCACGGGCACCGCCGTTCGGCGAGTGTTTTACAGGTAAAACAGATTGGGAAAGAGCGATGGCGCCGTGTACTGGTTTCAAGCCGGAATTAGTAATCACCAGGAAGAGTGAGAATCTAGCTCATGTTACGAGAGCATGCAGGGGCAACGAGGCCAGAGATTTGTCCAGGAGTGGGGGGATATAAATGATTCCAGGGGACTCACTGTGAGTGTTTGCCGTGCCCGCTGTGAGTTTCGACCCTTTACTTTGAACAACCTAGCTATGGTCAGCCTCAGGTTGGACTATTGAAACGTACGCTGAACATCTTACTTCAAATAGGGCTAGCGTTACGATGGACCTCAATGGTTTCATGAAAGATTTCCGGTCCTGCGAGGCGGTAACGAGCAGCTGTCCCGTCTGTTTAAGCGCCGTGACGTATTTGGAACGAGCTACTAGACTCATACTCTTGTTGCCGAGCAAGTTCGACATGCCAGCCAAGCCTACGGCTATCATCACACTTCGCATCGCATCTCCGTCGCCAAAGTACAGGTCCATAAGCTCGGGTGTCCGTGGTGAATCTGGATGGTTTAACAGATACCGCTCAACATAGAATTTGAGTCCGCGCTGATCTATGTTGGGTTCCACTCTTCGAGGTATCTTGGACTTGGAAGCCATGATTGCCTGCGCCTCATTGGCGGACATATAAGGGAGTCGGCGGCTTAACACAGAGATGGCTGAAGACTCAAGGGAGCTTCCGGCCTGTGATGACGATTCTGCGCCGTCCGCGGGTGATCCCGGGTTTCCCCATTGAGCATGAGCTTTTTGGATGACTTTGCTGCTTTCTATGGTGATAGAGGTTAGAAAATGCTATTCCGAGCTTGATGAGAAAGCCTTAGAGCCGTTGCAGGCTTCCAATGGCTGATTCTTCGCCTATAGAGCAGCCTTTTCATTTGACGTTTACCAAAACAACCAGAATATGAAGCTGAGAAATACTCACCGTCTCGAAATATGAGAGATAGTTGATCCCGGTAACCCGGGCACTTCTTCCCTACGCGGATACATTGAGAGCATTCTGGACGTTTCTTATCACACTTTGGATAAGATATTAGTATCTTTCATCTTGATTCTGCGGGTGATCACGACCTTCGACTGGAAAACCCTTGTTTTTCGCGAAGTAAGAGAAGAAAAGCAACAATTAGATGGGCTGACAAGCACCGACAGAGGGATACGGGGGCAGGGTGAAAGTCGAGTAAACTCATCATGGTACAAAGGAGATATATTTATGAGAGGGACAGATACCTACCCTGATGCGTCGGGTTCGGCAGCTCTGGCAACCCTGCGATGCCTTGCCGCAATACACCATAGTGCAGGGTGCTAAGCGAGCTTTATTTAGTATGCTGAGCACTAATCACGGAGACGCCTGAATAACGAATAGGAGACGCAGACTAAGCTCGACAATCGACGGAAAGCTTGTCTAGACCGCACGCCTGGGACCTGACGCCTCCACAAGCGCAATGAGTATCCAAAAGGGAAAGCAATTCGTCGGCATCGGGGTTTTGTGGGAGGAAATGTGAGAGCCAGGCCAGGGTGCGCCGAAAAGAGACAGGCGGCCTACCCAATCCGATTGGCCCTTGTCTCGACAACACGAATTGAAGCTTTGCGTACACCGCAATATATCGAATACCACGACAGTGAGCTGTCCTGCAGATAGATTGAATAATATCTAGAGACAGTCGAATCGTGATAGGGCAGCCGAATATTACCAAGTTGCAACCAAATTTGGGGTACCTTTCAAAGAGAGACACCCTCGCGCAGGTAGTGCAGGTACCTCGCAGTAATATAATGCCTACTGTACGCTACATCAGTAGATCAAATTCCCTGCATCGGTGATCATTCAACAGATGATAGCTTGATACCCTGGATGGTGCGACATCGCACGTCCTGCCTTTGCCCCTGTCAAAATACCATACCGGTATGTGGACTGCACGAGGCGCAGCACATACTTTTTAAACCTAATGTGAGGTTTTTAACCTTTGTTAAATAAGATGCCGTGTGACCAGTTGAGAATCACCTTTAGCCGGCAACAGAGGAGACGAGGTGCAGGTCAGCGATTAAGCCGAGGCAACCAACTCTAGTTGGGAATGCTTACTAAGTTATAGACATGAATCCTGGGGAAGACTAGTTACACTAGGTGTAGATGTGGTTAGTGGTGTATATTTATCGGGGTAATTAATCCAGGATCCCATATGTTGCTCTCCATCCTGTCAGCCAGCATATAATAGTATGATATTGTTTACACGACCTGAAATCTTAACTTGACAAGTTGGTGAAAGTCAACTACCCGGATATTTGTTTAATTTACTCGACTCATTTGTATTCATGGTTCTTGTCGCGCAGTCGTGAGCACGTGGACTGTGTGCTCATGTCATAGTGCATACACTACGCCTACCCCTGGGCTATAATTGACAATACATGCTCGCTAGGTAGATCATAAATTCAAGAGGTGCCGGGAGGGTGCTACCTAGATGATTACACGCCGAAACAGAGCCGGTGCCAAATCTGGATGATAAAGAGAGTTTCATCCCAACACAAACCACGCTTCTGATGAAAGAGTCACTAATTCCGACTTGGCAGGGGTTAAGTATTCTTTCATAATCCACATATGGGAGGCAGCCGATAGGTTGATCCGGGATGCTGCATGTAAAGTAGGTTGGTTCAACTACCATAAGTTATCTTCGCCTACTTATTATCCATAATATGATTGTAGGGGGGTTGGAGTATATAAGTATTCCAAAGTAGTTTGGATACCTCACCGTCAGCCTTTCGAACTTTTGCGCAACTGGCACGATCTAGCCTAGCCTAGCCACGAAGGTTTTCGAGCCTCCGCACAACAATAAACGCCATATAGTACCCCCCTACCCCATGGTTGTACGACTCACGAATCGAAAAGGGTCTTACCGATTGCCTATAGGCGATCCATGACACAGTCGACTATATAGGTAAGCTAGTAACGCACATGTCATTAACTTGGAGTTCTTGTTGTAACGCCTTAGAAAGATGTTTAGATGCTAAGTCTCAATCCTGCAAAACGTAATCAAGTCCTTGCTAACCCTTCAACTCGCTACACGCAATGGTCGTCTGATTATATCAGATATGGTAGGTGTTAGTATGAGGTACTGTTTCCGCAGCCTACCAATTGCATATGTTGTAAAGCATCTATCGAATTACTTGTATACAAGTTTCCGAGATTCCTACTAATTGGCACATCTCGCCACTGGACTACAAGACAGCTACGTAGTACATCAGTAACTATTATGGACAATAACAGCAGGGGTGTGACAACACCAGAGTTATAAGATATTTGATAGTTACATATAACCAGGGGTTATCACCAGGGTCCGACCTATCTAAGTACATATGTGCAACTCTGAATAAAAAAAAAAATAGACAGGGGCGTTCTGGGTCGGCCTCGCGCAACCAACTGCTCACCAATCCGCCAAGTTTCCCTCAAAACTCCAAATTCCACTAAAAGTGGCGTATCAAGGGGCGTGTTCCGTCAGCCATTGAACACGCTGCGTCTGGTATACGTTCATGACCCCGTATTAACTTCGCATCGACCCATTCTAGCCGTACCCTGCAATTGACAGCCTGCAGTATCGCGAAATCAGTGTCGGAGCCGAATCACCTCAGATTCTCCAATACGGATAGTGTATCTAATCCCATTGCCTCTAACCGCTCGCGGTTCTAAAAGACATAACCTCTTCTTCGAAGCCCCTTCAAATATTCATCATTCAAGTTGACGATCTTGCGACCATCAGGATGATTATTGTACACAAACCGGGCGAATTCCTGTCGGCCGGCGTCCTCAACAGCATCGCTGTAGGCGAAGTCGTCGTCTTCCGCCCAGGCTGGCTGGTTTGTAAATTGGCAGAAAATACCCTGAATCAAGTACTCTGCGAATGCGAGCATGAGCCTCTCCCGTTCAGTCCCATGGAGCTGGCTGAGACCTCGAACTGGTGAACTATCTCTAAGAGCATCTGCCTGTTGTGAAAGAGGGCCAAAACGGCGTAGAGTTGGGTTAGCACTGGAAGGGTGCGTATGATGTGCCCTATCGGGATCAGCGCTAAGAGCTTTCTTAACAAAATCGGTAGCGAAATCGTTAATAGCCTTGGAATAAGGACTAATCCTGTTCAGGTTTTTGAATCTAAAAAGTAGTCCGCCGTATGCGGCGTCTCTGTAGTACCTGTTAAACCTCTCCGTTCTGCGCTGGAATAGAAGGGGGAAAGGATCTTGTTGACCTACCTGAGGGTATTGGCGATGGAAATCGATGACGTATATTTTTTCGGGAGGACTTGGCATGAATAAGATGTGTAGAAGAAGTCTCTGAATCTCTGGTGAGAATAGCCGCTGCATTGTGGCTTCGGAGTACTCCTGAAATAGCTCAACTCTCCTCGGATGATACATGATCAGTCCGTCTTGCACAGTGGGTAGCTGAAATGGAGGATTTGACTCTGGATCTTGGAGGTGTGGACGTCTTTGTTGCATAATTTCGGTCAAATGAATCCAATAATTCAAGTACCCAGGGCATGCAAGCGCAAAATTGATGATATCTTCTGGCGTATCGAGTCGATCAGCTACCTCGAGAGCCAGCTCAAGTGTTAAGTTCCGAATGAGCTCATGCTGCGCGGATACAACCTGCCCCTGGTCCCAATTATCTAATGGAGTAGACATGTTGTTGTAATAAATTCGAAAGTGTGATATATTTGATCTAAAAGCGATATTTGTCCATAGAGTTTAGTTTAATGCAACTTGACTCGATGACTTCAACAGCCACTGGGTCTTGTTTCTGGACTTCCATTTTATGTAGATGAATTTTCAGTTACCATAAACTCGGGGTGCAACAGATGATGACGGAAAGGTTATGACTAAAAGGTTTTATACGTCTCAAGTGATATCCTAAGAACAAAAGAAATAGTTGCGAATTTCAGGTCTGGGAGAGAAAAATGATACAGTAAAGCCATTGAAGGAACGTCACGAGATTGTGAAAAATAATAATCTGTGGGAAGCTAGAGCCATTGCAAGCTTAGGTCTGAGTTGAGGTTTCTGCTAGATTCAAGGTTGGAAGATTCTGTATTGTTTATTATATTATTTGAAGTCTTAGACATATGTCAACAATACAACCTGGCGGTAAGTTTATTATGATCTTGACTGCAACTAACAAGTATCATCATAGACTTGCTTGCTTCATAGCAGATGGAAGGGGGAGTGATGTATAATATTTCGTGGCCCTTGTATACCCGTGATATAAATGACAAGTCTCGCAAGCTGTTCAATAGATCTAGGGAGGTACTTATGTAGTAGATGAATGAAATGGCTACCTAGGTAGTGTTTAGATTCTGCAATTATAAACTCGGTATCATGGTCACCAGCCTTGTAGTTCTCGTTCTGTTAGAAGCTCGAACTCTGAGTGGTAGGTACAGTGAATGTGCTGGAGATCTAACATATGATTGGATTGTCCTACGACTCCAAATTTGCTGCCCAAACACCTACCCCGCTGTCCCACTGGTTGTTTGTTGCAGCAACAACTTACCTAAAGTAAGTACCTCCCTATGTAGGTAGGTACCTGCTCATTGATTCGGTATCTACTTATGTACTTTAGGTAATAGAGGTGGGTGTCTTTAGTACCTAGGTATTCAGTATCGGTAGTATATACGGACGGTTGCACAGAATCGCCATAATTTAGGTACCTAGCAGTTCAATATTAGATGCTCTGTAGATTTAGCGCGTGCTGTAGTGTGTTGTTTCGCTAATTGAATACCTACGTACTTAACTACATACATACCCGAAATCACATGTACCTTGAACTTTGCAGTAAGTACCTACATCTAGCTTGCCTACTGTAGAGTGCCCCAAGATGCCATGTACCTAGCAGAACCTACCGTAGCTACATGTGCTTCTCCAGTAGATACATGCATATGTAGTAGTAGGTACTTACTTCCACCCCCACCATCACCCCTCCCCTGAAGTCTCCGGGCGAGGGAGGGGCAGTTGGAATAATAATTTCAGGATCCGCCCTCTCTCTCTCTCTCACTCTCACCCCCGCGTTTGCATGCCCTCTACCTCTTCCCGGCTTTGCTACCACACGGCCACACAGGTACAACAAACAGCCCGCCGCCCAAGCGACCGAACACTGCCTTGCATATTGAAGTATTCATCTACTTCCACTCTTGAGCCCACCATTCCAGCTTTCCTCGCTCCATCTATCAAGCACGCTCCTCGCTGTACTGCTTTTCGCCCATAAAGGAACACCGTATGTCTGCCTCACTCTGCTTTCGCCGTTGAATTTTCTGTTGAATTCTCTTCATGCGACTCTCGCCCTGTCGTGCCTAATCATTGGCTTTCTTCCGCTCTGTTCAGAGCGGGGCATTCTACTGTCGCCAAATCTTTTTTTTTTTTTTCCTCCCTTGCCATAACCTTTTCTCCTTGTCTCGCCGTTAAACTGGCGAGCCATGAGTCATCTCTCACATAGTAGTATACTGAACTCGTCTTTAGTTGCCTAGACGTGTAAAATCTACACCATCCATCTCGCATCCACGCTTGCGTAAATATGAGCTCGACGGAGAACACCGAACCCAAGGTCGATGAGACCAAGGCCCCCGAGGCCGAGTCTAAGCCTCTCGCTTCTTCGTCTGTTTTCTCCATGTTCGGCGGTGGCGCGAAGAAGGAGAAGAAGGACGACGACGAGGATCGCGGCGATGTCTCTGGCAGCGCCAAGGCTCAACGTGAAGCTGCTGCTGCTGCCAAGGGCGACGACGAGGTGAGTTGCCCCACTGCGATGGAATCTCGCTTTCCTAATCTCAAAGACTGTGCATGGCTAATATTGTTGCCATCAGGAACAAGTTCCCGAATCCGATGATGTCAATTTCGAGCCCGTTCACAAACTCACCGAGGTAGTCGAGACAGTAACGCACGAGGAATCTGAAGAACAGGTCTTCAATATGCGCTGCAAGATGTTCAGATTCGTTCAAGAGTCTCGTGAGTGGAAGGAGCGTGGCACTGGCCCCCTTCGTCTGCTCAAGCACAAGGAAAATGGCAAGACCCGTCTCGTCATGCGCCGTGACAAGACCCTCAAAGTTTGCGCCAACCACTATAGTACGTGTCCATCACAATACCATGCCGTCTGCCCAAGTGAGCTACTGACGTTTGCTATCTAGTCACCCCTGACATGAAGATCGCGCCTATGTCCACTAGCGACCGGGCCTGGCTCTGGAACGTTGCCGCCGATGTCAGCGAAGGTGAACCCGAGGCTATCACTGTCTCTGTTCGCCTTGCGAACGCCGAAAGTAAGTGATGTGCTGCAATATGATCGCGTTTTCTTCCGACTAACTTGAGCCTCCAGACGCCCAGCTATTCAAGGAAGCATGGCTCAAGGCCCAAAAAGAAAACGAGGCTTTATTTGCTAAGGAGGAAGAGGGAGAAGCGGCCAAGCCCGAGGAGGAAAAGAAGGAGGAAACCGCAGCTAGCTCCTAGACTTATCACCTGAGGAGTACGCCCTCGCAAGGCCGCTTCGAGCAAGAAAACCCCTTGCTGGCGCTGTCTTTGTCGACTCACTAGATTTTTTGACCCGCCTGGTCGCTGAGCTCTGCCGACTTTTGAGATATCCCGTCGAGAGCGAGGCTGGGCGGCTATATGCTGGGAGTACTACACGGCGAATGATGGTATGATAATGCACAACCACTAGATAGCCCACCCCCAAGGGTCGAGGGAACCCCCCCCAGAGTCACGGCATCTTGTCCCCGCATCACACATCACAACCAATACACCTCGACCTCACCCCCATCACGGATCACATTTGAAACAACGCGAACTAAGTGAGTGATACTACCAGCATGCAAACCAAGACTGTATCTCTATACCAAATTTTGTTAGAAGCAGTCATTGGATCGTCACAGTCTGTATTTGCAATTCGTATCGTAGTCGGAATGTATCTTATATGCCGTCATTCGTGTTACATTGTGACATATTAAAACTAGGTACTCGCTGCCCATCTGAAAGCCATGGACTACTACACAAATATCTCATTGATTCGTGCGTGCATTAGTCTTTGTCTACTATACTGGTCTTCAATATGTTCATATGCTGCTACTGTAGTCTAACTACTTAGCTTCAGAACTACGGTTCCTTCCTTTCCTGATTTCCTTCACCCCTCCAAGTAACAATGCCTCTAAACCATGTGTTCAAAGTACCTTTCAGCACCGTGGCGTTGTCTGGGGTTCTGAGATTCTGTCACAAATTCAATATCAACTGGCTCCTTTGTCGACAACTTCTGAATTAGAGCTCTTGGCTGTAAAAAAAAGGCAGGGAACTAATCTGATGTATCTCGGTCGGTGAGGCCGGGTACTGTGTGCGTTGTGCTATCTTAGGCTGCAACCTCCTTTGTCCTGTTGTACTGATAATGTAAGCTACCTAGGATAATTATCTCACAAAGTCACTTTGTAAAATGAGTACTGCAGCCACTTCCAGAACTATCTAGTTACTCTAGGTAGATAGCAGGCCTTTTTGACCATCTTTCCTGTATGATCTCGCGCTGAGAGTATATGTAGGCACGAACTCCCGAATAGTGTATTCTTCCTGCCAACTGATCTTCTAGCTACCTAGTTCTACGACGTTCAATCAATTCGTCTTGTCCAACAATAGATCTCGGAGCTTGGGGCCGATGCCCAGGGAATCACGCTAAGCCGGATTCGTCTACAACGAGGATTAATTAAGGCAGCATATCAACCACGTGACATCGCGTATTTGCTTCCACATCCCAGACGCATCCCATCCACCCGACGCGTTGCCAAGAGTACCTACCCAAGCCTTCAACCTGAGCTGAACCTCCCAGATATCTTTCGGTAATCGGCTGTGATAGTGTTGCCTAGGGGGAAGCTTCCACGACTCTGGAACGCCTTGCCACAGCCCTGCTAGATCTAGGTAGTTCGGCCTTAGTGTGGCTTACAAGGCACGCCTGCCGCTACAATCCACTGAGACACACATCTCCATCACTCTAGATTGTTTAAATCATATCTTTGATTTCGACTCAGCTGGCGCACTTGGGTTCAGCACTTCGAGACATAGATTAGTACATGTATTAGTACATGGATTAGTACACGATGCCACCCAGGCAACCGAATCAAACCAAGCTCACATTCGAGCCGACCGGTGCAACTTCCAACCCGTCCACGTCTGCCTACTCGCCTGCCCGAGTTAGATATGCCAAAGCTTCGCAAAACAGTCCAGCTGCCCGGTCGTCGCCCATGGCTGCATCTTCTTCCTTAGCTTCTGGGAGCTCTCGCCGCACCAGCAGAAGGAAACAAAAGCAGGGTAGGTTGGATGACTCAATCCGTAAGTTTTCTCTCGTTCTTTCCTCTCTATCCTATTTACCATTCTATCCAAACGAGAATGTGCAGAAAATGTTATGTCCGTAATATTGAGCTCTGCTGACACAATTGACAGCGCCACCAGCCAGTTTCATGCCCAGGCAGACTGGCCGCCGACCTCGCGCTTTGGAAGATGATTCCTCTTCTGAATCGGCTGTCGAGATTGGGGATGGAGGTTATGATGATGATGATGATGATGTCGACCTTCTACCTCCTACCCAGATGGCTAGCAAGCCGCAGAGCAGAGAGGCCTCAGATTCCGAAGACTCGGATGACGAGCCAATTATTGTGAACCCAAAGTCATCTCAGTCGGTTTCTACTAGACTGAAGAATACTGTTATCTCAGATGATAGCGATGAAGAAGAGTCAGAACCTCCAAAACTATCATCCCCGCGTAAGAGACGACGCTCAGCCGTTAGTAGGTCTGACGACTCGGATGATGCTCCCGTTTTGCCACCAAACTCCAAAGGAAAGATTTCACCTCATACACTTATCGAGCTTGATGATTCGGATTCGGATGTCATTTCTCCATTGAAGAAAAGAAAGATTGCTCGCCATTCATCCCCAAGCACCCCAGTAAATAATCGTACGCCAGGGAGATTAAAGAGGCCAGGGGAGATGGTCTCTTCTCCCACGAAAAAGCCACACAAGGGACACAGATCTGATAAGCAGAAGAAGATGGAGCTTCTGCGACGTCGCCGTGCAGGCGAAAAGATTCAGCAGCTCACATCCTCAGAGTCATCTTCAGGCGAGGACGAAAAGCGTGGAATTTACGACTCCGATTCTGAAGGCAACTTTGAAGCGCTGAAGGAATTTGATGATGAAGAAGAGGAAGTGGAGGTGCAAGAGCAACCGGCTCAGACTAAAAAGAAGCACAAGCGCAAACGTGAAAAGTCGGCAGACAAGGAAAATAGTGAGAGTGATTTAGAAGACTTCGTCACAGATGATGATGACGCGCTACTAGGTGCCCCCGTGGACATCCCACTCGAGTTCACATCACATGCTCACAAACCCTTGAAAGACCAGTTTCCATTCGTAATAGAATGGTTAGTTCATAACCGAGTCAATCCGGCGTTTGATCGAAAAGACCCTGTCTACGTCAATGCATGGCACAAACTCGATGATGAAGTCAGTGGTCTCGCAAATTCGAAGTTCACATCGGCTGCCTGGAAATTAGATTTCAATCGTGCATTGAAGAGCCGCCCGCGGCTCGAGACATTCCCACTTGCCCAGATTGGCACAGGCTTGTATGACACTTGTCAGGCCTGCGGCCGAAGCGGACACCCTTCAACTTTCAGGGTCATTTTCTCGGGTTCACCATACTACAAGGATACACTCGCGGAAGTCGAGTCAGATTCCGAAGATGATGATGACGATAATGACGCGGCATCCGTCGATGAGCACGGTATGGAGCTACCCCCGGCGACCAAGGAATGGAGTGTCGGAAGCGTATGCTGCAGCAATGCCGAGACAGCCCATAGCCTGCTTCACTGGAAACACGCACTCAAGGAATGGGTCGAGGCGCGCCTAGATGACGAGGGATGGATGACGCCTCAGAAGCTGAGCGAACGTGAGAAGATGAAGGCAAAGAAGCGCCGCGCACTCGCCAATCAGATCGTGGACGACTGGCAGGAGAGGCGCGTTGTGGCTGCGCTCTACGGTGATTTCAAGAATACTATCGAGAACGCCCGGAATCAGGCGACCACAGGGCGCGGTGCGAGAGGGAAGTTCCGATAAGACATTGTAGTCTCCTCGTACTCTATCGGCAAAGAGAGGGCCAAGCGCTACTGTCCCCTACCTCACATGCGCTTGATATGGTGCGCTACGGCACATGTGCTCAATAAACTACTTTGAGTAGTAACAATGGTAGCGGTATTGCAGATAGATCAAGTTTAATACCGACGAGGAAATTTGGTCGAGGGTGGCATGTAATAGGAAGCAGAAAATGCTGGGATGCAGTGTTACGGAGTAGGATAAGTTGCATACAACTTCCTTCTGCCAGGATCGAGTAGCTAGATGTCCGAGGACAAACTTATCACCTCATTCCCGGCGACTGGATGGAACACATCTAACCTGGAGCACTACCTCGGTACACACGGAAGCTGGGATTCCCGTTCATAAATCTTTCTTGTTATTCATGGAAATTTGACGATGTAAATCTAGGGCCTAATGCGCCTGGAAATCGCGTGGGGGATGAAGGAGGGGAGTCAACATGAGACCAAGAGATATGATAATGAATAGGCCTTTATAGCCAGGCTTCCTTTCTCCTTTTTCAAATAACGCTTACCATACGCTGAAAATCTGATTGCACGACGACATGGACTCTGTCCTTCAATTGATAATAGTTAGAGTATTATCTCTATCTAGTCAGGTAAGTAACGCGCAAATCTAAAAGTTATTCTGTATGATCGTCATCATGAATCTGGCTAGTCTTTTTGCACACCGCCCATTAAAGATTTCCCTCGACTTTTCGTGTCTTTTTTCTTCACTTTTATTTTTTTTCTGTACTGTCTGTAGCTACTTCAACTACCCTCACGATCTAACCGCCTTCGCCGCCTTGACAAAAGCCTGTATCCGGTCTAAGCTCTGCAGCCCGTCGGGGCCCTCGACGCCGCTGCTGACATCGACGCCGACGATGCGCTCGGCCGCGGGGCCCGAGGCTTGTATGACTTCGGCGACGTTCTCTGGGGACAGGCCGCCCGCGAGCATGATCCTCAGCTCGTGGTCACGCTCGAGCGCGGCCTTGACGGCCACGGCGTCGAGGAGGTGGCCCGAGCCACCGGCGGTCCCGGAGTCGAAGAGCGGGACGGCGTGGTAGCCGCGCGCGCCGATGCCGGGCTCGCCGGGCTGGAAACGTCGCATCACTGGGACGGGGATCGCGCCGGTCCACTCGAGGGGCTCTCTGCCGTGCAGCTGCACAATGTCGAGACGGTATCGGGCTGTTAACTCGAGGACTTGGGCGAGCGGCTGGTTCAGGAAGACGCCGACAAGTAAGGGCCGCGTGAGGCCCGGCGCGCTGATCTTTTGCGCCGCGGAGGCGAAGAAATCTGTGGCCTTGGTTGTGGAAAGTGCGGATGAGGAGGGAGTTGCGGGGCGCGAGAAGCCGTGTATCGCGTCTGAGATGGCGCGCGCTGCCTCGTCGGTGACGGTGCGCTTGCGGTTCGGGACTAGGATCATGCCGATGAGGTCTGCGCCGGCCTCGGCCGCTGTGAGAGCGGCTTCGGGAGTGCGGGTACCGCATATCTTGACGAGGAGGGGCTGTGTTTCTGATTTCTTCGGCTCGACCTTTCCGGTGCAGAGCTGTTCGATGAATTGCGATGCATCTGGAGCACGCATGATGGCCTCGCCGACGAGGATGGCGTTCACTCCGTCCTTGTGGTTGGCGACGACATCCTCGTGTGTGTTGATGCCGCTGAGTGCACAGATTATTGTTTCTTGAGGTACGAGACTGCGTAGCCGGCTTGTCGTGCTGAGATCTACTTCAAATGACTCGAGATTGCGGTTATTGACCCCAATGACCTTGGAGCCTAGCTTCACCGCCGTTGCCATTTCCTCTGCGTTCTGGACTTCGACCAAGGGCTCCATGCCAAGCGACACGGAATATTTATAAAGGCGGGTCAGCAATTCCTCGTCTAGCATCTTAACGATGAGAAGCACCGTGTCAGCTCCGGCTAACCGGGCCTCCAAGATCTGGTACTCCTCAAAGATGAACTCCTTTCGCAGAATGGCCGGTCTATTAGGCATTGCGTTGAGTACTTGTCTGACTGCCCGTAAATCTTCTATGCTTCCCTTGAACCAATCTGGTTCGGTAAGAACAGATATAACGCTAGCCCCGGCTAAGGCATATTTTTTCGCTTGGGTTGGCGCATCGATATCCAAAGCGAATATGCCCTTGGACGGCGAGCCTCGCTTTATTTCAGCCATTAGGGAGACATCGAAAGGGCTTTGGCGCAGACGGTCAACAAATGGGATCTGTGGCGGTGCCGCGTTTAAGTTGTAAGCAGCCTCAAGATCTTGAGAACGTTGTGATGGGATTTGCTTTTGGGCTGCCACAGCTTCCCTCCGTCGGGCGTATATTTGCTGAAGAATGTTATTTTTTTTCGGGGTATTGAGTGATGTTTTCTCTATATCATTAGCCACTTTGTTCGCCTCTACTGAGTCTTGCAGACGCTGGTTTTCGGCCCAGGTACCAGCCTGCAATCGCAAGAAATTCTTGATCATTATACGGCCATCTTCGGAGAGAATACTTTCTGGATGGAACTGGACGCCCTCAATGGCTAGCTCTTTGTGGCGTACTCCCATAATGACACCCTTTGAGCCATCATCCCTCGGTATCCAGGACGTAACCTCGAGACATTCTGGTAGGGTCACGTGGGTGCCGGCAAGTGAGTGATAACGGGTAACTGGTAGCCCCTGAGCCATACCGGCATACACACCCTTGGAGTCATGGCACAATGGCGAGGTTTTACCGTGTAAAATTTCACCAGCAGAGCTCACCTCGCCCCCATAGACATCAAATATGCACTGTCTTAGCATAATGTTAGAGGCGAGCCGCCGGCGCAAGAGAGTCATTGGTCGAGGACCCGGGGGTGGTTAACTCACTGGCCCATGCATACACCAAAAATGGGAATTTTCCCGGCGAAATGCCTGATGGCATCCCGGCTGATTCCAGAGTCGGTGACAGGATGACCTGGGCCAGGACTCACGACTAGCTGAGTCGGGTTTTTGGCGATGAGCTCGTCAAGGGTGATCTGGTCATTTCGAAAGACGGTGACCGTGGCACCTTCTAGCACGAGATACTGGTAGACATTCCACACGAACGAATCATAGTTATCAATGAGAATGAGATTCGAAGCGGTTGGAACAGGCGGAGAGGGATCTGGATGATGTGGCGAGAAGTCGACGATTTCGGCTGCGGCGGCCATGGCTCAAACCGAGGTCGGACACGGCCAGAATAATGTATAGCGAATTCGACTAGTAAGTTTAGGACTTGCTGAGTTAGGATAACTTGTGAGTGAGAGTATGGAAAATATAAAGCTGAAACAGCCCTTGTATGTTAAACGACAGGACTGGTATGAGCTTGGTGAAAGTAAGGGAGTCACGGACAAGTCAGTCATCGGACGGCGGTAGCGGACAAAATCCGTTGCCGGTTCGGGCAAATTCTCGGTGGGGTATTTCGGCACCTAGCGGCCCTGGAGATTCCCTTATTCTACTAGGTACCTACTTATGTATGTACACGTAGGTAGGTCCCAAAGCTCTCCAGTGAGCTTTCAAGTCTCAATTGATCTTTAGTGTCGATGTTAATGTAAATTTGGAGCTAATTATCTGATTATCTGATCAGGTAAGTCAATACTTGAATTCATACAGCAGCAAGTATCATCTAGGGGGGTTGTAGGTATGCACTTAACTGAGTACACTGGCTGGCACTGGAGCTTGGGTCTCCCTTTGCTACTAAGGGCTGGCGTATTGCAGGTAGTAGGTAGGTACATGTACTCACTAACTGCCCTGAAGCTCCAGTGACTTTGATAGCTCCTTTGGTACTTGCATAGCCCACTATGCCAGGTACTGATACATGTAAATGGGTGTCTGAGGTACCAAGATGAGGTACCTCTCTAGCTTTCCTAACTTAGAGGTAGGTACCCCCTATATTGACTTAGCTACCCAGAAACCAGGTAGCAACCTCTTATCGAAGCTTTCTGCGACCTGCGATCAACACCTACCTAACTAAGTCTCAGCCAGTCCAGCTTAGTCGCGTCACGACAAACAAAAAAAGTAGACGAGAACCAACCTCCCGTCGCAACATTCTGCTGCTTCACATGCATTTGCTGCATCACCAGTGCGCATTGCTCGCCGATACCTGCAGCAATGGCAGAGCCACTTGCCGACCAGCTCTATCTCCCGCCTTTGGAACCATGTCTTAAGGGCGAGTCCGTCATCTTGTAAGTCATGGAAGCCTTTCCCGAGATCCCCCTCGAACTTGCTGACCCTGATTGTGCGCGCTTTAGGTCATGGAAACTAGTAGCATCGGCTTTGATGGACCCTTCTGGTCACCGTCAAAGTAGCCAGATCGTCGTCGACTTCTTCAATGACCCTCTCGTGCAATCCTTTTTCACCAGCCCAGGCTCTGCCTTCGAGCCCTCCAGCGACAAGAGCCAGCACCATGCGACCTTTGAGAGAAAGACAGCTGCCATTCATGTCACCCCAACCCCCAACGAAAAATACGACATCAACGTGATCAAGGAGGACGCTTTGTGGTTAAGCAAAAATGCCCGAATCAACGAGGTGGCTGCCTTGCGAGTTGTTGTTGTCGAATACCAGTCCCGTCCTACAAGCCAGCTGCTCGGCCCCATCTCGAACCAGGATGTCGCCGGCTTACGCGCTGCTGCTGGTGCTGGGAATGCACAGAGCTCCAATATCATACCAGGCCTAACCCTCACCGCAACTCTGGATGCGTCCGATATCCAGGCTAACTTCGATAAAACCGAGAGCCGGCGACAGCGCATCTTCCAAACCTACCTCTCCGAACGCCGCTTTTACGCCGCTACGAACGAATATGTCTTCACTCTGATGCTGCAGGAGAAGCTCCCCACATCATCACCCACCGAGGCTTCGAGTTCTATACGGCAATCGCTCCTCAACGCGTATGGTGTCTCGTCCAAGCCAACCCAGAAACCAACCGCTGACATCCCTACCAAAACATGTCATGCCTTGATTTCCCAATACATTACTCTTTTGCCAGACTGCATCCAACAGGCCGGGGCTAGTCTGGACTCGGTGGTTAAGGATAAAGCATTACTGAACGAGGACAACCAGGAGCTGTGGGTTCATACTTGCTTGATCGAGATATTACACCGCATGACAATATTATTTCAGCTCCTAGATCAGTTGAGCGATAGCTTTGTATCGGAATCGGTGGCTAAACAATGGTTTCTTATGGTTAACGACCTCAACTTCTTGAATCAGCTACAAGGGGTAGGCTATGACTCCAAGTTCTGAGGAGAACATGCGGCTAATCACAATCTTAGTTCTCTCAAATCATATCTGATCTGATGATCCCATTGCAAACTCTTGTCTGTGTTATATCATTAAAGACCCTCAATCTGCCGAGAATGATGGCATTTTTTGAAGGCGAAATTGATCTAGACACAGACAACGAGTACTTGGCAACCTCAAGCGTCCTTGAACTGATACACGATGTCCTCGAGTCTTCAGTCGCGTCAGGGTCGGCTTATATGTCCCCTGTTTTGTTCGCATGGGTGCCTATTGTACATGCTATGTTTTCTTCCTATCAGGAAAGAGCAGAAAAGCGTGATGCCATCCAGAATCAGAAAGCTGTCGAGAACTACGACTCTAATACACAGATGGTGCCCAGAGGCCGGAGGAATTCAGCTGGGAGTATCACAACTATCGACAAAAGGCGATACGACGATTTTCTCATTAATAAAAGCTTGGATCGCGACTTTGAAAGGGTACAGCTGCTTGCAATTGTTGCGACAGATGAGGTGCATGTTTTCGATGTGATCGCGGCGTTGGCATCACATCTAGGTCCAACTGAACGTGGTATCTTTCCCTTCGCAGTAGGATCTAGAATGAGGATAACCTTCATGGACCTGCTTAAAGCTACATATCCATTTGTTGGTTACAAAGCAGAACCACTGACCTCTCTTCTGTCTGTACTTGGCGGCTCTCACGGATACTGGGACTTGCCTGCGGTCCAGGAAGCCTCACAAGATGACATTCTTCATTGCGCATTAAAGGACCAGCTTATTTTAGAAGCATACGTTCAGCAGGCGCTGGATCGCTTCCCATACGAGTTCGCTCCATTCCTGACTCTGTGTCGGACGCTTGGATGTGCAGCTGCCTTGCCAGACACCAACAACCATGAACGTATTAGCAGGCTGCTGGAGAAGACGCCAACACTGACTTTTACTCTGCCCGACGATTTCACACAGTATCATCTTGCAAATGAAGAGGAAAATTCGAACTCTTTTCAGTTTATAGACGATTTTCCTCTGTTCTCTCCTGTCTCAAGTCGCAAAAGAATTGCGGCAGATGAAGAACTCTTCGTTATACCTGCTGGGACCTACGGACGGTTCATCGTGGATGAAGGAAAGATAGTGCGAGTGGAATATGAGCATTCTTCTCTGGCACTACTCGGCAAACGTTTAGACCTGAACCTTGTCGCTAATAGATACGATATGGCGCTCGGTGTACTTACACTTGACGATATTGCAGAGGTTATTTCGTTGCTTGCGACGTTGATTCGGGCGGAAGCTCTGAGAGCCTCTAGTTCGAACGGAAGAGCGGTCGGCTCTTCAGAGGCAGCACTCGCTATCGTGGGAGAAGCCAGCCGAGCACTGCCCCGTAATAAAGATATCGTATCGGTGGTATGTGATACAATGGATGTTCTCATGGATAGCGACCAGGACGACTTTGGCTTGGGGGCTCTGGTCGCTTGTGTACAGTTTTTACATGCTATCTTACCTATCTGCCCCGGTAGAGTCTGGTCATATATGGCGAAGTGTACCCTACTTCAAAGTCAATCACAGGGTGGCCGGCTTGCCCGCATCATCGGCAACCTCGACTTGTCCAACGTTCAATTCGACCTGCTAGTGTCGACTATACGACTATTCTCGGACCTGGTAGAGAGTGCAATGACCAGCTCCGTCCGACGAAAGACGGACGTTAAGCTAAACCCCAGACAGCAGTCGGTTGATAATGTTTGGCTTGGGGTCTCGGATAAAATAATTACGCAAATCACACTAGCAATCGCTCAGACAACCGTAGACTTACTGGAAAGTTCATCGACATGGAGATTTGCAACAGACCAAGATCGAATGACCCTAATGCGCGATATCGTGCCTATCATGGAAAAAATCATATACTATACTTTCAGCATGGATGACATATCTGCCAAGACTGCATTAATGTCTGTTTTGGTGCCTGCTGCAAAGTTCATCGTCGACAGTTTTCTTGGACCATCTGCTGGCAGTCTGCGTGTCCTGCCGCTCCTAGGAACGCTTGTCGCAGCAACACAGGGTCTCGAATCAACTGTATATGCGCAGCGGTCCCAAGTATTTCGTGATCAGACGTTAGTCGTCCTAAAGTTTGCAACCAGCCTGGTCAGGGTAGCAAATTATTCTGACCGTTCGTCTACTACGCTAGAATACCAACTATTCAAAATAACACCCTATGTCGCCCGGCTCTGCGCACGAGATCCTATTTTCAAGGGACCTGTGATTGAGCTTCTGGAGTCATTAGTTATCAGTGCCGGAAAGACAGTTGGAGAGCCCCCGTCTTTGCTCGGGAGTCTTGGACCTCAGACCTCTCGCTCGTTCCTTCAACTTATTAGCACTCTCGATAGACCATTCAACCAGGCCCAGGAAGCTAACACCATTTGGCATTTTTTCTCGACCATTGTACGCAATAGACAACAGTGGATGGCAAATTGCCTTCTTACGGGTAAAACCCCAAAAGATGCAAAAGCAAGCAACAGCAAGGCCGCGGAAACTACCCCAGATTCGGTTCTGGGGTCAGCTTCGTCAAGGCTTGCCTTGTTATCAAAGCTAGACCAGTCAGAAGCTTTATCGATCTTGGACTTCATCACTTCCGCTCAGAACTTTTGGCCTTGGACCATATTTACCCTACAGAAAAACACAACTTTCCTCGCCGAACTCAGGAATTTTGTTCGTATTCTAAAGCCGTCGTCCGTTACTATGAAGACGAAGGTGCTACAAGCTTGCAATGAGGCTCGGATTGCAGCATATATCGCCGAGATTTTTGCTATGCAATTGTTTCACCTACGTCAGTTAGGCCAGGCAGGCTCATTTGCCAAGGAGCTTACTCAAGACCTTGACTATTATCTGCGAGACGGTGTAGGTGTTGCTGGCTATAATAGGGGACTTCACGTCAACTTCGCGAGGAACTTTAGTAGACAATATCCGAACTGCTCTCTGGAAAACTTTAAACGAACATTACTGGAGCCTAAATCACTAGGGGGCGAATTTTACTATGCCCTTGGCTTTGCCGACAGGATGCTGAAGTTTGACCCAAGCTGGATTGGACCACGCAGTTCAGGTTTCAGAAACGAAATGGAAATGGCCAACATGAACCTATCGCTAGTCGATGCTCAAGTGGTAAGTTTTATATACATAATATTTCGTCTCTAGACATAGAACACTAACCAGCCCAACAAGTCACTTTATCATGCTTGGGAATTCCTTTTACTTGAGCTTAGCACGTGCTTGCCAGATAACGACACCCTGAAGAAGCAGTCTATACAGGTTGCTCAGCAGTGCCTTGAGGCGAATCAAGAGATCCAAAGCCACGATCAAGTCTTCGAGCGACTTGCAGAGTCTCGAGTAAATTTAGCACTCATTTTAGTTCAAAGAATTGTGAACAGTTCTCCGTCCGCTGGCGATGTTGCGCAATTGTTGAACTCTATCTGGGGAATAGTGAGCAGCTATCAGGAACCATACGCATCACAAAATATCTCGATATACCGCACTCTTCTGAGATTATTGTATGTCACGTTACGAACTATGGTCCGATCGTACGGGCAGACCGATTTCAACGCATCTGTGCGTGACAGTCAGGGAAACAGCATCTCCCCAGCCATCGTTTCCCAAACTGTATTAGGTATCCTAGATGGGGTTGTGTGTAAGGGTTTCCGTACAGTCGTGGCGTTCATTCACGATTCAAGTACTGGTGTTTCTACCAGCGATGTCATCATCATCAATGCCATTTTGCAGGCATGCCTATGTATCCCAGGCATGGAGCAAAGTCAGACACAGATCCTCAACATTCTGACCGCTCACGATGCAGTCCAGGCGGCTGTATCGCTATATTCGTGGGCAGACAAGCTAGCTGAGCAAGGAGACCCGATATACGGTGAACTAGCACTGCTTTTTCTTCTCGAACTATCGACTTTGCCTCTGGTCGCCGAACAGCTGGCGTGCGACGGGCTCCTTGATCAAATCACCTCAGCCAACCTTGCTACATATCTCCGTCGGCCTAACGTGTCGCCCTTTGCTGACTCGGTTGGCTTACAACGATGCTACAGTATCTGGGCCAAAGGAATCGTGCCACTTCTCCTGAACCTGCTTTCGGCCTTGGGTGCAACGATCGCGCCAGAAGTTGCCTACGTACTTAACCAGTTCCCGAGTTTGATGCAGTCCAGCATTGATCGGTTTGAGGCCCCAAGCGACAGCCAAAGGCGAGGTCGCCTGGACATGGCCTTTATTACCCCATTATCTGTCTCTGAGATTCACTCGTTGGCGCTCGTGACCCAGGTGCTAGGCGGCTTACGAGCGGGCAATGCGAGAGACATCCCCGCTGTTGAATGGGATTCAGCCACTTTACTGGAAAATGTAGACTGGTGGATTGATCATCGCAAAGTGCTGCGAGAGAGATTGGTGTCACTCGGTCCAAGAGAGGCCGAGCGCAAGACGAGGCCAGCTTCAGACGCGGATCAGAGACGAGGCTCGGAAAGCCAACTCGAAGCCAATGTTGTAGAGCAATTAGAGTTTGTACGAATTGTGCTCAACGATGGCCCGGAATAGGGCTCCATGGACTTGAAAGGAGTATTTTACATTAGCTACATTTTAACAGAGTGATGGAAAAAAGAATAGGGGCAGGCTCTGCATAGGACGCCATGGCGTATAGGCGTTTCCCCGGGCAGGGCAAAAGACATGTTTCTACCTAATATATTTTTTTGTCAGAGATACAGGCACATGTTGTTGAACAAGGGCGAATGAACCATCCTGCTTTTCGTCGTATCATGACTGGAAAGTTGGACTTTGTCAATTACCATGTGTTATCGAAATAAATGACCCCTTGGCCACTACCTGCCTGGGGACTCATTGTGTCTTATGCAGTGTTACTGTCATTCTCCATCGCGTTCATTACGGTAGGTTATGCCGTGCGTGATTATGTGGCGCGCGTCATCATCTCACACCGCAAGAGACTTGGCCGCGCTCCAGACCCTTTGATAAACAACTCCCTGGTTGGATAAGTGTGTAGTTCCCCATTGATGATGTATACTAGGTGGATTATAGGTATGTAGTGGAGGACTGTTGGTTCTAGAATTGTTCCCTTGGCCAAGTCCGCTGTTTTGCTAAGTACTTAGTCTACTACCTATAGCGTTGTGTGTGTGTGCTTTGTACACAGGTGTCAAATCACAGATGTAGATACTAAGTACACTACAGCAGCAGATCGAGATAACATCCTAGTTTGACAGGGAATGCTTGCCTTGCAGCCATGATAGCATTACAAGTATGTGTGTAGTCCAAGGGCGGTTGTGTAGTGTACTTCCTTGTAGGGACGCATGGTAGGCAAAAACATGTGATGGGGAAAATAATTCAAAGGACTTATGTCTGGCGCGACTGTCGCCTTTCGAGCCGAGCCAAGCCTGTGCTCATTTCGGTCCCGTCGCCTTTAAACTTCTTTTACTAGCTATTTAAGCTCAAGTAGGTTATAAGCTTAGCTTAGGTACCTAGGTATCTACATGCAAGTAAGTAAGCTGGGACCTCCTTGCCTTCGAGGTTCTAGGAACGGCTGAAACAAAGAATTCAAGCTACTGACTGCTATCATCGCTCCTACAAGAAGATAGATGAAGATCTAACGTAGAGATGAGAAAGCCGCATGCGTGGACTTTTTGAAAGAAAGTGAGTATTGACTTTCAACGTACTCCGCATGTTAGGTCGGACAGACATACGCATACAATGCTGGTGTCAGCAATAGTGTGCATACCCACTTCTGGCCCAAGTTGGTAATTTGATGATTTCCCATCTACGGACACACAACTACGTCATGTCGTCGAGCGCATTACATACAGTTGGGGCTTGTTGTGAACTTACTACAGCACTGTCAAGTTGTTGACAAGGCAGCAGGGGTGAAGCCTCCAATTTCACTGAGACTGATGATGTTCCTTGTCCCTCTTTCCCATCCTCTTGACATTACTGGGCGTCTCCTTTCTCATCCTCAGAGACAACTTGTATACATAGGTATATGTGTATTGCAATAGGTAGGTATGTAGTAGTAGGTATATATAGATGGAGTGGATGGATGCAAGTAAGTGGTATTTGGAATGTCCATGTTAATCTCCGACTAGGTAGCATGACTAAGACTTCAGGTGTCCCGCTTCATTCTTCTTGGTTTTGCCTAAGTTGAGAAACGAAAGAATGCGAAACATTGCCGAGGCTCTGAGCTTCGAAACAAACGATCCACTTAGTTTATATATAGAAGCTTCTTTTACTGTAAGTATGTGTAGATCATTTAAGAGAGCAGATGTACACTACAGATGACAGACTGCACTAATCTCGTGTGCCGATGTACACTACGCTGCCGACTAAGGAATACATGGTTTAGCACACAGCCACGTCTTCGTGATGGATGACATACAGAGATACTAACAGTCCGTTCCAATCGTTCGTTCACCACACGCGCTAGGTACATGCAACATGTACGAAGTATGCCACTGTTTCTCGAATCCCCTGAGCAGACCCTGAGGAATCTCCCTTGCTCTTCTCTCATCCTCATCCCCTTCCCCTTCCCCTGCCCTGCACAATACCCGCGCTAGCAGTGCATAATGTACGGTACCTGGGTCTACCTGGATCGACCTGGGCCAAGTAGGTTGCAATAAGCCGGCAGTGCCGATCTGGGGCGTCCGCTGGGCAGACTGGGGTCTCTGGGCTGACCTTTATATTGTTTATTCTCCACCAACACTTTTGCCGTGGCCAGCCAAGTCAGCGAAGGAAGCTGACCCCTTGCCCTTTACATCGAGCATCTTACTGCACCAATCTACACTCTGGGATTGTAGAGTCGCGTTCTCGGATATCTACTGTACACACGCTGCACTGCGCGACCTACGGCACTCGCAATGCCTTGTTTGCAGTGTCTGCTGTGATTTTCTACAGAGGAAGTATGCCATGTCGAGCCTTTGCGCTTTACTGCTATATCTAGGTTACTTAACATTACTGCTGAATACGCAAGAATAACACGGGCGTAATTCCTCGGCATTCTATTCTAGATGTAAGCCTTTATGCAAGCCAGGACAAGCTGTCTTGGTCAGCCATCCTGCGATGCTACCCAAGAAGGTAGGTAGATCACCTATTGTACCGTACCACCAAGGACACTACAGCCTATTATTACTACGGGGTCCTTTATTCTAAACCAACGACGTGTCTGTATGATGGCTGGTACACATGTAAGTACACTAGGACCTGTGGGGGAGCCCTAGGGATCTATCGAGTAACGATCGTATGCTTTATTTTATTTCCCTGTCCCGGCCGTCGTCAGGATAAACAATTCAGGTTGATATAGCCTGCCTCCGCCCGTCTTTATTTTGTTTACTGAACGTACTAACAAGGGAATGGGATTAAGTTGAACGGTCTAGTCTATAACTAGTGAGGTCATCAACCATATCCTAGTTCTTGAGGTTCTTGAGCCTCAACACCCTTAAGACAATTCCTGGTTTCAGCAAGAACAAACGGGAACAGGCATTCAACTGAATCGCAGCGCTGATCTGAAGAGCTCGAAACTAACGTGTTCTGGCTTTGTACTGAGCTACATATTGACACTGAAGATTGGTGACTGTGTTTTCACACTGCTCGAGACGTTACCGCAAAATGGATGGAACTTGGGTTCATACACTTGAAGACGGGCTCGAGCCAGTCTCACTTTCAAACCGACCACCAGCTCCTGCTCCTAAACCACAGAGGTTCCAATCCGTTCGCGTCTCAAGTGGTCGACCAAGATTCCAGGACCGTGCAACACCCAAGCGTCACAGCGCTTTATATGGGGTCCAAGAACTTCGTCACCTCGAAAATGGGCTACATGGAGGTAAGACAGCCAATAGCTAACCGTTCAAAAGATAGACAAACTCATTAGCGTGTATAGGTAACTCGCCGACTGGAGGTTTTGGGGACCTGAGTCTCGTAGACCCCCACAATCGGCTTCAAAAGTTGGAAAACATGCTGTCAGGACACCAGCCGGAGGACGAATCACAGATCCTTGAAGAGAGTGGGAGAGAGCTGGCTCAGCCGTTGGAGACCTCAGAGGACCCGATGCTGCAGACTAAGCCCATGACGAGGGACTGCAACTGGGAGCAGTTCAAAAACCGGTTTCCAGATGAGACGGAAACTTTTGCGATCGAAGTCCTACTTGCTCAGGATGATTTGGTCGAACAGATCGAAGCTGACCAATTGCGGCGCTTAAAACCGGAGGGCAGGAAGGCTTTCGAAACAAACCGACGGAGATCGCGACAACCTAGAGGCCGAAAGAGAGTAGAGAGCACCCCGATAGCCCGCGTTCGTGTCAACTCAGCCATCATTCTAGGATATCTCAGCAAGGTGACGGGTGAGGGGCCGTGGGTTGAGAAATCACATACGTTCCTGGCTCCTTTTAACCTCTTCTTGCATTTCCATGAGGACATGGAGAAAGAGCTCCGCCAATTGGAGGAGAGATTTGGGAATGGAGGTGCCAGCGCGCCATCAGCTGATGGCTTGGAAGCATCCAACGATTTTGATTTTTTAGGAAGCAAAGAGCTGCAGGGGTTGATGAGAAGCCGACGAGCTTACGCTGAGATGAAGTGTTATGTGGAATTTGTCAAGACCCGGCTCATCCCTCGGCGCAATATGTTCGCTAACGCAGATCACACGCGCCCATCGAAAGTGAGCTATCGCGATTTGGCATCGTTATTCCGGCCGGGTGACTTAGTCATTGAACCCGGCACCTCTCAGTCCGAAAACAGGATCCGGGATAAGCGTAGTTCGGTTGTAAATGTCACTGAGCCCAAGCTTTGGAAGGTATGCTACATGTCTGAAGACACGCCCAACTGGTCGGTTCAGGGTCTCGATGCACCAGGTGCTCAGCTTCAGAGTCAAATCGACGTTGGAGATGAAGCCACACATCTGCGCCTTTACTACATTGACTTTGACGGCCAGCGATTCTCTCCTGTTAGGGGCGATGTCTCAATTGAGGCTTTTGAGGGAGAGCGCGAGATATCAAAACTCCCGGTATACCCACTGCGATTTCATAAAGATCACCAGTGTCTCCTGAAAGAGCTTCAGGAAAGAGGTCAACGATTTCGAGACATTGTGTCCTCGGGAAACTCCAATCTTTCTTACCACGGCTGGACCTTGACCAAGGATCCCTCTGGCCGCGATATTGCAGCCAGACCAGGACAAGAAGCTACCGTTTGGCCGGAATATATCGAGAGCGATGTCATTGTCGACTTCAACGAGGCGTTCCAAGTACACCCGTGGTGGAAGCCAGCATTTAGACATTTCCCGGAAGCTGAATCATTCTATCCTACAACCACCCGCGACGAGTTCCCGATAATAGAGTGGTCAGATAGATCCCGCTTCAGACAGTTTGCTAGCCGAGAGGAGACTGTCGTCGAATACGATGGCGTGAGAGAGCTGGAATGGGCAAAGTTTACCGAGACGGACGCCTTCATCAGCCAAGGCGAATCATCAGAGCCACTAGCTCATCTAACACAAACTTTATCACCAGGCGACCTCGCGCTGCTCCCAGCCCGGCTGTTCGTTTACGCACTGCGTAGCCGAGCCTTCATCAACGCGGATATTAGATATCTAAAACCTGTACGAGACACTCTAAACCCGCTGGAAAGCCTGCAGCTCCCGGAGAAGCACAAGGATATGATACAGTCGGCTGTCTTCGGGCACTTGGAGAAGAAGAAAGTCCGGAGACGAGCTACGCTACTCAACAGCGAGTTCATGGACCAGGACCTCATCCGCGGCAAAGGGCGAGGATTAGCCGTGCTACTTCACGGGCCGCCCGGTGTTGGAAAGACAGCCACAGCCGAGGCCGTCGCCCATTTATACAAGAAGCCATTGTTCCCGATCACCTCTAGCGATCTGGGAACTGATCCGTGGGACGTAGAGACCAAGTTGTCGGAGATTTTCCGCCTGGCTAACTTGTGGGATTGCATTCTGCTACTTGACGAGGCTGAGACCCTGCTTGCCCAAAGAGAGAAAAAGGATAGTAACCTCCAGAAGAGTTCTCTCGTCTCAGGTAAGCCGACCATTTCTCTTATCAGACGCGATAGTTGTGATAGGACAAATACTAACGTGTGACCGACCTATATAGTGTTTTTGCGAACACTCGAGTATTACTCGGGCATCCTTTTCCTCACCACAAACCGGCCCGACGTCATGGATGACGCCGTCAAGTCGCGTGTGCAGGTCAGTCTCCAGTACCCGCGTCTCGGACTTATCGAGACGCTCGCCATCTTCCAGACGAATCTCGACCGTCTCATCGACATCGAGTTCGAACGGGCTAAGATCACGGGTGAGACGGCGCTTGAGGTCAGGTCAGACGGGATCCTGGCCTTCGCAGCCGCCCTTTACCATCGCCACGAAGGCAACGCGGCGTCTCCGCCATGGAACGGGCGCCAGATCCGCAATGCGTTCCAGATCGCGCCGTCAATCGCGCGGTATGGACGCAGACACAGCAATAACAGCAGTGAAAACAACAACGGCTCGCAATCAAGCGACCAGGAGCCCTTTGTCGGACCGGAACATTTCGAGAAAGTCGAAGAGTCAATGACGGAATCCGAGACGAGCAGCAGTGGTGGTATCGGTAGACAAGCCTCCGGCAGCGTGGACATCGAGCGCGCAGACCATCTATCGCCCAGCCTGGTGCCGCACTCGAGCCCGAACCGGCAGACGGCCTTCCCGCGCCGCGGCATCCGCGGCAACAACCGGTTCTCGAGCGAGATCCAGCGCAACCGGTTCTCGGGGGAGTTCCACCTGCGGCAGCGTTCCTCGTCGTCGGTCGCGCCGCTGTATCTGCCGTCGACGCAGCTCTGCGAGGACGGGAAGCAGCCCATGATGCCCATGCCGCACCGACGCGAGCCTTCGCCCCCTTGGACGCCTGACCTAGCCTCCGTCTCCGATGCTGCTTCTCCAAGGGAGTAAATAGATCGACACCCAAAAATGCGGGCTTTCTAACAGATTTGAATTTACGTACCTCATGTGCCCCGAGTAGGAGCAAATGATATAAAGTAAGTTGGAGAGGGCGATGTATGATGAAGGACATGAGCAAGCGGCGCGCAAAGAATTTCTAAACTTTTCAGTATAATGGGTAGATGTTTACGCCTATGCTTTTGACTCATGCTGCTGCATGTCATCCTGGTCAGAACTTTTCTCCCTACTTTCAATCAATATCCTATAGCGATGGTCCGCCGTGTTTGTATATATAGTTGTGCGCCATCATAATCGGATGTTCCTCTATTTTTCATGTATATACATATATTATTGCACAACCTGAAGAAGGCGATGGAAATGGGAGAGAGCGAGAGACAACCCTGGAATCATGCATGAATGGAAATGGGTAGAAAGCGATACCATTCGATTTATAGAAAGATACTTTCCTATCTCTGTATTGCGAGAGCTGAGCTAGTTTTTGCTATTGTTCGTTGACTTCATTAAATTCGGGACTGAATGATACTCGTCCCTTGAGGCTTGGTCAAATGGGGGACAGCTCTGCACTACCTCCTGCGAGAAGGAAATCTTGACGGAAACTTTATCATTATAAGTGATTCTTAAAGCCTCTCTGACCATTTCACCTCAGGATGCTGCTAGCGCTCCCTTTTCAATATTTAAATTACCTACCGTTCATCATCTCCCGAAGGTAATCCCAGTCTAATCACTATTATGTTCAATCATCTCAAGAATTCAAAATTAGGAATGGCGAGGCTTTTTTCCTTTTCCATCTCGAAATCCCTACCAAGTCTAGGCATTACACAGGCATCGATCCTCCAATCAAGAAAACCCAGGCCGTCTAATCATACAGAAAAGCAACCTTAAGTCCAGCCAGACGCAACGCATAGCAAACCTGTTCTCTCGTTGTGACTGGTCTTTCGTTGCATGTACAAGATACCAGATTCTAGAGGAGCCATATCTGAGATCATTTCATAAAAACCCATATCCAGATGTCGTTACACATATCCCTCCTTCGCCCCTACCAAATAGACTGATATACGAAGCTTCAAGTACGAGCCAGTGTCACACCTGAGAATATTTCTCCCTCAGTGAGAAAAGACGAGAGCCCCATGGCACGACCTGACGAATGATTCGCTTGGTTGACGCAAGATAGCATAGGAACGGTGGGAAAAGAACACATAGTTATCCACAGTTCTAATGGCTCCCAGCTGGTTCTCCATCCTCTTCCTTCCGTGTTTTATTTTTGAAAGTCAGAGGTCTTGATTTACCGGAATTGCTGCTGCTGAGCCATGGCGGCATTGTGCTCTTGAAAGCGTTCGCTCAGGCGCTGCGTGAGCGCCATGTGTTTCTGGACGCAGCGCGTGACGCAACCTGACTCGCGGTTCGAGAGGGACTTGGAGGTGAAGTCGTCGACGCATGACATGAAGCAATGATCAACGAGGTTGCTGAAGAGCTGTATGGAGTATCTCCGAATTAGAAAAATGTCGAAAACGTTATGAATGAGTAATAACAGATAGAGTTGAATTGTACATAGATGAATGAGTAGAAGAACGTACGTTGAGGAATTCTTTGACCTGGCGCTTCGCCATGCGCTGCTCCAGCTCGCGTGTCTCGGCTTGTGTGAGTCTGTAGCGTCGAGTCGAATTAGTTCTCGCATGCCCCCTCTCTCGCGTGGAATTGCCGATTGAAATGGCAAACATTGAATCAGTCAAACATACCCGTCCATGGCTGCTGTGTTTAGTCTGTGTTGGATAGATGCCGGACAAGTTGATGTTGGCGTGTTACTTGGGGTTGAAGTGAAGTGAATTAGATGTCGTCGCAAAAGTCGTAGCACAGCGGCAGTTACACACTACCTACACTAGAATCCTACTAACTGGGAGCTTCTTTCAACCAGGGCACAGATCCATCCTATCTCCGTCTATCGATTACGATAAGCCGGCGACAGATCTTAGGTACTGTGAAATCTACCTAAGAAATACATAGGTACCTAGTCCAGGTAGCTTTCGCGGGGCAGAGCCTGCGCTAAAACTGCCCGCTAATCGATTGGAATTTTTCGTATCAGCGTCGAAAAAATAACGGTATCGCAGCTCTCGATAAGAGATATCTTCACTTGGACCCTGGGATTCAACCTTGGAGAGTCGAACGTGCAATTCTCTAATTCACTCTCCGTATTCTCTTTTCCTCTCTCGAAATACAATCCGAGAAGGCAAAAGGGAACGTACACACTTGTCTATTTGTGTGTCCCAGCTGTGCACCCCAACGAGTCGAACTTCGAAATCGAAGCGAGCGCAAGAAACAAGACCACTTATACAGCAACAAGTAATTCAATTAGACGACAAGATGCCCAAGTCGAAACGCGCGAGGGTGATCCACGCCTCCTCAGTGACCAAAAAGACACGCGAGCACAAGGAGCGTCTGTTCGAGAACGTGCGCGAATGTATACCGCAGTACCAGCACTGCCTCGTCCTCACCGTCGACAACATGCGCAACACCTATCTCAAGGACGTGCGACAGGAACTATCCGATAGCCGGTTCGTGCTTTTTTCTTTCTTTCATTTCTTTCTTTCCTTTTCAAGTGAATACCAACCCAAAGCACATTCACCAAATAACTAATAACTAACTTGCTATGTGTATGTATATAGCCTCTTCTTCGGCAAGACGAAGCTCATGGCCCGCGCCCTGGGCCACACGCCCGAAGACAGCCAGGCCGACAACATCTACCAGCTGACGCCGTATCTCAAGGGCGCCGTCGGCCTGCTCTTCACGAACCGCGACCCGGCCTCGCTGCTGTCTTACTTCGGGGAGTTCAGCCAGGTGGACTTTGTGCGCCCCGGGGTGGCCGCGGCGCGGGAGTTCGTGGTACCCCGCGGGATCGTCATGAGCACGGGCGGCGAGGTCCCCGCCGAGCACGACGTGCCCATGGGCCACACCCTCGAGCCCGAGCTGCGCCGTCTCGGTGTGCCCACGCGCATGGTCAAGGGAAAGGTCGTGCTCGAAGAGGCTCCCGAGGGGGCTTCTGAGGACGAGAAGAGGGGCTACGTCGTCTGTCGCGCCGGCGACGTCCTCGACTCGCGCCAGACGAGGCTGCTCAAGCTCTTCAGCGTCTGCATGGCCGAGTTCCGCGTCCGCGTGCTCGCGTACTGGAGCGCCGCGTCCTCCGAGGTCACCAAGGTCGATGCGAATCCTGCTGGTGCCGCTGGCGACATGTAAGGGCTCGACGACGAGTAAGAATGTTTGGGGAGCAAAATTCTCATTCAGCATGCACATCCATCTACCTACCTACCTACCTACCTACCTACCTGCTTCCTGCCGGTCTGTTCTTTTTCTATCATGTTCTGGGTTCTGAAACTTCCTTTTTTTTGTTCATTGTTTAGGTCATAGCTGTATGCATCATCTCCATGGCGATACCAATGGTTGCTGGCGTTCATGGTTATTAGGCGGTTAGGAGAAAAGAAAAGTAAAGAATAAGTATATATTGAAATGACACGTATAATCACGATCTCACAATGGACAACATATGGCTACTTGACTAGTGACTACATTCGTTGTCTTGAGCAGTGTTTATTGCCTGGCCGGCAAACTAGTTAGCTTCTCTCTACCTCGTGGTTGCCTCTTGAGACCAGACATTGATAGTGAAGAGTTTATAGCTATGTCGAATCCGAATTGTTCAATAGCACGAAGACTAAGATTACAAACAGGGCCAACAGTAATCGAATACTACATATACGTACAATTCAAAGCAGTGTAGTAGGCATATGAGCGTTAAATTCAGTGTGCTGAACTATGTGTGAGTACCACATGAAAAACCTTTTTATAATACATGAGAACTGTCATTACCTTTCCTGCACGGGGATGGGAAGAAAACAAGCTCTCTGGCTTGCCGGGATTATGCTGGATGCTAATGGCCCTGCTGTTATTGAGTCGTGGACGTAGGTAGCCGATTCAGAACAGACCGCTTCTTGAGCAAGCCCCATCGTCTTTACCTTGAGGGTTGGGGTATTATAATGATACAAAGAGGCTAGGCTTGATGTCGATCTGCTGTCGGATAGATTGTTTTCATTCTTCTTTCTTCATCTTACCCTTGCTTACCCTTGGTGACAAAAGGTAGGGGAGAAGAATGGAAAGTCGGAATAGCAATTGCGGGAAACGGGAAGATAGCACATACCCACCAAGACAGCATATTGATGTCTCGATAAGAGGCAACCTAGTAAGAGACCTAGAAACCCTTGAGATCCTAGTAACGACGAAGCTTTCGGGGGTCCTCATAGCCGCCTTCGTACCCACGTTTCCGGTTGTCATCATCTCTAGAGCGGTCGCTGTCACGATACTCGCGTCGGTCGCGGACAGGCTCGAAGTTGGCGCCGGTTCGCCTGTCTCGGTCGTATCGCGACGGGGGTCCACCAGATCTGTCATCATATGAGCGGGGACCAGCGCGTGCGTTATACCCACCACCGCCGACGCGGTCACCACGGTCACTGCGGTCTCGATCACGTTCACGATCACCCCCAAACCGATTATCAGATCCCGGCCCAGCTGGGGCGTTGGGAGGAGCATACCCGTTCTGTTGGCCAAAGCCACGGTCACGGCCGCCACCACCAAAGCCACCACCGCCCCTAAAGCCTCGGTCTTGACCGCGGAAACCTCCTCCACGACCACGGGCTCCAGGGAATCCACCTCGGAAACCGTCGCGTCCTCCAAAACCACCACCGAAGCCACCGGGGCCACTCGGTCGAGGTGGTGCTGCCTTGGTATAACCTCGGCCACCAAGGCCGCCACCAAGACGCCTTGGCTTCCATCCCTTAACTGTTCGGCCTCTTTCCACATCTACCTTGATCCGGCGATCTTTGATACGAATACCATCACAACCATCTAAAGCAGCTAGTCACACGTGCGCAGCAACGCGCGTTTGTCAGTCAAGCCCAAAAATAAGATTCATACCTTCATGTCTACGCAACGGGGGGGGAATAGGGGAGAGATAGGCAAGCTTGAGGACCAAATCTCGAGTGAGAGAGACATGTATATGAAGATCCTGAGGATCGGTGTAGGCGGTTCTAGGGAATTTAATGGCAGTATTACCTCTCATGTCTTTCTCACGATCAAATACAACAAAAGCATATCCTCGGTGGGGCTTTTTCTTCTTGTTTGGCCGCTCGTGTGCGTGGGTATCTGTGATGATGCGGATCTGGATGCATGTCAGTGATATTTTTCGCAAGCATGGAGTAAATGGTGATGAGATTTGGGAGACGTACGCGCTCAATAGGGCCAAATCGGCCAAATTCCTTCTCAAGGTCACTTTCGTTCGCATCATAGCTTAGTCGCGCAACAATCAGCGTCTTAAAGGGGTCACCGCGAACATTTGCGTCTTCGGCGGGATTATCTGAGGCAAGTTAGCATGGACTAGGGTCGCATATTGTTGAAAAAAGATAAGGCCGGGATAGCAAGGGAGCTCACAGTTGTGGGGGCCGTCTGAGAGCAGTTTCTCCTGTTTCTCCTTCTTCTCCAACTTTTTACGATCACGGGCCTGCAGCCAGCTCTCCGTAGGAAGGTAGCCGTCGTTCTCCTTGTATGCGGCGAGGTGGGGGAGGTAATCAGCGAGGCCGGTGATCTTGGTCGTCTTTCGTTCTTCGGGGGCGTGGTCGGGCGCAGCCAGCCATCGTAATGGAGGCCGCGGCGCGAACAGCGCGAGGAGGTTAGGTGGAAGCTTGTCTGTCATTCTCTATGCGAAGAACTCGATATTGGCGGTGGTAGAGGTGGTAGAGATTTTCAAGACAAGAATATTCCAAAAGTCGATGTGCGCACTCGCATATTATGGAACACGCTAGGACTTGAGATGATCAAAAGGGACAGGTGAACGCGGCGCTCGATGAAAGAGACGAAATATGTGTCGCGTTCTTGGAGGCCCAGAAATTCTTGTTCAGGGCAATGGATTGCTTTTAGCCAGCTCTTATGCGTCATAACTGCATTGATTTTGCTCTCCCATCTGGATAAGTGCATATTGCAACACTTTTACATAGCATAGTAGTGTAGGGGGTATCTGCGACCAATGCGCCATGGCACTAGCACCTGTTGTACCTGGATCGCTGAGGCTTCCTTAAATTTTCGATAAGATTGCATCCGTCCGTATCACCGACTTCCGGACCACAGACCATAAAGATGACAATAAGGGCTTTGGAAAAGGTCTCTGTTGGCCAGGTACGTTGCATCATGTTAGAATTATTCTAATTTCTGGTCCAATGTCTCCAAGTAACACGCTAACAATGCGAACAGAATGGCGTCGGTGCCTTCATCCTGCAATGCAGGAAGATGGATATTCATTACTGCGACCAGTCTGGAAGCTCGAGAGGCATGAAGTAAGAAACTTGGAAGCAAACATTGCGAATCGGAAGGACTGACAAGATACCAGCGGTTTCATTAAGTCCCAGCTGTCCAAGTTCGCATCAAACAACCCCCAGATCGAGTTCGCCGTATCTCCTCGACCGCGGAAGCATCCAGTCCTCATTGGCCACTACATCAACGGCAAGCAGAAATCAATTTGCGTCAAGAACATGGATTCGTTGCAAATTTTGAAGAAGGTCGAGTTGCTTCGCGACGCCAGTGGAGAGAAGATAAAAAGAGTCAACAAACCAATCACAAGTGTAAACGAAAGTGTGCGTGGTGTATGGAGTCCCTACCATGGAAATGGTATGCCGGTATAGAGGACTGCATTACTGGCCAAGGAATCGGGATATGGTCGTTTGTATGACTACGTGATAGTAAATGTCACAGCATGGCGAGCACCTGAAATGTACGATAAAGGATTCGGCGCATATATCACGAACATTACAAGCTCAGGGGAGCACTACGAAGGAAGCATTTTTGCATTACGAAGACATTTTTTCACAACTCATCATTGAGCCCCGCCATGTTCAAATTTGGAAAGGAGGCGGCCACGGGGAAGGGGACTCGATTACATGCGTAGGTTGGTTGCAATTGCTACATGGAGCTAAGAGTTGATATAAGCAATAGGCAATCCCTTATCCGCTATATAGCCTCAAACGATATATTTGTTTCTGTGTCCTTACAATCTGCAGTTGATGATGTCGACGACTAAGTAGGGTTGATTAGCATGACAAACTTCCAGGTGATGCCGCAAAATTATATGTACTTACAAGCAGGCTTCAAACTGGCACCGCCGACCAAGAAGCCGTCAATGTCGTTCTGTTTGCTGAGGTCCTTGCAGTTCTTCTCGCTGACACTGCCACCATACAAGATACGGGTCTCGTCAGCGACGGACTGGCTAACATTCTTAGCCAACCAGTCACGGATGGATGCGTGGACCTCCTGGGCCTGCTCGGTGGTGGCGACCTTGCCGGTGCCGATGGCCCAGATGGGCTCGTAGGCGATGACGATCTTGCTCCAGTCGGAGATCTTGGCCTTAAGAGCAGCAAGCTGCTTGGCGATAACGTCGAGAGTCTGGCCGGCCTCACGCTGCTCGAGGCTCTCACCACAGCACCATATGACGCTGACACCGTTCTCGGTGGCATACTTGGTCTTGGCAGCTACGACCTCGTCACTCTCGCCGAGGATAGTTCGTCGCTCTGAATGACCGAGGATGGTCCAGTCAATGCCACTATCCTTCAGGTGCTGAACGGAGATCTCGCCGGTGAAAGCGCCGTTGGGCTTGTCATAGACGTTCTGGGCAGCGACGCCAATTTCCTTCTTTGCCTTTTCGCGAACGAGAAGAAGGTAGAGGGCAGGAGGGGCAATGACGGTCTCTGAATTGTTCAACATCAGGTTAGTCATTCAAAAAGTAGTCACTCGGGGCGCGTCTTACCAACGCTGGAGTCAAGCTGGGCCTTGTTCAGGTTCTCGACAATCTCAGTAATGGACGAGATGGACCCGTTCCTTGAACGCGCCAATTGAATTAGCTAGCTGCCAGTAAGACCTCTCAAGGAGTGAAGTCCCCTGATAGATGAGAAAGCGAGGGATTGTCTCACATCTTGAAGTTACCACCGACGAAGAATTTGCGCGCCATCTTGAATAATAGATTGACTACGTGATGATACTTTGAAGGAGTGGGATGAAGCTAACGAGTCGTCCTAGGACTGAATTTGAAGATATCAAGAGGCTAAAATTCTCTGGATAAAAGATGTAAAATACTCAAACTAGACTTTCCAAGTCGGGAGAGATCTGGAAATGGAAGACGAAGGTGAAGAGGTGAGGTAGACAAGAAAGTATTTGCGCGCGGGACCAAGATGACGTTCCGTAGCTCGCAAAATGGCGGGGTCCGGTTGCTGCAAGCTACCAGACTTTCTGAGCTCCGTAACCCCGCCAAAAGGCCCCCCAAGGTCAAAAGTCGCGCTCCCGTAGCATGCATCAATCATCGATCAGCCCTGCGCGAAAAAGACTCGCCCCGAGCCAGCCCTTTCATTTCCCGGCGCCCCAACAATGATGTCGCCTTGTGGATATACCTAAGTATCTTGCATCGTTGCTGCGTACATGTATGTTGTAGTTCTGTACTATGTAGGTCCAATCAGCACAGCCTATAGGCAGAGACCAGGTACTATAAACAATTATTAAGAACAAAAAAGAACGACTAATCATATGATAGTCATAGATTGCCCTCGAGTGCTCACCACAGTGCTCATAGTATACAACTTTCATCGTACGATAGTGGTCCCAATTCAAAAACGATTGGGACTTCGTATCAAACATGCCTACTATCTGTATGTTTCTACCTACGTAGTAATAAAAGTACACATGTAGGTGAGGTATATTACACGACTGCCAATTTTCTTGCGCGCATGTACTGGACGAGTCAAATCGACAGATGCATGTCAGCATGAATGATCCTTGAGCTGACAGATGTACTGAAGAATAGCCACACAGCGAATACTGATAGCGCAGACAAGAATCGAATGAAGCTCACTGCATAACTCACCAAGTATATCTAACAGATCTTGTTGACTCTGACGCTACCAGGAAGTCGGCCCCAAGACATGTCAACAGCCCTATGGAAGCATCTTGGAAAATTTTTGAATTCAGATAGGTCCTGTTATTTATTTATTGATAAGCGAGGACCTGATGTAGAAGGTAGAAATCAACTATTCGGTAAACTATTCGGTACCTGTATAAAATCATTGAATTGGTAATATCGGGGTTCTGTTTAAGTTGATAGCAGGCAGCAAATATAGGGTCAAGTTTCCTTAATACCTATACAAGCAATATAAGAGCATAGGCTTGATTGACAATGGTATTTGATTGTGATATATACACACGGCTATCTATTGAAGCATTGCATCTAGGCTTTCCCCTAGAACAGTTTCGATTCCCACGATCCAGCGATTCGTCTCCCTTTCCACATCTTCGTCGTCATCTTCTTGTAATTCGCTAATATAGGGTAACATTTCCGGCAACATAGACAGCCACTCCTCTCCCAGCTTGTCTGTGAGTGCTTGTTGGCATTTTACCACAGCGAGACGCACGGGCGCATGTCCAGAGCGTAAGCTCTTCAGAAGGGAGGTATTCAACTCTTTCTGGTGCTCCTGAGAGTCTGCAGTCGCAGCTAATTCGACAATAGCAGGAATCAGCTCCTTCGTCAGGTCAACTAAAGGAGCGTGGGCGAACTGTGATATAAGGACAGGTGCAACAGCGCTGAAGTGCGCTGGCGCTTGCCAGAACTCGTCCTGATCGTGCTCAAAGCACTGCGCCAAGACCTGTAAGGCTTTTCGCCAGAGCTCACGTTCATCTGCACTTGCGGGGTTGGCTGTTTTGAGCACACCAGCGGCGCCCTCAACAACATAAGTTGCGTAACTGGTTACAATGGATTTGAGGTTGCCGAAGAATGTTAATAGGAAACCGTATACGCTGAGAAGCCGAAGATTCTTCCCAACAGTGTCCTTTTTCGGCACTCCTGTCGACCATTCCATTAGCTGAGAGAATATAGGCCGGAAGGCAGCATCATTCAGCTTATAGACCATCCTAAGTGCGACATTGTTGATAATTTCCTCGACCTGGCCAATGTGTCTTACAAACTCGCTGTCAATGTTATTCTGTGAGTGAAGTAGCCGACGAAGGTCAAGGGCGTTGAGGAAAATAGAGGACAAGATGGTGACATTCTTCGAAATGTCAGCTTTCGAGTGTTTATCGATTGCAATCCCCAAGACATTGAGATATTCACGTGTAGCCTGAACCGACGAAATTGTTAGCGGGTTCCTTTGATCGCCTTTCTGTATTCTTACCGTGTGGCCAGCATCGGCATATGTGCTAAAATTCTTATCGAGAGCCATGAACATGGTTTTAGCTTCAATTTGTTTAGCAATAAAATGAAGGCACTGCAAACGAGCATCGTTGGCTTCCTTTCCCATTCTTGCTTTAGCTGAGGCGCTAGAAGCTGCTAATATTTGTCCCAAGTAGGATCCTGACAACATATATGGTAGGTATTGTGCAAGCGCTGTGACGAAGGCGTATGCAGCATTATGAAGCTCTGGAAGTTGAGAGCCGCCAACAATACTTTCAGATATATAAGTAAGGGCCTTCGGAATGGCCGATGGGAGTACTGGCACGATGCCGTCTTGAAGGACATCAACCAACGAAGCCAGGCATAACAGGGCCATGACGCGAAGTTGCAAGTCATCTTGGCCCAGACATTGGTCCCCAGCAATGGTTGAGGCAGCAGCTGCCACGGCTTCAGGATCCTTTTTGCCATACTTCTCGGAAATCTTGTCCACGCAACCAACTGCAATGTGCTTGTATGCAACATCATCTGAAACTCTAATAATCTCTGTAAGCTGAGGTAAAAAGGCGAGTAGTGCTATTCTTGAGCTGCCATCGGCTTGGCTCTCTTGGTTGATTCTCACTTCGACAGCCTTCAATACCTTGCGACGGAGAATTGTATCTGGCCGATCAAGTAGCGTCTCGACTGCCTTGATAAATTCACCGATTGAGAGAAGGTTCAAAAGTTTAGAAAGCGCATCGCCGCAGCAGTTATATAATGATTTGCGCTGTTTCAATGAATCTGCTAAGACTAATAAGTCCTCCAGCAGTGTAGAGTACAGCTCACGAATTTTAGACGCCTCCATGTCATCTCGCTCGGCTAGCTTGCTGATCTGGGTTGTCAACTTCCTGCTCGAAAGCAGGCGCGGGAGCAAGGTTAATTCGCTTAGACCCGTTTTTTCCGGATCGCGTTCACTTTGATCGCTTGCGCCGAGAAGTACAGCAGAAATATTTGGCCGTGGTTGGAAAATATCATTTATCAAGTTAAGAAGCTTGATCAGAGACTGAAGCTGGATTTCAACAGTAAAGTAGTTGAAGACCTCGGTGGCGAACGACAGGACTTGGTCAGTGGGACTGTACATGTTGGTAAGCATGGCGAGAAGCGCAAATAGGAATTCTCTAGCATCAAGAGTCTCTATAAGAGAGACAAACAAGCCAAGTCTTCGATGAGAAGGTATATGTTCATAGGCGGTCACAAAGCTGAGAAGCAGCTCAGACGAACCAGCGAGAGGGCTGATCTTGCCTTTACGAAGGGACTGGATCAAGGGGGGAACAACTTCTTTGACTGTTTGATTAATGACATGGGCAGAATAGTCGTCGCTCTGTCGAAGAACTGATGTACCCATTTGCGTGAAGATCGGCATCACACTATTCAGTACCAGATCAGGGGCAACTTTGGCAAGACTTGCAACAAGGAGCAAGGCGGTGCTTTGGACAGCAGGGCTCGATGATTTCTGAATGCAACTGACAAGGAGGTCCCCATGGCCACCCGTGCTGTCAATGGTGAGGTCTGCATTGTCTTTATATGCAGGAACCATCGCCAGGAGGCTTCGAAGCACGAGGCTTTGAAGATATCCAAGCTCCGAACCCACCAAAGCACGGAAATGTTGAAGCTCGGACAATGTATTGAAGAGTGCGTTGAGAAGTTCGGGATGCGTTTCGGGATTGGATCCCTCCACTAGCTGTAATACGAAGGTAACTTGCTTTAGTGTCGCGGTTACTTCTGGCGTCGCCTGGGTACCTAGCCCTCGATGAGTCTCTGAGGAACTGGTTCGCCTTCGTTTACCTGGTGGGGGCTCGTCTGCCATCTTAGTAGTTGGCTCCAAGGTTTCCAGAAAGAATAATAAGATGTCAGTTGTAAGCTCTACATTTCGTAAAAGATCAGCAGCCTCTGTAGAGGCTAGGCTGCGATGGTCTGACCAGTCCTTCTGCGTTAACTCTAACATTCTCTGTGCCACAATATGTTTTGTCTCCGTCTTCATGCTCGGCCATAGATCCCGGATGCGAATGAAAGCAGCATGCAGGAATTTATGTCTTGGCAGAATCTCTTTAGTTTGGATCGCATCTAGAATGAACTCAAGACCCTCTTTCTCATTTGGCAAGAGTACTTCGAGGCTGCTCTGGTTTACCGCCGATTCCTCAACTTTCTCAATTGAGCATAGCTCACGAGCCATGTCAGCCGACAAACCAGCCCACTGTTTTAACAGTGGAAGGAGAAGCTGGGTGCGAGATATCCCTGATATGCTCTTCACTTCTCTTAGGCATGACCCGAGACGAAGTTTTAGGATCAACAGAGGAGAGTAAACGGCATGCAGTGCGAGGAATGCTAGAATCGAACGCCGCGTACCATGTGAAAATCGGGCTTTTTTGTCGCTTTCAGGCTGTTGTAGAGAACTCCTGGAGCCGCTGTTCAATGCATTGTTCGTCATCGCAATAATATAATCTGCGTTTAGCACACATTCTTCCAACGAAGGAAGAAGGACCGTGCGAACGAACTTCTGGCAAGTATCAAGATCCATCCACTCGAGAGACTCGGTTTTATCGTAAAGAGTCTCCCGTCCCCATTTGTGTGCCACAGAGGCAGCATCAGCGTAAAAGCTCCCCAGAACAGCAATGAGATCTGCGGCGGCTCGCCGGACCTTTTTAGAAGGGTCATTCAAAGCTGCTATGCCGTATGGGAAAATAGCTTGATAGTCGACACTAGCACAATCATTCTCCTTCAGACGATTCTTTGCCATATCGAGAGCACCAACTCTGGCAAGAGTCGGATAAGGCCCACACCAGATTCTCATGAGAAACGAGAAGTAAAAAGGTTCTTTGTTAGCCTGCTCGCGGTGAAGAGGCGGAATCTCGTCGAAGATAGCAACATTGCCCGGATCCGCTAGCCCAGTCAAGTAGACAGCGCAAAGATCACCAAAAATATCCAAAGATCTTGATCTCAAGCATGATCCAGCCGCTTGCGTTTGAACTTGGCTAACTCTTTCAACAGCAGCCTTGAAGCTCTCAGTTTGAGGCTGAGCATCAATGCTCTCCTGCATCTCGACATCGTTGGTCGGCGGTGCAGGTAACAGTCGCGGACGGATTTGAATATCTAGTCTCATCTCCAATTCATCCAAATCAACTTGTGTATCGTTGATAGCTTGGGTAAAGACATCACGAACGTCTGACTCGACTTGAGAGAGCCGGATGATTGTAGACGCCAGATTCTTCCGAGCTTCACCCTGTTCATCAACGTGGTCATCCACTTTGTAAGCAGCTAGTAATAATGATTTGAAGATAACACCGGCTTGCTGCTGACTTAGAACGGAGGCAAGTAGAAGCGGCTCGATGAGAGGGAGGCCCCTGGAGTCGCCTTTCTTACAGATTCGATCTATCAATGCAAGACACAGGCCATTGGCTAACTTTCCTAGGTCATGATCCTTGCCAATATCGGCGAGCAGCTCAGGCAAATTTTGAACTTTTAACAAGGCTCTTGTCACCTTCGCCGACATTTGTTTTGCGGATCGGCGTTGGGCAAGAATCGAAAGGCAAACCAATCCAGGACGCAGACTATCTGCAGTCCATCCTGCAACAAGCTGTTCCATCAGTGCACTGATAGTGCCATCGTCCAAGTCACCCTTTGCGACATACACGGTAACCACCATGTAACAGGCGATTTGCAGACTAGGAACTTTGGACATAATTAGAGCATCCCTAATAGTAGGTCCTATCAAGTGAAACAAAGTTTGGTCGTTGCTTTTCTGTATGGTACTTCGACCAGATCGCCCTTTGTCCAATATTCCATTAACGGCTTCAGTCATAATGCCAGCCCAGAATGATATTAACGCGGGGTATTGCTGTTGAGCGCGGCATGTGTCAAGTGTATATGTGGATAAGGTGGTGAGGAAGTCTGGGTAGTGTATGGCTCGGTGGACCAAAACTGCTCGTGGAGGCGATATCAACGACTTGATATAAGGGTCCAAGAAACTGTAGACTTGCGGGAGATCTTTTGGGAGTATAGAAAGTAAGGTGACAAAAGCTGGAATGGTGTGGTATGGCAGGAAAGTCGTTAGAATAGTCGTTGTGTTATATTCATGAATCCTAGAAGGGAATTACTGTTAGCACACAACTCGAAACGAGGTCTGCCTTTCTGGACTCACCTGAACCTCCTGATAAGCCATTCGATTGCTTTTATAGCAGGCATGAGCCGCAGGCGAGCGCCAGCGAGGTGAAGAAAAGAATCTACCCTTTTATCAAGCTCAGCATTTTCGGCCTCAGTCATCTGAATGCGATCTTCATGCTGGCTCTGCTCGCTGAAGATGGTAGTCCCAAAAGGAACAAAGCGAGGGTCGAGTTGGCAGAGCTCATCGAAGCCTTCGCGACATATTCCGTAGAGAGTCTGGAAGCTCTGCGATGCGGCCACTCGGGGTTCAAAGATCAACGACTTCGAGTGCGCGGCCTTCTGGGCTTTAACGTCGAGAGATGTCTTCGACTTTGCGGCGATTTGCGCCAATTGGGCAGCTAACGCTGTCGCCATGGTTCAGTTATTCCTACGGGTATCTCGACATCTGAAGACTCGAGGCGACGCCGACATGCGATTTTCTGACGCCCTACCAACCTAAAAGTTCGAAAACACGGATGCTGCTGGTAAGTCTTGACCCGGCAACTTTTTTCCCACGTCGGGTACTATCGATAAGGATAGCTGCTCGACGTTGCCGTAGGTGTCTTGGCAGCAGTACTTGGTATCGGAGTTTAGCCAACTTACCAATGTGGGTATGTAAAGTAGTACCGGTACATATGTATGGGTACCTACTATCTCAGCACAAACCTGCAATCTACAGTGTCCCTCTCTCGCCTCTGTACCTGCTGCCATTACCGCGCTAGTATGCTTTAAGCAATACCTGGACGACAGGGGCAGGTCAGCAGCCTTTCACCCGCTCCGATAACCGTGGGAGATCTAAGATACCAGGTTGCATCATACACCAAGGGTACCTATCGCTTCGACTTCATTAATTATCTGTCTGCGCGTATATTAGCTAGACGAACGTGGACATACATGCAACCGGTGTCATTCGTGTTGTGAAACCGGCACATCTTATTTTCCATTTTCGTGTATGTGAATAAGATCCTCATCCAGGCACTGAGCAGGCAGGTGAGTGGTACCTGCGTTGGTTGTCTCACTTTCCACCTACCCCTCCATGGATGTTCTGACCCTGACTTACACTGCAAGATCAGGCGCACGGCAACAGTTTGCAATTCCCAGCACGTTCGAACCAACGGTTTACGCATCTCTATACCAGTATATCGAAACTGTGTAATTTGCTTGAAAATGGCTGTCAGTATGGCTCGTTGTTATTCAATAGTTGTCGCCCTTTTATTTTAGCCTTTTCAACTCGGTCCCATCTATCAGCTCTAACCCGTCGCAGAAACCATACAACCAAATCGTACTATTTGGCGATTCGCTTTTCCAGTTGTCGAGCGAAATAAACGACGGGTTTTCGTTTCAGGGCGCCCTGCAGCATCGTGAGTGGCATGCACACTGATCCGCCCAGTGTTCACTTCGGGTCGTGTTAACATGGGTTGTGTGCAGTTTGCATGCGCGGTCTCGATGTGATCAACAGGGGTTTCTCAGGCTACAACACCAAAAATGCCTTGGAATTACTTCCCCAGATATTTCTTCCACCTTCCCCTGCCAACCCGCGCATCGAGTATTTGGTACGCTGCAATGATGATTATCTCCATTATGCTGGATGTTCCGACTTGTTCCTCGATGTTCCTCGATGTTTAAACACTAATTGTAGGCGGTTGCAGCTTGTACTTCTAGGTGCAAATGATGCGTGCTTGGATACTCCAACCACTACCCAGGGCGTACCTCTTGAACAATATAGAAAGAACCTGATCGACAGTAGGTATAGCTTCAATCGCCGTTTGGTCATTGTAGCCACTGTGACGGCTTGTCTTTCAGGCTTTTTGATACTGATTTAATTGTAGTTATCACTCATGAGCATATCAAGGCTCACAACCCAAAGATCCTATTGGTAACGCCTCCGCCTCTTGACGAAATGCAAAGTTTTGTCACCGATGTCGAGAAAGGTCACAAAGAGCCGACCCGGAAGGCTGCCGTCAGTGCCCAATATTCCGAGACAGTTCGCCAGATCGCCGACGAGGTGCCTGGCATCATACTGGTCGATCTGCAGAAGGCTCTTATGCAGAAGGCGGTTTCCATGACCCCCGACTATGACCCATCCGGCCCTCCCTTGGGATACACGGAGGGCAAGCGCGGTGCTCTAGAACAGCTCCTTCCAGACGGTTTGCATATGAGTGGCGAGGCGTACAAGGTGCTATTTGATATTGTTAAACCACATATTTCACTCCCAGAGGATTACTTTGTCTACCCAGACTGGCGAATCAGTGAGTAGCTTGGCCTGTCTCCCATTCTGACTCCGTATGGCCCTCCTATCCTGAGTGATAGATAGCCTTGACTTTATATATACTCATCATGGGAGATGCTGGCTAACAGATCGAATATAGTGAACCCCGGCAAGAATGGCGAGATAGTGAACTAGGTCTAGTAGATAAAATCTACGAAGTAGTTGGTGCTTTATCGAGCCAATTTTTTTAATTTTTTTTTTATTTTTTTTTTTAAAGTTGGGGTTCATGCATGGTAATGGTGACAAAGACAAGACGGGGACAAGGCATTGTAGACTCTCAGCGCCAGCCTCGTGGTTGGCAGAGCAAAACCCGGATGAGTACCAAATCGATTTACTGTCTTATACATGTAATTATCTTCAAGCGGTACTTACTTCGTAGTATACAGTACCTATACATGCGGCACACTGCGGCATTCCATAGCTCCAACCTACGCTACAGTAACGGTCTTATTCAGTCGACGGTAGTAGGCATCATGGGAATGCTACTGAGCCGGTACTAACCAGAAATGGGATGCCTCGATCCCTGTCTGCGCCTCCCGCCCCTGCTAGCGCTTCCCCCCAGTCACACCCGATTCAACAGTCGCCCTACTAGCATGCGGTAGGTAGCCTGTACTTCGAGTACTCTCGCAGTACCGTTTACTACGGACGGTATCTATCTTCACCATGGGTACTTCCCCAGTTCCTCGTCTGCCCAGGGCTGAGTGGGATTGCAGAGCCATTGGAAGGTTACGTATGTACATGTAGGTTCTTGGTGATGTATAGGTACATCTATCACTTCATGTGCCGCTGTTACATGCTTCGTCAAGGGCAAAGTACCTACTTATGTAGGTAGGTACTAGGTACTATCCTGACAATGCGAACCTGCGGATGTCTTGTGTTTTATTTCACGAAAGGTCATTACCAACATCAATCACGGTCCTGCTGTACCTCATCTTGATACCTCATCTTGATACCTCATCTTGATACCTCATCTTGATCTCAGCTGTTCGGTCTGCAACCTCGCCCAGCTTTAGAGGATCCTATCTGGTCCTATCTCGTCAAATCACCCTGTACCCCAGACAGTTTGACCCTCACTGCCTTGTCGTGCCTTGCTGTGCCTTGTATCATCACTTGCAGTCACCGGGTTTGCCTTCACGTTTACATCCCTACTCCTACTTACCTACCTACCTACTTGTGTCCCTCCACGTCTTCCCTGGCTTTCTCCCTCTCTCCCTCTCTCCTCCTCCGCCTGTCTGGTCTGCAGCCTGTATCTCTTTTTCTTACAATAGGTACCATATTATCTTGGCCTCTGACGTTGCCATCGCCGCAATAGCCGCCCGCACTACAAGGGAAATTCAATCGACTTAGTATAACCAGCCCAACACACTACTCTGTACCTGCCTCTTCCGCCTTTCTAGCAACCTCCGGTGCTGCATTGGAAAACCCCCTTGACGGGAAAGACTGTGCCTCGCTCGGGTCAGCCTGTAATAACTTTATCGCGAAGATTGGTCCCAGCACTAAAATCTTGGAACACTGTTCTTTCTTAGACCTTCTCGACGAAGTGCTGGACCCCTCCATTTAGCTACCACTACTCTATATACGCGCGTTCAAGGTCTGTGACAGGAGGACGGTCTTGCAATCTTGCGTTGGCGAAGTGACCATTGGGTCCTCTGCGATGAGGAGGTGGTGGTGGACCTCATCGATCGGAAACTCAGGTTCGAGGGCCATAGCATCTACTTCCTGATTCCGAATATAATCAACTGCGTCTCCTTATCAACCCTCGAGACTTGCTCACATTGTTTGCCGTACGCTATGAGCCGTTGTTCCAGGTCCATCGAACCTCAAGTTTCACGATCTCGCTGCCATTAAGCTCCGTCCGCTTCCTGCGAAGCTCCACTCCGTTTCAGTATACCCTGTATCTACCATCTTGCCCACAGTAATCTCTATATATCGCCAATCTGGTGTGGGGATGGATCCTCGTTTTCCGGCCACGCGCGAGGAGCTTTACAATGTCCAAATGGACGTCAAACAAATACACATTGTACAGAATAACCATGCCGACAGACTCTCCCGCTTAGAGAAGCGACAAGCCGATGATGCCGCCATCAAGTCAGTTTGGAACTCTCCATTCCCAAGCGCTCTGAGTGGCACTCCGCAGCATGGTAAGGAATCATCTAAACAACACTCATCAAAGAGCAGAACTCTGATATTCCTTTTGTATAGGCCCGATACAAATGCCTCCAAACGAGATATTTGACGACTTCGAAGAACAAGGCCAGAATCTCCTGGGCAGCCTACACCTTGACGCCGAAGATGAACCAACAAGACGGGGTGCCGCTTCTAGAGCCAACAGCGTCCGTTTCGATGAAAGTGCCTTGCAAAGCGCCAGCTGGGCACAGAACGGTCGGCAATCGGGGGATTTCGGTCCCATACGACCTGGTAGCGGATTAGGTACCCATGGAATGATGGAACGTTCACTATCACATAAGTCGGATGGCAGACACAGCTCAGCCGGCCACTCGGTGCATTCAATCCACTCCCACCACTCGGTCGCTTCTGGCCGGGGAAGTAGTCTAGGTCTGGATACAACCTTTACACCTGGTGGCCAGGAAGAAGATTCTCCGGTGGGCATTCCAGAACCACCGCCGAGCTTTTACGTTCTCGGCTCGGTTCCGTCGATCGTTAGGTGCTGGCTGACGCCCAACTTTTCTCACGACACTCTCCTGTATGCAGATATATGTACCGGATCACAAAAGTCTATGATAGAGTTCTCCTTGGTTAAAGACTTGGACTTGGTAGATGATATCCACCGAGATTTGGACGGAGTCTACCGCATTCGACTGCATGTGTATCTCACAGAAGCAACTGTGGCCCATTCTAATCCGCGAGGCCTTAGTCCTGCACCCCAAATGCCAAGCATGGGTTGCACGTTCGAAATAGCTGGTATGGATCAGCCCGACATTCCAGACGCAAAGAGGGTAATCCGCATTTTCATTGGGAGCGAAACTTTGAGAGAACACTCGGCGGACGTTCTTTTCTCACAGAATCGAATGACTCTGTACAGCGGCGATCGCGAAAAGTTGTCGGTGCCATTCGTACGCCCGGAAGACCATGGGGCTTTTAAAAACATTCGTACCATGGCTATTTACACCGAAAAGCCCAAATTGAACGCTACAGCGCGCCCGTTCATTCTTGGCGAGACCAAAACGCCACTGGCCAGTAATGTAACTTCCGACTCAATGCCCGTTAAATCGGCTCAAGACGGGCCAGAGCCCCAAGAAGCAAACACACCCAATTCAGAGCAAGCAAATCAGCAAGCTATAACCGCAGACAATAGTACCGTATCTGAAAGTGGAGGCGAGAGCGAGAAACTATCTAAAGAGAACGGCTTGCACGAACACGTAGGCATTCAAGATAGAGAGCCTCAAACCCAAGCTCCGGATACCTCGATTGATGGGGCTCGTCGCGCATCAGGACCAAGCAGTATTTGGAACTCATGGCGCCAAGGAACAGCTACCAATGGTGGCGATCAAAAAGACAGCACGCCTTTGAGCGGATACCAACCGGCGGGACGCGGTCGCAACATGAAGGTTCTCAAGCCGATGAAGCCATCGTCGTCGTCAACTTCAACTCGGACGGGAGCGTCCTATGAGCCGGCACCGCTGGCTAGGAGCAGTGGCGAGCTACGACGGAAGAGTCAAGGGGTAGCAGAGGGGAGTGCTAGTAACGCAATCCGCTGGGAGCAGAAGAGGACATCAATTAGCGGAGCAGAGTCCAAGGCAGTTCCAATAACCCGGGAAGCTCGGAGTGTATCCAGTACACCTCGGACATCGACCAATCCAGTTGGCGGAGCATCGGCTTTTTCGTGGATGACACCGTCAAGCAAGCCTAAGACTCCGACAACAGCACCTGACTAATCCATTTGGTACGCGACAAGACCAATTGTTTGTAGCTTTGGGCCAGTGCTGTTCAGCCTCGCCCCATCAATTTTGATGGCTTCTCCTAGCTAGCAATATTTGAGTTTAGAAAAAAATTCGAAAATTTATTAAAAAGTATGCATTCGCCGAGGGGTGACACATTGAAACCTGATAATTCAAGTCGCCGCGTATTATATATATATGTTCGTGCCTTCATCAATCATCTCCGTTTCTCGGCTACATGCAAGACCGGGCATGATGTAACTGCAGATGGCGCTAACTAATACAGATAGAATTAGAGAGTTAAAAATATAACTACTATGTAAATATAAATGACTAAGATAGCCTTGCTGCTTGTAACAACAACAACAACAACCTCGAAGTTCGGCAGCCCAAGCGTGGAACAATAGAATGGAGAGACTCAACGTTGACTACTCAGTCTATCTAGTAACGGACTCAACGCCCGCCATCCTCGGCGACAAGGACATTTGCGAGGTCGTTGAGGCGGCATTGCGGGGCGGTGTTAGCTGTGTGCAATACCGGGACAAGACCAGCGACACAGGGCTGCTGGTCCAGACGGCACGCAAATTACACGCTGTCACGCAAAAATACAACGTTCCACTGCTCATCAACGATCGGGTCGATGTGGCCCTCGCCGTAGGTTGTGAGGGAGTGCATATCGGGCAGGATGATCTAGGTACGTGCGTATGATGAGTCCCGTCTGCCCTGCCAAAAGCGGCCTTTCAAGCCTTGAATTCCCGCTTTCGTGCGTAAATGCGGCCTATCATTGGATGACCCCGAAAAGCAAGCGTGAGCGCACAGAAGCTAACGCATTCCACGGCGGCCTACTACGATAGATATCGAATCGGCAAGAAAGCTTCTCGGCCCTGACAAGATCATCGGCGTCACGGTCAGCAACGCCGGAGAGACGACCGCCGCGTGCGACGGGGGCGCCGATTACCTCGGCATCGGGACCGTCTTTGCTACGCTGACGTGAGTCGAATCCCAGTAAATCCTTTGGGCTGTGCTCATTAGAACCCCTGCTTCTCCTTGGCTATAGAACTAATTGAAAGCGCAATATATTTTATAGCAAGGAGAACACGAAGAGCATCATTGGCGTAGATGGCCTACAGCAGATCTTACAACAGCTCGCGCAGGCGAACTCGGCGGTCAAGACCGTTTGTATCGGTGGCATTAATGCGTCCAACACCTCTCGCGTCGTCTGGCAGAGCTCCGTTCGCGGCAAGTCGCTCGATGGCATCGCCGTCGTGAGCGCCATCATGGCCGCTGCAGATCCGGAGGCTTCAGCGCGGGAGTTACGTCAACTCGTCAAGGCGCCGCCTGCCTTTGCCAAGAGCGTAGTCGCAGCAGACCAGCAAGCCTTCTCTCCGGAGATACTGATTGATACGACTCCAGAAATTATTCGCGCCGTTTCTGAAGGAAAGCCTCTTTCTCATAATATGACCAACCTCGTGGTGCAGAACTTCGCCGCCAACGTTGCCCTGTGTGTCGGCGCGAGTCCGATAATGGCTAACTATGGCGAGGAGGCTAAAGATTTGGCCAAGTTGGGCGGTGCGCTCGTCATCAACATGGGAACCGTCACACCCGAAGGGTTAGAGAATTATGGCAAGGCACTCAAAGCTTACAACGCAGTTGGAGGGCCCGTAGTTTTCGACCCAGTTGGGTGAGTTAGACTGATCTTTTACTCACGCGCTTCAGACAAAGATTTAACGTAATATTCACGGATCTAGTGCCGGGGCTACAGCTGTTCGAAAAGCTGCTACCAAGACCATCCTCGGAGGCGGCTATATCGATGTCCTGAAGGGTAACCGGTCCGAGATCCTCTCCTGCTTACCAGGGGGCTCAACGGTGCAACAACGTGGCGTAGACAGCGCAGAAGGCGAAGTGAACGTCAAGGAACTTGCATCAGCCATCAGAGAACTTTCCATTCTCCGGAAGAACATCGTGATGGTGACGGGGAAGACGGATTACATCACGGCCGGACGGCACGTCTACGCGATCAGCAATGGTCACGAGTACCTGGGCATGGTCACCGGTACGGGCTGTTGCCTCGGGACAACGATATCTGCTATGATCGCGGCATACCCCAGTAATAAACTCAATGCCGTCATTGCTGGTGCATTGTTCTATAACATCGCCGCTGAAATAGCGGCTGAGAGGGACGACGTTAAAGGACCGGGTACCTTTGTGCCGGCTTTTCTGGATGAGCTCTACAATATCCGAATAGCTACGACCAAGGGAGATATTAGCTGGCTTGAGAGAGCGAGAGTCAGTATATTGGATATATAGGCGACACGGACATGAACACAGACGTTGGACATGATCTAAATATCTTTTTACATATGCACTTATATGTAGGTAGGGTATATACTGGGTAGAATAGTGAAGTCGTCCTCCAAACTGTCAAATTAGCCATGTATGGGAATGAGTTAAGCCAAGCAGGGCGCAATCAGATTCCAATGATATACAGTATCAATCAATTAAATAGAATGCTATTTAAGGTGAGGAGCTTAGCGATAGATATACATCAGCAAGGGTGCGTATCCTGTACCTTGATACATCATTGTACAGTACCCCGCCCCCGCATCGATATCCATTACCCCGGTAGCGGATACCTAGAACTACACCTTAAGCCATGTAGACCAAGTACCTAGCCTCGAGCGTACGTACATATCATCCGTCTCGCCGACATCACGCTCGAAACTCGGAATCTTCCTATTCTATCTAGGTAGTGCTTAAGCCTGTAAGGAACTCATAGCAATTTGCTTAGAGACATCGGGAGCGTGACACCTGGCGCATCCATGAACTTTGCACGAGCTACATCAAGAGCACAAGCGACTATCCGAATCACCCCTCCGCCATTCAGATTGAATCCCGCTCTGCCTCGCCTTGGCCCGAGATTCTCATCCACCATGGCGCCATCAAAGCGACTTCGTGAGTGAAATCATATCTCATCAACAAACCAATGCATTATTATTATTACATATAAGACTAATAATCACTTCGTTCACAGAGAACCAGGCCATCTTGTTAGTAGTACACCTGAAGGCCCCTGTCTTCTCATCATGTCTTGAAACCGTCACACAGTAATCTAGCGTGTGAACAGTGATCATGATTCTGCCAGGAACTGGTGTTTACTAATGTCTCAAAAGTGTCTGTGATCCGCAGGAGAAGTTCCGCAACGCAATCTGGCAATTCGACAAGATGTACGTACCGTAACCCCTTTATCATCAACGGCCAAAAGGGGTCAGTCAGGCCGTACCCCCTTTCCAGCCAGAAAACAGAAGCCCGGATAGAGATCTTATCTCGTCTCCTTTAGTAATTGACTAACCGCGTCCCAGCCTCCTCACCACTCAAAAAGTCCTCCGCGCAGCGAAGATCCTTCAGATCCCCATCGTCGTAACGACGCAGAACAGGGCCAAACTAGGCGACATCGCGACAGAACTGCAACCCCTGACGCAAGACGCGGCCATAGATCTAGACAAGACGTGCTTCAGCATGGTCGTGCCGGAGATAGCGTCTCACGAACTTCTAGCGTCCAAGCCCGCCGTCGTCATCGTGGGGATAGAGAGCCACATCTGCGTCACGCAGACAGCGCTCGATCTCCTCGCGCGGGGACACCGCGTGTATGTTCTCGCCGATGGTGTCAGCAGCTGCAACGAGCAGGAGGTCCCCGTAGCGCTGGCGCGGCTGCGTCATGAAGGTGTTGTCGTGACGACCTCTGAGAGCTGGTTGTATGAGACCATGGGGGATGCGAGCATTGCCGAGTTCAGGGATATCGCGAAGCTGGTTAAGGAGACGAGTGCTGATACGAAGACCGCTCTTTCGGGGCTGTTGAGTAAGATTTGAAGAATTTATGATTTTACTTCTTTTACTTGATCTCTGTTATTGTTTCTTGTATCTTGATATCTCAATGTTGAATATGGTTTAGAGGGCTACAATATCCAAAGATGTTTTTCTCCCGTTCTGGAAATAATAGTAGTATGTTTGCGCACCAGATAAGGGGCGTGAGCAAAGCTCAGGGAAACGCTACATGTTCAACGTAGATATTAGATGAAACATTTATTTAGATATCTCATCATCAGCTCGGTAACATTTCGTATATATGGCGTCATATAAGTGAAATAATTTTCAGCCCGTTTCCCGAATGCTTTGAGCGCACTAATGAGATGGCATCCGCGCATAACAACGCCCTCACTATCTACGCAGAAGGGGCCACAGGAGCAGGAATGTGATACGTGGTAATCGACCTCGCCGCCACCGTACCGCTGAGCGTCCCATCAGCCGCAACCGAGACAGTAGTTTTCGCGCAATCATGCGAGGCATCCGTGACCCATGCAGAAGCCTGCGTTGCCGCCGCTGTCCCACCACTAACCTTGACATTGACGTTACTCGCAGATCCGCCGGTGGAAATCACAACAACGGCAATACTCCCGTCGACGTTCTTGAAAGCCGTGCTCTTGACGCCCGAGCCTCCCGACGTGGCGACGCGGATCGCGCCGGGGCGAACGAAGCGCGACCAGCTGGCGAATGCCCATAACCGCTTGGATACTTCGATGTTGTAAGGCGACTGCTGGTCTACTTTGATCATCTTCTCGTTGGTGTTGGGCGAGGGCCACTGTACGCCCTCCCAGTACAGATACCCCGAGACCTGCGTCGCGGTCACGGCATTGAAAATATTGTTAGCCCACGTGTACCCGTCGCCGGCGCCGCCGTTACTATACCACGCCGTCGTCCAACCGCCGTTAAGGTCGCATTGCTCCGAGAGCCAGACGGGCACCTTGGTGTTCATGGGGGAATTGCTACCGCCCGTGTACGTGTGGGAAGTCACCATGGCTAGCATCGATTCTGCACCTGCGGACTTGATGGCATTGAGCATGTTGACTTGGTTCCCCCATCCCTCGGACTCGCAGCACCCGATTCCGACTTGTGAGGTCAGGTTTGCGGCCTTGAGGGTTGCGTATAGGACTTTGGTGAAGTCGGCTGCTTGTGCACCGTTTGAGCTCATGCCTGCCTGTCCAATTGTTAGCATTCTATTTTCGATGCCGATTCTGCACAGTAGCTCTCTAAGGATCCATCTATGAGAGACAACAATTTCGCCAGCAGAGAGAATGAGGTGTTATACATACTATATGAGAGTTAGCTAAGTTACCAATGTGGTGTATAGGTTGTAATTTCGGTGATAAACATACCATAGCTAGGTGAGAACTCGGGTTCATTCAGAAAACCAATACTACGAATATTAGATTTCAATGTAATACCAGTCGGGTCGTGTCCTTTCTTGACCCTCAAAGTTCGTTAGACAGAGGCGAGCAACTCACCGAGTAACCGGGACGCCAGCTTCACCGTAATACTTGACATACTGAACCAGGTAATCGGCGTATGCCTGTCTCCAATCGCCACTCTGACAATTAGCTCCAGGAACACCGCACAGCGTGCCGCCGTTGTTCTCGTTGTTGTTCGTCTTCACTGTAAGACACGCAAGCATTAGCAAGGAACTCGTATACGTCATATTACCACATCTTTCCCGCTTGGAAGATTCAAAATCAAAGATTTCGCAAGCTCTATCGAGAGATCGACGAGAAGCGCTGGCACAATGTCTTCTTCAACCCCTATTACAACAACAAAAGTGCGATACCAACAAGAAAAAGAAGAAAACTCACTATATCCCGGCGCGCTCCAAGCATCGCCGTAAATCTGGCGCACACCATAGGTGTTATACGCCTCCTGGCTGACGAACAACTGGCCGCTATCCTTGCCATCCCAGGCATACTGGGGTGTGGCCTTCGGGCCGCCAGGGTTCTTCGGCGCAACTAGTTATTTTGATCATTGTCAGATTCGCATACAAACAAATACAGCATAAAACGCCAAGTTACAATGTATTCATAACATGGAGTGACCAGACCTAGTATTCTCATTGATGGGATAGACTCACAAGTATTCATATGATCCGAGCTACTATCCGGGCTCGAGCCGATGCCGTTCCGCACAATCGATAGCCCCGCACCGGAGGTCGTGTTGAAGAGCAGGTCCAGCAAGTACCGCTGCTTCGTCTTATCCGACATGTTCGTGATGAGGTTCGCTCGTTGGAAGGCGAATGAGCACTACCATTATCAATATCAGCGCCAAGAATAATTCTCGAGAGCATTGATGAGAACGAAAGTCTTCGTCCTCTTAAATGTCGTGATAAACTAGGAAAGCTTGGTAGACTACGATCTACTAAACAAGCAAACTACTGAAGTGAAGGTAAACGCACCCCGAACCCGTCCATCGTCTGATACGTTTTCGTCAGGTCGACGGTGATAGTCGACGCCGCCTGGCGCGGTGCGAGATCCAGCCATGAGGGCAGGGCAGTGGCAAGCGGCAGCACGCCGGCGACAGCGAATCCTAGCGTTTTCATCGTGCTCTTTCTCGAATAAGCGTACTGTGAATGTGTGGAAATTGAAGAGTAATAGACTATTTATTCAGTACGACACGGCATGGGGAGCGAGCAACATAAGCTCATATATCTGCACCACGAATATGTTGAATAGCCAAACCCTTCAACACATCGTTGTATTTGCCGGGCATCCCTCCTCCAAATAGCAACCCCAACTACCTATGCAGCTGTGCATGGACATCATGACATTTAAGGGGGTCGAGGTCGCCGTCTACATTTTTGCGGCTGTTGATTTAAGGGCGGCGGTATCAGAACTCCGAATCATCTGTAAGGTCAACTGGCTCAACAAAGAGGGCGTGGTTAGGCCAAGGGCGGGTAAATCGTCAAAGGTAATTTGCTCTTTCACCAATATATTTATCCAGGTTGTTCTGGCCACGAGAAGCGTTGCTTACCTAAGGCCGCAATGGCCAATGCGGAACTCAGCATGTACCCAAGTGTTCTCTGCGCTGCTGGATAAGCTACTTTCGCTACCACCTCGCTGGGTTCTCTCCGGACCGGTTGTATCAGCATCGTCATTGTAACAAACCTTTCAAGGTTAATATGGAAAAAGAGGCATGGAGGACACTATTAGAAAACAGTCAAATGCAGCAAGTGAGGAACAATGTCACGTATACGGGTGGACAATAGGTTGATGGCAAATGAGCATACTCCATCCAGCCAACGAGATGGTGCTGATTGCATTCATATAATATTGTCATAGCGACAGGTTATATATGCACGATATTGTGCCTTAAAATAGACAACGAGGTCTCTTATGTCCAAAAGGGTGATGAAGAAGTAGATTGATCGAAACACACTAAGCGTGACATGTTGTTCGTTTGTTCGCTAACGCTCGAAAGAACGTGATTCGGTCGGCTGAGCTCTCCTATAACTAATGTATGCTCCTCTTATGAGAAGAGATGCTTTTAGGCAGTAGCTGTCGCCGATCGAGATGCATTGCGGGATTCACGTTCGAGCAAGGTTTCCATAAAGCCGTTGACAGGCTTTGAAGCCTTGATTTCCTTAGCGATTTGATGATCGATATCTAGTTGTTCATCGGTCCAGAGGGGATGGCTGGGTTGAGCGTCTACATCGCCAACGCCGATGAACCCGCCATCGGCCGCCCAATCGGAAGTACGCTTGATGTTTAGCTTCGTCCAGATCTCGTCAATAACATCAACCAATTGGTCACGGTACTCCTTGGTATGGCCGGGCGTTGGTGTGATTCGAAGACGTTCCTGCCCAACAGGTACAGTTGGGTAATTGATCGACTGCACATAAATCTGGTAATTATTCAGCAACATATCTGAGGCTTGCTTGGCAAGCTCAGCATTCCCTACTAGAATGGGAATAATATGCGATGGGTTTGGAATAACTGGAATATCACGTGCATCCAATGCTTCCTTGACAGCTCGGGTGTGAAGCTGCTGAAGCCTTCGATCTCCATTATACTCCATCTGGTATTCAATGGCTGCCCTTGCCCCAGCCATAGTGGCCGGAGGCAAGGATGTTGTGAAGATAAACCCAGGCGCAAGGGATCGAATGGTGTCGACAAGCTTAGCACTCCCAGCAATGTAGCCACCCACGCACCCATAAGCCTTTCCAAGAGTGCCGGTAATGATGTCAACTCGGTCCATGATAGTCCCACGAGGCCGACCCTGTTGATGAGCTTCGAAATCAAGATGCTCAGCGACACCTGCGCCGTGTGGGCCGTACATGCCGACGGCATGAACTTCATCTAAAAAGGTGATTGCGCCATACTTTTCAGCAAGGTCACAAATCTCTTCTATTGGTCCAATAGAACCACACATGCTGTAGACTGACTCGAAAGCGATAATCTTGGGCACATGTAGAGGTAGTGTAGCCAACTTAGATTCGAGATCTTCCAGATCATTATGCTTGAAAACAATCTTTCTCGTACCCGAGTGGCGAATGCCCTGGATCATCGAGGCATGGTTCAAACTGTCAGAGAGAATCACGCAGTCAGGCATTTTGCTGCCGAGGGTCGCTAGGGTAGCATCGTTCGCAACGTAGCATGAGCTGAACACAAGCGCAGCCTCCTTGGCATGAAGCTTGGCGATGGTTTCTTCAAGCTCAATTGCATGCTTGTTGTGTCCGGAAATGTTTCGAGTACCTCCAGCGCCAGAGCCATACTCGTCGAGGGTCTCGTGCATCGTCTTGAGTACATGCGGGTTTCTACCCATGCCGAGATAATCATTGGAGCACCACACAGTGACTCGCTCCTCCTTTTTGGCGCCATGAGCCTGGGGAAATTCTTTGGCAAGCCGGTTGATGTTGTTGAAGTAACGATACGACTTATCCTTGTGCTTTTTTTCGAGCTCTGCTTCATAAAAGCCGGCATAGTCGAACTTGGCGTTCACACCATTCGGCATCGTAGTGGGCGCAGCAGCCACATTTTCCTTGCGATTGGCTGGAGTAGGTGGAGGGAATTGGACTGCATTACACGTTAGAGCCCTTTCCCCCGAGTGTGCGCATGTCATAAAACCTACCGCTCTCACGAGGCGTAAACATAGGAGTGTCAATGGCGCGGGCCTCCTTGTGGCGGCTTGTGTGGATCCTAGCCTTAGAGTGTCCGGACAACGTACGGACACCCGAGACGGCACAGGCACCGGTCACTGGGGTTGACGCCTTACAGCCGACACGAGCCGACTGGATAGCAAGAGCCTTGCCCATGACGGGGCATCGTTGTCCAAGCAGCTGGAGCTTGGAGATGGTACCGCCGCATTGGGAAACCTGAGGCCGAGTGGAGGTTGAAAGAGCGCGCAGAGTGGCGGGAGTAGCCTTCTTCATGAAAGGGCACATAGCCTTGGACTGGCGAAGAACAGCGTCCATGATGGGCAATTCAGTTGGTATGCGCCGCAGTGGAAAGAATTCTCGTCCAGAGCGAGGGGATTTTTTTGAAACACCAACGAACCACGGTCCAGAGAACGAAGCCGGTGAAAGTGGTGACAGTAAGTAGGTAGATAGGGACTTGGTCAGAGATTCCAACCAAGGCTACCCTACAATACTGAAGTATATACCAAGAAATGGCAAGCCAATCTTGGGGGCGAATACACTACAGTGAAGCAATGGAATGGGAGATGGTAGCATAACAAGTGTGAAGGAAAAGACGAGAATTTGAGGCGAAGACAGAGTGACATTAGATGTAGGTATTTTACTTATGTGTCGACGCTGTCGGTAACCCCCCTACCCACCGAAGGGTTGCCCACCAATTGCCCACTATTGTACAGGGGACTACAGGCACTACGGGGCAGATACAGGCAGATGCGATGTCTGGAACCCGCCTGGAAGCTTCGGTGACTCGCAGGAAGCAGGTGCCCCATTCGCCCCACTGACCGAAGCCGCTTTTCTTTGGCCGTTTCTCCCAATGGCACGAGGCGGGATTTGCTATTTTCTGCATTTCCGGCAATAATTGCCTCTTTCTCCATTGGCCAGCTCCGACCGCCCGCGAATAGTGTAGGTACTTCCGCATCACCTACTGTAAGTATGTACATAGAAACTAGGCTACATTAAGTGTTTTGGCGGTTCTCGCTCGAAAGCTTTAACCGCGGATGGTTTAGGCTGGACTCCGAGTCGCATGCTAAGTTGTAAGAAAGGAATTGACTCCAACTAGGTATCAACCTGCCAACCTGCCATTCTCACAAGCAATTTGTCGGCGTGAACCGTCAAGAACTGCTTAAATAGAATTGCAACATAGCATGTCATCATGTATCCTGTGAGCTTCTCGGATCTAATCAATACTCTGTACCACTACATAAGGATCTAGGTAGCACACTAGGCGTCTCGATGCGAGAAGACTTGAGTGTGGTCGTTTTGTGCGAATCAGCTTACATAGTAACCTGTTACTAGTAATATTTAAGCCGTGCTATTAGCATGGTAGACACATAAGACGGCCACGAAAAAGCATCAACGCTTCCGAATGTCCGAACTTCGCAATCGTTTCCGGCCCTCGCAGCATGGATGGATGGATCCGTACCGAATACCTACGCTATGAAGACAATGAGACAAAAAAAATACAATACAATTCAATACTCCATACCTCGGCTAGATCCACTCTCACAGTACCTTACTTGGCGAGCGCAATGCGTGCCCCCCACCCGGAATGTCCTCTATTGTTGGGTGAAAAGACCCTGAGGTCTCACGCCAAGGAGATTGATTGGCATCTTATCTACCTCACAATCCTACTGCAATGTTCATTCAATCGATTTTCGATGAGGCACACTAACGAGCAAGTGATAGCGACGATTCCTGTTGATCTATGAGAAAGAGGCTGGCATACAATAATAGAGTGCTTAAGATGATGAATTTACTTCATTATCTGAAACTAAAGAATACCCATTATTAACCTAGGAAACTTTCCGATTCAGCCGAACCCCCCAGCAACGACGTGCTATGTCTTTCCATATGGGTAAGTGTGTCCCTAGCAGTAGGCATCTGCGTATGTATTCTCTTGAAATTGTTCCCTTTCCTTACTTAGTAATTGTTGTCGCCGTAAGAATCGTTGTTCCGCCGGCTGGAGCCGTACGAGCCGCTGTCGTCGTTGTCGTTCCGAGCTGAGGACCCGTAAGTGTTGCTGGATCCATACGAGTTGTTGTCGCTAGTGCTCGAGCGGTAATCGCTCTTCGACCCATATGAGTTGTCGTTGTCATCATTATTGCTGCGGCGGTTTGAGGAGCCGTAAGAATCGTTGTTGTCATTGGAACTGTACGAGGCCTTGTTGCTGGAGCCGTACGAATTGTCATTGTCCTGGCGGTTTGAAGAGCCATAGGAATCGTTGTTGTTACTGGAACCGTACGAATCGTTGTCCTTGCGGCTAGATCCGTAGGAATCATTGTTGCTAGAACCATATGAAGTGTCGTTATTGCTGGAGCCGTAGGAATCGTTATCCCTGCGGCTCGATCCGTAGGAGTTGTCATCGTTACTGCTGGACCCATACGAGTCCTTGTTCCTAGAGCCGTAGGAATCGTTGTTATTTGAGCCATACGAGTTGTCATTGTTGCTGCGGCTAGAGCCATACGAGGAGTCCTCCTTGTTGTCGCGACGAGATCCGTACGAATCATTATTACTGGAGCCGTAGGAATCATTGTTGCTCGATCCATACGAGTCATTGTCGCCACGAGATGATCCATAGCTATCGTCGTTGCCGCGACGGTTCGAAGAGCCATACGATTCGCTGTCTTTATTCCCGGAGCCGTAGCTGTCATTGTTGCTAGACCCGTACGAATTGTCATTGTCTCGGGAAGACTTGTTCGACGAGCCATAACTGCTGTTACCCGAGGACCCGTATGAGTTATCGTTGTCCCGACGTGATGACCCGTAGCTCTCGGTGTCGTTATCACGTCGGCTAGAGCCGTAGTTGTCGGAGCCGTAGCTCTATAGGCTGTTAGCCATGGTATCCTCATCACACTAGAAAGACGAATATACTTACGTTGTCGTTGTTGTAAGACATGGCGATGGGCTGGTGTGTATCGGATGAGAAGATAAGTCAATGAGTAGCGTAGATAGATAGATGTAAATGCCTGGTCGAGCGAGCGATGGAACAGATCTAAAGATACAGAGAAAGGGAAAGCTCTATTATACCTATCAGACCTCGCTCCCCTCCCAATATGTCTGGCTCCCTCCTTGACTAGAGCGCTCCTTTCAGCTACTCTCGTCTCGGCTACAAGAGGGGCAATCCAAGAGGGAGCTTGATCTCGCCATCGGGAGAAGCTAATGCAATCGACGTCACAGCCGAAGCCACAGTCCATCCATCAATCCTGATAGCCAGTCAGGTCTGTCTTGCATTCGACGTGTGCGAGAAGTCCCTTAAAGCACGTCATTCCTTTGTATACAGTACTTCGACAAGAGGTAGATAGGCCTCGATTCTCAAAAGATGGTAGCCTCTGTTTGCGAGCAAATAGTCTGGCTGATCATGTCCTGAAGCACGAGTGACGTAGCGGCTTCCGAGGCCCGTTTGTAGCAGAGAGTACACGATATCCATGTAGCTATGTACGTGGCCAGTTACCGTATCTACTAACACGCTCGTGGGCACGATTCGTCATCCCTATGAATATCTACACGCTAGGTTAGTCCCTTCGGGAACGCAATGATTCTCTACCATACCGGTAGCTCAATTGCGGGCTCGATGGGTCAACTAGCCTACCTAGACCGGTTTCCTAAGCTGTTGACCACCAGTCACACTTACGTACCACGAAATGTGGTTACTCTGCAGACGCTCAATATTTCCTTTTCAGCTGGTGTCTGGAACGGCTTAGAGCTTGACCGATGCGAGCTGAGGGTGAGGGGCACAGCTTCTATCCATTGATGTCGTGAGTTCACACTTAGCATCGTTGAACAAACAAAGAGGGAGTGATCTATCAACTCTGATCCGATTCTCGCATACACACACGCTTACCTATCTCTGCCTACTGCACCTAGTCAATACTAGGACAATCTAACGATCAGCATTTTAGAGAAACTGAGGCCGCCTTCATACAACAAACGATGTACTTTTCGGAGCTCCCGATGAAGTTGCTTGTAATGCTGGTTGGGATGCTTAGGGCGGGAGCTAGATCTTCTCATTACCTATCGCTACTTTCATACATAGACATGTAAGTATGCATGCGATCAACCGTGCATGCAATTAACCTTAAGCTTCTGCCCGCTTACATACCATTACACCGTTGGGTGAGGAGCAGGCTTGTGTTGACCGTGGGAACCCGCATCATCCACCACCTAACTAGTAGATAATAGATACACAACGTACTACATGTACAGAGACCAATAGCAATAGAACGCTATGCCACGAGATTTACATGCTGAATTTCATTAGCAAGTCACTAAATCAGCCTACATCGAAAAAGAAACGGGCCAGCAAAGGGGCGGTGACCGCCCAGGTTTGATGTATATTGAGTATAGGTAGCGGCCAGATGGGCCATAAGAGGCCTCGACTATGTAAGTCATACCTAGTCTCGGCACTCGCGACTCAAAGTTTCTAAGTAGGTTTAGCTTAAATGCATGTGGCATCTCGCTAGATATGCGGAATCCCACATAGCATGTCTCAACATCTATTAACGCGGATAACAGCCAAAAAAGACATTCGTCTATAGTAACAAATGTCTCAGTTGTAGTTGAAGCTACCCCGCCATGCAAGTGTTGGTTTTCCTGACGAGGTTGGTCAGGCATTGTTGAACAGCTTTGATTGTAATCATATTGTTACTCTCGGCTAAAGATAGGCGTCTCTGGTCTATTCGGGTATCAATGCAGCCGTTGGCTTCTCATTCAAATCATAATCCGCTCATTCAAGGTCATAGCCTGTGCCTCCCTCATCCTAGCCTCCGAAAAGCTGTCGTGATGAAGTCGGATGCAAAGAGAGAATGTCTCTCTATTGTCTAACATAGTGAGTGCCTTCATTAGGCAAGTATCGTTATGTTTCATCATGATCGAGAAGTATCTCTTCCGCTCGTTGTAGCTGTACTATTACCTGAACTTGTAGGCACAGCAAGAGGTTGGTTTCGGGCTTTATGTGTGAGAGCAATGATTTCCTGTAGCATGAGCTCTCTGGTGCTGCGAGTTAATTCGTCTACATCTTCAGCCGTCAATCCAGCAGTTGATATAGGGTCCAGCACTACAAAGGGTTAGTCATAACTATAATACCGGGAATTCAACATTCGTCGCACCTTTGACTGGAATTTTGCCTCCATTGAACACTAGACTCTTGATGTGGAGAATATGAGAGTAATTCGCTACCACCACGGGAACTATAGGTACACCGGCTTGTACAGCTAGGTGGAAAGCCCCTTTCTTGAATGGCAGCAATCCTGGCTCCTTAGAATAGCTACGAGTACCTTCGGGAAACATGTAGACACTCTGTTTGCGCCTTTGGATTTCTTCGGCGGCGCCAGCCATGGCGTCTCTTGCGTTCTTGGAGTTCGCCCTGTCGATGAAAACGGTCCCACTCAGTGCCATAAACCAACCCAGAAACGGCACGCGCTTCAAGTTCTTTTTCGCCGTTACACTGCAGTATTTAGGGAACATGCATCCCAGCATCAGGACATCGAGTTCAGTTTGATGGTTTCCAATGAAGACAGCAGGGCGAACAGTCTCGAGGTATTTGTTCGGGTCATCGACTTCGAAAGAGATGCCAGTTGATAGGGCCATGACATATTTGAAGGCACGAGCGGTGGTCCATTGGGCTATTTGCTCGCGACCGAGGATTCGCAAGACTATAGACGCAAGGGCGCCATAGGTGGCACATATTATGAGGGAGATGTAGGCGGCCAGCGCACGGGCGGCGAAGGCCGCCTTGGGCACAACAGCGGAAAGCATGTATAGAGCTGCGACAAGCCCAGTGTAGCCGGCGAGGAAGTAGATCAAATACGAGGTAAGCGACATGTTATTGAACCATAGGTAACTCGACGGGTTGGGAGGCGAGGATGAAGGCGAGGACGATGTCGGACCTGGAGGGATGGAACGTGACAAGTCTTAGGACTCTTTTTGGAGTTTATCTGTCGTTAGAAACCGAAATTATCGTGGGGCAGTGGTAGTGAAGGTTTGTTGGGGCGAAAGTACGCGCGCACCGAGACCGAAAGGAATGGATAAAGTAGGATTGCTAAGGTAGCGAGTAGGTAATGCAGAGGAGCTGCTTAGAAAGAACAAGTCAATGATGAGACTTTTGATAGGCGAACGCACAGCATGAGGACGGGAAGGAAAATGCAGGTGTTGTTGAGGTTGGATATAAGAAGAATCATAATCGGGCTCACACGACAACAGCACAGTTCAAAAATTGGAGTAGCGCCGGTGTGTCTCCAATGTGCCCACAGGTACCTATCATCATCATACCTAAGTACATTACAGGGACAAGACAAGTACCACCACACGAGGGATTGGTTCACCTCAGCTCAGCCATAACAAGCCAAAGAGAAAAAAAGTGGTGGGCTAACCTGAGCCCATGGCGTTTGGTGGGGTGGAGGGCAAGACAAGCCTCGGCCATTTGCCCATTTGCTGGCGATTTGCGGAGTGACGAAATCGGGGGGTTGAGCCCCACTGCCCGCCTGGGTTAGACACCGACACAGGCGAGACAGGGACTCCCCAGCCCCTACCAGAGCCCCTACCCAACCCACTACAGGGCCAATCAGCGCCCAACTGCCTGCCCAGGTGGGTGAGGGTTCAGTACGGCACAAGTCAGGGGTCATCATCAGGTCTGGTCAGGTCAGGGTCAGTTCTTTCACACATGTGATGACTCGCTTCATTCCCATAGCAGACTGAGCCTGGCTACGGTACTAACCGTTGTAGAGTAAGTTCTACGTTTCTCCACATATGCCTCGATTATACCCCTTTCACATGACACGCCTACACATCTTAGGTTCTCCCCTGCGTTAGAAGGGCAGCGGTGTAGGTGGTAGGATGACATGGCTCACATATCATACAGCACTAACCTTAGGTCCTATTTCAGATATGTTAATAATGATAACTTGTTTTCGACGGGCCCTGACTCCTAGTTGACCTGTCTGGATATGCCTGCGTGAACCCCTAAAACCTAGGTTGCCCTGCTCTGACATAGAGTTTACAGGGTTGGACAGATCTCATCTTTACATGCCGCCGAGCACGTGCTACAACAGACTACTATCTTAAACCCAAAATACTCTACATGCCGACCCAAAAATCCATGCAGATTGACGGTGATGTGACGGCTCGCTAGATAGGAGGGTGGATATTGGAGCCTTGGTCTTAGACATAAGCCAGTCAACGGTCATGTTTTTATCAGTAATCATCACGAGGTTGACAACGGCAATGGACTTTTCTATATAGTCCTTTAATCTAATGGGGGTAAGAGATAATCACATATACAAGCTGGTGTTGGATGTAGGATAGTTCGTTACGGGAAACCTTGGTATTCATTCATCTTTACTAACTAAGCTAGCCAGCTGCTAATTCTGTAGTGACTAAACAACTTTTCCTGCAAAACCAATTATGACTTCTGCTCTGTCGTATGACAGAGCAGCATCCCAAATCCGCAACCCTGCTTGTTCCCTGACAAAAGAGAGGAGGCGAAGGGAAGGGAACTACAAAAAGAGAGAAATAATCATCACCAGCAGAATAATGCAGGTCTGGCTGTAGGTTCCATCCGTGTCTCCCCAGGACACTCTGATAGGCTGCTTCTTGCCCAGGGAGTCGCCCGAGCTGATAGGGACTGTGGCATTGATGGGAGAAGCAGGAATAGTGCTACTTGGGTGATGAATGTTGGGTGTATAAGTGGCAACTGTATGCTTCGTAACCGTGTTCGAGATGGGGGTTCCTGGTGCAGGGACAGTTGCAGTATTGGCAGTGCTGGTGCTATTGATGCCCCTAACGCTCCCGTGTATGCTCATACTCACAGAATACGGTGCGCGGGAGGTCGGAGTTGACAGAGCTCGCGTGGTGAATCCCGAAGTGTTGTTGCTCGCCGACGATGTCTCCCTGCAGGTAGTATCAACGTTTGATTGAAGCGTGACGGCGATAGGTGAAACGTCGATGGTGGAAGTTACGCTTCCAGCGCTAGTCGTGATCGTCAACGTCGAGCGTCGCGTGATAGTAGAGCGGGAACTCGCCATGATAGACCCCGTGTAGCTTGTCAGCAAGGGTCCAGAGGGAACAGGGGAAACAGTCTGCACGACTGTCGCCGTGACAACTTCGGAGACTGTAACATTGAAGGCCGAAGCAGAACTTCCAGACACCCCAGTTTGGCTCTGGGTTGGCAACTGTGAAATGTAGACAGTTACTGTCACAGTAGACGCTGATTGGCTTGTCTTGGTAAGTGTACTGCCATCAACCGAAGTTTTTGTGGCCGATGATAATGTGATAGTAGTGCCTCTGGTGATCGTGACGTAGGGCGTCATGGTGACAGTCTCAGTGCCTGTGTATTCTTCGCAGTCAGATGCCGAGTACACGACCGTGGTCGTCACCGTAATAGTCGGAGATGTAGCGGTTCTGGTGACTTGAGTAGATGAAGGCTGTTCACCAGATACTGAAGTATCGGCACAGCTACACGCTGACGGGATGACAGTGTTGGCGATAGTATCTGGGTTAGACTGAGCCCTACTGTATATCAATAATATGTGAGCGAAAGGCTATGAGGAGATCTTCCAAGGCAGGTAGAAGTGCTACTTATATAGAAATTACTCACCTCGTAGTACGACTAAAATTGCCATTTTCGGCACCAAAAGGAGTAGGGGTACAGTTGCAGGTAGTCGTCACAGTTTCAACATTAGGTGTGTCGGAAGAAGTGGCGGTCACCGCAGCTGTGGCCATTGACGTGTAACCGGTGAAAGACACATCAATAGTCAGAGTGGTTAGGACAGTTGCAGAAACCGGGGGACTAACAGTCTCCGTGAATACATCAGTCGAGGTGACAGTGACGGTAAGGGTCGCAGAGGTAGAGGTAATGTTAAGATACGGAACATCATCTCCGTAGGAATAAGCGCCTTGTTTCTTGTCGAGTTTGTGACCAGTATTGCAAGATTCAAGTTGATCGCGTGTTCCGAAAGGACAAGAGCCTCAAAAATATGTTAGAAATTGGCCTAGGTTGACTTCAGTACAAGAAACTTACTAGCTAGCCCAATACCATCCTCGTAAGCAGCAGCCACAGGAATGATAGCTGCAAGTCCACTAGCAACGACTGCGGCAAGCAGCACCATTCTTAGATAGACTGAGAGTAAGTCAGGGACAAGTCTCGTTTCATATATAGATGAAGATGGCCGCTCACGGTGAGACATGATAAAATGAATGCAGAGAACTATCTTCCTAATTTTGGGTCAGTGTTGTTTCAGGAGCCGAATACAGATTTCAGATGATTCAGCGGATCAACAAAGCTGCAGATAGATATATCAAAGCTATGAAGCCGCTAGCCGTTGGATAGTAGTACAAGATGGGCGCACTGTTATCTAGAGAGAAGTTTCCAGTGTAGATTCGAGGACGGTGCAAACAAGGTAAACGAAAATAACGAGATGAAAAGCACGAACAAATGGGTCCGAGTGAAGCGGAAGTGGTTTTGATAAAGTAGATGATGAGATTAACTTACGTTTGATATTCGAACCAGAACTATTCGAAAGTGATTAGAATTAGGGTTGATGAGGTCTCGATCGACGTGAGTAGTTGAAACTGGGAAGAAGCAGAAGCAGAAAGTGAGGCGGAGAATAAATCAACAATCTAGTTGAAAAAGAGAAAGACGCAGGTGATTAAGAGCGCGTGTACAGAAGTGGGAGACGAAGGGTACGTATTTTATGAAGGTAAACAGACCTCAGTTAATGGAAGTCGACGTGCCTTAGGCAACCGCATTTATTCTTGGGCAAACATGCGGTCTCTGGGAAATAGTTAACTCACAAACAGTTGACCGTAGGTAACGTAATCCCGCCCTCGAAATCATATGAGCAACAATATTTCAGACTTGTATTGTAGTAGGGAGATATTTCAAGTGAACATTCCCAAGCAGATACAATACGTTGTTCAATCTTCTTGTTGATACAAATGCAAATTCGGTACTGAGTATTTCCCAAGTAGATCATATGTGTCCCGTGGCCATGTATTTGGCTTTGGGAAAAAAAAAAAAAAAAAAAAAACCTGAGTACCTAGGTAGACATAAGAGGAAATCAGGCGATGTGTTGGACATCCAGGCCCCTGAGAGACCACCACAACCTCAAACATTTGTGAACCAATTACGTAGTAGACATTCAACGGCACTCAACCTAGTATATATGAGCAGTTTCTTGTATCACCAGCCTCATATTCTGTTAGGGTTGTCCATTTGGTTGTCTGCTGTCTTCAACATGGCATTACCTCACAAGCATTGTAGACTAATCTGAATGGACCCGGGTTGATGTCCATCTTCCCGGGATTCTTCTGCTGGAAGGCCTCGTATTGTAGTCATATAAGGGTGCACAGTAAATAGTAGTAGATTCCCATATCTGACTGCTGTGACTTGCTGTATGATGTCCACTCCGTCTTGCTTCCCAAGAGTTTTGTTCTTGGTGTTTGAAGATAGGTAGGCTTTCAACTCCTGATTACCTTCGGTTCTCCTGTAGATGATCACAGTCTTTGTGGGAGAATCTAACAAAGTCCTCGTTCACATAATTCAGCTATTCAGCATGCCCTGGAACATGATCTATTCAATGATTTATGTGAAAAGGGGAAAAGGCACAAGATGTAGTAGGTACTAGGTACCTATGTAGGTAGGTCTGGGTACCTTAGTGTTTTTAAAAGTCAAGCCACAAGTCAAAGTACCTACCTACCTAGGTACCTACTTGCAGCACTAAAGAATCCATTGTGACCCTTGCATTGTAGTGGCTGGTTACATGCATATAGGTACCTATGTACATATGTAGGTACTTAAGGTACTAGATTCTGTAGGCACAGTACATATCTCTAGCAGGCACACACACACTGGGCAAAGGGTACATCCTCGGATCTTTTGAGACAAGCACGTGCCCCCAATGTTCTTGGCCATGCTAAATATACTTGGGCCACACATAAGTACAAGAGGATGTATTTAAGCTGGGTGGACTCAGTTCCTGATCAAGTACCTGATCAAGTACCTGATAAAGCACGCTAGGTACCTAGGTAGAGCTTAGCGCGTACTACCTGTTGATTGATGCGACCAAGTCGCGTAGCACTTGCCTCGCCTAAAAAAGACGGGAGAGACAGGTGGAAAGCAAGCTACCGGGTAGGCATTGAACACGACTGTAAGCTGGTGATGGCCTCGTCCCATTTTCTTTCTTTCTCTCTCTCGTATAGTAGGCACCTAGTGAGCTACCTAGCCAGCGCCAGCAGCCAGCCCTTGCGCCTCTCTCTCCTGACCAGATTCCACCTCAATCTTCAAACTCTTATCTTAGTCCGTATCAGCGTTGTTTCTGCATCTCACGCACCTATACTATTGATTGATTTGGCAACCTGCGACTTCCCGTCATTTCGAACCCCGCCCTTCACCCACGTCGAACCCGGCACCAGCTTACTCGACTCGACTCATTTTGCACGTTACTCGCAGTAAACACCAATCTCAATAAGAGGGTCTGATAAATTAACCTTGGGCTGGCAATGGCGCGACGCCGCGAGCAGCCTGTGGAGGAAGAGGACCAGGAGATGGACGAGGAGCTGGTATCGCTCCAATTCAATGAACAGTTGTCATGGCGCGCTGGAAAACCAATTGCGACGGGTCAGCTCCTGCGCCGGCTAGAGAAGCTATCCAAAGAGCTTGCCGACATGGACCAGGAGACCGTTTACAAGGACTCGCTTCACAGTGTCGCCAAAGATCTCGCCTCGCATAACCTGCTGGCGCATAAGGAGACTGGTGTGAAGGCTTATGTTGCATCGTGCTTGGTGGACGTTCTTAAGCTGTGCGCCCCAGAGGCTCCTTTTACTCCCAAGCAACTCAAGGTAGGCATCGTGCATTTCCACACGAAGAGGCTGAACCAGCGCTAATGCTTCTTGTCGCAGGAAATATTTACTCTTTTCGTCAAGGTCATACTCCCCGCACTCTGGAACCCATCGCATGCATATAACGCCCAGCACAAATATGTCCTTTCTTCGCTAGCCGATGTCAAGAGTATCCTCTTAATAAACGACGTTAATAATTCCGAGGAGCTTTTACTCGAGCTCTTTTCTACATTTTTCGATGGTATCTCCGGATCGTTCAAAAACTCATCTGGAGAACAGGTGGCAAAGGATGTTGAGTTTCACATGACCGAGGTTATGGTAACCTTGGTTGATGAAAGCGCCTCATTGCCGCCCTCTGTTCTAGATGTAATAATGGCTCAATTTCTTCGGGCCGCTCCCCGAGCCGGTCACAGGGAGAAGACGGAATCTAATGGGACTCAAACCACGTTATTACCCAAGGAGGAGCCAGAGGCATATGTCATGGCCAAGACGGTATGCAATTCTTGTCCTGACAGGATGGCGCGCTATGTCGGGCAGTATTTCAGTGACGTGATTATGGATGTATCAGGAAAAGGGAGTCATGGGAATGGACATAAGGACGATGAGCAGTCAGATGACGAGGCCGTGACTGCTGGACCTTCCGAAGCCGATTTTAAGGAATTAAGAAAGGCTCACCAACTTCTTCGCGAGCTTTGGCGAGCAGCTCCAACGGTGCTTCCGAATGTGATACCTCAAGTTGATGCCGAATTATCGGCCGATGATGTGTCTTTACGCCTTCTAGCTACCGAAACGCTGGGAGATATGATCTCAGGTATTGGAGCTGCTGGACCCCCTCCCCCTCCTGTTCTTGATCCAGCGGCGTACCCTCCGCTAAAACTAGGCGACGAAGCGCCGGATCACCCTGCGACAAGTATCTTGACCACACCTATCTCGCCCCTTTCTTTCGCTCAGACTCATCCGCAGGCGTTCCAAAACTTTATTGGACGTAGAAATGACAAGTCACCCCTGATTCGTGCCTCATGGACGACAGGTGTGGGTTATATTGTATCGACATCTGCTGGTGGCATCGGGCTGAGTCGAGAGGACGAATCAACCTTCATGACCGGCCTAAAGGACAAACTGAATGATAGTGATGAGAAAGTTCGCCTTGCTGCGGTTACTGCGATACAAACCTTCAGCTTCCGCGACATTGTGCTTAAATTGGCAGCACTTGGAGGCATCACTAAAGATGGCTCAGTGTTATATACCCTCGCAGATCGATGCCGAGACAAGAAGTCTTCTGTGCGTGTTGAGGCCATGGCGCTTTTGGGAAAGCTATGGGGTGTGGCAAGTGGTGAGATTGCTGCCGGGCAAGAAGCCGTCATATCGGCACTGTCTGGTATTCCTTCGCGCATCTTTAACACGTTCTATGCAAACGACCTTGAACTCAATGTTCTCTTAGAGCGGGTTGTCTACGAGTGCCTTGTACCTCTATCTTTCCCGCCACTTCCCAAAGCTAAGGGATCTAAATCTTCTAGTAGCCAGTCCCAGTCGCAATCGGTGGGCGAGTCGAATTACGACCAAGATAAGATACGAGCGGAAAGAGTTCTTCTGCTTGTCAAAGATTTGGATAACAGTGCGCGAAAAGCCTTCAATGCTCTTCAGGCCCGACAGCCACAGTTTTCTAAAGTACTAGAAAATTTAGTCCGTCAATGCGATGCCTTCAATGGAGGCAACCCGGAGGGCGATGCAGACAGAATCCGGCAGAATCTCTCAAAAACAGCGAAATATCTTGGTCAATTTCTCCCAGATCCAATTAGAGTGGAGGCTGATTTGCACACTTTTGCAAACTGGCACGATCGCCGAAGTTATCAGCTCATCAGATTTACCGTGTCCCCCGAAAGTGACTTTAAGACAATGCACAGAGCAATCAAAGAGCTTGTCAAAAGAGTCCAAGGATCTCCTAAACCACATATCCTTGACACATTACTACCGATTCTCTACCGATCTGCTTATATCCTGTTCAATAAGAGCCATCTTTCAACTTTTATGGACTGCTCGAAGAGTGACAAGGACGGCCTTGGAGCTGCAGCCCAAGAGATAACGACAGAAATATCACAACATAATCCAGATCTTTTCAAGACGCACGTTGGACAGATCTGCAAAGACTTGGTAGAAAGTGCACCTAAACCTGAAGAAACGAGTGATACAGGTATGGTCGAGACGCTCAAGGCTTGCTCGTCGTACTCTCGGAAATACCCAACTGAACTACCTGGTGATCGAAAGTTTACACAAGCATTGATCAAATATGCCTTGTATGGACAGCCAACGAAATCTGCTAAATACGCTGTGAATGTGTTGATGGCTCGGAAGGACCAGGACAGCCTAGTGTCAGCCACTGATCTGCTACAGAGAGTCATGAAAGATTGGGGCTACGGCACCTCTCATTTCCTTAACAAACTTGCAGCAGTCAGCCAGTTGGAGTTGTTGGCACCAACAGTGACGGCTGGTGCCAACGATGACATCATGGACATGGCATTAAGGGACGTCCTCATGCAGGTTCGTGTTGATGCGAAGGACACGGATCCAGATTGGGTTTCTGATATAGAGATTGATGAGGAGTGTCAGCTGAAATCATGGGCACTTAGAGTCGTTGTGAACCGTATTCGGGGCATTCAGGATCTAGAGGAAGCAAAGGAACTTGCCCCTCCAGTGTTTAAACTGCTTCGTACCCTTCTGAAGGCACAAGGAGAGCTCTGCAAAACGAAGGATACACCAAAGCACCACAAGTCACGACTACGGCTACTGGCTGGTCAGCTTCTTCTGAAGCTATGCACATCTAAGCACTTTGAGGAGCTTCTTTCGCCTTCAGACTTTAACCAGCTCTCACTTCTCACTCAGGACACCTGTGCGAACGTGCGCCGTCTTTTTGTCGAGAAGCTTCAGAAATATCTTGTCCAGAACAGGCTTCGGGCGCGGTTTTATACTATCATCTTCCTTGCAGCGTTTGAACCGAACGTGGAGTTCAAAAACCAGATTGAGACTTGGATTAGATCTCGTGCTCGTTTCTTCCGGGACGCCAAGCAAAATGTCATGGAATCCACTATGGGAAGACTTATATCTCTTCTGGCACATCATCCCGATTTCAGCCCGGAACCTGAGGAATTAGTTGATCACGCAAGGTATCTTCTCTTCTACTTGAGTAATGTCGCTACTGAAGCCAATTTTGGCATGATATTCAAATATGCAGAACGCGTGAAACAGACGCTTGATGGCATTGACACCTCCAAAAGCGAAAGATTATACATTCTCAGCGATCTTGCTCAGAGCTTGCTACGAAAATGGCAAGAGCGGAAGAACTGGAGTTTCCAAGCCTATTCTAGCAAGGTTGGTCTACCCGTGGGATTATATACCTCTCTTCCTAGTCATCAAGCGGCGCAGGAGATCGCAGAGAAGCAGTACCTCCCGGAAGAAATAGATGAGCAATTGGACAACCTCTTGAGGTCGGTAGACAAGAAAAAGGTATGCGCGAGATTTCGCGGCCCTCTAGTACTACACTCCTAATTACTTGTGGTTAACATTGATTTCAGAAGCGCAAGAGCGCAGATGAGCGAACTGAAGGTCAGCCGGCGCAGAAGAAAGCTAGGGCTCCGGCTTCAAAAAATACTCCGAAAGTCAAAGTACCCCGGCCTTCAAAGGCTTCTTCAAGCCGGACGTCCGGGAAACCTAAGACTTCCACCCGGGCCAAAAAGGCTAAAGAATCGTCATCCCCTGCGCCAGAGGCTGCGAATCGGAGACGCAGTGGTCGCGCGAGGAACAATTCGTCTTATATAGAACGAGATGACTCCGCAGACGACGATGATATGTTGGAAGGGGTGGCTAAATGGCAATATTATGATGAAGATGGTAACCTTATCTCACACGAAGATGATGAAGGAGATGATACTTCTAGTTTGTCAGAGGTCACCGAGGATGAGGCAGAAGCTATGGATGAAGGAAACGAGACAGAGGAAAAGGGTGAACCGGAGCCGAAGCCTGTTAAGGATGATGAAGAAGAGTCTGAACTTAGCGACATCGAAGACGATCTTGAAAACGACACCTCACCACCTCTATCGAAGCCAACAGGACGCAAGGGCCGCTCCGCTGCTACCACTGCCCCAGTGGCAAAGAACCTACCCTCTAGACCGGCCGTTAAAGATGCCACACCAAAGGGCAAATCGGCTACAGCCAATAGTACGAAACCAAAACCAGCGCCCAAGGCCAGGCCCATTAACACTCGAGCGACGAGATCTCGAAGAGCAGCCGCCGAGGACGAAGTGGATGGAGACTCTGAGTAGGGCATTGTAATTCGAAATGATGATACTGGGAGCGCTCAAGCAAACATTATCGTTGCTTATTCATTCGGGACATTATGATTTGGGGGCTAAGGTAGTGCTGGGAATGGGTGCTTTGATGAGATAACGATGATTAATCTTTTGCTTTTCATTTTATCCTTTTGCTTCCCTCCTGAGGGGCATCTCTCTCACATACTTTCGGTCCTAGGTACCTGGTTACCCTGTTCTCCCTAAAACGCCATCGTCATATGCATTCTATAATATCGACGCTCCCTGCGCCTGTGTGCCGTTGTTATACCCGGGTAGTTTAATCAAAACTTTATTCTAAGCAATATCTTGATGAAACCCATGTCATCTCATCTTATGGTCGGGGGCTCGTTTCAGAGGTCACTCTATGTGCATGGAAGAACTATCGTAGAGTTTGACTGAGTGTGAAGAAATAACTGGATGTATTCCCCTCAATCTGTTTTTATTTTTCTTTCAAGTATACAAGAAAATTCAAGTATACTAGCAACGCTAAACGGTTGCAGAACGAATAGAACGCCGGATTACACCGCTTGCCGACCGTGGTCCGTTCCTTTTCCGTTGTTGTTGCCTAAGAGCCAACCCGCCGGCCTTCCTGAACTCCTTTAAACACATTCATTCGCTGAATTTAATCTCTGCTGATTGATGGGTGGGTTATCCTTCTCTCCTCTCCCATACCTAGTCAACACGGGTAAAGTGCTAAAGAAAACATGGCAAGAAAGAAAAATCACCTATCGTCAGGTTCTGTACTAGGCAAACACAACTCCTCACAATAGACCGTGATAGTGCGCCCACTCAGCGTGCCTTTCGCTGTTGGTCTCGCGCTTTCCAGTTATCTCGTATGCTTCTCGCAGCATTGTGTAGATCCTCCTGAGTTACACCATCACGGATGCTCTCGATGACATTGTTCACGACGCTGATGTGGTTACCCTCGTTCTTGTCGTCGCGAAAGCGTGAGAAGCGCCACCGCTTCTGTGAGTCCATGTAGGCCTCAACGATGCGCTCGTCCAGAGGATCACCAAGCCCCTTCAGAATCTCCCATTCGGACTCTTCAAGGTGCAGATCGGCGTAATACTGGTAGCCGTTTGGCCAGCCGCCTCCGTGGTGAGCGAAGAGCTGCACAGCTGGTACGGCCTCCCAATCGGTGAAGGGCTGGGTGATGCCGTCGGCACGGTCGAACTCGTCGGGCTCGACGATCGGGAAAGTAAACTTCCAGACAAAATCAACAGTGTTCTCCTCGGCATCTTTCCATTTAAGAATATGCGGGTCCGTGCCCGGTTTGTACTCGCTCTTCAAACAAGTGAAGATGAGCCCGTCGTTGCCATGTTTGAGGTTGCGGATCACGTCCTTAAACATCATTTCAATGCCATAGGCGAACTGCATGGACTTAGGGTCTACGAAAAAGGGTTGGTACTGTCGCTCGCCCGGGAACTCGTCGAGGAGCCTCTTGTATGGTTTGAGCACCTGCTCCTGGAAGTAGCCCAAGCGCTTGCCGAGCTCGCGGTTCATAAGCACTTGCCCGTCCATAACCAAGCAATCGAAGACGAGGTATCTCGGCTCCTTGCGTCCGTCGTCGAGGGTGTCCATGACGAGCTCGCCATCCAAGACGGTGGCGGTGTGGAATTTCATGCGGTCGCTAGGGAGGGGGAAGTGGAGGTTGCCACGGTCGATCCACCAGTAGTCGTTTTTCCGGTCGATGAAGTAGTGCACCTCTTGGCCCTCGTCGCCCTCGGTCATGTATAGCAGGTAGCGCATGCCGTCCGATTTCTCGCATACGTAGTAGCTGATTAAAGAGTGCCTTGTTAGCCTCATTGTGTGTTTGGGTTTGGACATGTGATGACTATGATGATGCCGCTTTGTCTACCTAGTAACACTCGCATAAAGTGAACAAGAGGGGATTCTTACTCTTCACGGTGCAACTCTTCGAGATGCCTTCGGGCAAAACTGACGGGTTGGGCGCCCGGAAATCCGATAGCATTGCGGCCGAGGAGGTTGGCGACCTCTCTGCGCATGGACACGAGGAGGTCGCCCTCAGCCCTTAATCCGGGCTCGTCAATGGACTGGATCTGGACAGGCGCGCCTGTCCCACTCTTATCCATTGTGACAAGGGAGACGAAGCGCGTTTCTCATGCACAGATGCACAGGAGCCCGGGGGGAGGTAGTCGAAGGCGGAAACGTTGGGTAGACAAGGCTGAGGCGAGATCAACACGGTGGGAAGAATGGTGTTTAGTCAAACTAGTAACGACTACTCGCAGGCAGATGTGGGTATGAATGGGTTTGGAAGAGCGTGTTTAAAAGCATTGCAGAACCGTATAACATAGCTTGGAAAAAGCGAACAGTAGATTAGAAGTGAGCGCACGTACGCGAGAAGTCTAAATGAAACTGGGAGAAGACATCGGCTTTGTCGTCCCAGGCTCAAAGTTGCGATTTCTTGCCCTTTCTATCGCTCTGTTGGGCTGGGGTAGGTACCTATCTGGTAGGGGTAGCTCTTGTCTACTAACAGATGTATATGTATGTATATGTACCTACATGTACGTAGTACCCAGTACCTACCCAGTCCTCCGTAGGGAGGTGGAGGAACTTGCTAAAGGAAGGGGGTGCAAATCCAGAGCCGACAGACCAGCGGCTGCTTGTCAGAATCATCACACTCATTTGGACAAAATTCTTGCAGTCATATATGGGTCATCACATCGTGTAACATTCACAATCATTCACAATCAAAATAGGTACCTATCCAATTAGCGCCTGTTTCAACGGTGTGATCTGCCAGGATCTCCCATACCCAATGAACGCTATTAGCAGTGCTGGTAATTGTAGTGTTACCTGAACTGGTAATTAAGGTACATAACGCTACACCGAATTGGGACAACTTCCATTACCTACGGTAGGCAGGTAGTAAGTACCTAGGCGGAATCCTGAGTTCTAGCTATGTAGATCTTTTAAGGTGCTAAGATCCAGAAAAACTAGGTCACGGAGTACCCATGGTTACCCATGGGAGTCTACCTATTTAGTACATCCACCATTATCCATATATTATATATCCATGCGTAGATTACCTCTGATCTGGCTTTCTTAGACCAACCCAGCTTAGGTTCGTCATCTAAGGCGACATTTTCTAGGGAATTCAGGCATTGTCAAAGCTACGCATCAGTGATATTCTCATTCTCCAAGTAGAACGCGAGGAGACACATTTCCCAACTTATGGGATGTATGATAATTGGAAAGCTTCACCCCAACAGCCACACTCTCCCAACGAAACTAGAAGGTGAAGCTTGACAAGTTCTACTTAGATAACCCCCAAAGTCTAGGAAACCGGGCAAGACTCTAACTCTACATGGCGTAGCATAGTCTAAAATTGAAATGCCTTGCATTTGAATTTTCACTGTATGTAAAATACCAAGCATCCCGTACGGCCAAAGCCACTAGGGAACTCAAAGTCCCGTCCTCCCCCCCAACAATAAGCCGATGAGCGCAGGGATTTCTATTATAGAGCGAATAGCGACACACGTAGAGGAAGAAACAAGAAACAAATTAGTTGTGTCTCTTTGATTAAGCGTGTCATTGTGTAGGGGCCATGCTACTGTGGAATTGCTCGAGGTCTTACGATATCAGCTCTGCCTAATCAAACTCACTGTCGAGGAAATAAAAAAATCGTTTCAAAATGAAGCATGATCTTATTTAGCTTTGTATTAACTACCAAACGCGGCCGGGCGTGCGTTGAATATGCTGCTCTGCCTTGTAAATCTCTTAGACTCGGACAAGAAAATAGGTCGATATTAGTAAGTGATATTATTTTACACGTATTTGACAATCAAATGACTTCGCTATCGAGAGTTGGTGGAATGTCAGGATGTATCTCAGGTTTGATAGTCGGTACCTATTGGCTGACTGGCGCCCAGGGACACGCACACTAGATGTTGAGATTTATGTCAAGAATGAAATGCTCGCCGGAGTGTCTGAAGATATTCGGTGTGTGTGACACCAGATGCTTCCATATATAGTTGGATCTGTTGTATAAATACAACAAATAGCGAAGATGTGCTATAGCTAAGTGTACAGCGCTTTTGGCATATATCTCAGATATTGTAGATCGCTCAGTCAACTCGATTCCATTAATTATCTACACACCAACTATGAAAGGGGCAGATGACTGGGCAGAAGGTTGCGCCATCCAATTCCTTCATGGCTTTGATGGCTTGAATTCGACTCTATCTACTATCAGCGTACCTATTCTGACCGCCTAGGCCTAATTGATCTGTTCCATTAAGCGAACTCTGTATAACCTCACTTTCACTGCGTGTCTCGTGAACGTTATGAAGGGGGCTTTTGCGTTCCATACGCCCGTAGCCATGTACACATGTAACACAAACACATAAACTGAAGTAAACGTCAACCTTTACATTTCAATCAATGTTGCATCATCAAGTAATAAATAACTAACAAGCCTATTCTTCGTATTATGCCAGGTCAAATGCTTGTGATATAATTTACTTTGTCAGAAAAAGAAACCAAGAATAGAGGGGAAGACCACAAACGATTATTATATATATATACCTAACGATGTTTCATACTACCAGATATGTGGTACAGGCTATCAGGTTCTTGACCTAATGAACTTCTACTTAGGTAGTGTCGTGATACAGAACACTGTAACTGTATATAGCCAAACTGACTTTACGGTTCTAGTCTCTCGCTGTATGCTGCCTTTGAGAGATAGTTGTCCTGAGAATGTAGATCACGTCCACGTCACAATAATACTCTAACAGGACTAGCACTCACGATTATTGACATTTGGCATGATGATTTCTTCCAGTCCAAGAATTTGTATAGGCGAAGGATGAGGTGGTCTAGTAGTCCTCATATATATGACATATCATCCCGTCTGTGACCCAAGTGACAAGTCTATGCATAGGTAGCCGTTGGGCTGAATACAGTAACCCGAGGTACATAGATAAAAATGATGGCATGTTAGGGGTGGTGAGTGTGGCCCCAGTGAGAAAGAGGCTTACGCTCGGGTAAATCGCATGGAATACTGCGTCCAATTAGACTGAATGACCATTCGTTGGGCACCAATACTAGGCAAGCCCAGCACCCCAAGACGATCCCCCAGGTTGTGTGGGGAAGCGAAAGTGAGGCGCGACAAATGGTCTATCAGCGCATGAGAGGGAGTGGGCTCCAATACCATACGACAACCTCAAGGGGGTCGGAAAATCGCCAGATGGAAAACAGCTCACAGCCAAGCTGGGCCGAAAAAAATAGCGCGAGCGGCAGGGTCATGAAGGCGGTAGCCGTGCTTAGATGGGCGCACAAAACGAGATGAGATAATTATGCTAAGAATATGATGACCCAGCTCTGTACAAACGCCAAAATGCGATTACCCAACCCCTCTGCGTCGAGAGACCTAGCTATCTTACGTGAACTCTTCATCATGATGAAAACCAACTTGAAGCCAAAGAGACAGCCAAAGAACTGAAGAAAACCGAACATCATAACTCGTAGAGCCGAAACCTGTACCAATGAATCAATGCCTGTGGATATGAATGGGAAGATGAAACGCCAAATCCTGCTGGAACCTATGAATACTCCGTCGCAATGCTTCTTTTGAATTCTTAAACACTCATAATATTCGTATGATTCGTCTTAGACTTTTCGTAATTCCAGAGCTCTAACCTTAAGTTTCAGGGTGACGGAGGTGTGAGAGCCCCATAATCAGGCCTCTGCTGGAGGATCAGGCGTTGGCGCCGGTGCCTCCTCTGCGCCTCCATCGCCGCCGCCGCCTGCCACCGCATCCGACCCCTGAGACATCTTGGAGACGCCGGATGGTCGTCTTCGATGATGGTGGTGACGGCGACGCTTGCGCCCTTGCTTGCGGAAACGGATCGATCTTCGGTAAACGTAGCAGAATATTGCAGCAAAGATGACGAAGGCAGTAACCAAAAGGCTTGCTACGAGGCTCGTAACGGCGTTGGGGCTGAGATCGCGCTTGCCTAGCGAGCGCCTGCTTGTAGGAGAAGAGGCAGTAGTGTCGCTGGATATGGCTGTGGAGATTGTCTCAATAATCAAGGCAAGAAGATACCGGTAATGATAGCGCGGATTCGAGAATGTATTGCTGTAAGTATGAGGAATAAGATGTGAGATGGGGAGTATTTGTTGCCATTGTCCAGCCCCGGATATCCCAGTTCGAGGGTCCGGGGGAACCTTGTTACGGATGTCGGGGATATACATTTAAACCAAGTTCGTGAAATGTCGAACAACCTGCTATACAGTGTACCGTGTTTGTATTACCAGGCTTTGGATGATTAGTTTGTGATTGGCTAAGTGTGTTAGAAAACGGTATGCTGTGAATCGTCTGGCGCATATATACACAGCCTAGAGCCGAGAGTCAAAGTAGAGCAGAGGGTTAGAATATCAGAAATAGAAGGCAACCTGGTCGCGGTCTAGCCAGGCTCAATGGCGCGGTTAAGTCTTTTAAATTGTAAGTGCTGCGTGTACAGCCAGTTCCCCCATCCCTTCTCCATCGCAAATACATGCCGCAGCCGTGGGTTCGCGGAAGCGAAGCAACTCGACCCGGAATCTCGGGGTCTTGTCCGAGGCCATTTGCGCACGCAAGTGCTGCAGTTCTTTGAGTTGCTGAACGAATGAGGTCAGCAAATCGTGGGGGACGCACGCAGTGTGATATTGAATGTCATTTGTCCCCGTTCGTCCCCTTCTCCGCCTTGAGTGGCCAACGAGCTAGCATCCAACATGCAATGCGGGCTGAGGCGACCCTCGTATATAAGGCGCATGCATATTAGAACAATCCTCTCATTCGCTTCTTAGTCGCCCCCGAGACCAGCGAACTAGAATCATCGGGGCAAGCCAGAATCGTGGCATGCGATGGGGAAAGCGTGGGAATAGTGCATGCAGCAACGTTTTTGACTATCATTGGTCATCTTGGCGAATCTGTCTCATTGGCGCCTAGTTTTTTGTAAGTGGCTACGACAAACACTTTATAAGTATATCGCGTATATGCAGTCCTCTTTTCTATTTCATGAAAGAGTTGATCGCATCTAGGAGCTTCTGATACGATACCAGTGCAGAACCGGCAGAGAAAGACAGACGTAGAGTGATTGCGATGAGTTGCCCATTATCAAGAAGATCAGCCTGCGCTCCGCCTTAACTGTCGATATTTCCCGAGTATCGGCGTGTCACATGGCTTGTGACTGTTACCAATCGGCGGAAGTCGGGCGCCCGCGGATTCGTGAGTCGTGGTTACGCTGACGGTCGCTCCACTGTGGACGTCGTTGTCTTAGGATAAACACGGTCATCTGATCATCGTGAATATCGGTGAGAGCGGCCATTGGCGAAGAAACCATATCGCGAGACACAATCTTCCAGCTCGATATATGTATATCGGGAGAATGAGTTGTACACCTGATTGACTCTGCACGACGATCCCTTCAGAGAACAACGACTGTGGCCGCAATGTATTGCTTGGCCAGCCATGTTATCATAACGAGAAACTCGAACTGCCGGATGCGACAACCAGGCATACATTCATGTCTTGTCGCCGTTATTGCTCAAGCGGGAAAGTGTTTGCCGAGAGCACCAATATCTGTGTGCCTCAGACGGTGACTCCATTATAGACATCGACATCATATGGCAGACGATAACTGCCGTATCATTCTTGTCTTTGAGCCGTTCAGCCTTCATGAAGTTGTTATATCGTATTTTTTATAGGGAACACCCAGGTTATTGAGATCCAGGAAATTTTGGATGAATTCAAAAGGCTTACGTCATAATTTCTCTCACTGGTGACACTACCTAGGTAGAGATGAAGCTTATGATCGTACAGGCAGGTTCTGTGGTCCACAGCGTCACCGGCATACCTCCTATTTGATAATATTTGAGACTATATATCAAGATATACTATTTTAAGTATAATTCAAACCCATGGAGGCTCACAAGTGCTGATGATTATTAGACACACACTAACGTGTTGTCTTGTAGTTCCAAACAAGCTCGGTCATTCTCTCCCAGAACGGTAGAAAATTTGGCCTACGATCCTCTATAAGAGTCACAAGTATTGGCTTTTGAGTAGCACTGAAACAGTCCTATAGTTATAGTTCTGGATGAAGTACCTGAATCAAACAAAATTCCTTCTGTGTCGACGGCCCCCGATGCTCCGATCTTAGCGTTACAAGACTATGTGTATGATCGAACCTCCGTTATACATACCCCCCTGCTACATATTTCCCCAGCACGCTGTTAAAGACTGAACGTTCCGTCTTCCAACCCCTTGACCAATTCACCTGTGGTATCATCCAGACTCTCCTGGGGGAGTCCAAGGATCTCATTTGAGGTCGAGTGTCTTGCTTCGTAGTCTGCATCCGCGCTTGGGTAAAAGGCGCGGGAATACATAGCTTTAACAAATCCTAACCTGTTACCTTGTCGCATCTCCGTGAATCCGTCGGCGACACGCTTACTTGACGGTTCTGACTTGATATCCCAGTCCCTGTCATTTGTCCCCTGTGCGCGCTGGACACTATCGAGCATGTCTCGCTGGCTGACGCAAAAGCTGTTGAAACGAAATGGCTTGTTCTTGAAGTCCGATAATGATGGTGTTGCACCGCTCTCGGGGAGACTTAGCAGAGCGGCGAATGCCCGTCCACACTGCCTGAAAGTACTAACACTGAGCTTGGTGGCGCCGTAGTCAAATAGTATAGCTTTCTTGGACTTTATGTCAATGCCGAAGGCATTCTCTCCGAGGGCCAGACTCCACTCGTACCAGAAGCCGCAGCACATGGTGATGTGGTTTAGACCTAGGCTTTCAATTTCCTTCACTTTAGCAAGTGCCCCCTGATGGTAAGGTTCGTCTCGAACCATGTTCTCATTGGCAACATCAGCGCCGTATGTGGTAGGCATGATGTAGGAGACACCAGCTTTGGCTGCGGCCTTGACAATAAAGCTATGCGTGTTTGGTGGAGCCGAGGCTGCGAGAACGATGGCGAGAAACTCTTGGCCTTGAAGAGCGGCAACTAGAGATTCCTCGCTACTGTAGTCGACTTGGGCAATGTTGACGTCGGCTGGAAGTTTGTCTCTACTATTACCGCGAGTCAAAGCTGTGATCGTGTGCTGACCCGTCTTGAGAAGTTCGTCAACAAAATAGCGGCCGAGGCGACCTGTTGCCTAATTATCACTTATTAGAGATGAGATTCCAGAATTGGCAAGTTCTTGAATCGCTTACACCGACGATGGCAATTTTCTTGAGGTGACCGATGGTAGACATAATGGAGGTAATTTTTTTTTTAAAAAAAAAAATCTCAAAGAAGATATTTGCTTTGAGAATACCCTTTGGTTCTGAAGTGTAAAGTTGAGTTATACAAGTTATAATATTTAAGCTTGAGTTTTGGAACGCTTGATTGAGACGACGATAATGACTTACTCTAATCAGTCTTAACGAAAAAGAAATACTACAGTTCTTATATGACCAAGCATAGCTCCTATTAGGATATATATATATATGTAGGAGCAGCTAATGATGTTTTTGATGACATAGATGAATAGGAGTGGTAACCGGAGATACTGTCAAATCCAACTCCTCAGAACGGCGCTAAAGGGGTTCATAGCAGTAACCAAACAGCGGGAAGCTACTTGGCATCATGGCTTCATAGCAAAAGTTACCCACTCTTAATTCCAAAGCTATCGTCGTCTTAGTCTGGTGCCTACTTAATCAGTCAATAGGTACTCTAGAGCGTGCAATGCCAACGGAAAGTTCCTGCGATCCGGCCTTTTCGGGGTCGTCGGACAGAGTCGGACTTACGGACATAGTGACTAAAAAGGAAACCTCTATCTCCGTATACTGGTCAGGCATTCTCGCGTTGCGTATATTCTAGCTTTCCATCAGAAATGAAGACAGTTTGTCAGCAAAACCGCTTCATAATTTCTTGCGGCTTTAGTTTACGACGGCGAATATTTGCAACCCGCAACATTCACGGATCTTTGTCAGAGCCCGTAACGAAGCTAAAGCCGGCATTGAGATCTGAGTGAGAAAACGCTCAAGGTATATCCTCATCAATGACGATGGTCATTATTATAAATGTGTCGGTAAGGCATCTGCTTTCAACTTGGCTACACAGACATGTATTATACTGACTTGTCATATGTCTTGTGTCTTGTTCGAATCTCATCTCAACATCGAATTGGCATAAGAATTGGAGATTGACAGCCCAATGCAACCGAAACATAAGTACCAACTCATTGTCCCCTGTTCAATCGGCATCCGCGATGATGAATTCTACATTCGACCACACATTTCTTTTTTGTCTGTATTTAGATTCACATTAATTGCTTTTGAAGGACTGTAAGAAGCTGACAGCCTGATAAGACGCCGCTCTACCTAGACCTGAGCAAGGGGCAAGCAAGGGTCTTAAGACTAGGATTCGCCAAAACGCACTGACCCACAACGTGGCGTGACGCGACGTGTTGTCTCAGCTCAGTGCTCATCAATTTAACTATTTTTTTGATAATCATTGCTTTTCATCGCCTCATGAACTAGTCACTCAAGTGACTCGCGGTATCTGCTACTGATTTCTTCCATTAATTCACCGATGATGTCTTACCAATCGAATATCCTGCATCCTGTAACCATAGATCTCACCCGGAGCTCACGCTCACGCTCAATCTCACCTTTACCCTCCGCACCCGCAGATATACTGAAAATCGCGAATGCACCGGAAGACGTTGTGCGTGCAGTTCTCATTGCCCTATGCCAGGATCCCATGCAGAAGAGGAAAGCTATGTCGCATATGGAGAAGTTGAGTCAGCTCAAGTCGGAGCAGCCCCAGAGCCAGAGTCTCAAGGGTGATGCTAGCACAAGGGATATCAATGGCGCGACCAACCAGACCGACGCAAAAAAGACGAATAAACGAAGGGCCATTGCGGAAATGGCTATTTGCGAGAATTGCAATGAGCCTTTCAGTCAAGATACCAATTCTCCCGAGGCCTGCCATTACCACCCAGGTTCGTCTGTCGTATTCCCGCGTTATCTATGGTACCTGTGTTATGAATAATGGGTTCCCGTGATGTCCAGCTAACAAGACACCTTGGTAGGCGAAATGGAATGTGATAACGAGTCTGATTTTTGGGCAGATCACGATGATGATTGCCATGGTGACAGATTCTCAAAGGAATTGATGGAGGAATACCCTGAAGGGTATATCTGGAGCTGCTGTGAACAACCGGGTGACAGTGACGGGTGTACTTTGGGATCACACGAGGGATTGTATAAGAAACCATATAATCAGACGTCGCTAATCTGGTAATATCTGTTTCGTGGATCAAGAGAAAGAAAACTTGTACTTTATTGTAGAATATATAGACACTTAATGTTGCGCAGCGGTCTTCAAATGCCTTTACATTCTAGATCGCGACTTATACGCAAGTCTCTCTATTGCTTTATATCCTTGAAGTGATAGGATAATTGTGATTTTCACACACTTATAACTCACTACAAAATGGCTGCTTAGTCATAAGCGCGAGACAACATTGTTCTTACAAATATTCGAGATACATGATTCAAGGAGAACTATGGAAAGAGATTCACGACATACTTTAGCAACCCCTCTCGCACATATTGGTTCCAAATCCATCTGTGCCGTACAATTACCGCCATCCCACTAACAAGTTCATCTCTTCTGGATACATCAATATAATGAGCGTGCCATCAACATGATTACTTTTCACACATCGATCTCTGTGAGTGAACCAACCTGGCCCTATTTCATGACCTTCTGATCCTTGCTAACATTCAAATCATTAAGCTTCATTCGTGCACCCGAAGTGTATCTACTTAGCGGTGTTACCATGCCTGGTGTTGCCCTGGCCATCACGCAGGGGCATGCTCGTCATTGAAAATCGAAACTTATCGACACGGTCCATCCTATCTAGTACCTTGGTCGGCATTCTGATTACCGTCTCCCTGTGAAAGGTCTGCGTACTGTAGTCGTAGGAGCAGAGTAGAACTCGTCTCATGCCGCCTTCTTGACCGCAAACCAATGCAGTTGTTGGGGGGTGAACAGACCGGATGAGCGATGCAGTCATCGAGTACTATGGGTTACTGGGGTCAGCCATTTGTTCCTTCAAGTGAAATAAGTACAATAGCATCGTTGTCCTCATAGATGGTCTTTGCCTCTACAAGTAGCTCTTAAGAAAGAAAGGAAAGTAGGTAGCATACCGTATCAACGATGGTGAAAATTCGGTCTCTATCCGTACCGTCAGGATTAGAATTTCCAAGGACTGCATCCTTAGGCTTCAGTGGTTCAACCTCATCTTCGATCCACTTAGTATCATCTGTGGTTGGCTTGAAGTCGTGAAGTGACTGCGTGCTGCCCCATGTACTCCATTGTAGCCGGCCTTGGGTAAAGCCGAAGAGCCGAAGTTCAAGCCACTCGAGGTCAGCTTGGCCCTCAAGACCAAACAGCAATGCTTGTGTCGACCAAAACTTGCCACTATATAACGACATCATAACATGTGGGAGGGAGGCGACGGTGGAGAATGCAATTAGGAAAAAGACAATGCCGACGGCCACTAGTGGATTTGGCTGATACTCTATTTTACCAGTCCTCGAATTGTAGCCTGTTGGGAACGGCGTTGAGAAGCTTACGAGTGTGATGATGGCTATGATCAGCCAACCTGGGGCGAAGCGAACGATGAATGAGCCGATCATACGCCAGATCGTCTCACGCTTTTCGAAGCCCACTTGCGTCAACTCGCCCCAGTTGATCGTGGCGCCAAAGGCACCATCTAATATAACGGTCTCGTTCGAGGCGATGGCAGCCACCTGTACGGTGGGCTCGATGTCCCATAGCTTGACGCCCCAGAAATCTTCCATCACATACCACGGTTTGCCTCTACTCTCTGGGAGGGTGCAGATCAGCCGTTCAAGGAGGGAGTTAGAATCATTAAGGAGGGAAAGCTTCGCGAAGGCGTCAAAGAGGGTATCGTTCTCGTCAGGCACGGGCCGCCTTCTCACCATTGTCATCAAAGCATAGATCCGGTCTGCTTCCATGTGTTTATAGGTTTCGCGATTAATCAGACACTCAAGCCCAATAGTGAGAAGCTCGGTGAGCGTTAGCTGCTGACTGGCTTCGAAATGGTCGACTAGCTGGCGGATTAAGGCTCCGTCCTCGGGATATGCTCTTGCAGCCATGTTCCTCTTTGGTATAGTGTCAAAGTAATACACCCCATTCTTGAGGAGATAAATCTTCAAGTCATGCCTGGTGGGAGCCAACAGCATTTCTGGTAGTGTCCAGAGCCGAGATGACCAGCTTTGTAGCAACTTATCCATCTCCTGAGTGGGTAGACCCAATGCTCGGGTCTTTATCGTATCCTGAAGAGCAATCACCATACTCTTGGCACCTCGCGCAACGTCACAGATGCGGTGAGAGTCCATTGTACTGGGGCTGCCATCGTCCATGCAGAAGACATCGATCCAGAATGCCTTTACGCCAGCATCAAGTGCAGCTCGGATACCGATTTGGACCAGTCGCTGGCGATCCTCCTCGCAATGAGATATCATAAAGTTCCGTTTTACCTGTTCCTCTTCTGTGGCCGGTAGCTCCCATTTTTTCAGGCGTTCCCGAGTATAAGTGCAAAATTGGTCCCGAGTATAAGACACAAAAACGTATTCACCCTTCTCATCGGTTGAGTTATTTGCGTTATACTCATTCGAGTTCACCACATCAAAGTCGACTGGGGTTGATTGAGAGGAGCAATCGTTATCGCGTACCACGCAGAGCTTTCGAGGGCGGAGATGACGGTTGAATATTAGCGTTCCATCATCAAATCTATCTTCATCTTTTCGACTTGAGGGTGGAGGGCTATCACCACTAGGCATTGGACCAATGCCTGCTGGTTGCAGGAGTGGAGCCGATTCATCTGTTTTCTAGAATAGGCGTTAGAAAGATGTCGGATTGGCACGGAATAGGAACATAAACCAGCAAATTCTGTCCTTTAGTGATGGTTGAGATACTTACATTGGATCTAGCTGCCTCGCCCCTATTTCTTGGTGTCTTCGCATATGAGAAGTACTTGTACCGTACGGGAGGGTATCGCCCCCCAGGATAACTCTTCCCATCAAAGTTTCCAAACAAGGCCTACATACATCAAGATACTAGGTCAGCGCATATCCTCCGATAGGACATTAGCACATCTGGGTGTTTGAACTAACCGTGAAAGTGAGGACCAAGCTTGCGATTGGGTATTTCCAATATATCTCTGTTGGTACAGCGTTAGCAGAGTGGCCATCAGGCTGACTCATGCTGGACTTACCATTCCTGTCGTATGGAGTTTGCGCCTCAGGAAGAGAGCCCTCTAAAACGGCTTCCTCTCTAAGCCGTTCATTATAGGTCCAAGTGAGAATATTCTTTGGTGACTCTCGGAATGCCTTCCAGGCATGGGCAACGGGGTGTGGTGTCAGTGGGCTGGACCAGCTAGTGACGAGGCCTGGGTCCCTGTTGTAGTCTTTCGCACACTGCACTCTCAACAATACCAATTTTCCATCGTCGGGATTAAGAAAGTGGTCCTTGTACTTTTCTGTGGCTCCCACTTGAATGTATCGGTTGAGGCTATCTTTATGATCTTGCCTACCACTGGTGACCTGGTTGTGGCGATGCTTAGGGGCGCCATTATGTATCTCACGCGCTGAGCTTTGAGCAACCTTACCCTCTTCTAGATCACGAGCATTCACCTCAATCTCTGAGTGATTCATTGTGCTCTATGGAGGGTAGAATGGACTGCGTTCGTAAGCCTGAATTGCCAGTTGAGTTACACATATGGGTTGTAGAACAGATGGAAGAAGACCGATGGGGGTTGTGGGTTTTTGTAACTTACAGGAGCCATTGTACATGCGTGTACATCGTTGTGGAAATTAAATCATGTGTACTGAGTTCGCTTTCCGAGTTGCAGATGATAACTCGATGTTGGACAGCATGTGTACGGAGTATACCTACCTCAAATGTTAGCACGGGTACACAAAACAAGCATTCGCAAAGGGTGTACTAGGGCTGAAGCCAGGGTGTAGCCAGGATTCTCCTAGAGAGATCAGGAGTGTATATTGGATGTGGCTTTCAGCCTCAAAATGCCTGCCCAGAGAGGGTTCCGTTCCATATCTCCCATCGAAACGCTCTCAGCCGATAGGGGTCGTACGTCTAGACTCTCGTATAGAGTTACGCCCATTCTATTTTTACCGTATAAGGTTGGGAAGGGCGGAATTTCTAGTCAAATGACGGACAGCAGGTGTCATAGAAGGATGCTTGATAATATATGTAGAGTGGTACAGCTCCCGCGCCACTCACTCAATGCTACCGATATCGCAATGTTTCAGCATCTTCATTGAAAGTCGTTGCCTATTGAGGCATATCAGCAGTGATGTCGCTCATGATCCTATCTAGCCCCAATCCTCCTCAAAAGTCCTTGCATTTTACGTATTCAAGGGCTCAAATTTACTAGGATTGAAGTGCAAACTGGGCGCTCTCTCACAACGTGAACCAATGCTACACTACTTTTATGTTGCGCGTCGGGGGCTAAAAAGCCTGCCCACGCCCGCCACCCTATTTCTATCAAAGAGAAAAGGATGGTGCATATATGGCTCATTTACTCATTAAAAGCTAGTCAACTATTCGTCTGATCAACTCATAGCATTCATTGCTACATGAGTATCTCACTAAGAACCGCTACCCCCAGAGGATTAAGCTAGATATGCCAATATTTGCGCCACTTCGTGTCAGCCTCAATGCGCCTTTGTCTGGTACACTCCGTAGTATCAAGCACTATTCATTTGTGCTGTTCAATAACGCGCAGCTTCAGCCCGTAGGGTAAGTTGGCGCTGGTCTAGTCGTAAACCTAGGAAAGGAGGGTGTACTATTCTTTGCTGGATGTTGCGTATATGGGTGAAATATTATGGGTTTCACAATCGTGCACAAACAGGAAAACTATCGAAGGGGAAGCGATTATAGATTGGTTAAATGAATAAGATGCTAATTGGAAAATGGCTGCATCGTTGGAGCACGATCCTGAACACCTGCCGCAAATATGCCCTCGTGAGCTACCCGTGCCATTAAAAAATAAATAAAATTTTCAACATGCTTCAGCTACATATTTATTGATTCAAGTCTATTACCTAATTTTTGGATTGGAATATCATTCCCATGCCCCAGATTTTATTCATGCTATATGCGTCCAACGGTACAGGTTGAGCGCCTCTGCTGACGACAGGCTCAGTTTCCCTGAGGTGAACAATCCCAACACCGTAGGTAGGCTCGGTGATGCCCCTCTACCTGACAGATGGGTTTGTTCATTCTTTGTTCTTGAAAATCAATACGGGCACTCTATATCGTGGAGTTTAGTCATTTGAGGGCAAATTTACCCTCATGCGCATCTGTTGCACGTGTCGGACAAGAAATGCATCTTAGCCCTGCAAACGTCCACCATTCCAAATAAAAGCGACGAGCCTTAAATAGCCACGGAGGCTAATCAGCAGTACAAAAGCTATGTTCAACTCGCCGTCAATGGCAAATATACTGATGACGCACAGATGTTGTGCTTTACAGCGGCTGTTCACGGAAAACATACTCGATCCCTAGCCCTTCGTTAATATTGTCTCGCTTGTGAGATGCTTTGCGATGCATGCAGTGACATCTTCTCGGTCCCAAGGAAGCTTGCATATGGGAGCTACTATCCCTGGAGACAGACCAAGTCCTCCTTTGAAGATGCGCTGCGTACAGGTTGCCGTCTCTGCGCAACGATTCGAGAGAGTGTATCATATAATAGGGTCGAAATCGCCCGATTTCCGCAGGACATCCGGTACGCGTTCAAGGCTCGCAATCCGGCCTGGGCACGTAGTGGCACTGGTACCGAGTTCCTCATCCCATAGGAATCGAGAAAACATAAGTCTCTATATGGCGAGTCTGATTCTGACGATGAACGACCGCTGGAGGGATGGCTTGACGACTTGGAGAAGGATCCTACGCCGAATGGCTTAGGGTCACTTCTTGCTGATGATGCCGACAAGGTAATCGACGAAGCTAAAGATTCTTGGCTGGTGCTTGAACTATATGGTCCCGGCGTGCACGTTGTGCTTCCAATGGAGCTTGCTACCGGTGAGAGTCAACACAATACCTATTTTGTCCAGTTCACTAAGATATTGAAAAGAGAACGAATTGGAGGACCTCATGCAGAACAATATAGACGAGCAAGCCTCGACCGGCAGTAACGAGAACCTCAGACTTAGTAACGCATGGCTACAACACTGCCTAGCTAACCATACTCGCTGTGCACCTGACCGGCAGGATCCATGGCTTCCCAGTCGCCTGATTGACGTTGGTACGGTGAAAAACGAGACTGTCCGGCTAGTCTTGGGCAGTTCCCTAGATATAAGAAGTCCCTACGCTGCCCTGAGCCACCGCTGGGGTCGGGATACAACATTCGTCTTGACTTCGGCCAAGCTTGCCGCCTATCAGCAGGAAATAACTCTGGTGGAGGGCTCTTCGACTTTAAGGGACGCTATTGAAGTTACTAGGTCTCTAGGACTGCAATATTTGTGGATGGACTCGATGTGCATCGTTCAAGATGATGCAAGTGACTGGGCTCGTGTATCGGCCACCATGTCCAAAGTCTATGGTCTGTCTACTTGCACCATTGCGGCAGCAAACAGTGGTTCAGATGAAGGCGGTTGCTTTGCGCAACGAAATTAGTACCGGGTTCGTCCCTGTTGGATCCCGAACCCTTTCCGTGTGAATTCAAAGTACTGGTTCTACGCCAGGCCCGAGCACCTATATCGCATCTACGACAAGGAGATAAGGCGCTCCTTGTGGTATAACCGAGGCTGGGTCTTTCAAGAACGTACGCTTTCGCCCCGTCTTTTGGTATTTTCAGGCGCTCAGATACTGTGGACCTGTAAACAAATGCAAGCCGCTGAAACTTGGCCCTGCGGGGGAGAGATTGAGAATTACATTGACCGATTCAACACGTTTGCGGATGAGAAGACGCGGTTCCAGAAACTCCTTGACCCAAATTATGGAGTAACCAGAGATCAAGGACCCTGGTACAGCTTTATCAGGGAGTACATGACTTCGGATCTGACGGTGCAGGCTGATAGGCTCGTTGCCCTACAAGGCATCGTAGACGTCATGGGGGGCTATACTGGCCAGAGCTACTGTGGTGGATTTTGGCTTAATGAAGGCTTGCCGTACTCGCTGCTCTGGAGCGCTCAGAATCGACCTCTAACCCGTCCTACGAGCTACATTGCCCCATCATGGTCATGGGCGGCCCTAGATGGAGAAATCAAGCTAGATCCACCGAGTATGCCGGTGGGTGTAACGATGATTCGAATCCTCGGAGGGAAAGGATCGAACATATCGTGGTACAAGCCGATAGGAATGCCCGAGAGGCATTGCGCATTGCAGGTATGTTGCTTCCGGCAAGCATCATGACATCCAGCGAGGGAATGTTCGACCGGATTATGACTCGAAAAGCTGGAAAAAAGTTAGCTGCATATGTAAGCAAACATCATAATAAACAGTGTTATAACTGGGTTAGGAGTTTGCTAAATGAATCATAGCGCAACAGTGTAGGCACCGAATTCTGCAGAGGATGACGATTTGCTAACGTTACTGCAAGATTCGAGGTCGATCTGAAATCAAATTCCGCAATGCCATGAAACCCGTCCTTTCAAAAATAGGTTACCTGTGGCAGCATTACCTAAAATCCGTTGTCATCATCCTTATAGGTTTCCTGGCCCTTTTGCTCCTCATTCCTCTCTATCCCCTTTACCGGCTCTGGTTGGTCATATTGCCGGTTCTGAAGTCTGTCGCGCCTTATATACTTCGCTTTCTCGAGTTCTGCATAACTACAGCTTATAGAATTTGCTTTGCTTGGCACATTCGGCGCGTTGCTGTCCGGGAATAGCTCGAAAGGGCTCGCCATGAAGAGGACTCTCGACGTCGCCGCGAGGAGACAGAGGCTCGAACACAACGCGTGTTTGAGGATTTGGAAAGGGGTGTCAAGTTCCAAGAAATGGAGGAGGACTCAGCCGAAGATGCTCTACAGCCAGAATTGTCAGACGTCAAGGTCACCGAAGGGATGATGTTTTCCTTTGACGCTCCTATGGCTAGGAGTTGCGTGATACACGTATATTGCCTGCCTGTTATCAGAGCGGACAGTGAAATTTTCGGGTTACTTCTTCATCCAGCTGCTGGAGCAGCCAATCATTATGAGAGGCTGGGTATATTTAGGCTGCCATCCACGCAGTTGCATCAACTACATCAACTTGGAGGACATGAGGAGATCTTGCTCATCTAGATCACAGAGGAATGATGAGCTATGCTACTAGACTATAGAGAATTCCTTCTCGAACCAATCTGCTCGCAGCTTCGCAGTCTGGTCACCATATTGTGGCATGTCGCAATATCCTATTCGTTGGAATGTCCCATCATCCTTACCTTGCAGCACCAAGCTCCTAATGACTCCAGAATCATTTAGTATTTGTAATAAGGAGACATCGAGTGAGGAGACGTTCTGAAACTCCAGGGCGTCCAAGATGAGCGATATATTAGTGTGGCTTTGTGGTACGACTAGTTCAGAGTCTTCTGGGCTCCTCATCAGCTTCAAAATAGTCGCCTTCCCAGATATTCGTATTAGGCCAGAGATGTACTTGGTATATTTCTCCACGCCCGATTTAGGCTGGATGTGGAATTCCATAAGATTCGCCGTCACCTCCAGCGTGCTCCACATATGGTTCTTGAAATTCACTTGGCCGTCGATAGAAGTCCAGGACCAAGATGGCGCCCTATAACCCTGGGAGGGTCGCGGTAACGGCAGCTGTCCCTCAGCTCGTGCCCACATGAGCTGCGGAAGGAGGGCATAACTGAAGATACCTCCTAAATACTCGCCCAGCTCTGCACGATGCATCTTCTTTGCGATGCCAGAGATGGCATTCAATCTATCATCTAAAAACCCAAGACTGCGCTGCGTATACGCTTCGACGATGCTCGCCCATTGCTCGATTAAGATACCTTGCTGCTGATCCTGTTCTCCAGTGATCCGAAGCGCGAGTGACATGAGACCAGTTCGATACAGGAATGTGTTGAGCTTCAAGACATTCTTGCGACGCGCATCTGGGACACCACCGTACTTGGCAGAGTAGAGCACAGATGCTACTCGGCCTTCCATCACTGGCATTCCGTGTTGCTGTACATCGAAGGGAAGGACTGTGCCCCCATCGCGCTCGTTGCCGCTTAAACAACGAAACTCCATGCACAATGACCCGAACATCAGTAGGCGCGGTGCCAAGAGGTGCTCTTGCATCGTCCATCCACGCTTATGGATCGGTTCATCTCTATCGGGGTCAATCACAAGCAGCACACTGCCTTTCTTCTTGCGCGAGAACTCTGCACGAAGACGGATAGGTGTCTTCTCTAATTGTCGTGTCTGGAGAAAGCCGTCACGGCAGGTCGATGCCGTACCAGCGGATATTGTCACATATGAACGGTTGTAGATGTCCGTCATCCGGCTGATTTCCAACGACTTGTCTTCAGGATCATCTTGAACAATACAAATAGCATCTATCCAGATGTACTTAACTTTTAGCGCCCGAGTGACCGTAATCGCATCCTTGATGGTCTGCGGTAATTCATCTGAAGGTATCATTCGCAAGTTCTGCTGCAGTGTTGCCTTGGTGGTTGTTACTGGCTGAGGCCCGCCCCAGCAATAACTCAGGGTTACGTACATCCCATGTTTGAGCCCTTCTGCACGCGTATCAATAAGGCGCAGTGTTTCAGCCGAGACGTCAATGACCCGCGTAGGCAGAGGGCTTCTCTTGGGGCTTGGACACGTCGAATGCTTATTACAGCAGGTCTTCAGCCACTGACGAGCCTTCTCAAAAGCTCGCTCTGAACCGATATCCAAGCCAGGGGGTTGGATGGGAAGGGCTTTATTGGAAGGGTCATCTGTACACTGAGGATCAACATTACGGAGTTATATCATAGACAAATTTACACGCACTTGGGGGTGTATAAACATGATAGTATTGCGCCTGCTGGCTTTGTTCTTCATCGTCATCGTTCCATCCTTCTCTTGCAACGATAGCTCGCATGTCATCTTTACGATTTCGGTAGCGGCCCAGGCGGAGCTCAACGTTTGTCTCCGGACCTGCTTTCGTGACGCTAATGTATTGCTGTAGCAGCGCACAACTCTCTGCGCCAGCTTGCTGCTTCAGCTCTCCTAGTTGACCTAGGATGTGACTTTGGGTTCGATCATCCAGATTTACGACTACTTGGTTGCATATAGAGCATGAGTGAGCGATCTCAGCTACGCTACCGGTGATCGCTGTCATCGTGGCTTGAAAGCCTAATTGAATAGGGGTAGGTAGGTAACAACGCTATAGTCCCTGAAGGATTACTAATTCTCAAAGCGCAAAAGGTAGATCAAATTTGAATTGATTGGTCGAGAATAACGGGCTTCAATAGTCAAATTTCTTTTTCAAAGTATGACCTGATGCTTTACAATGATATTTCGACTCAATTTAAAACATTGAGGAGGATCTGACCGCTGAGAGCTAACTTGGAGTGGCTGGGATCACCAAGATTTAGTCAGCAAAGACCCCTGTCGACTCACTGATCATTTTGAGAAGTCCGACCTAGAGCTTCCTTTTGAAAGCCCGTCCACGTATCAAAATAGGTCTAATGAGGAACTTCTAAACTGACCAAAATCGTTAAGGATACTCACTAGGTTAGAGACGATCTACATGTGGGCTACGCAAGTGAAGACAGAACGTATGGACAATTGATCGACTATATACAGAATACCCCCTTTGTGTTCCTCCGAGCGTAAGTACCATAATATTTCCTTCACCCAGTAGCCAAGTTCCAATAAAAGATCGATTGTACATTCCCAAAAAGTTACGATAACATAGGGCTACTAATTCGCAAGCTGGTATAGCTGACTCACAGCGCCAAGTCCATTCCTCGCATACAACGCGAGGAAATGTGTAGAGTCTCGAGCAAATAGCCCAGGCCAATGTGAGGCAACTTCACCTGTCACCACAGCTCTGTTCCACGTGGCACCGCCATTTGTGCTCGTAATGACCTTCATCTGGGCGCCATCAGCACCAGTGCTTCCGACGCTCTCATCTGTCATGAATGATGCCACTAGCGTGCCACCGACATTGCATACTTGCGGCGCGATTGCTGTCCCGCCATTTGCCGCCGTGTACAGTCTTCCCCGTTCGCCCCAGCTCCTCCCATCGTTGTGTGAGAGTACATAGTCGATAGAAAATTTTCCAGATTCCGTGTTCTCAAAGACAGCGCTATTTATAATCATATTAGTATCATCTGAATTCCAAGGCGTCGCTTCTATGTGCTCTGGGACTCACATGAGGTTATTGCCGGAAATATTCGCGACACCTATCATGCCATCTCGGGAGGTTATACCGGAGCCGGAGACTAATATAGGGTTTGACCACTGCAATAGCGAAGTTCAGTAACAAGACCCTGCCAAACAAATTCGACTGTTAAGGTCTGCTTATGCCTCCTGTCGCAGCTCCCGACTTGTGGAAGTGAAATAGAAGTAAACGGTGGTGACTGATTTTCAGTCATTACTCACAGATCGACCACCATCTGATGACTCTCTCATGAAGCCATCTTGATCAGTGGAGCTATTCTCCGCTGAATAATAGCATTGAACGGTCCCATTATTGGCAACACGCAGGAACGGTTCCCATAGCCCGTTAACTCCAGATGCGGCACGCTGAGCAACGGTAGATAGGTAACTGAAAGTCCTGCCACCATCATCGGAATAACATACAGTGATACGATAGTATGTATACTGCGAGTTGGGGCGATCGTGGTTTCGAAAGGCATACAGGATACGACCGCTTGGTAGCTGCAATGGGCAGGCATTATCCAAATCGTGGGTGTTCTTGTCTACGCGGTAGACTTCGCCTAGTCGGCTCCAGGATAGGCCGCCGTTAGTAGACCTAGCAGTCCTTAGGACATGCTGTGTCCCATCTGTTGCCGCATAGCCAACGAGGATGCTGCCGTCTCTCAAGGCAGTAGCGCGGATATATACTCCATCAGAGTCAATAATAATAGGACTGCTTGCCTGGACAACTCGGCCTGCTAGCTTAGCTCGAAACAGCGAGCTGAAAAAAGAGCGGACGGCAGCGAGAATTGCGGACGACATAATATCAATCGCGATCGAACATCAAAAGGTCTTGGGGGGATCACGTCCGTTCACAACGATTGACGGAGCCGCCGTCGAAATTCTTATACCACCAGACGTCAATATGCCGAAGATTTTCTACATTGAATCTCCATGCTGCGCCGCCATGATGCTGACGTTCGTCGCATCCTGTGACCCCTCATGTCCCTCCATGACCAAGCTGCAGGGACCGAATCAGAACAGAACAGCGTCGAGATGCTTGTCATGACCCATCTCCTTGCAGGATATCAGTTTCAGGTTGTAGGCTGAACGTGATTCCTAGAATGCAACCGGACAATTAGCACAAGGCTGGGTAGGCCCGTTTAGAATTGTATATCGGAGTTAACATACTCGTTGGAGAAGGTCGCCATGGAGCGGGCAACATAACATTCGTCAAAGAAGGTCAGTTTCACGGGTCACAGGGTATATACCATGTATGCCTTCCCCACGCTTTGCCTGGTTGACGTAGCCATAAAACTGCTCTCCAAACAACACCAATAGGATCGAGTCTCTCTTGGAACATTGCCAAGCCCGTGTTTACCATCACTAGCACGATCATCCATCCACAGCTTACACTACACGTGGATAATGACCAATACTCAGGGCTATTGGAGATCAGGTGTCCCAGCCCTAATCAAGATGGTACTATCAAAATGGAAACAGGGCCGCAGGATGCAACTTTTCAAGGCTCTAATGACCCATAATACGCCACTGACGCGATCAAAGAACTCGCTGCAGCCAGTAACGCGACAAACGTACCCATAGCGCAAAAGGCCTGCGTTTGAAATCAAGGAATACAGTTGTAGATTTCATATTCTACTTAAACTTAGTTACTCATCATTGTCGCGTACCTCTCTGCTCTTTTTCATTCTAATCTTACCCCTATTTCTTCGATGGTTAATAGCCAACATATTGCTGGCAACCACCGTTTCCATTCCCGTAAGGCTTCGTAGGAAGCCATGAAAAGCTAAATTGTTCCCTTCTACCATCATTGCCCTAAATAAATTGTAAGCTAGCCCCAGAAAACATGTGCTGTAAGCTGCGCGTCACGATACGCATTTCTACATGTTATAGATAGGTCAAGTGCGAGTTGATTACGTTCAACCCTTGCTTGATCTACTGTTAATTCTGCTATAGGCCTGCGACTAATGCCTCAAACAGTTATTCTTACTTAATTATAAGATACAGGGTCATGGGAGGACGTTGTCTCATGAGCCGTAGTTGTCAGATGGAGGTCTTAAGTCTTCTTGGCCCTTGAACTCCTAGGTTTTGCAGAGTCGGTCCTATCCTTCGTGCCCACAAAGTTCCGGCACTGTTGAGTGTGTTAGTTATAGTAGATATAGGCCTTCTAGTGCTCATTATCTCTCCATGCTGTGCGATTAACAGGATAAAAAATGTGGTATCATGAGATCCTACACCCTAAAATTGACAGGAAGTTGTAGTCTACCTATACAAGTAGTTGGGGGTGGCCGGGAGAAACCTAGGTATTGCTTGTACCTCAACCGTGAGGTTCTATACAAGAACAGAATTGTCAGCTGAAGAGTCATTCAGGTGAAATTGATTTAGCAAGCTTTGAACAACCGCACGCTGTTTCCAACTCGCTTTTCGTTAAGTTTTTGCTACTATGAGGTTCGCTTGTCGCATATGTACGCTACCCAACCAATTCAAAGATAGATTTTATCCTCGAATTGGATATGGCGAACGAAGTAACGCATTTTATATTCCCTTCCCAGATCGACTGACATGTGTATTCCGTACCTGACTGTCATCAGAGACTGCAGTTATAATTTCTGATCTTGGAAGTAAGCCGTAGACCCCACCGACCTAACTCCGACGGTATAACGTGCTCCGAGGCTAGCCTACCACTTCTTAGATATGTTTCTCTTACGAGCCTTGGTTTTCCTTTTCGAATCTTGTTCCAAATGTGGAACCACTTTCTTCTTTTCCTCTACTAAGCGGATGGACATTCGAGAATGATGGAAAAGCATGCATCGGCTGTTGATCCCGCGGCCGCCCAGCGCCACGCCAAGAAGCATCGGTGGAACGTGAAGCTTGCCGGTCTCGCTCTGGTACTCGTCGCAGCCGCCCTCTACGGCGACATTCCGAGTCTCGCATACGAGAGCTTGCGTCCTCATCTCGAACTCTGCAATGGCAGCCGCAATAGATCATCGCCATATGGTCGATTCCCCGTCCCTGATGACCCTTTCCAATTTCTACCGTGCACGAACGCGACCTCGGTACCCGCCCTCGATGATCCCAATCCCAAACGATCGTGGGCGCGTCTCTTCGACCCGGACCCCGAGCATTGGAGCTGGGGTCGCACGGTAAATGGGGATGCTGCGCAAAGGGACGACAAGTACGCGGGGCGTGGGATCTACATGTGCGGCTACTTAGACGTCCCGCTCGACTACACAAATCATTCGGAGCCGCGCATTGCCCGTCTCGCAGTCACCAAGTTCCAGGTATCTGGTCTTGCACGGATAGACTCACGTATCGATTATACCGCGACCCCGCGACCAGGAAGCAAGAGCAAGAGAACAATTGTCATCGAACCAGGTGGTCCGGGTGGTAGTGGCACATCATATGCATGGCGGGTAGCCCAGAATGTGACGGAGCGCTTCAGTGATGGTCAATTTGATGTCTTGGGTTGGGATCCTCGTGGTGTCAATGCATCGCTTCCTGCTGTTTCTTGCTACCCTGCCAATGCCTACCGTGACCGCTGGTCGCTCCTCACGGGTCAATATCGAGAGGTATCCGCACCCGAGGCGCAGCTTGAGCTTGCAGATGCCATGAATGCTGCACTGTTCCGATCTTGTTGGGAGCGTCATGGCGACCTCGGAAGATTTGTTAGCACTGCATTCGTCGTGCGTGATCTCGAAGAGATCCGTAAGGCCCTTGGAGAGGATGAGCTGACTGGATATCTGGTCAGTTATGGCACGGGCATCGGCCAGACATACGCCAATATGTTCCCAAACAGTGTTGGCCGCATGATCCTCGACGGCACTGAATATGTGAGGGATCATCGCCTCCTGGGAGGCTTTGGTTGGACGGCGCTCGACAATATCACAGATGCCTGGCACGATGGATTCCTTGGGGAGTGCATCAATGCCGGGCCAGAGTATTGCGCGCTGGCTCGTTCTTTAGATGGAAACAAAGTGACACTTGAGGACCTGGACAGTCGAATGAATAATCTGAAGGTTTCTCTTATGCAACGACCAGCAGTGAGTTATTCGGAATCAATCGGACCCTCGCTCGTCACCTACTCATCTTTAGTTAATACCATATACGGGGCTCTCTACAACGCCGAGATGTGGCCAACACTAGCACAAGCCCTATTTGAGCTTGAAGGCGGCAATTCCTCCCTCGTCACTGAACTGTTGGAGAAGGCCGAATGGATATATAATCCTGCGTCGCCGCCCTCACGCCTTCCCTATACCCCAGGCTTGGACCTCGGTGCCCTCGTAATATGTAGCGATGCTTACGATGCCCCCATGCCCGCCGATGGTCTGGCTTGGTGGAACTCCCTCTGGGCCAATATGACCTCTCAATCCTGGATCGGAGGCAATTCTCGTTTCTTCGACGTGTTCCCTTGCCGGCACTACGCGACTTACTGGCCTGAGCCCGCTGAGGTGTACCGCGGGGACTTGAATCACACACTGAAACACCCAGTCTTACTGATCGCGGAAACGTACGATCCAGCTACGCCACTCCGCAATGGAAGAAGGCTTCTGGCCGAGATGGGTTCGAACGCTAGGCTTATAGCTCACCATGGATATGGCCACGCTTCCCGAGACAAGTCTTCGTGCACGGACAGGATAGCAAAAACCTACATTCTTGAGGGCAACCTGCCCGAAGAGCCGGAGACGGCTTGTTATGCCGATGGAAAGCCCTATTTATATAATACTAAGACCACTGAAATAAGCTCCGCATCCATAACGGAGATGGCGGCTTTATGGAGAGAACAGCTCCAAGAGCTTGCCTTTTCGAATCCTAGAATACTAAGTTAAGATCCGACGTTTGACTATCAGAATCAACGTATCTGAACCACTTGAATACAGACTTTGATGAAGAGGTATAACCCATCAATCTAACCCAGCAGTCATACACGTCCTACTGCCAAAGCGTAGACAGCGTCTGGGCACTTCTCCAGACCCCGCAAACGATCCCCACCCCTTTTCCCCTTTCCAGTGGACGTGAATGCGGGGTAAATACAGCGCTATGCCGCCAGAGAGCCGTTCCATGCCTACCAAGTTATCACGATAATGATCACAAAGTATTATGTAGGAGCTAGAAGAATGATAAAAGAAGACGCAGATGCCTTTGCGTTGCTTGCACTGATCTACAGTCGCAAGACTTGCTTGCTTTAGGCCATTTCTAATTAGCACAACCACTGGTATTGAGACGTCAACCAGCTTTAGACAAAGACTGCGACAAAGGCTCAACGAGGCGTCTTATGGTGATGCTCAGCTTGATATATGCTGACGAGTAGTTCGACTTTGCCGATTTCTCGAGGTTCAGATCCAAAAGTCACTATCAAGAAATCATCTATAGATTATGAATATTTGGTTTCTACATCAAAAACAACATACCCAACACAATGATTTGGGTGGCCCTCCATTCACGAGTCCTCATCTAACTCGTAAGACTTTATTTGCGATCGCAAGTGTCTCTTTGCTACAAAATCTACGACAACTCGTATACTTGCATATAGATTAACATGTCTCTGTCTCCTTCATCCAGATGATGCGAGCCTTCTGATTCTGCTTCTACTTCTACATGTGAGCGCCTAACATCAAAGTCGATCCTGAAAGCGAAAGCTTCTTTGATAACCGAGACGAAGCTGTGCCATTTACTCAGTTACAGTCTCACGAAAAGCTCGGCCCATGGCCCGTTACGTAGGAATTATCGACCTGCTGTTGCTCCGGTCTACCAATTTAGCGGTCATCTTGGATGAACTGGAGCTCGCTCGTAGCCTATTCCACCGAACTCCACAACGTAGGTAGGTGGTATTATGCTGCTACACTGCCCTGATCTTCACCTTACCCCGCGCATCAAATATAAGTATAAAATGGACCCAACGGTGACGAACTAGAGCAGGGCAGTAGGTAGCAAGTTTGGACGCCAAACGTTGTAAATTGGGAATTGCGAGTCTCGTTACTGTTTGAGGTCATGTTCCTGTTTCTGTGCCTAGTCTTCGGCGTTTTGTCACACACCTGTCACTCAACCGTCGATGGTTTTGAAGGCGACTATGTTCGTAAGCCTCAAACACTTGGTCTAAGAGGCCGAAATGAGCCTGCGACTATGACCAAAGATTCCGTTATTGAATCTTTGGTCTCAAATATGACGATAGAGGATTTGGGTACATCTAATTCAACTGCACTGTCTGAGAGTTGCCGTACTGACAGTTCACTTCCCAGTGCTACAGCTTCATCTTATGTTTGGCGATGACATCGTAGGTCCAAACTCACAAAATGAGCTTTATGGTAAGTATAGGAAATGACATTTTAGACTGAGCTCATATCGAATCAGACTTCACGATGCGCCTTAGTCCTGACTCTCCTATCGGCGTGATGCACGATTGGTATGATTATCTCTATCTGGTTGTGAATTTGAACAGCGTCCACTGAAACTAAAGCAGGTATCCGCTCAATGCATCTCATTACAATTCAGTCCAGGAGTTGAATCTAAAAAAAGCCAGGCTCAAGATTCCCTTCATGCATATAGGAGAGTGTCTACATGGGGTGGGATCCTTCAAGCAGACGATGTTTCCGCAGAGCTTAGGTCTATCAGCGAGCTTCGATACCGATCTAGTATACCGCATTGGCCGCGCAATAGGGACAGAAGCTAGGTCAATTGGGATTCATGCGTGTTTATCGCCGGTTCTAGACATTGGTCAAGATCCACGCTGGGGTCGCATGCAAGGTATGGGTGATGAAGGGGCCATACACGCTGGTTTCTTGGCTAAGTCAAACAGAGGCATGGGGAGAGGACAAGACTCTTACGTCTCATATGGGTGTAGCCTATTCAAGTGGTCTGTCCAAGAACGGCTCTTGGTCCGAACCGGACGCTGTTGCGCCGGTCTTGAAGGTATAGTTCTTGTTCTCTCGTGACAGACATGCAGAGAGCTAAACAGTTGCGTCCAGCACTTTGCTGCTCACGGCTCGCCGCAAGAGGGACATAACGCTGCGCCTTTCATGGGTCATGGAAATCGACAGGTGCTTCAAGATCTCCTTACCCCCTTTAAAGCTGCGATCCAGTTGGGGGGTGCGAGAGGCGTGATGATGTGAGTTCCGCGAGTCCTCGCTAGAGATTTTACCACTCACCCTACCCTAGGGCCTATAATGAGTTTGACGATGTTCCAGCTCACGTGCATCCTCTTTTCTATCAAGCACTCCAGGATTGGGGTTTCGACGGATTTGTGATTGCTGATGATACTGGTAATGCGTCAAATCGGCCTTAGGTGGTGAAGTAGCTAATGGAAAATAGGCATGTCGGAATTGTTCTCTGTGCATCGAGTGGCCGACTCTCCCGCTGATGGGATTCGCCAATGGTTTGAAGCAGGTGGTATGGTCCAGTTTTACGACTACCCATTGGACACATACCTCAATGTGAGATACACGACGAAGAGGAATGCACGGTGCCCCGTTAACCAATTTATCAGGCAACTAAAGACTTAGTGGCGAACAATTCCCTTGATATTTCGACATTGCGTTCTCACGTTACGAAGATTCTCAATGTTAAATGGGATCTTGGCCTCTTTGACGACCCCTACGTTCCAACTGATATTAATCCGCACCAAATAGTGGAAACCCATCTTGATCTTGCCCTGGAAGCTGCGCAAAAGAGCATAGTTCTTTTAGAAAACAAGAACCAGACGCTTCCTTTGAACCCAGAGCAACAAGGCCTCGCGCGAATTGCCCTCATCGGCCCGTTTGGGGATACCCTAAATTATGGCGATTACTCGGGCGCGTGGGGTCAATACCCTGCGAAGGCTGCGAAAACCATCCGACAAGGCCTTCTTTCATATGCTAAGACTGAGGGTTTCGAGTTAATATCCGCATGGGGCACCAATAGCTGGGAATACAATGCCCAATACGTGATTCCGCCGTATCTACTATCAACGCCAAATGATATGGCAGGCGGTCTGCTAGCGACATACTTCGCCAACACAGACTTCACGAAACCCATGACAAACAGGGTAGAAGCGCCGGCGCTGGACTGGGGCTTGTATCCGCCAGATGGTTTACCATCTAATAACTTCAGCGCTACTTGGGAGGGTTATTTACGATCTCCGGTTGATATCGACATAGACGGTTGGATAGGGGTAGCAATTGGATCGAATACCACAGCCAGACTCTTCGTAGACGAGGAGCTAATCATATCGCAAGGCGTTGATGAGCTCTCAACATCGAGTACCATCATGGGCAACATAATGAATTACGACTACATCTCCAACAACGGCACATTGCCCCCGCCTGGGTCGGTCCCATTCACATTTGAAAAAGAAAAGGTTTATCATCTTCGAATAGAGTACCAAGCCTTCAATCTCTATAAGAAGACCGCAAACGTAAACTCCCTCAACTCCCAGATCCTGTTGTTCTGGAATCTCGTCAGCAGGAACGGCGACGCTGTGGAGCAAGCCGTGCAAATAGCGCAATCTTCCGATCTCGCGATTCTTGCCCTGGGAGCTGCATGGAACAGCGACGGCGAGAGCGGCGACCGAGGCACCCTAGGTCTATCTCCCAGCCAAGAGGTTCTAGCCCGAGAGATCTACAAACTCGGAAAGCCGGTGGTGCTAATATTAGAAGGAGGCCGGCCTTTCGCTATCGACGAGCACTACAATCAAAGTGCCGCCGTTCTAAGCGCTTTCTTCCCCGGCCAGGCCGGTGGCCAAGCCGTAGCAGATGTCCTTTTCGGAACGATTAACCCTGGTGGACGCATGCCCGTCTCGGTGCCGAGACATGTTGGCCAGCTTCCTATCTACTACAACTATAAGGAAACCACCCGGAGGGTGAAATATCTGGACATCGACTCGACACCTGCTTATTCGTTCGGCTATGGTCTCTCCTACACTGAGTTCGAAGTCCTTGGGTTTGAAGCGCGATCATCGTCTGCGCGCAATTCCGAGTTCAAGGCAGGTGATACGGTCATATTTACAGCGCGGGTCAAGAATCTTGGTTCTATAGAAGGGAGCTACGTAGCGCAGGTGTATGCCCTATCTCGAATTTCATCAATTGTGCAGCCGATGAGACAGCTCGTCGCCTTCAAGAGGGAGTATATAAAGCCTGGTCAAGAGGTGACGATAAAGATGGAATTGGACGTCGACCGATATCTTACCATACTTAATCGTCGGTATGAGTGGGAGCTTGAGAGGGGCACATATACATTTGCGCTCCTCGCCCATGGAGGCGCTACTGATAGTAGCATGAATGTTACTTTGCAGTGTACATAGCAATTTACTTTAGCATTACATTATAACCCTGGTTTCTGTAGGCCTGTGCCAGCTTCGAAAAGGATAGGGCTATTGCATAGTCAGCGAAACCTAGCTTTTCCAAGGCTGCTTGTCGGTATGCTGCTAAATGAGATAATTCAGATATCGGATCTCGCTTGCTCATGTAATGTCAGCCGTCGCGTCTACTACGTAGGAGGAATTGATTGATCAAGCTGTGGTTTGTAAGTAGTGGTAAGACTTGGTTGTAGGTGTCATATCTTTACTTAAATATGCCTGATATTCCGGCAATAGATTGTGTGTTAGGGAGCTTCTAGCGAGAGCAACTCCTGCAACGATGTCTAACGTCGCTATTATCAACATGGCAGCTATCGAGTAGAGGTTGTGAATTGGCCTGAGAGAGTAGTGGAGCTAATGATGGCTGAAGCGGTACTCGTCGACTCTGAAGAGGGTGCAACCGTAGCTCCAATTTCAAACGGCCCCCAGCCCTCGGTCGCGAAAGAAGGTGAGAAATCACGAGGGGTCCGAGCATACACTTGCACAGAAATATCTCCCTATAAAAATGATATTTCAGAAGTCGATTGATCCAGCAGGGCTCGTGATGTGAGAGAACTGTAATCACAGGATTGATCTATGATCTTATTGTTGCACGTAGGTACTGAAGAAGCCATCGGACTTAGGCTCAGGCTACTAAAGAGGTCTCTACGGCATACTCAAAGAACCTTACTGTAGAAAAGCCTGATCGGGTGGCAATTTACATGAAATTTTCGTAAAAGATCCTTTGTTGAAAGTGATAAAAATAAAGAATTGTTCGATCCGGAAAAGAGACGGGAGAAAAGATTGACTTAGTCCATGGCCACTTCATCGTTACGATGTATGTATTTCGTGCAAGACTTTATTTACTCGGGACAGCTTCGTGAAGGGAGAGTGCTTGTGCTACCCAGACTATTCTCCGGTAACTGTAATTAGGTAATATAGAATCTTTGAGTTATACTGATACACACCGTGATGTAGCTGCGTCCCGGCGTTTGTGAAATCCTAAGGTAGGGACCGTGATACTAATGTGCTTATAGGGGCCGGAATGTGCGACTAAGGACTGTAGTAAGTATGAGTGAAGTGGGAGATTCCACGGACTCTAGAGCTAATTCATAGGTTCCACTACGCGGTGTTCTTTTGTGTCATAGGGCAGTGCAAATGATCAAGGTGAAACGCGCAGCACCGTCGGTGAGATAACACCCAATGATGAAGGTTACAGGTTCAACACCGGTACAATGCTGTATGACATAGGTAAACATCGCGATTGGTGGGGATATAAGGCTATATATATAATATATATCTCAGCAAGTATTGTCTAACTGAGTTCCACTAGTTAGCATTGCCCAATGGGCATAGGCGGCTAATGTTGCATATAAATGTTTGAAGTGTTAGTATACAAGCCTCCAGGACTAGAGGTTCTGGCATTCAAAATTGGAGTCCTTATATCTTGCCGAGGTATGTCTTTACACTAAAAGGATGGCGCTGTAGCTTTCGCGCAAGACCCCAACAAACCTGCAGTACGTAGTTCAGTCCGGTTTATACCTTTACACACCAGGCAAAATTCTGAAATGATGAGATACCTCAGACCCATTCTTTACAACAGACGCCAGGCTCACATTCAACTCAAGTCAGAGGTTCTATTATGCAGCCAGAGGACTAAATTTAGAGGTATGAACTGACCTCGATCGCGCATGGCCCTATTGGTGAGATAAGAGCACTTTGCACATAGGACTTAGCCCCTGCATATTGGGGGCCAGAAGATTGAAAGAGCTAGGCGCCATGAAGATTCCCAAAATAAATGGTCTCGTTTGACAGTGAACCATATAGATAACTGTAATTATCTGCCAAGATGAGAAACAGATTATCAACTCGACGTCCAATCTTCGTTTATACTCAATACAACTATATTATAGTCATAGGTGTTTTGTCACTGGATACTACGGATCCCTCACCTCTCCATTATATGCTCCTAAACTCTGTAATGCGAACCGCATTCACGCCAGCCAATCGACATCATTGTCCTATAACACTCGGGTTAGTCCATGAGTTCCGAGGGAACCTCGTTTCTTAACTCCGCTGGTTCGTTGGGGTCTACCCAATACAGTACCTACAACGAACATAGCTCAATTGATCGTCTTGACGAACAGTCAAGCGACGATGAAAAACCATTTAACAGTGTGCCGGACTATCGGCCTATCGTCTGTGAGTCGCCGCATTCATTAGATTTACTTCCCCGAACGTTACCCCGGGCATCCCTACTGTATTTGGCAGTGTTGAGACTGATATGCCTTCCTGTAGTAAAGTGGTGGTTCTTGACTGGCCTGGGATTCCTCTTCGCCACTTTCGGTGGGCTGATCGAGTTGGCGATTCACAGACTTCCCGTAAAAGAAACTGGCCTCACTCTTTTCTCGAGAGGCTATGACGGAAAGGGCGCAAATGACTTTAACACTGATGGGACCAAGTTGTTGAACGATTCGCTATCAGAGCTGGCCCGAGTACGATTTCCCAATTCCTCGACAAGCCATGCCATATTGACTACACCACCTTCAAGCACTTACTCTTGTTTTGGGGATACCACGTCTGGCGTGACATGGACCAAAAGTCCTGAGCAGATAATGCTGGTTCATCCAAGCCCCTTAGCAGAGAGGATGCAAGAGCCATCGGAGAGACCACTACGTGAGTATGGGCAACATCAATGGCCTTTACAGCAGAGAATCCCATCAAATTCGGCATGGGGTTCCTTTGGAAGGGTTCCCGTTACATTCTCCTCTCGTCCTGCTCCGTCTGGCGAACCTACAACAACACCGGCACAGACCATTGTAACTACCTCATATTCGAGTAGTCAGACTTTTATAGCCTCAACGCCCCTAAGCACTAGCAATGAGCAACCTCGTTCCACATTGACTATCACTCTCTCTGAAAGTCCCAGTTTGTCGAGTAACGTGCCTGTTACTGCCACTAGTAGCTTTTCGAGCTTTCTATCAACAATTTTAACAACATCATCAGCCTCTGGCCAAGCTGCTCATTCGTCAGGGTTTTCTGCAAGTTTTCCGGCCCCTAATTCTCTCCGTACTACACTCGATCAATCAATCACAAGTTTGACAGGCAAGCCTGAGGAATCGACTAGTTCATCAGGGGACTTGCCGAGAACATCTTCCGACACACCTATCGTCGTAATTGTGCAGGTCTCCTCCGACATTCCAATCTCGACGATAACGCTAGCGATCGCTCCCCCGCCAGTCACCTCTACGCTTACCGATTCGAACGGCACACCGACGGTGACCACGACGTTAAATATGTACAGCTCGGTCGTAGAAACTCTCTCAGACGCAAGCGGCACCCCGACAGCAACTGTAACTCTGGTCGCCGAACTGACATCAATCGTATATACACTCACTGACCGGAGCGGTGAGCCAACGGATACTGCCACGCTTGCTGTGCCTGTTACGTCAAGGTTGGTAACAATAACGAATGCCAAAGGATCACCAACGCAGACCCTGACTTTGGTCCCGCTGTCGCCACTTCCAACAAGCTCAATACAAAGCAATAACACAACAGGGTGGCAGAACACCACATCCACGCCTCCGAGTGAGCCTGGGGATAGCTCAGCCACTTCCACGGAATTCTTTTTCATCTCTGAGGCGGACTACTTCCTTGGGACGTTTGCCACAATCCTTGTAGCCACGGTGCTCTCGATTCCCATTAGAATAATAGACCTCAACGCCCAGCGCCTGCAGCCGTTCCATGAGTTGGCGAGTTCAGGTGGCACGACGGCGGCATATTCGCTGTGTCGAGAACCCGGGATCCTGCACAGCATGATTCAAGACGTCGCCCTTCTTTTCAGAGGTCGCTGGCCGTTAACACTTCTAACGACCGTGATGGTTGTTCTTTCGGCTTTTGCAACGACCTTTTCGTCCGAGGTGTTCGTGCTCGTCCTGCACGGAAGTTGTTACAAGGGGAAAGGCTCCGCAAGCAACTGTGCTTATACTATCGGGGTAGCGATCCTTGGAGCACGTATCACGCAAGCCTTCTTCTTCTCCATAGCGGCACTGATAGTTTTAACGCTCTTACTTCTACGAAAGTGGCGATCCGGCGTCGAAAATAGCCCCTGGAGCATCGCAGGTACTGCTTTGCTCCTCGGCCACCCAGATATTCGCGAGGTCCTCCTCGCGCTACCTACGAGGGGCACAAAGCTGGCAAATGCCGTGGTACAGCGCGAACTGGACTTGTACACTTTCAAGCTAGACCACTTCATCGTAGCGGGCAAGATGCACTATGGTATTGTGGTCTGTAGACAGGGAAGGCCTGATGTGGTAAAGAGACACGTGCCATTCTTTGGTTCTTGCTACGGCTTTACAAGGGGGTTCAAGAAAGTTAGCCTGGGGAGACGAGGAAGTGTGCAGCCGTTTTTCGCATTAAGCATCATAGGGCGCATCATCACCCTTCTGTTCCTGTCGGGCGTGATAGCTCTGATAGGGTATTACAATGGTCCACGAACATCCTACCACTTCGAGCTCTTCCTCGATAGCGAGTCCTTTGGCGTTCGTCTGCTCTTCACCCTCTTCGGCGTCATCATCACATTCGCATGGAATGAGCTTCATACAGGTGAGGAATAAATCTAAGAGAACTCTAATTGTCTGAGATAATCAAGCTCACTCCGAGTGCCTTCAGCGGTGGCACACCTCAGCGCATACAGGCGGATGGCGAGATCCCCTCGGACGGCTCAGCACTCGATAGAGATATCCCCTCCCACCAATTATTTCTCCGGTCTTGTCTCGGCTGTCCTGGAACGCGATCTTTATATGAGCCTTGTATCCTCATTTGGCGTTTTATCTGAATTCTTGCCCATTCTTCTTAGCAACGTTCCTTACCAGGTAACAGAAACTCTGAATGTGCACCGTACGTATTCAACTACTCAGTATCTCCTTCTACCCATCACATATGGTTGTATAATTAATTCCATAAATTTCTAATTATCTTGTCTGAGCAACCTGAAGCTAATACCGAGCTGCAGTTGTCAGTACCTGGATTGCCGTTGGGATCATGGCGGCTATGGTGCTCATCATCTTGGGTTCGTTCTTTGTCCCGTGGCCACCGTTTCCAGCAGATGTTCGGACAATTGCCGGGACTGCCTATTATATTTGCGACTCACAATTAATGCAGAATATGGTCGTGTCGAACTCCACTCCCACACAACCACCATGCGAGAAATACACGTTCGGGGAAATGATGGGTGTCTCAGGCACCAGGAGAGTAGGGGTTGATACGGAAGGGAACATTCCAGCCACTGAACGCGATTCCTTATTGCAATTATATGAATCTGCAAGACGCTAAACGACGGGTTGTGTTAGCAGTTTTATTAAAGGATTAGTTAATTAAACCTAAATTGTCTTTAAATTAATATTAATGGGTATAGTATAAGGTTGACTGCAAAGATAGCTTTGCTCAAGTCAATGCAGTCTTTACATATTTTCTAAACTTGGATTTATTGTAGCGCGAACCCGAATAACGCAGAGTATCTTAGATCAGCAAAGACACCGATAGCAGGCGCACCGCACGCCTCCACCAACATCTACCGGTGTTTGATACCTATTATAGATTCATCAAAACCTACACTTTCTGAATCTAGCGGCGGATGCTCGCGAAATGCTCAGCACGCGATATGGTGCGTGTAGGTAATATGCTTCCTGCGGCGTACAGCTATGTCTGACGCTGCTGCCTACACCTGTCAAATATGGGCAGAGCGTAGCATTGCAACGTTCCCCTCATTACTCTTGATCCAACTCACATAAGACAAAGTTCACCATTCTCCTTAAGGCTATACTAGAAGAATGGAGTAAACTGGATCATATTCCAATTGAAAATTAATGGCATTTACTTATTCAGATCTGAAACCCGGGGAGCTACGCTTACTGCGGCCGGTATCGATCCGGGAAGGGACTTTCATGTCATTGGAGATGGCGCAATTTGAGCGCAAGAGAGCCCCGCCGTATATCGCTGTCTCATATACTTGGGGCGAAGAAAATGATATGGTCACGCTGCGACTCAATGGGCGAAACTTTTCGGTCAGACGTAACCTCTGGTTTTGTCTCACTTACCTTAGCTTCCACGCGCAGCATTCCAAGGCGAGATATCTCTGGGTGGATGCAATATGTATCAACCAAGGGAATATCCCGGAACGCAATGCCCAAGTCCGAGTAATGGACGAAATCTACAAGAACGCCCACTGCGTCTCGATTTGGCTTGGGCTTGATCCCGACCTTGAGTTCTATAAGCCTTGGATTGAAGGGTCTGTTATGACGTTGGATTTGGATAGTTTCGATAAGGTGACGAGATTGGCAGACCACGAATACTGGTCTCGGTACTGGGTCATCCAAGAATGTCTGCTTGCACGTGACATCCAGATCCATTGCGGCAGAAGCATGATGTCTTGGGCGGATTTTCAAGAAGCCTTAAGCCTGGAAGCCAATTTGCGCCTATTAGCGCCCGCAGGAGACAGCGTTATTACTGAGATGCTTGACACGAAGAAACACGATGCCCTGCCTCTACTGCTGGCGCGGAACCCTACAGATGGTTTCTCCCAACGCCCACTTGAAGAGCTTATCATACACCATCGTCATTCGCGATGCAAGGATCCACGGGACCGTGTATTTGCCCTATTGGGATTGATAGAAGATTGGGAGCGGAAAAGTTTAGAACGATACTTCCCTAACTACTCCTTGAGTCATGACGGTGTTGTGGTAATTACACTAGCACACCTGAGAGAATTAAATAGCACGTCAGTCACGCTCAAGTCCCAGAAACTATTCCAAGGTCTTGGAGTAGAATCAAATGAAAGGCAAAGAAGGCTCATAGCAGCCGCAGAAGACTGCCCCTATTACATAGGATATGACGACGAGATCATAATGTCCGATGAAGCTCGTCAAGACCGGGCTAGATACATGGGTTGGGACGACGGGCTAGAAATTAATCAGTACGAGGAAGTTGTCGAGGACGGGTTGCAAATGAGTGATAACATGAGTTCAGGTGTTTATCGCTGTAATATCCTCTGATTTATTTAAGACTGTTTTCGGCATATGGGGATGGCTCTAAATTGCAAGAGGGGATTTTACCAGATGATTATGGGACTAGACCATTTAATTGTTGGAAGGACAATATAAACACTTCTAGGTTTCTTTCTTAACTAAATGAACTACATTGTGCGCGCGTACATGTCCATAGCAAAGTGATGTCCATACATACCCCGCCACTAATAGCTAGCTGTCTTTGTGCACATCTAAGATTTCTATAAAGGTATAGTGCGACTATTGTATACACAACCGACAGCTTCTTTGATAATTGTAGTAGTTCATTTGATGAAAGCTCTACAATGATATTGTGAAGCAGTATGACAAAGGGGACAAGAAGACAGGGCCACAAAACATAGCCATTGTTATTCTACCATCAAGAAATCTATATATACTCGACAAGTTCTTGAGAACTGTTGGAAATTAAACCAAACAAAATCACAGTCACAACAATTAGAACTTCATAGACGACACCATATAACTCAAAACATTTAACTATTCAGGCATCATGTCTCCAACTATTCGAATCCAGGACACCCAAGGTCGCTTCATGACGGTTCCAGCTGGAACCTCCGAGATTATGATGAAGATTAAGGCAAAGGAGCTCCTTATCCTATCGGACATCCGGAACAACGCTAGCAAGTCTTTCGGGGGTGGTGAGTACTCTAGCGAGGCAATAGCACGAGCCACAGCTGCTCGGGCCAAATTCTCTGTAAGCGTGTCTCTCGCAGGCGACGATACTTACACTGCTCGGTGGGTTTGAACAATGCAAGTTAAGCTAACATGACAGATCGCGGGTTATTACCCCCCAAATCTGACCTTTCTTCGTCAGTTATTTTCTTTAGCTGTAAGTAACCCAAAAATATAGATTTTCCTTCAGAAAACGTCAGAAATGCTTCACAATCATTAAATTCCTCAGCTCTTATCGCGGTAGACCTATTCATTATCCTCTATCTGTAGAAACTACTGATCTCTGTCACTGTAATTATTAGCATCATAGTTCAGAGATGCTATGTCAATGGCTAAGCTGTTAAAGCTCCATGATAATGGCCTCTTTGTTGCGAGAGAGATGATCTCGCATTGATTAGCACTTTCTTCGTTATATTTCACGAATTTAGAGTGTGACCACAGTGTATATAATCAACATGCCATATCCACCGCCGTAGTGTTCCCATGACCTTTTCCGTCGTCAATTCGTATTCACTCCTTGTTTAGTGCTAATCTTTTCCAATTTTAATTTTAATTACCGTGCTCTCTGCAGCCGAAAAGTGTCGTCTTCCTTCTTTTCACCGAGACTCCATGCCGCTATGGCCTAGACGTGCATTATGAAAATCCCGATCACGGACTAGGTCTAGTGGTGTTAAGTATTGTCTTGGCTGTTTTCATATCAGTATGGAGAATTGGTCGCATTGCATCTAAGGTTGCGATGTAGCAGTGTTGGTAATGGGATGACTACTTTACTCTTCCGTCGTTGGGAAGTCTTGACACGTTGTGACGACTAGGATAAAATTTCCACGAACTGTACAATTGCGACATAACTAACATATCAACAGCCTTGTTCATTAACGTTGAGGCTCTTTCGCAGGTTGTAGAGAGCAGCATCTAGATATAACAAGGGCAGAGGTCTGGGCTTCGAACTTGATGCTTTTCACAATATAATGATCAACTAGGGCTACAAAAGTCATTAACCAACCAACTCCTTCTTGGTCTGCTAGTCTAGATCGCCTAGGTCTCGTTGGCTTGTTTCATGAAGCGCAGTCTATATAATCTCACTTTCCAATATTACCTGCACGTCTTTGAAGATCACGAACAGCCTGCAATGGCCTTTCGTACGGTTGAAGCGCCACGCGAACTGCATGTTCAGGTCGTGCGCGTGTAACACTAGATGACCCCTCACGCCGTGCTCACACCCCGCATAAGATGCAGGTTCGTATCTCTTGCGGCCAACATCATTACCCCTCTGTAATATAATATTTCCGTCAGCTCACTTGCGGAGCTGTAACTTGGCACTCAGTTCATCTTCAAATTGAATATATATCATTTACCATTATTATCACACGTGTCATGGATATTACCGGTAATGCGATTATTTTCGGGGGAGGTATGTTACTTCAGCCGTGTTCAATTACGATTACCAAACTAATTTGTTGACTAGGTAGTGGTATCGGACGGGCTACCGCTTTGGCATTTGCGCATGCTGGTGCTGCAGGACTCCTGATTGCAGATGTAAATTTGGAAAGGGCTCAAAGTGTGGCTAACGAGACGAGGGCCGCGTCGATACAACCTAGGTTTCGCGCCGAAGCGGTTCACGTTGATGTTAGGCTCAAAGACTCCGTGGACTCGGCTTTCCAGGACATGGTGCAGTCATTTGGTCGCATTGACTATTGCGTCACATGTGCTGCTGTATGCCACTCTATTTCTCACCAATATGGACTTTATGCGAGATTTCTCTAATTGTCATTGATTTGAAGGTTCCAATCAGGACGTTCAAGTCTACTGCGGATGCCGATGTCTCCGAATTCTTGAATGCACAAAGCGTCAATGTAAATGGGTCATTTTTTGTCATTCAAGCTGCTCTATCCATTATGAGGTCTCAAGAGCCACGGCCGAACTTCGCAGAGTCACCCTCCCGGGGTAATACACGAGGATCCGTGGTAGCTTTAGGATCTGCACTGTCTATAGCAGCAGCGCCTGCCTTCGTACAATACACAACTTCGAAACACGCAGTTGTCGGATTAGTGAGGACTGCCGGTAAAGATTTACTATACAATCAACAATTAAGTTCCTATTTGGCTTACATTTGATTTAGCACTTGACAGTATCAAAGATGACATTCGAGTCAACTGTGTTTGCCCAACATGGGTAGAATCCAACATGACCAAGGAGCTTGAACGGGATATTCCAGGAATTGAAGCATTAATGGCACCAGGCATCCCAATTGGGCGAGTAGGGAGACCCGAGGAGATAGCTGATACTGTGCTATTTCTCTGTAGCCCCAGAGCAAGCCTCATCACTGGGAGCTCTCTGGTTGCAGATGGGGGCATGACCATCAATCTAGCAGGAACGGCATAGAAATCCCAGGACGACTCTGAGCTTCTTCGGGTCTCGAGTGACTCTTACGCCAGTGCCTTACATCTATCAGGAATAATAGCCACAATAGACCCTCGGGGTGGTTATAATAGATCATATGGCTAGATAAAGGGGTAGTAGACCCCCTTAAGAGTTAGAAGGTTTAGAAATTAATGGTTTATTAACCCCTATACATACCTTCTGCTTAATTACTTGATTGTGAATGGCCTTCTCCTCACTCTGGGACACCCACTCCTGACAACATCCTGATTACCACACATGCTCTTCCTTATGAAGTGACCAATACATATCTAACACAGCACGGACATAACGGGGTTAAAATGCCTGCCCCTTGCACTATCATCCGGAGATAATTGTAATTATTGCCGCAAACCTAATGTTTACCTGCCAGTATATAAACACTATGAAGAGACAGAGTGATAGCCCTCGGCCTTTCTAATGTGCCATGGTGCTGTGATCCTGTTGGTGCGGTTACTACATTGCAAAGTAAATGACCCCATTGATACCGCATGTACCTATGTCCGAATATCCACGACACTATCATACGCTTCCTGTACTTCAGCCAACGTAGCGTGACGGGGGCCGAGCGACACACCTCACACAGATAAACATATCTAGGCGCATTCAAAACATCGAACAAGATGGCGGTGTCAAAGGCATCTACATGGTTGATTACTGGCGCTTCCTCAGGCTTCGGTCAATCTATCGCGCACGTAGCTCTCGAGGCAGGACACAAGGTCATTGGAGCTACCCGCGATGTAGCTCAGGCGCAGATCTTCAATCCCGATTTCACCGCCAAAGGCGGAATATGGCTGCAGCTTGATCCGGCACACCCAGACTCATTCAGCCAGTTCTCCAAGGCCCAGATAGACTACGACATCGACGTGCTTGTAAATAACGCTGGCTACGCCTTCATAGGCGGCGTCGAAGATGCAAGGTGACTCCTCTCGTGTTAGGGAACAGTGTATCTCGCCTGCTAACACCTTTTCTTACAGCGAAGAGGAAGTTCGCGATCAAATGGAAGTCAACTTCTGGGGACCCTTGCGTGCCGTTAGAGCTGTCTTGCCGTCCATGCGGGCGAAAGGCCATGGTCATATTGTTCTCATCAGCAGTGGAGCTGGGTAAGTTGAATGCCCTTAGTCGTAGGCTCCCAGTCTATGATTAGTATACTTAGCTAATAACCGACACTGCGCGATCGCAGCTTCATAGCGCGGCCTGGAAGAGGGGTGTATTCCGCAAGCAAGTTCGCCATTGAAGCCATACATGAGTCGCTTAAGCAAGAGGTTGAAACCCTAGGCATCAAGGTCCTGATTGTAGAGCCTGGAGCCTTCCGGACCAACTTCTCTCTGCGCCTAGTCACTCCAGCTGCACATGAGAATGGTTTCAGTGATGGTTACAAGGGTACCGCACTCGATTCTATGGTTACTGCGTCTAAAGGGATCATAGAGATCCCGCCAGTACAATTCGTGAGAGGGGACCCCGAGAAGGCTGCGAGGCATATACTCAACTCCGTCGTCGAGGGCCACGACTACCTTCGTATGGTATTGGGGGCTGATTGTGTTGCTGCACTCGAGCAAAAAATAGGAAATTTGAGCCACGACTTGGAAGCTACCAGGGCTATCGCCGTGTCTACAGATACGGAGATCATCGAGAAGTAACCTTGATCCTTTAGACGTGGTATCACGCCCGGTAACGTTTTGGGCCATTGAGAAACCAACGGCCTCAAACTGAAGTAATCAATGAGGGCGATTTGCCGTTTCTCACGAGCAATGCATGAGGTCGTGCTTTAGTTAGGCTTTAAAGTAAATTATGTTGATCAATAACGATGCCGTGGCTCCGGAAGTCTTGCCAAGTATGGGGGTTCATGCGGAGTTTTGCAGTAATATTTTTTTGTGCAAAAGTCTGCTGTAGCAGATACAATTCCGTCATCGCACGAAATATACTTGACACTGCAGCTGATCTCGAATTTCAGCATAAGTTTCCTGAACACAATTTTCTGTAAGCTACCGTCTGAATCCGTCACGCTTAAGTCATCGCTACATGGCTACCTAGACTTTGCCCTTGATTGAACACACTCACATCTACCATTAATCTTTGCGAATAGCGACAGACACCATGAGAATGGAGCTCTATTAGCTCATCGTCATCCTTATCAGAATCGCAAAAGTGCTGACCACCTTCTCTAGTTCTGAAAATGAAACCATCTTAACATTAAAGAAGGAACCCCCTTAAAAAAACGTTACTCGCCGCATGTCACTCGCAGCCTATTGAGCTCAGCTTTTCCCACTATTCCGAGCCCTTGAGAGTTTTGAGCGCAGCCTCAAAATTGGCAATATCACGAGTGAGCTTCTCTCGACGCTGCCTGATGTGGAGGTCCTCACCCGCAATGGTGTCAAGCTGGTCTTCGTTGAGGCGAAGCACCATTTGCATATTGAATATCTTCAGCGGGCTATGCTCAGCCGCAAGAAGGTAGTAGTTTACTGCTTGTTGGCAGACCACGTCTACGAAGCGCTTCCGCGAGACTTTGTAGTAACTGTATAGGACGTCGTGCATATACTCGCGAACATGCTCTGAGTTCGACTTGTTTACAGCCAACTGTTGGAGCGATGACTTTGGGATTTTCAGTACTTCTTCATCTTCATGAGCTTCGTCAAGGGTAAACTCGTCGACTCCCAATTTCTCCACTGCGCATACTAATCTTTTGCTCTGTTCTTTCTGCAGATTGTCATTGAAGTAGTGGTTATAAGTGATTGGACAGCAATCACGCTCAATTTTAAGCAGAAGCTTGGCTCGCTCAAGGACTGCACAGTATGAGCTGTGGAGCTCGTCAAGGAGATATGTATTCCAGAGCTCATCGAAAACCTTCGAGTCTGGGCAGCTCTCCCGAAGTGCCTCGTGAATGAAATGATGCACGTGCCAGATGATCAAAGTGATATGCTGAACAGTTATCGGCTCCCATTTCTTTGACTGCTCTTGAAACATGGTTCCAAGGAGAGATCCCGAAAACTATCAAAGGTTGTTAGCCTACAGTATCACAGGAATAAGAAAGCTGCAGCATACTGTTCCCAGCTCTTGTCCTCGGCTTGACGTATAAACGCCTTCAATGTAATCCAGGATGTCTGTATCCATGTCGGACTTCGGCACAGGAGTTATGACGGGGTCAAAGATCTCGCGAAGTCCGGGGTAGAGATCAGGGAGAACCTCAATGTCTTCGTCAAATTTCGACTTCGAGTGTTTATCCTTTCCCATGCTCTGAAATTGACGCGTATGGCCAGTTCGGGCCATTTTGTCCGAATAACTTTCGTTTGCCTCTACGATACGAGTCATCAAGCGCAAAGTATGATTGGAGAACATTTTGTGACGGGCGTAAGATGCTCCGAGGGCATCTCGCACTAATGACTGGAACGTCTCGCTGATCTTGTTCAGATATTCCCTTTGCGTGTCCGGGCCATCTCTTGAAGGACCCATTGCGTCCCGTTGAGACTTGAGCAAGTTCAGCTCCTTAATGACCTCGAGCTTGACTTGGGGGAATTCCTTCTTGATTAGGTCAATAAGAAGCTCCCGGACTCGTCGCTTGAGACAATCTATGCCCGCTCTATCTGTGTGCTTTAAAGCTGACCACGGGGCTTTAGCAAAGAATTCGCACTCGTCCATTTGACCCTCCTCGAGAGTCATGTCAGCATGATCAGGTCCTCTGTTCTTCACGATATAGTATCCTAAAATGAGATCGTTTCTCTTGCCCATAACGTGGTCGATCGCGATCTGCTGGGTTGTAGGTTCGATGGCAAGGTCTGGCTTTGTAAGGACGGCCATGGTTCTCGACATAGTTTGGTCCACCTGCTTTGCTAGTTTCAAGATCTCTTGTGTAGCAGGATCGACATTGCTGGGCATAATTGCTAGAATACTGCAAGTCCCAGAGTTAGTTCCTGCAACTTAAACTTCGTAAGGTATAGTTGTTCACTAACATCGTTCGTGGATCTTTCACTGTGATGGCATACTTAGTACAGATTTTCAGCTAATTAGAGAGATTCAATTGAAACGTACTATAGTTCTTGACCATATCCCTAACAAGGATGATATCGCTCTCAACGGTCAGGCCTGTAAACATAGCAAAGTCAGTACTAAGAGAGGGTCAATCATGCTTCCTAATCGGCACCTACCTTCAGTCTCGTTACGAAATATACCAGGCACATCAATAACTGTGAAATGCTCTTCCTATTTGAGGTGAGCATGTTGATACCTGTTGGCCCCGAAAGATTGTAAACCTACGTTGGGACCAAATTTCTCAATTCTGAGGGTATGCTTGCTAAAAGCTGGAAGTGATGCTTTGTCGGAGGTAACGTCATTCCCACTAGGGCGGATACCCATTGCTTCATTTGCCTAAGTGATCGTTAGCTCACATCGCTCTTCGATAAAGGTATAGAACACTTGCGTCCTTAAAGACCTGGGCCAGGGTGGTCTGGTCGAGCCCCATCAATGTGCGATGGAACTTTTTGACATGAGCCTGCGCGTCAGGCGAAGCATCTTGATTAGGTATGACTGTAGGGTGTTGAGTTAGCGTTGCAAAATTGATAATTCGATGAGAGGCGACGGCCACAAAGAGAGAGAGAGAGAGACGACGACTGGATGCTACTCACTAGATACCGTGATGGCCTCAATCTGCTCGCGACGACAAGTGATCTGGGTAGCATATCGCGTACAAAGCTCTGCAGCACGGGGAAACGCGAATCCAGTCAGATTCTCTAGAACGGAGCTCTTTCCCGAGGATTGGTCCCCGACAACAACAAGCTAGAAATATTGTCAGTGACCGACATCCCCCAGGGGGGTAGACATGATGAAGATTCACCTGGGGCAAAGCAATTCGATTTCCGATAAGCTCTCGTAGCTTATCGACTTTGGTCAAAATGGCAAGATTGCCAGATCCAGAGTGTTCTTGGCCCTTGACTTCAGCCATGCTTGAAGAGGGCCTAGTAGTGAAACAAAAATTGACTCAACGTGATTTGGGTAAACTTTAAGAGATGGATCATGTAAGGTGCATGAATGGAAGGTGATGTTGACTGAAGAAATGGTGATAACCCTTCGGATTATAAGAGAAATATCAGCGTCGAAAAGATTAGGAGCCGTCTCCGAATATAACTTTGAAGGCTCGTTGCAGATAAAACATTTCGCTAGCCGAAAACAAAATAAAAACAATCATTTCTAGTCGGTTCTATACAAACGGTTCTGTACAAACAGAAGGCTTGGCAGCAGCATCATTTCGAAAGTACCAGTGACCAATGCTATTCAGATGAGAACAAACAAGCCGCCTTGCAGCGCCACAAACGAAATTGGTCCGCCACATACTAACAATTGGTTTCCATGAACAAATTTGAACGATACACCTTGTAGGTGCGAAGCGAGTCTTGACAAACGCAAGGATAAGGTCGACCCTTTTGAATACCTGCATGGTTGAACGGGTTTTTGCTCAACCGGGAGGTCTTGATTCGCCTCAAGGCAAAGAGTACATCTAAAGCTTACCCAAATCTGTGAGATCCCACTGGCCTCTCGCGCAGCTGCACTTGGATTTACTCACCGCTGTCGAGACCGGACTCCACCTCGAACGGAACCGCGCTGACTGGTGCATCTCTAACCGCAGACGAAAGCATGGTGGCGATCCATCCTCAGGTCAGGAGTGCGATGCTCCATGTGTAATGGTATGATTCTAGTGTTTATTGCTGCTGTCTTGAATATTGATTGCGGGCGCTCTTTCTCAAACTGCTACACACGTACAAGCTGAACATGCAGTTCGCGTGGCACTTCAACCATACCAAAGGCCATTGGAGGCTGTTCATGATCATTCAAAGACATGCAGGTAATATTGGAAAGTGAGATTATACAGACTGCGCGTCATGAAACAAGCCAAGGAGACCTAGGCGGTCAGGGCTGGCATACCAATTGTGGATAGAGTTCAGTCAAGCCACCAAGGCTAAGAAGGAACTGGCTAGCCAAGTACTCATACAGCCCTAGTTGATCATTATATTATGAATAGTATCAAGTTTGAAGCCCAGATCTTTGCCGTTGTTATACAGGTGCTAGGTACTTACTTACGATACTGCTTCACTCCGGGGACACCCACTCATGACCATCTTTTACCCACCCTACAAGAAGTAGAATTACAAAATTGTAGTATATTCTCCCTCGCGAGATCTGTGACCTTCCTCGCTCTCGCTCTCGCCACTGCTACAGTTGTTCACAGACAGCCCATCAGGAGTCAGCGGCTATTGGCTTTGGATGTCGCTTCGCTCTTTTCTTGTCTTCAAGCAAGGCTCATGAGGTGGACGTAAGTAGAGCTCAGCGTTACACGTAAATCCATCTGATAATTACATCCTAAGGTACGATTTGGACCCATTTAGGCATGAGTTCTGAGGTTAAGAAACAGGAGGAGGGGGGGGGGGGGGTTGTTTTCAGCCACGACATGGCTGAATTACTGTGGCTTATGTACCCCTATCCATATTCACCCTTATTATACTCGATGGAACCAATCTAATACCTCCTTTTTCGATGACAATAAGCTGTTATACATCCATATGGTTCCAAGTTAAAACTCATGTATCTACTTCTACGAGTTAGACAGACGAATGCCCGAGCTTCGCGACACCTGCTCTTCGTTCCGACAGGCGGCGTGTGTTAATTACCTCTTTGGCTGCGACATGTGATACCCATATTATCCAACATCTACCTTCTACCTACCTATACACCGACTTCTCATTCTGGGGCATCCGCCTCTAACGAATAAACTACCAATCACCAATCTCCATTCAATAAGAAAATGATATTTGGTGTGCACCCTAACAAATACTCTTCGATTCCTATGCCAACCAGCGACTAGAGCATACGAATCTGCCGAATCACCTGGCTGAGTCAAGTGAGGCTTATGCTAACTTGTGGAAGGCGACGGTGATATGAGCCTTGTGCTTGGCTATGGCGTATAAGGATCAATCCCCAAGGATTCGAGCGAGGGGTGGTGATTTCGGCATTGCAGACTTGCAGGCTAGCATAACCATATATGCCTAGATAAGGTCGTACCACTTTGCCCATCTCGTTCGACACAATAGCATGTAATTCGGTTCAGTAATACGCTCCCGTGACCCCATCGAACTTGTATCCTTGCGTCTTCTGGGGGATTGGGGACGGACGGGGCTTGTGGGATACTCTAAGTAAGTATAGTATATCGGATGTTGTTAGCTCCTCATATGCAAGTGCATGCCTGGTAAGTACCAACATGTCCATGTTCCTATGCAGGCGGCAGCCAGTTCCGATGATTACTTGACCGGGGATGGAACAATCCAAGAGGAAACGCCGTTTGAAAGCATGGCGACTGTTTGTAGCCGCGCCTGCTGCGGACATTAATCATAAGCGCAATTTCAGAAGCTGTACTAGGTAAAATCCGATGTCCATACGAGAGCCAGCGGTATCTTGTTGCTAGTGCTTCATTATAGACTCGTAGCTGCTGTCATGTAAACGATGCTAATACAAATTATATAGGCATCATTTATAAGCGTTAACTTATCTGATTGAAACAACATTTGATTCCAAAGCGGCGGTTCGTCGAAATGCAATATGATGATCAATATAGCATAATATCTTGGCATTTTGGCCAAGCAGCAAGAGTGGTCTTGTGGAGGTCTGTTTACACCTTGCAACTGCATATTGAAACACTACGAAAGCAAGTGAAGCAGAATTTTTGCCTAGATGCAGCGAATCTAGATCGATGAGGATGCTAATTGTGGGCGCAAGAACCAGAGCTATGGATGAAGAGAACATGATGCTTCAGGCACCGATAGGTCGTTAGTTACGATCGCGCAATTTGGGAGAGACGCTAGACTACACCGGCGCCTCCTGGGTACTTCGCTGACTACGTCTATGTTTACATGTGAAGACATCGCTATTATCATGAGCCTTCAACATAACTGTAGTAAGGTATACTTAAATGCACTATCTAATGATTCTCACGATACTTCGGTCGGAGTACACTAACGAAATCGAGCGCAACAATCTGCTGCTGGTGCGTAGATGGTCGCACGACAGCATCAACCCGTAAATGCATATACATACCTAGCACAGTAATTGCGCCTCAAGCTAGGTACCTGGTCGAAGCTGAATGATCGTGGGGTATCCAGCACGCCAATGTGTCAGGTGGTCGATCACGCGAGCAGGAGGTCACATGGTAAGGCATGCTCCTGCGTCTAGACGTTTTCTACACTTCCTGCTTATCGCATAGCGACAAGACTAGCCCGGCCCGCCCCTCTCCCGGAGTTGGATGGCGTACGCCAGCTTTTGTGCAGCGCCGAGATGATGAGACAAACTAAACGTACTCATGTTAGTGGGTAAGGCGAGATTGACCTGAGAAGATAAGGGGTGTTGAGAAGTTGGTGCATCGGTAGGTATAGCTTATTCTACCGTTGACAGAGCATTCTTTTTCTTTGATTTCTCTGCTGGCTTGCTTATGGCAAAGTCCTAGACGGCGTGGCAATTCGGCCAGCCTCAAACTCACAGCTCACTCACTGTTCCACCGACCGGAAGATAACGAGGCTCGAGACGTGTTGTGTCTCGGTGGCCAGTTGGTGGTCAGATACACCAGGCTTTGTGATTAGCGTAACGTGCTCGTTGGTTATGGTTAATCAACTACCTACCCCGGCTATGTGGCGCAAAAAGTTTAAGAGAGCATGGCTCATCAGAATGATAGGTATTGGAACGAGATATTTCGTAGCATTATAGTTTGGCCGAGGTCACAATGCTAGTGTCTTATCATGGTGGTATGAATCGGCGTCACCGAAATAGCAGGGGATAAGACTTTTGTGTGTATCTACTACTGTACGTATACCAGCTCTTAAGTGTTCGGCCTACTTTGGTATGCATTTTCACCAGCAAGCCGAACCAGGGTTTCCGCGTTCTTGGTACTGGAACCTGTTAAACTGAGTTATAGGTGGCTCTGGGTGATTCAACGTTATTATTGAGATACAAGCACGATTAGCTCGAGACCTAGTTTATCCGCGTAGCGCACGCTAAAGGGTCAAGTGGTAAGCAGATGTTGGGCGGCTAATTCCTTATGATCCTTCCGGTCCCGTTGTCTGACAAGCTGACATCCTCACTTTATACTCGCATCGTATTTGCTTGCGGACTTGCGAGTGAGAGAAGTTACCCTAGTTGTTTTCCTAAGCTGGGTCTCACGATGTTCAGTGTACCTCGGTAGATGGATGGCAGAGACTGGTGGAAGTCTAGATCGTCCCGCTCCGGCTCCTGATCTTGGTTTCTTGGAAAACTGGACCAAAGGAAGCGCTTTTACGTAAAATAAACGGTTCGAGGTAGAGCCGCAAACAAACTAAACAAAACGTCCCCTCTTCCCCAGATTTGGGCATCTCACAAACATAGATCTGTGCGTTTTTCCGTTTTTGTGGAATACCGAGACGCTCCAGGAAGATGCTACGCCACCAAGAACATTGCAATCACATTCTTCGTGCGCATGGCAACTACAATCAATGACGCGCGGCAAATCTCACCTACCCAGGAAAATTCGAACACAACCTCGTCAAGCACACTGGCGGCGTATGAGCGTCCAGTGTCACGAGATGGGCCAAGTTTTTCGGACAAGCTTCCAGAAGCATTCATACCCCTCGTCCTCTGATAGGTCTCCTTGGCCAGCTTACCACACAAGCTACGCGGGCCAAGACGGACATTGGAATTGTGGAGGAACAGTCGTCCTAGGGTCGGCAGTACTTCATTGGTATCGCTTAAATTCTGTAATATCTCAGCAAGCCTTGTCGTTAGCTCCCTTTGGCAAATTTGTCCACTGACAGCCTGTATACTGGCAATGCATGAGAGAATAGATCCGCAAACTGGCCGAGGCGAGTTCAGCCAAGGCAAGTACACAACAATTAGGAGGTGTGAGTAAAGAGTGGTCAGCAAAGAGACTACTACGGTCCCTCCTGTATACGCAGGGGACGATGAAAGAAGTGAAGAAATACGCCGCCCCCATGTACCCTTTGATGATGGGAGGGTGACGTTTTGATTAATTTCCCTCTTGACATTTTTGTAGGGAACACATCAAGGAAGATGGTGGGCTTGTCGCAACTTGGAGCCTGTTAGCAAAGTCGGTACACAACATGCACTACTGTAGGTGTACTGCAGATTGGTTGTGTTACAGCAGAGAGTATTTGATAAATGCAAATGCAGAGCAGCTGAGCTGAAAGCATGGTGAGGATGGGTCCCAGAACCGGCGCCAATTGTGCGGAACGCTATTGACATGTTGAGAGATGAATTGGGTCGAGCCGTCGACGCTTGGCTCGATGAGGTGACCGATACAACACAGACCTTCCTTTTGGAGCAAGGCTCGATCGACATGTTATCATGATTTATCGTCAGTTCTAGTTCCAATGCGTTGTATCATAGTACGTAGTGTGAATTGATTCACCTCCTGCAATGGACTACTTACTACTCTTTGCGTACCTATGGCGGAGTATCGTACCTGTTGATCATATTCAGTACCTTACCTACATGTACACATTGCAATTCAATACAGAACTGCGCCTGGGTAAGTGGTATACATATTCACAAGTCCTTCAACGGTCTGGTGCCCAGAGCCAAGACGGATGGCCAGGACAGATGTGGACCTAGAATACCTGGAGTACGTGGAGCACGCACTGCACTAGAGAAAGATAGCAAACCCAATGCTTTGGACGTCGCCAGTCGAGGGCCCGAGTGGATGTCTGCTCGATCCCGCCCTCAATGGCTCCTCTAATTCATCAACCCTGCTATATCTGGGGTCATGATTGGCTACCGTTTCAGCCACGACGCTCCTACCAGCTCTCCACCCAATCACGCATTGTTCTAGAATCTCGAGCTGATGGTTATCTCTCATGTCGTGTACCCAGATGAGTCTAGCCTCCGTATATATTTCCTGATATGTACCGACCAGCAGAAGGAGATGGAGCGGAAAGAAGCAGGACGAGCGGGCGAGAGAGGGGCCAAGTCTGTAAACTTCACTACACATAAGGCATCGTATTCCGTAGTATGGTTTATGATACTGTAAAGTAACGTCGGTAGCATGATAGGCCCTGGGTAGATCATTGTGTTGTTGAGGGGGGTAGGTAATCAATGTCAAGCATGAGTGTCAGGGGACAGGAATGTTAGGTCTACTTGGGGACTAGAAGTCATATCGTATTTCTTACCCAGTTAGTGTACGACGACGCGCATTATCCCTTTACGTGCTCTCTACGCCCCCAGGGAGGTTTTCGACTGAGACAATTCCCCTTCTGTCCTAGGCTTCAAGTCAGACCTCCCGGGCCTGCGGCTAGACGCTCACAGCACGGCCTGGCTCTCCAGCTCATCAAAGATAAGACAGGGTGTAGTCTTCTCAAGTAGATTCGCATCCAAAGAGATAGGCGTTAGACATGCGACGAGTAGATAGCAGGGGTTGTCTCGTACGATTAACCCCTGATAATACAAGTTGTTTTGCATGGCTTTAACATGCGTCTTCCTGAGGAACTTGGACCCCGAGAGACTACTGTGTGCGCTCTGTTAAACCCAAGATGTCTGGCTCTCGCCATCGACGGATGCGATACCAGTAGGAGGGACCTTGCCACAGTAGTACCCGGGTAGTCTAGGTGCCTGTCTACTGGTACCCTACTACGCCGCTTTGTGACATTGCATTGGGTATATATCTCTACATCCCCTCTCTTGATCCCTTGATAATGAGTTCCTTCCGCTTGTTTCTTCTCCCTTTCTCCCCCTTCTCGTCAACCTCGCCGTCCATTCCCTTGGTTAATCTTTACGGCAACTCTCATAGCTCCAACCATCATGTCGGAGTCAGACAGTAAGGAAAAGGATGTCAACGTCTTCCCCCATCACGATGGCGCTAGCCATACGGATGAGGAGGTCGGGATTGTCAACAAGGGCGCTGCGCTCAAGACTGATCTGAGGGGTCGCCACATGCAAATGATTGCTGTCGGTATGTACAACTATTTGGCAATTCTGCTCTGCACGCGCAAGGCTTGAACTAACGACTCGTGCGATAACAGGTGGCGCTATCGGTGCAGGTCTTTTCATCGGCTCTGGAGGTGCTCTTCACAACGGTGGACCAGCCTCTTTGATCATCGGCTATTTGATTATCGGTGTGATGTTGCTGTTTACCATGCAGGCCTTGGGCGAACTAGCTGTCTTGTATCCCGTGAATGGTGCTTTCTACACCTACGTCGTTCGTTTCGTAGATCCTTCTTGGTCTGTCCCCTTCTAACCTGAAGCTGGCCTTATGACCTCCGATCTAATTTCGTTTCGCAATAGGGGTTTCGCCGTCGGTTGGGAATATGCTATCGGTTGGCTGACTGTGCTCCCCTTCGAACTCATCGCTGCTTCTGGTACAATTACGTTCTGGAGAGATGACATCGACTCAGCCGTATGGGTCACTGTGTTCTTGGTCGTTTTGATCATAATTCAAGTCTTCGGTGTCCGTGGCTATGGTGAAGGTATGTAGTGACGGTATGAGATCATTTTTGAGATACTGACATGCGCCAAGTTGAATTCGTCCTTAGTCTCATCAAGATTGCAGCTTGCATAGGTTTCATTATCCTCGGCATTGTAATCAACGTGGGCGGTGTCGGTGACAGGGGCTATTTGGGAGCGAAGTACTGGCACGATCCCGGCGCGTTCCAGAACGGCTTCAACGGTTTTGCTGGTGTCTTCGTCGTCGCTGCTTTCTCATTCGGCGGTACTGAGTTGGTTGGCCTTGCAGCTGCTGAGGTTAGTATTTGAAGTCTTCTCTGTTGCTTAGGCAGGTTTCGTGAACACATGCCGTCTAATCGACGGTGTCTGTTCTACCACCCCTTCAGCATTCGGAAGCTATGTACAGCGATTATTGACTCAGCTTTCTCTCAATAGTCATCCAATCCCCGAAAAGCTATCCCTCTCGCAGCTAAGCAAGTCTTTTTCCGAATCCTGTTCTTCTACGTCGTCAACCTCTTCATCCTGGGCTTGATATTCCCGTCCGATGATGAGCGACTAGAGAATGCGACAGGTTCCAACTCGAGATTTTCTCCCTTCGTTCTTGCCATTCAGGATGCTGGTATTCAGGTGCTGCCTTCCATTTTCAACGCTGTGATCACCATCTCCGTTGTCAGCGTGGCCAACTCGTGCACTTACGCGTCTACACGAACGATGCAAGCGTTAGCTGAGCGTGGCATGGCGCCCAAGCTACTGTCTTACGTCGATAAACAGGGTCGGCCCCTAGTGTGCGTGATTATCCAATTGGCCTTCGGACTACTCGGTTATGTAGTCGACGCGCCCAAGGGCGGTGACGCTTTCACTTGGCTTCTGGCCCTCGGTGGTCTTAACTACTTCTTTGTTTGGGGCTCTTGTTGCTTGGCCCATATTCGCTTCCGAATGGCATGGAAGGCTCAGGGACGCGACCTACGAGAGATTCCATACCGGGCACCTTTGGGTGTTTGGGGCAGTTGGATCGGACTCTTCCTCGTCTTTTTGTGCTTGATTGCTACATTTTATAATTCTCTATACGTAAGCCTCTCTAATCCGCTTGCAATGTCAGTTAGAATACTAACGTCGGCCATTAGCCAACGCCCAATTCTAAACCCGAAGCCGAAACATTCTTTGCGGGATACCTCGCCACATTTGTTGTGATAGTACTGTACCTCTTCTGGAAGATATGGTCTCGCAATTGGAAGCTCTATATCAACCTCAAGGACATCGATCTCGTATCAGGCTCTCGCCCTCTGGAACCATCGGAGTACGAAGATGCACCGGAGCAACATAGGAGCTGGCCGATGCGTATTCTTCGAGCTCTTTTCTAGTTGTACGTTGGTTGCGGGAGAAGGGACATTGCACCAGCAATTATGCAATAACCTTAGACATTATCTAGGTTGCACATATTATGTTTATAGAACTTGACACACTCATGTTGTTAATAGTGTCAGTAGAGCCAGATAAATGAAGAATAAGCGCCTTGAGCTATGCTCCGGTCAATCAAATCGGAACTGTGAAGCGCAGTGATACTGCAAGGATGTCTTTGCGAACCTGGCAAGAGTTATTCGGGCATAGCTGGCCTTGTCGTTCGCGAAAAAGCACAGGAAAGAAAGGTGGATCATGAGTGTAAAGGACGACTCGATACACAGGCGAATTTTGGAGGTCCTAAGCATATAACAAACAAGCTGGGTAAGCTGCCCTCGCTCTGGGAACGGAATAATAGCGAGATTCAATCCATCATGCTAATGTAGACCGTCAGCCAGCACCACGTCGTTGCAGAAGCTAGCGCGTGTGTGGACGAAGCGGAGATAAGCGTAGCGCATTCATCAGTTCGCTTTCGCTCCTACTCAATGTATCGCGTGCTGAGCAAGGGGTAGATAGAGTGCTCGGGGACTCCCGTGGTCTCTTCCTTCTGCTTTCTGAACAAGCTGAACAAGCTGAACAAGCTGAACAAGTGTCGTTTGCTTAGAACATAGCCGACACTTTTGAACGACCCATGTCAGCGGGGAGATTCCTGATGGCATCTCTGCCGCAGCAACATGCAAATCATTACACTGAGTCTGCCCACTATTTTCATGGGCCCTAGGTTAAGAGCATCGCATCGCATCGTATCGCTTAGGTAAAGATAGGCACGGCCATGGAGGAGTATCGCATTTTCAGATAATAGCGAGCTGTTGGTAGCCCACGTCAGAGGTAAAAGCAAAGCTTTAGCAGTTCAAGATGGTGATGCTACGATGAAGTCAATGCAGTCGCTAACAGTGACCCAGAATCAATGCCTCTTAGCTTCACAGTATATACAGTGTGTGTACTCTTAGGCTTCCAGCTCCTGTAGATCTCACCTGCTCATGGCCTAAGGAAAACCCCGTCCAGACCATCGTCACGGGAAAGTCTCCAGTGAGGGCATATTCGCCGACGTTAGCTGGTTATCTTCTAAAATTAGCTGCAATCCGACGTCCTGTGTGCCTAGTCGCGTGGCATACGGCGTATTGATTGGCCCCCTAAGCCCCAAAAGTCTAGAGTAAGTAAGGCTTAGCAGCTGCTTGACAATGTTGATCCGCAATCGCAATCATACTTACAGTATGGAAGCTGTGTCGAGCACGGGTAGCTTCGAGGATCTTGCGATGTTGCGACAACAAACATGTGCAGCCAGCCATCTTTCAGTGAATTCTTCTCTTACTTCTCTTATACTCCCACAGCAGTACGGGGTAGAGGTAAACGATTGTCGTTGATTGATCGCAAACAGAGTATTACCAGCTAAACATATACTTATTCCTGTGTAGTAATGAGCAACATGGCAGCCGTTTTAGTATCCAGCATCGCCCCGTCTCGGCATAAGCCCGATACTCTTGGCCAGGCAGTGATCAAGGATATTGAAGATCTACTTTGGAATAGTGCAGGCCTGAGATGGAGTGACCCGCATGGCTGATCCTCCTACTACACTAGGCAAAAACATATAGTTTTGCTTTGGGAGTGTGCAGCAGATCCGGTAGATTCCACATGCGAAATCTATTCAATCCGGCGCTCATCCTGCCCGATCAACACATTGAAGAAACATTCCTACGGGAATGAACCGATAACTATAGGGTCAGGTTAATTCACGGCGACAGTATGACGACGACATCAACTCCAGCGCCAACGTTGTCGACAGACTGGGCACCGACCGCTTCCGGATGTCTTCGCAAGAGTGATCTATGGGTGTGGCAATATAGCGATATACAAAAGGATGCCCGTACTGTTCTAGGAGGCCCATCGCAGACTACAGCATGTTTCTCTTCAGAATGGACCGCTACTCTTACATATGCGGGCTCAGGCTGCCCGGCGAAATATACACCAGCCTGTACAAATGGTGACGCCGTAACATGTTGCCCCGACCTCTACAGTTTCACCTGCGATAAGGAAACCTGGAGCGTTTCTACTACCCATGGCGATTGGTTCCGTTGCGTATCGCAGTGGGACAGTCAAACCATAGATACGTTGACAAAAACCGATTTCGTAGCGAGCACGATAAAGATAGAGACAAGAACGAGACACCCAAACCAGCATTTATTTGCCTTAGCTTTGTTGTACACTCCACCGGTATGTAGCAAGTCTAGAGTTCGTCGTTTTGCGGAAGTGCTGAACCATGGATAGCCTCCTTCATCAACCAGCTCTTTACCTACCTCCTCGTCCGACCCGACTCCAACAGAAACGCCCTCTGGAAACTCGAACTCAGGGCTCACACCCGCCGCGGCCGGCGGAATTGGCGCTGGGGTGGGCGCAGCTGCTGTCCTACTCGGTGTTATAGGCTGGATATGGTATCGACGGAGGAAAGCATCAAACGTAACTCCTCCAACCCCTGGAACTTCTTCAGCGCATACATATAACCCGGATGGTTCTTACGGTCAGCCTCATTATTTAACCCAACCTTTTATACCGCCAGCGCCCAAGCAGCCGGCCAAGGAACTGCACGGCGACTCGGCGCCTGTTTTCGAACTTCCTGGTGACGCGAATGAGCAGCACAACCGACTACAATGAATTGAAGGCGGGATGATTGTCAGTACATAATTATCGCGATAGTGTCTTGGGACACGTTCACGAAGTGGGAAGTGGTAGGAGCTTAATCACAGTAATAAGGCTTGGTATCGATGACAAGCTCAATAACGTGTGCCGAAGTTGAAACCTCAACTATACTCCGAAGCCTCCGAACTATTGGGAAATTGAGCTTAACTTTTAATAGCGGGATTCAATCGGGCAAGCATTTGGCGAGGTCATCTGATTGATTTAATTGTGCATATTCATGTATCTACCAACTGTGTCTCAGACAAACTTGACACACCGTCTGTATATAAGTTGTAAAAACCCATATATAGATCTTAGTATGGTGTTCCCAAATATCCTAGACCGTGGGGTTGTAGGTCGCTGGTATCGACTATGGAATAAATCATCTCTATAGGTATTTAGGCTCCCTTCGCATGTCACTGACGATTATGATGCCCTTTTTGACTTCAAGTTGAGATCACAATTCGTTAGCTACTTGTTAATCGCTTCCTATTTATTTCAAATACAGCTTGTCTATCGACTCAGACTCATTACAATGGTACGAGGAACCCGCCTCGTGCAATGAACGGCCTGACGTTAAGAAAACCCACCATCATGCCTAGGTAGTAAATCGACGTATGTATACCATACCTTTATACAATGTCACTAAGATTCTTTTCCCTGGGCCTATACCTCCTCACAATTCTCAGCAAACTGATATCCTCTTCTTGCGCGTTATTTGAGGTCGTAAGCTTTATCCGCGCCATCTTCTGCCGAATAGCTTCTGCGTCTTCCCCGTCGGGGTTCGGCGGCAGCAAGGATATTTCTCTAGCAAGAGCCAGTGTTTTCTTCACTTTCTCATACTCATCGTCCTTTTCGCTCCCTTTCTTAGGCGACTGTAAGCTCCGATTCCTCCAATCCGGAAGGATGTCCTTCCAATCCATTTCCTCATAGTTCTCCGGCCGGTCTATGGGGGGTAGATCTGCGCCGTTGAATGGTGGCAGCGCGAAGCTGTGCACATCGCTTGCCGTCATATACTGGCCCATCACATACCCCTTTTGTCCTTCGTAGAACTCGCGGAGCATTTCTTCTAGTTGCTCGCTCGGTAGTCGCGCTACGGTTTTTCCTGCCGGCCCGCCGGCAACGAAGTTTGGGTTTTTCCACGGTGGCCCATAGAACGGAATTCCGTGCCCATGATCCCCGACCGGCTGGAATCTCACACAATGCGGTGCCTTTGACCGTCGGCAAGCCGCGCACTGAGGGTCTGATTCCTTGCCAAGGTAGTTGAGTGTGCATCGCAGTCCCTTTTCTAAGCATCTGAGACATGACCGACCGTGCTGGGATAGCTTGCGACCCGTGACATAGTCCCTAGGTGATTTGCCATTATCGGCTTCAGATCTTCGTTCGTCCGGCCATGATTGTGTCGTCTGTAGGTCTATTTTCAAGCGTTTGTCCAGCACTATCTCAACATATTCTGCATCCGAGCTAGGAAATTCTTGGTTCCCCCCCTCTTGCTTGGGATCCACGCCTTGTTCGATAGGTGGTAGATCCTGCCGTTCTCTATAATTCTGCGCCAGCTGCACATCTACGGATGGTCGCCCCTTTCCGTGCTTTGATGAGGCTTTGGGGTGGTTTTTATCGGTCGCTTTCGGCTCTTTCTCACTGTCCGAATTTCGAAGCTCGCCCTGCGATGCCATTTAGCTCTCTCGAAATAAATATTTATATTTGTGTCTGACCCGGGAAAAGAAAAAAAATGATTAATAGAGTCTAGATCCTCATCACTAATCTTTCTTTACACTACGTGTTTGTGGACTTAAGAATATTAGCGAAGGACAAAGTGGCCAAGGCCTTTGTGGAATCAAGCAATAACACTCCCTATGTAGATAAAGGGCCTAAAAAAGAAAGCCGCCTTATGCCCTAAGATCCATTGTTCTCAAGGTGTGGGATAAATAAAAGGAGTATTGAATTATTTAGTCCTGATGAGAAAGACCTCAAGGTTGCCGAATCACCATTTTCGACGCAAGACGGATTCTACAAGCTCCTATGAATATAATTTATATACCACAAAACGACAAGTAAGTATTATATTCAGCTGAGTATACTACTCACCAAAGCGATCTAAACTCATTTCTCTTTATAGATGTATCATGAATTAGCTCTATATTACCTAACTCAAGCCTGTAGATGAAAGGAACACTTGTAGTAGAAGAAAATAGCAGCCAAGCCTGACCATTACGCTCTCAAATGCCTACGTAATAATTCGAGCCTCCATAGATTCCTGTCAGCTTGATTACCGGCGGGTTTGGAACAACTTGTTGTCTGTTATTCATGGTTGGCTTGTTGTCTCTGAAGTAGTATGAAACTTCAGTATCAACGTCTTCAGCCATGTCTGATTCAGCTCTTGTTGTTTCTTCTAAAGACACTGTAGATCGCGTTTCGCGAGCCTCAGTGCCTACAAGGATGTCCAAGTCTTGCACTGAGTTGTGGACAACAGAACTTGGTTTCCATCCTTTCGTAACCTCCTTCATCTGATGATCTAGTTGAAAGCCTGATGAGAGAAACCAAGGATGCTCTTTGGAATCCTCCGCTGTAATCCTGTTCGATGAATTTATAGCAAGACACTTTCGAATGAAGTTCCTGAAATCTTCGGACAAGGTTTTGCTCCCTTTATATAGTTCACTGAAGGCAGTTGATAGGCTTTCATCAACAGCATCCTGGTCAAAGGAGTTAAGTAAACTGATATTATCCCAGTCAAGCACAACGAGGAATAGCGAAATCATGCCCAGTGACCAAATGTCAACCTCCAGGCCATGACCTTGACCACGACACATTTCCCTAGGGTGATTCAGCAGAGTTTAATACAAGATACACTTGAGTTTATACGGAAACAATATTTGCTTACGGGGCCATATACGTTGGGGTGCCGACTTCACTGGCCATTCGACCTGATGCAGCCACTTTAGCAAACCCGAGGTCTCCAACAATTATTCGAGCCGGGAGCGTTGGTCCGGTAGCAAAGAAAACACTTTGCAGCAAGTTAATATCATGGATAATTCAACCGTGACTAGGGCACAAAAGCCACGGTCATGCGAAATTGACTGGACTCAGCTGGCCTTGAATAAGGCATAGTAGATCAATGGATGCCGCTTACTTTTCTGGTTTGAGATCTCTATGAGCAATCTTGTGCTGGTGTAGATAACTGATGGCTTCCACTATTTGTCTAATAATGAGCTTTGTATCCATCTCCGGTAAACCATCCAAGTGTTGGAGACGCATAGAGAAGAGGTCTCCGCCCGTCGCTAGTTCTGTAAAGGTATATAACATATCTGACGATCGAAACGCAGCTACGAACTTAAGAAGGTTAGGCTTTTATTAGTTAGCATTTTCACAAGGAGAATGGCGACCACTAGGCTCTAAACGCTTACATGAGTAACTCTACTAAGAATATTAGTTTCGTCCAGAATGCGTCGAATTATGGTCGAGGATTTCTGGAATTGCCGGAAATGGGTAAGCCGATGAACCTTACAAGCAACTTGTCGCCCGGACTTGAGATTGATAGCAAGATGAACAGACGCTAGAGCACCACTTCCCAATAGCCGTTCGTTGATGAGAAATCCAGCTTTCTCAAGCTACGAATTCTGTTAGTTTGGAACGGCGCGACACTGATATCAGGATGTGCGAATATACTTCAGTCTCGTTCTTTTGTATCTGATTCAATATTGAACCTCTAGGACACATACCCGACAGATATACGTGAAATTCCCAATAAGGTTGAATCCGAATGATTTCGCTTTGGCTAAGCAAATATCCAGAAGAAGGCGGTAATCTTATACGCGGAGAGCAAGGCCTGTCGATATACGTGCCGCAGAGTGAGCCACAATCACGTACGTATAAGAGCGGCTGCGTGTCTCCGTTATACACAACAGAATATATAACAAAATGCTTTCTTGAAACATAGGGATGAGGAATCGCAATGTCGCTTGGGTAAAGGATAAGTATTCTTCTGTGCGAGAGAATGGAAAAGAGAACCGGCCTACTTCTCTTCTACATCTCTTCCAACTTGAACCTGTTTGCCAATGGACAGAGATATGTCCATACAGGGGCGAGGCCCTGGATTTAAGCGTGTATTATCAAAACGCGTACTTGCAATGAAGCCGTTGCCTTAGGACTTGTCAATCTAGACTACCGAACGGTTGCAGGTAAGCTTAGAGTCTGTGAGGCTTACCTGGTCGGAAGTGTTCTGGTAGTGGTTTGTCGATATAGCGGCAGAATATCTGCGCGACTAGTTGATCATTGGACATTGCTAGTCTCAACGTGGTCTTATTGATAATATAATGATTCTTTCATATGTGGAATACGGCAGGTCGATGAGGCGCGCCGAGCCAATGCGGATAAAACTTGATATAAGGACCCTTGCACAAGCTTGAGCACTCTACTGACAATGATAATCACCACTACCTAGGTAGGGTGTCCACGGAATGAAGTATGAGCATCGGATTCCAAACCTCGAAATCTACAAAATTCTGTTTTGTGATCACCGCACATCATATTTGTAGCGTAGTGCACGTTCAAGGTTGGCTGTTATGCAGCTACGAACATGTCTCAGTACTTTATCGCGTGCCTTCCCTTCCCATGCAGCCATCTCTCACTAACTGAGCAAATCTCGAATTTTCGAGGGCAGGAGCGATGTAGGTAGGTGTACAAGGACTACTTGGAAGGTACAATCAATTTGGGTGCCTACCTATGTACATGCCCTCCATCCAAATACACCTACCAACATAGGTAACTCTGTCATGGATTAGGTACCAAGGCAGAAGGTAGGTTTGCGTTTCAATGATGTACATCCTTCAAGAGTTCAAGAGTCGATTCAGTTGAATACAGATATCGAGTCTTCGGTTTGGAATGGTCTAAGTAGATAATCGCAATTGACAAGACAGCAGGCCGAGTCAATCCGCAACCAGTAGCTACTGTGAGGAAGGTGCAAGTATCAGAAGCTTCTCTTAAGGTTTATGAAGCTGCCTGGCTGTCGTCATAGTGGCACCTTGGTTGGTTTGCTTCTAAGGTTCTGTTCAATAAGAGCCAGCAATTGCGGCACTCGTACCCCACCGCGAGTCGCATTCACTGATTCCCCCGCTTCATGGCATGCCCTGCCACACCCGAACAATAGCCGGGCGGTCACAACCCTAATCTGTCGCCTACTTCAATCCGTCCCGCTCCAATTGCGAACTTCCTTTCCTCCTTCTAACAACATCATCTCAGCACCTCATCGACAGCAAACTTGTGAGTGTAGCCCCCGCGTCTTTTGCATCGCATTTGCATGTTAAAGCAATGGAACGAACATTACTATCTGTTGCTTCGTCGCCGCAGTGCGAGTTGTTGTTCTCACATCCGCACTGCGCGCGCTCGTCGTGTCATCACTGACATCATCCCACCACCCCCGCCTAATTGACATTCCGCGTACTTTTGTTGCTTCACCAAACCATAATCACTGGATGCTGACTTATTGCTATCATAGTCGCCAAGATGAGAGCTAAGTGGAGAAAGAAGAGAGTTCGACGCCTCAAGCGTAAGAGGAGAAAGATGAGGGCCCGCAGGTATGTACATCTTGAGCAACAGTATCGGTATGCAATTGACTGACTCGGTTCGTTTAACAGCAAATAAACAACTCGCCTCTACTCGATCTCAGCCGTCTTTGACGCAACAAACCAAACGTCATGACAACGAAAACAAGTCTGCATGCACACACAGCACACGTCATCAAGATAATTCTCTTATCAAATCCCGACACTATAATCAACCAACAGACAAGGACTATGGGGAACGTGTACCAGGGTACTACTGAGTGAAGTGGCGGATTGCCAAAGTGACGGAGGCCGGTCTAAATCGAGGATAGCTGGTCAATCATTACCATCGAGTGGAATGCTAGAGCTGTTTACGCAGCACGGGTGTAGGCAGAAACTGCCTTCGTGGCCCATGGTCAGAGGATGACGGAATGAATCACGCCGCAGCCTAGTAGGCAGCTAGCTGAATGACAAAAAGTGACCCACGAATACTGATGTGTTTGCGTGAAGAATGAAATTTGATTGAAGTTGCTCAATTGACTACAATGGCTTTGAGAGCTCCTGAGCTGAGATGGTGTGCATGAGGCCGGTACTAATAGCAGTACTGGTTAATTAGAACCTTAAGTAGGTACCTACTCGCGACAAAAGGGAACCTTGTGAAGAATCAGTGGTCAAATGGAGCACAATCGCAGTCCGTCTGACATCTACTAGTTGCTGTACCTTGCATGGCTAGTTTAATCTGGAATGAATTAGACTCATGGATTTAATACGACATTTTGTATTGAGTTCAGCTTGGTAGTTATATTGCGGATCTGAGCGCTGGTGGGGTATATTTACCGCCTTCCGAAAACGATCACCTTTGGGCAGGAGCTCTAATCGATTGGCAGATCCAAAACTTTTTCCCGAGCTGGCCTACGATTACCTTAGGAGGTAGGCATAGAGACATCGATGCGCTAAGCAAACATCACCAGTATTTGGGCTTACTACCTACGCATCACGACCTTCGTTTACGTTTGATCTTTTTTCTTCACCTCAAAAATTGTTGGCCAAACCTTTGATATCTCTTCTGGTCTCGAAAATGGCGGGCAAAGAAGGGAAGAGGAAGAGAGATAGAGACCACGATGGCAGCGCCAAACAGCCAAAGAAGAAAGTAGCGGTACAGACAGATTCCGAACAGGCGCAATTCAATACAGTTAAAGTTGCCTCTATGCAGGTAGAAAGCACATGCCCCCCAATTATAGGTCAGTGAGAGTTCAATCGAGGCTGGACCAAGCATCAGCTCACTGGACTAGCAACACATCCCGGTCTCTGTCTTCCTAGCTCCGTTACCTTCCAAGCGTATACAAAGAACGCGCCGTCCAAGTCGAAAAAAGCGAAAATCAAACATGCAGCCAGTTCATCATCGAGTCTCATGCTCCACTCGTCTTCCCATAGTAAACTAGATTATACAGCAAGGGAAGAGGGCCCTGGAGGTCGGGAGTCGCATCTCAAACATTATATCGGCGTATTCGATCCCGCAACTGGCGAACTGTCCGTCGTCGAGGCTAGAAAAATGGCTGTGAGAGGAGTTGTGCGTTCACAACAACCCAAAGAGGAGGATGTCCAGAGCCGGATGGCATCGAAGGTATGTGGTTTTCTTCACTAAGTCACGAACAAATGCTAATGGGACACAGAATATGATGGAGCTTCGCAGTGATCTAGGACAAGCCTTCGGTACGAAGAAAGCCAAGAAAGCTTTGGCAGCAATCACAGAAAATGCTATTGTTGATAACGAGCCAAAAGCCAAATCAATTGGAGCTTCTTCTCAAGCTATGATGTCTGCGATCGGCGAAGTAACAAATACTATGGCATCAAAGGAAGATCTCCAGGCGGCGGCCGATGCGGCCAAGCCTGTCCCCCCAGGTAACTTCGAGGCCCGAGAAATACAAGATGTTTATACCCCTCAAGGGATGATAGGGGGTGAATTGCTGAATGCTATTCCCATCAAGGACTGGCAGGACGCTGTCAAGAAAGGCGCCAACAAGATGTTGACAAGTGCATTCATTGCGTCACGACTTAACGCTGTCGGCGAAGGTCCCGATTCAGCAACCAGGTTAAAAGCCCTGCGCTACTTGGAATTCCTGATAAAGTTTTCAAAATTAGCCAAAGGGAGAGCAGGCAAACTTCCACCTCCGGATAAGCTCAGACAGCTGCTGCACCCGGCACCAGAACCTGTCCTCCAGAGCATCAGGCGGAAATTCTCGTCTAATCAACTGATAGACAAGTTTCATCGCGATTTACTATACACATATTGCTGTGCTCTAGCCGCTATTTTATCAAATTTCGAATTCGAGACTAGCAAAATCCGGTTTGACTTAGGCCTAGACGACAAGCAATTCGGGCAATATTTCCGTGAAATCGGTGGCAAGGTCAAAAAGGCCACAGGTGCCGAGAAGGGGACCCAAATACAAATGGCTGTGCTATCTCTACCTTTGGAATTCCCCAAAGTAAGATATCAACGGCCAACCAGATAGGCCCAAGTCAGTGGTCCAACCATTAGATAACGGAGAATGACTGGTGTATTAAGTCTAGACTTGATCGCTGTCTTGTACTGCTTAGTGAATGCATTTGTCTTGCTACATTTACGTTAGCGCTGGATGTCGATAGACTTAGCTCAATTGGCAAAAGAGTATATAATACCAAGGATGGAAGTGCACTAAAAGAATGTGGAGTTATAGACAATGCATCGAATACCCCTTCCGTTTGAGTTGAGTGGGAAGCAGCACTGGCATCCGTCATCTTAGCAACTACCTAGGTAGAATCAAATTCTTGGGGCAGTCATCTTTGATTGGCCTACCCACCAATAGATATAAGCATTCGCGGTATGGGCAACTGTTGAACGCGTGTGAATTCTGCTTAGCAACATGACGCGTGGATCCCTGTTACATTACCCTATAAGAGTCTGGGGAATGAGGTGATGGCAAGCGCTTAACAACAGCTTTCTTCACTAACGGAGACTGCCAAATCGCGCCTCAAGCTCTTTAACCTGTCGGGTTCCCCCTTTCCTCCGCCAAAGATACTAGTTACTAGTTAGAGGTGCTTGCGGGTATTCTCCACTACATGTTTCGCAAAGGCTTCAGGATGCGAGATATATGGAAAGTGCTTGCCAGGCAGATAGTCAATATCGACGCCAGCCTTGGCCGCTGTCACTACATTGTCAAAGAACCAATTCATTTCCGTTGACCCCCCAACTGTCCAATATAGTGGTCGCTTCAGAAGAGTCGAGGTGTCCGTTGGCGATGACTGCGGAATTGTTCGGGGATAACCATGAACCCAACGAGGATAATTCTTCCACATTCGGGCATGGCACTCATCTCCTAGACCAGCCCAGGCCTCAAGGTTGCCGCACATTGACTCAGGCACAAAATCTGCCATCGCCTGCGAGATGACATCGTCCCCTTCCAAATTGGTAAGGCCGTTTAGATCGTCCCTGGAGTACGTTGGCACCTCGTGTGCTAGTGCGTTCCGTACGCGCTCAGGATAGCCAGCCAAGAGTGCCAAAACCGTTGACCCCCCTGAGCTGCATCCCCAGAAAGTGGCAGTGTCGATGCCTAGCTTGTCGATGATGCTGATGACATACCCAGCCAACTTCTGCGCAGTGACATCTTGATATGTCTCGGGCGGTGCGTCAGAAGATCTAGACATTCCCGGCATGTCAAAAGTTGTGACCCTGAACCCATTGGACACAATATGGGGAATGGCCTTGTCAAACATATGGCAATCACCTAGTCCGTCGGGTATAAGGACTACATCCGGTCCAGAGCCTTCTTGCTCATAGTACCAGGTGATTCCTTCTGCGGTTGTGACTTTGCCGTTCGTGCGCATGGCGAGGGAAATGCAGTCAGTAAGCTAAGGTGTTTTTAGAAGATCGATAACATAACACTCTGTCTGAAGAAATAAGGATTTTGATGTGCAATTGTGCTTGCTCCGGCTGCCTTCCAACAGCCATCATTGCGGAGAAAGGGAGGCCTTTTAATATAAACCCAATGCGCTGTACAACGCGGCAAGATGATCAGAGAAACACTCGTCATACCGCTAGCTTTCCGCCGTTCGATCCGAGCGCGTCTCACCTGAGCAGAGTTCACCTCTGATATCGATTGACCCTTGTCGGCCTGTTGGAGCCTAGGGTTGGGGGGAGTCGAACGAGCCGTTCCCCGCCTTTCTTACTGTACATAGATTCGACCGCCGGGCGGCGGAAGCTTCAAATCCGCCTCATATGATACTGTAACAGAGGAAATCAACATGAGTCCATCCCACACATACCATTCATTGGCACCCAGTTCCGTGTTTGGCCCGCCACGCTGAGAAAGCAGGAAAAGGGCCTAACAATACAATTGACTCCCCCCCTCCAGCGACCAGTTTTCGTGAGGCACCAATGGCGGATTCCGGATCACCGGTGCAAGAAACTGTATCAAAGTCAGTCCAACCTGAAGCCAAAAGAAGAAAAATACGTAAAGGCACCCGAAGCTGTTGGGAGTGCAAGCGGCGGAAGAACAGATGCACCTGGTCTCAAACCGAGGATATCTGCGATGGCTGTCATCGCAGGGGTACGCAGTGCATCGGCCAAGAGTTTCCCGAAGAGCGCGTGGTATCGGAGAAACGGGGAGTCAGCAAGCCCGACGATAGCAGAATTCTACGTCTCGAAGCACTAGTTGAGGAATTGTCCCGAAAGATTGACTCTGAAAATGCCTGTGGGCATCGTGCTGGGTTGAATTCAGATGATAGAAGTGGCAGACCTGAGGCCTCAATTGGCACCAATCATTATGGTGACATCGCCGCCGACTCATCGACACCCTACGTGGACAATAACTTGGCAGGCCTACGCTTACATGTTTTAAGAAATAATACATCGGTATGTCCATTAGGATGTCTGCTTCCCACGTATATCCTGCCTGTTTGAAGCTTCATAGGCAAAAGCCAAAGTGAATCTAACCAACATTTGGCAGCCATCTCTTCTCAAAGCACCAGTCGGCAGCTCGTGGGGGCAGTTTGGGGACTCGGCGGATCAGCAGATAACACCCGCAGTCCACGCCCTCATATCGGCTTGGCCCAATGAGCGTCATCACGATGCCATTATTAACAGCAAGGTCACAAACCTGCATCCAGCCCTTTCTTCTGCATGCTCCGGTTTTCAATTTCCACCTTCACCCAAAGATCTGCTACGATTACCGACTCCCGGTACGACATCAGAAGCAATCGCGCGCCAGCTCCTAGTCTTAGGCACATATCTTCAGGTGCTCTCAGCGCAAAATGGTCAAGAGAATACAGGTTCAGGTCCTGACTACCGCCTGATTTCCTCTCGAGCACTTGAGACCGCTAGTCAAATAATAACACACAATGATAGCCTTCCTCAGTCCCTTGATATCATCGAGGTATGCATCACTCTTTTACTTAAAATTTCCTCATGCTGCTCATCGACGCAAGATTTTGGTACACGCCATTGACCTTTGTCTTGATATGCCTGACACCGGCTCGTAGGTAGACCGATAATGGTCTCTAACTTCATTCACAGTGTCTCATCATCGAAGGTCAATATTACAACTATAAGGGAAACATTCGCCGTGCATGGACTATTCTACGCCGTGCCGTAGCAATGGCACAGTTGCTAGGTCTAGACCGCCAGAAGAAAAGTATAATACAGGATCCGAGGACACTTGACGCGCAGTCAGCCTCTCGCCAGGAGCGTATATTGTTTCTACTCGTTCATTTTGATCAATATGTATCACTTGCATTAGGTACTCCACCGAGCTTGCCAGATCACAGTCAGATAGCCCCCGAAACAATGGAAAGGTGCACACCCTCAGGGCGAATGGGGCGATATCATTCTATGGCAGCTGGGCGCATCCTTCACCGAAATCGCATCAACATCGTAGATGTCGCCGAGACGAAAGAGATCGACAAGATCCTTGAGAAGGCTACAGCTTGTATGCCTGCTCGTTGGTGGCTGCTCTCTAGTCGGTTTGATGCCTGCGGCACCGCCGAAGAGTGTGCCTCTCTGGAAACACGGGTCGTTTGTCAATTCGCTCACTATAACATAATGTTACAACTCCATCTACCGTTAATGTTGCATTCACTACGCGACAAGCAGTACTACTACAGTACCACCGCTGTCATCAACTCCAGTCGTGAGATTCTGACCCGCTTCACCACCTTTCGCAGCTATCATCCCTCAGTCTCTTACTGCCGCGGGCTTGATTTCTTCGCGTTCGTTGCCAGTGCTACACTCTGCCTTCTTCACATATATACTAGTTATGAAAGTCAAGTTTCTGGCAAATACGACGGCATTAGCATCTCTGACCTTCTAGCCCATCAACGATTTGCCAATCGCGGTCTCATGGAACAAGCACTTGAAAGTATAGAGAAGATCGCGGAGATCGAATCAGACGGTAGATTGAGCTCCGAAATAATTCCAATATTTCGGCAACTTCTTGCCATCGAGGAAGAAGCTTATGAGGGAGTAGATTACAGAATTCATCTACCGTCGAACGTCGAGCAGCTATGCGATAGGAATAGTCAGCAAGGCGTCGGCAGTAGTGATACACTCTATCTGGATCTCCCTTTTTGCGGAACTATTAGGATTGAGCGAACGCATCCTCCCAACGACATCTCGATTGAAGCTCCGACATCTATACAGTCTCCATATATCCCCCCTTTCATCACGGGACCTTTTCCCGCCCCTTCAGAAGGATGCTTTGCGACAACCCTCCCTACTGTGCAACCATCAGAGGACCAAGTTGCAATGGTGACTAACAGCTGTCACGTTGCCGAGAGCCAGCCACATATCGGTGATACGTACGCTGCAATGCCGCCATCCTGCAACATACAATCGATGCCATATAATGGCACCGATGAGATCGATGAGATACAAGACTCTACATCGGCGCTAGAAACATTACACCCAGACATAATGGCAAATATTGAAGAGGGTCTGAATCCAATGATGGAGGCCAGCTTTATGGAATATCTTCTTGATATGCAGTAACATTACTATAAGTACACACAAAACCTAGTGCTTTCTTTCCTCCCTAAAACACTTGGCATTTTCACGCGGTTCATAACGTTGTGTTACTGCATGTGAAGAAAAAAAAAAATGCAAGCCAGATATCTTGGTTCATATCTCAACTAGTCCCACCGTACGAGCACCGACAAAGGATAACTCACATTCCAGGGCGCTTACCATCGAGGAGTACACCGCAGACTTCAACATCGTTCAACACATTCAATTCACCCTCATTATTCTGATTACCGAGCCAAGCGATATTTTATTACGAAATTGGATTATATTACGTCCCTACTCGAAGCCTCCCTCCGCATCGTCCTAGAGCACTTTCACGCCACACGCCACAATTAGCTCAAAGAATGGGACCGGCGTAACTCGTGCATCCCGAGTATCTTACAATTACACGTCATTGTGAGGTCCCACTCAAAGACAGGTGTCACTCTCGAACACACGACGCCTAGCCTGCAGCCACCGCCACCTTTATGCGCTTCTTAGAGGTGACTCCATACCCATGATGGGTTTAGTCGACTGAGAACATACCAAGAAAGGTCCTCAAGACTCGAAATGATTTGTTGGGCAAGTTCTTTCACCGTCGAATCCCCTTTGATCCAGGTTGCGAAGGTTCTTTCATCGGCGCCATAAAGAGAGGAACGCCGAGGGTCTAAAAAACAAAGACCAGGGTAGTTCACTTCTAGGATGTTGATACCTATGGATATAAGGTAAATCTGTCACCTCCCGATTCCTCCTCTTCTCATTTCCAAAGTACTGTCCTTGGAGATATCAAGAATCCCTCTCAAAGAACGGAATCCCATCATGGCTGTCAATGTTGAGCAACCCCCTCATTCCCTCAATCTTCAGAACGGGCATTCAGTCCCCGAAGCGTTGAATCTTGGATCCAGGGTGAATTTCACCACCTACCAGAATGTCATCGATGGCGGGCTTTATGGTACGGACAAAACTCGACGCACCATAGACCCAGCCACCCTAGAGGAGAACCCGGAGGTGCCTGTTTCTACTCGACATGACGTGGACAGAGCCGTCGCGGCGGCGCAGAAGGCGGCCGCGGCCTGGGCCCAAGTGCCCTGGGCAGAGCGTGAGGCGGCAGTTCGGGCATATGCCGACGCCGTGGAGAGTCACATCAACGAGATTGCCGAAATTCAGGTCCGAGAGATGGGTTGCCCAGTGAGTCCCGCATGCCTGCACTATTCATGTGTGCCTTGGGCTCGCGATGTAAGATCAAGTTGCTGATATGTTGCACGGTATAGCTTGCCATGGCTGAAGGTGATGTCCAATGGGGCGTGGGGTGGATGCGCGGTTTCTGCGAGCTCCCCCGTGAGTAAAAGTCAATCTTCACTTTCCCTTGAAATACATTGTAGATAGTTGTTCTTCCCTAGCCTTCTGTTTAGGCTGTTTTGTGAAAGAGCTCATCGAGCTTCTAAAAATTTTCGTACTATTCTATAAATGTCATCAACTGAATCACTAACTGTAAATGTCGGTCGTCGTAGAGCCCGGGGATATCATTGAGTCAAGCGAGGACCGCCACGTCGTCGAGCGCTACACTCCCATCGGAGTAGCCGTCGGCATAGTCCCCTGGAACGGCCCCGTGGTTTTGGCTTGCGGCAAGATCGCCCCGGCCTTGTTGACAGGCAACGCGTTGATTCTCAAGCCGTCGCCCTTCGCTCCTTACAGTGTCCTCAAGCTTGCAGAGATTGGTCTCCAGTTCTTCCCCCCAGGTGTCCTCCAGGCGCTAAGTGGCGAGGATGATCTCGGCCCCTGGCTGACCACCCACCCCAGCATCGGTAAGGTCAGCTTCACTGGCTCTGGAAATACCGCAAAAAGAGTCGTGGAAGCCTGTAGCTCGTCTCTCAAGCGCGTCTCGACGGAGCTCGGCGGGAACGACCCTGCCATCGTCTGTGAAGATGTCGACCCGGTACTCGTAGGGCAGAAGATTGCGACTGTGGCGATGTTGCGCTCTGGTCAGTTCTGTATCGCGATCAAGCGGGTCTATGTTCACGAGTCTATCTATGATGCTGTCCTCGCTGAGATCGTCAAGTACGTCGGCAGTGTGAAGGTCGACAATGGGCTCGATGAAGGCACTGTCGTCGGGCCCGTTGCTAATCGTCCGCAATACGAGCGGGTGAAGGAACTCCTTGCAAATATCGAAGAGACAAAGCTCGATGTCTTGCCTAAGAAGGGTCAGCCGATCGAGGAACTGAAGGGCTTCTTCATCCGCCCTATTGTGATCAACAACCCACCGGATGATTCCAGAGTAGTCGTTGAGGAACCATTCGGTATGTAATAACGAAAACAATAGAAACCAAACTAGAGCTGACAATTTCTAGGCCCTATCCTCCCCGTTATGAAATGGTCGGATGAAGCGGATGTGATCCAGCGAGCTAACAACACCGACTACGGCCTCGGTGCGTCCGTGTGGTCCAGAGATCTCGTCCGGGCGACTCGCATCGCCGATAAGCTGCAGGCTGGCAACGTGTGGATCAACACTCATGCCGAGATCCAGGCTTCGACCGCCTTCGCGGGCCACAAGCAGAGTGGATATGGGTCGGAACTAGGAGTCGATGGTTTGAAGGGCTGGTGCAACATCCAGGCCATGTACACGCGGCCATTGTAATATGAACCTAGGTAATGGATCGTATTCTAGGTAGGGATGTCTAGGCGCAGAATGGAAAGGTGTTAGGGCCTAAAAATGAATATTTGCAGTTTCTTGGTCTAACGCACGTCAAGTCAAGTCCGTAGTGATTGCATGAACAGAGTAACAGAGACACAGCTGTGCATGTCTGCAGGAGAGAATTATTTTCCTGGATTTGACACACCCTTAGGTAAAATGTAAATCATCAGGAATGACACATTATCCGTAGCATTCATCTACCTAAGGACATCATACTTAAGTACCTACGCGAAGTGGCATGATCCATCAGCCTTTGAAGCTTGAATTATACAATCAAACTGAAGAGTTCGGCGTAATCGCATTCATCAGCTAAATTGACTAGAAAGGGCCGCTTATGCCTGTCATTAATCTACCATGTCCAATGACAGAGCCTTCCAGGATGATAAAGAATATTTAGGATCATGTTTGCTGCCTGGTTTGTATTGACTTGCCTGTTAACACACACACACACACACACACACACAGACACACACCACGTTCACTGCGGTCTTTGAGGTACATGGAGTCGTTCACTGGTTGTTACATGATCCTCCCATGTGGTTGCGCGGCCACCTGTACATACCACAAGGTAGGAATACAACCGGCCGGGAACCACAGACTTCGAAACTGACAGCAGCCTCAGCTACCTAGACTTCAAGGTATTTGGACTTTTACGAATCATGATTGGGCTGGGCCGCATCTATCTAGCACATCTAGGTCTCTCATATATATCTTACCTCGTAACTAAGCATGGCATGATGAGGCGGCTGGGAGCTACGTATTTCGTCGTTTCCGTTTACCCATTACAGTAGACAAGCCAACGTTGAATAGAGTTATTTTTCCTAGCGCTCCAGGGCCTTTCGGTCAATGGTTAAGAGAGGGATGAATGCTTGAGGCATACTTTGGTAGGTACCTGGGCAGGGACTTATATTCCCACCTCCTATCTGCGTGCCTCGTGCAGAGTCGCATTGTAGCCGCATTGTAGCCATCATACAGCTAAATAGAGAACTTCTGGCTTTGTATATGTGATGGACATCTTATATTACACCTACTAGGTACCTGTGTGTTCTATAGATGAAAAATCCCGGGTTCCAGTAGTTCAGGCAGTCCCTCTCAACTTTCCGCTTCTAGAACTCTGCAAGTCGTGCTTGCCAGTCTGGAAGCCTACCTAGGTAACAGCCTCACATGGAGGACACTGAGCAGTTATGTACCTCAAGTACCAAAGCCACCCAGCAACAAGACCACCTACTTATATGTACCTGGACATGGACAGCCCATGTGACATATGACTCCTCTGACCTCTTCGCTTCTCTACTTATGCTTGACTTCTCTTCTGTTGCCTTATTCTCTATCCTGTTCCCTCCCCAAGTTCAACACCAAGTTTGTGCCACCACCAGTTGTTACAAGCATAGGCTTCTACTCTCAACACACAACACATCTCTTTTCCACACTTCGAGTTACGCTGATAAGAGTCATCGCATCTGGATCTGACCGCCTCCTCCACTACACCTTCTCACTCTTCACAAAGAAATCTACACCTGCATACTGGGCCTCGTCGCGCGGGTTTCTACCTGCTCATACCTGCCCGCTCACTGTTCGCATTTGATCTCTTCGATAGTCCCAGGTATAGGTACTGACATCAACACGCACTTATACTCCCTCCCGATAGCACAGATTGTGATTCAGGCCTTGAGGGTAGGGTTGGAAGTCAACTGATCTGCCACTGACTTCCAACTTATTCTCGCCAGCTTCGTACGGCCTAGCGCATGATTCCTAACTTGTCCTAGAGGCAGCTGTGTTCATCACCGACATCAGAGCACGGCATTGCGTCCGTACACCAAGGATCCTAGTGTAAGTCTCTCTGTTTCCTAATCACTCACGATCAGTACCCAGTCCTGACTGTTAAGCTTGATGGACTAACCCGACCATTCCAGCCTGCCCAACAAGCCTGCTCTCCAGTGATTCCTCCCTACGAATATACTCACGTCGCTGAATTCTATGTGCCCCTATATTTGTCTTTCTAGACGACGAGATCAACTTTTGGAGAGACGGCAAATTCACATACCCGCCGTCCAGAGTGTTATATTGCGTGTTGCAGAGAGGTGACAATGCCGTGCTTCTATGAACTGCGCATGTTAAGGCTCTTTGAGCAGTATGAACTGTCCGACAACGCAAGAACAATGTTCAAAGCACTTGAGGAATTCAAGACGGCTAGAATTGATGAGGCAGCACTTGGACGTTTGATTCGCCTATCACCCAATAATCGAGCGGCTCTTCTTAACACCATGGTGAAATGGTATGCTTTCCATTTCTATTTACTTTTCTGCGTCTCTTTACCCCGCTGACTACAAGTGTAGTGCGGCTATCATGAAGGACAAGCCCAAAGAGAGCAAATATTGTCTCGATATTATCACCAGCTGCGGAAGCATGCTCGAGATCGCCGATAGGCCCCCTCAGGAAGTTGGCTTCCCGGGATTTCTCAAACTCCCACGGGAAATACGCGACCGTATCTATGATCTTTATTTGAAAAACCACCGCGGAGCGCCATATCTCATTCCCCACCCTAAGAGCGGCAGCTGTGCATGTGCGCCACACGAGTCACACCCATACTCAAGATTCAATCCTGTACAACTGGCCCTGGGTCGCACCTCTAAGCAAGTCAGCAATGAGCTACTGACTTGCTTCTACCGCAAACGGGTACGTGAATCGATACTCTTGTAGCAGTAAGCCAGAATCTTAACTGTTTGACTCTTAGACTTTTTACTTTCCTTGTGCGTGTGAGATGAACTACCACCTAACCAACAATGTCTTGCTGAAAACTGCATTGATGCACGTTATGTTTCATTGGTGTGGCGAGCTTGCAGATGGTAAGCAATTTCATTGTTCGATTCTAGCTGCGGAACAATCTATCAGCTGAGAAGAACCTTACCTTTTGTTACCTAGGATATCTATGAGTAGAATCAGACATAGCAAGGCTGACCTAGAGCATCACAGTGGGTATCCGTCAACTGCAGAATATGAATCAGCTTGAGACGTTGACTGTTGTTATATCTAAAACTACTTCTCGACTGCTCACCGAAAGGGAGCATACGATTCGCCAGTTCTTTGGCACAAGGCGTAACTCCCAGGGATTTCTCACTGAATCCCTCGGCTGGGAAGAATTGATCGAGATCCGTGGCTTGAAGAAGGTCAGGGTAGAGCATGTCGATAAGCGTAAGGCCGACAGACGGACTGATGGAGACCGACGCAGTCTTGAGAATATGCTGGTTTCCTATCTCTTGCGCCCTGCCAAGGATGACCAATAAAGAATTTGAGTGAGACTGCAGAGCGGACTTGCGACTACAGTGGATAGATGACTATTCACAAAATGGATGTTACTTACCATCAGAGATGGGTAATGTGACGAGAGCAAGATGAACGGTTGCCTGTAGCACCTGGTGTGCTTCCCGGGCCCGTATCAAGGACTCAATTATTGAGGAAATTATAGTGTTAAGCATGAGATGGATTTTAAAGAAGGGGATACTGCGTTGCTTTTTTCTTATGACTGATGAACAAAAGCCAAGCTTTGTGGCACTTACATAACCCATTTAGGCATACCTCAATCTGAAACCCACAGATCAGAATGAAGAGGTGCACTACTGCCGTGCAGTATTAGATAGCTAGATGAGGACAATGATACACAGACCTGAACCAAAAGCTAGTGAACCTATTGCCAAAACACGTTTATATAGTAGTGATTAACCATATGAGCTTCCTGTTACCTAGACTCAGCATGATACCTGTTACATACATATACATGTATACAGGATGTGGATATAGCCTGCATAAGCGTTTCGGCGGCTCAGTGTGGATAGGTATGTGAAGAGGCTTATTATGTGTGTTGGGGAAGGCGTAGAATGTGCATTCCATGCTGATCTGTTTGTTCTAGAAGGACCCTAAACGTCCTTGGCCATCTTGGGAGGGAGGTGTCAACTAAATGCAGGCCAACATGCAGTCAGCCTGCAGGTGATGTCGCATGCTCAGCTGCAACTCAACTGGCGTGTCCATCTAGGTAGATCATTGGAGCATATGTATTCATCAATATGGCCTGTGATGTAGCACTGACTTGGTGATTTCCGAGGCAAAGTAAGAAAGCCTACTTAGGTCATTCGGGATGGAGGGGAAAAAGAAATCAAACTTCTACCAAATGTGGATAGGTATGAATTCGAAGTAAGCTGGGTGCATGTAATATCTAGTACTCTATTGGAATTATCTACATCTAGTATGCAGGCACGACGGATTATTACGTAGGTGATCAGGAAATATTCAGTGGTTTCGGATGGAACTCCGGCAAGCAATTCCAGGGTCCGATTTCCGAGAAGTGCCATCAGCGGAGAAGTGAGTCAAAAACATAAGTATGGATGGCATGCTTGAATCAGTGTGTTGTCCCACCAAGCCAAGACACTCGATACATATGCGATCCCACGATCTAGATATTCCGCGTAATGGAAGCTTTCTGTGTGAAGGAAAAACCATAGATAACATATGTGTCAGTGTGAGGACCGATATACAGGGTATCTGGATAGGTGGCTTGGGAAGAACATATATCCGCTCCATGGGAGTGCTGCTCTTGTCGTCATGGGGCGGAAGGATATCTGTTTTTCCGCTGTCAACGTCACCAGTTGCAAAGTCGGATCGATTTTCTGGGGGAAAAGGGTTGTGATTCTCCCGCTCTCAACGTCACCAGTTGAAAAGTCGGATCGATTTTCTGGGGGGAAAGGGTTGTGCGGGAAAGCAGCGCGAAAGTTTATAAAGGGGAACTAAAGGATGATATGTGACGGATGTGGCCGAGAGGAACACTGGGGATAAAGCGAGGTTTGGTGGGGGGTGGGGGGAGAATTACAACGTTCTTGCGTCTTGGGGTCACGATAGAAGAGAAATGGAGGTGTGGGACTCGACTCTCTTTTTACATAACGGGTGGATAGAGATATCGTGTATCCGGACCAAGATAGTACCAAGGGTATATACTGTACATACTATGTATAGCACTGGACCATCGTATGTAAGGTGTGCTATGTAAGTACATAGATACTACTACCTACCTGTCTACTTCGTAATGACTCTGTGCAGGAACTCCTGCAATTTAAGTACATGATATGGGGTCTTTTGCTGGGGAAAGGAGGTGGGGGAGGGGGAAAAAGACTCCTCCCAGGCGAATGGTTGGTTGATTGATCAAGGCGGGTTGTCTTGGCCTGGTCTTTCTCCGGGTTGTCTCCGGATCTTGCGACCAAGTGTCTCGGCGATTCTTTAGTACCGGGGCCTAGCTATTAGGTAATGTGGTTATACGATACTCTAGTGAGGCCGATTGGAAATGGTGGTCGAATACGTTCCCAGAACCACTTACAAGTGAGTATAGGTAGGTAGAGGAAAGGCCTCACTATGGTGGTAGCCAAGGCAGACCAAGGCAATGAATGTACCGTGGTACGTAAGTAGGTGGTAGTAGGCAATTTTCTCCCCCTTTTTACTGTTCTCTACCGCCCTAGCCAGAACGAGGGATTTTCTTCCAGCATGGCAGGCGCTCGGCAGGACAGACAAAAGTATTGAAGACGGGTTGGGCGGATGACCAATGAAAAAGAGGTAAAAGGAGTGTTTTTCGCCTCCGTCCAGAGTCCGTCCCAGTCTGTCCCAGTCGTGGCTGCGAAGGGTCTGTTGAGTGGAGGTACACAACAGAGCAGACCCAGTTCTTTGGACTGGGCCAGGCGTCCGGCCACCCCGCGGCCTGCCCTGGCTCGCCTGGATCTGCCCTGGACCATGGCACGCATGGGTTGCTGTGGACAGACTGTGGAGTGTGCGTGTGCCCTTTCAGATCCTTTGACCAGACTTTGACTGCCGCTTCTCTGCGCTTCGTGCGCGGCTCGTGGAGGTGTGGATTCGCAGCGTTGCCTTCGATTGGAGAACCCCCCGCTGGTTCCGCCGCTGCTGGTGTCGAGGTGGTGTGAACCGGCCGCGGTCTGTCGACGGAACCCTGGTGGCGCAACCTTGCCGATCACTTTTGCCCGTTTGCTGCTTTTACCTGGATCATCGATGTGACGCCGCCCCCGTCAGGCGATATAGAGTTGACACTACCCGCTTAGAGTCAGTCTATCCGTCAGGCTTCGCGCAACAACCTCCTCGTCCACGAACTACATTATAAACCCCGACCTTTCTCGTCTCCCCCCGGATCAATCTATCTATTCTTTTTTTCTTCTACAGGTTGCTAGACCCCGCGTTGCCGTCGACTACGCCCCTCATATACGGATTTGACTAGTGCTTGTCTAAAGTGGACTAAACACTTCGTTGACGCTTGTTCCGTTTGGTTTGCCCCTGACGAGCAAGGCGAACTCTTCACACAAGTATATCGTTTTTTACTGCCAGTCGAAAGTAATAAGCAGACGACGTCATAATCATGAGTTTCAGCAAGTGGAGGTTTTCCAACAGCCGAAAGCAATCTCCATCAAGCTCAGGTGACATCGATGCGACGATGACGTCGTCGTCTCCAATGTCAACACCAATGAGCCCTACGAGCTCCGGCAGCAACAGCAACAGAAGCAGCAAGTCATCACTATCATCATCGCCGTTTTCATGGTTCCGATCACCAAACCGGCCCAAGAAGAGAAAGTCTACCATCTCGCGGGACGACCCGGCCTTCGCGCGCCTGCACAAGCCCTTCACACCACAGAACCTCGAGCACCAGAGAATGTTCGAGTCCTTCGAGTGGAACTTTGGCAGCTCCGATGGCGACGACGATAGTTACCGTCGCCGGCGGAGCAGTCTTAGCATCAGCCCCTGTGCGACGCGGAACATGACCGTCGATGACTGCACACGGCAAGACCCCTACAGCCATGATGGCAGTTCCCAGGACACACTCAGCAGTGCATTCGCCTCGCTCTCCACGAGGGAGGCTCGCGGCGAGGGCTATGGCCAGACGACTGTTGCATAATTTCGATTCACAAAATCTTTCACGACTTTTGACGGCTTAAGAATTTAATTGACGGTTTGGGATGACATCTACTTTAAACATTGCATGCATGGAAAATTTCGGTCCACGAAACCGATTAGCCTGGGAGGCTGGTTTCTACTGGGGCGTTTGGGATAAATGGGATTGGAGGCAGCTTTTATTACACAGCTATTAGGATCAAAGGCTGTCCGGTAACACCTCGCCGTGATTTGGGACTCCGGACGATCATCACCGGATTTGCATGGGGGATAGAATTGTAATTACTGCTACAGCTTATCCTGGTGAGAGAAACATGATCTTTACCTCCGGTATTGGATCGGATTTGTAGATATTTATGAGGGAGAGGCAACAGTATATATTGCTTTAATAGAGTTGTCAAGTATCCAGGAATACATGAATAACTAAAAAGGAAGAGGTGTAGTGAAATGGCCTCAGAATTTTCAGTGTATGAATTACTCTTCCGGGGATATAAACCCCCTCGTCTTATATGTAAAATAACTCATCATTGGCCAAAGTTGCAAAACACATTCTTGATCAAATGCAGTCAAGTGATAACTGTGAACCGGGACTACCGGGCTCTCTCTCTGTATTGTCGAGAATTCATTATCTCGAATCTGAAACATAATCAAGGAGAAACGAAACTAAACGAAGATTATTCTCCTGGGAAGGAACAACATTTGTGTTTCTTGGTGGTTTGAAGCCCGTTGTTTCAATGCGAAACTACATCAGCAACCATCAAACAATGCAGTGAAAGTCAGAGTTGGATCGTGTCAGGTGTATAATATCAGATCATATCGGATCGGACCTGCTCCGCCAACTCGAAACACTTCACCTTCGCCGTGTATCAAATAGACGCGGATGAGTACCGAAGGAACGTTTCGAGAGCGAGAAAAAAAAATTTTTTTGCGCATTCTGGACAGGCATTCCGTTTTCCAATTGCACATCCAACAGATCTGCGTCGTTGAGATAAGACTCTCGAGGAATGTATAGTGCCGATTATGCTATACCTTCAGGGACTGGTCGGCGATGCACAGAGATGATGAGCCGGAAGAGAGCATGGAAAGCATGCGAGAAGAAGTTTGATTTTTTTTTTCGGTCTTAGTTGCTGCTATGGCTAACGCTAAAGTACGAAACGCTCGGACCAAACATAAGCCCAAGCAGCTTGGGACCACATATCTGGCACTCGAATGAGTTTAGTTCGTCTCGAACTGAAATGAGTGGCTGCTTTTACCGCCTGGTGTGGCTTTTTGTTACACTTGGGTCGCTGGTTTTGGTTTTGTGTGACGACTTGGCTGGCCAGAAACGGATTGCGGTGATGATTCCCGACCGTGCTGCTTGTGGGTAGACTGAGAGAAATATACTGACATGTTTTGCTGGGGATTGTTCATACGTGAACTGTGACTCTGTTACAAGGGCATGAGAATCGCATTAGGTCAGAGCTCCTAGTCACCGACAACCGTGTACAATATAATCATAAAATATCAAATGCTTTTTTCTATACCAGTCTTGCATACGCTAAATGCCTTTACCCATGCGTGACGGAACACGGCCATATCATCAGAGTCGTTAAAATCGTGAGCAACATGGAAGATCTACCCGAGGACATCGCTGCAGACAAATCTAGTCTTCGTGCGTGACGGCTATATCCAATACCTCGACTCGGCCCTGGCCCTTGGTCTCGTTCCCGACAAAGTCAGAGAGCCCCTTGAAAGCGCCTGGCTCGACGAACCCGACCACTTCCCACTCGGACCCCATGACGTCTTGTTGTTCCACCTGCTCTACGTAGCTTAAAATCTTATCCTTGACTGTGCCCGGCGCCTTCTGCTCCTCATCCCCGTCTCCGCTCTTGGCCGCGGCGGGCGCCTTGACAGCTTGCTTGAGTACGTTCGTCGAGCATGTGATACGGAGGCGCATCCGCGCTCGTGCGACGGGGATCGGTTGGTAGGTGATCAGGGCCTTCATAGCTTCTAGAGCTTGACTCTTCGCGCTCTTGGTTGTGACAACGCCTGTCCAGTTGTGCTCCTTTGCTTTGGGCTTCGCCTCTGCGCCTTCACCCGTCGCAGGTGTGCCTGCACCACTACCCGCGGCGCTCTTGTCGCCCTGATGTGCTTGGGAGCTCAACATGTCGAGAGCCTTCTCGATCATCCCTGTTGTATAGACGCGCTTCGTGCGGGGGTCGACAAGCTTGCTTGCGACGATGCTGATGACCTCGTTATGTACTCGATCCATCTGGGCGGCCCTTTCCTTTTCGCCAACTTGTAGCTCTCCCTTATTCAAGATCTCGAGGATGATGTCGTTTACGGGCTTGTCCTTGCCAAAGGCCTTTGCGAGGTCGGCGGCCGGCGCGGTCTGCCCTTTCGAAACGTTGAGGAATACATTAGGAATCTGGAGAACTTCGTCAAGGTCGGTTTCGATGCCGGATCGCCACTCCAGCACCTTGTTCTTGTAGCAGGCAATCTCAAAGCGCTTCTTTCCCTTCTTCAGGCGGACGAGAGACACGTTTGTCAGTTTTATTTGGTTGGACGGTTGGTTGATCTGGCGCGACCTTTCAGAAGGCGCGGGGGAGTTAGTCGCCGGCGCATGTCCGAAACTGGGCCGCAAACCAAACTTACATTTTGGAATCGCGATCTGGAAAAAGAAAACGATCTACTCAAATATGCAGTAAAGATGGCAAAGTCTGAAGATGTGCTATCACGCAGGCTCTCTATTTGCGTAGGCAAGTAATGAGTGTGAAGAGGTTCTAGTATTGTAGAGGAATCTCCTCGAGTTGGTACCTTATTAGGTAGAAATGCCCATTCCTGGTAGGTATGATTCAAAATGACTAACAGCGCTCTTTTCTCACACTAAGCTGCTCAAGTTACCTACTCTAGCTCTCCTGGAAGAGGGGGGAGTGCTCTTTGTCCCTCTGCTGGCATACCACATAAAATGAACACCAATAGTAGTATACCTACTTAGGTAATTGATTAGTATACCCATATGATGATGAATTTCGATAACAACAGCACTGCTTCTCTACCAGTTTCTTGAGAATAAGGTAAATGATAACCTTATCTGCAGAGTGCCAAAAGTCCCAGTCTGTCGCAGCTGACTCACGACGGAACTGGGGCACCGTTGCCACTAGCAGTGCGCTCAGAGAGACCTATGACGCTTATCGTGTAGCCAGCCCCTCCTTTATCAGGCATAGCAGGCAGATCAGGCACACGATCCCCAGTCTTTGCCAGCTCAAGCTGCTCCAAGCGTGCCTTGCGTGGTCTCTGCGTGGTCCTCGTGCCTCACATGTGTCAAATAGGTTGCCGCTAGCCCCTGTCTGCTCCAGATAAGGAAGGTCTTCTGCTAGCATATCATTCCGGTTCCCCAGCAAAATATAGTGTCATCTCCCTTGCTACGCGATAGGGAGTGACTTGGGTCAATGGCCGATCCGGCCTGCTAACCAGGGCAGGTAACAGCGCAGCCCCGGGGGTTGGCGCCGGGTTGGCTAGGGAATGCCGCTACAGAATGCTTGGCTTCCCAGCCAGGTCCTCGCCTCGCCTCGCAACTACTTACTGTGTACCCCGGACGTCGGGGCTTACCTAGCTTCGTCATCCAACTACCAACCTACCGTACCTAGGTACATGACCAACTGACTTACTCCTGGTCTCCTCTTTCTTTCCTCTTCATTATCATCATCATCAAACATCAATCATCCCCATCACCAACTTATTCATCACTATTCTTCAACCTTTTCTTCCAACTATCTCTTGTTAGCAGCTGTCCGAGGCAGCTAGCAGCTACCCATCATGAGAGCTGCACAGGCGCTGCTGCTCGGCGCCACTACGGCTGCCTATGCACAGGAGCAGCAGGTATTTAGCTACGGCGATAACACTCAACAACCTGCAGAACCTCTCGGAGATGCCTTTAGGAATCCTCTCGCGAAATTCACCGAAGTTCTAGGAGAGATGCCTGCCGCCGCCAAGGGTCTCTGGGACGAGATGAGCCTATTGGTTCCCGGCTTCGTAGAGAAGGCCAGCAACCTTATCTCCCACCCCAAGCCCCATACCCGCAGACCCGACAGCGAGTGGGACCATATCGTCCGAGGTGCCGACGTTCAGAGCATGTGGGTTGAGACCGACGGTGTCAAGCATCGTAAGGTGGACGGGCCCGTCGAATCCTACGATCTTCGCGTCAAGGCAGTCGACCCGTCTTCCCTCGGCATTGATAAGGTGAAGCAATACAGCGGCTACCTTGATGATAACGAGAATGACAAGCATCTCTTCTACTGTGAGTTGAGAAACCTACCACTGTCCCGTTGTGATAATTACTGATGGGCGAGAAGGGTTTTTCGAGTCACGAAACGACCCCGAGAACGATCCTGTCATCCTATGGTTGAATGGCGGACCCGGGTGTTCGTCCATGATGGGTCTTTTCATGGAACTTGGCCCATCCAGCGTTGATAAGAATGGTTCACCCAAATTCAATGATTACTCTTGGAACAGCAATGCCTCTGTCATTTTCCTTGACCAGCCTGTCAACGTGGGCTACTCCTACAGCAGTGGCTCCGTCTCTAACACGGTGGCAGCCAGCAAGGACATCTATGCCCTCCTGACACTCTTCTTTGAGCAATTCCCTGAATACACTAAACAGCCATTCCACATTTTCGGAGAGTCTTATGCTGGCCACTACATCCCTGTATTCGCCTCCGAGATTCTGTCTCACAAGAACCGGAACATCAACCTCCAGAGTATTGCCATTGGCAATGGTCTCACGGACCCTTACACCCAGTACTCTCAGTACCGCCCAATGGCCTGTGGTGACGGCGGTTACGATGCTGTTCTAGACGAAAGCGAGTGCCAGTCATTGGACAATGCCCTCCCACGCTGCCAGTCGCTCCTCCAGAACTGTTACAACACGGAAAGCGCATGGACCTGTGTGCCGGCAACTATATACTGTAACAATGCCATGATTGGACCGTACCAGCGCACCGGACAGAACGTCTACGATATCCGCGAGAAGTGCAAAGACCAGGAGAATCTATGCTACACTGAAACGGCATGGATCGCCGAATACCTGAATCAGCAGAAAGTTATGAAGGCTGTCGGTGCTGAGGTAAACGACTACTCTAGTTGCAACACCGACATCAACCGCAACTTTGTCTTCCAGGGTGACTGGGGAAAGCCGTTCCACCGACTTGTTCCCGACATCCTGAAGCAGATCCCTGTCCTTATCTATGCTGGTGATGCTGATTACATCTGCAACTGGCTCGGTAACCGTGAATGGACCGAGGCCCTTGAATGGAAAGGCCAGGACGCCTACAAGAGCGCGAAGATGGAAGACCTTGTGGTTCAGGACAAGTCGTATGGTCAGGTGAAGAGCAGTGGCAACTTCACCTTTATGCGTATCTACCAGGCTGGCCACATGGTTCCATTCAACCAGCCCAAAGGGTCTCTTGACTTCTTCAACCGATGGGTTGGTGGCGAGTGGTGGAAGGCATAGATCAGGCTACGGTAGAGGAGAGCATCACTCTAATAGAAGTAGAAGCATGGGATATTAGACGTTGCATGGCTTCTTTTCTCCTGTGAGATATTTTTATTTGAGACTATAACTATACTTAAATGAAACAATTAAATCGAGTAAGAAGCACATCATCAGCAACGTGTTCTTCCACGCTGAGAGTATGTAAGAGGAGATAACTAGTCCGGTAAACTTCACATGTTATGTTTGCACAGTCATTCGTAAAATGCGCTGTCTTTCTGTACAGGATTTAGACACCATTGTAACAAACACCATAGCAACACATGGATACTTCAATAGCTGAGAAATCTACAACGAATTCCAATGACGAGTTTGAGCCGGTTGCAACTCATGATCAAGGATAGGTATGTGACTTCACATATTGAAGAAGATTCAAGCATTTGCAAATGCGGACGACTGTCGTTCGAGTCAAATGAAGATAAGGCAACATGGGATGTAACAAGCGATAAATTACGGAGGACCTCGACGCCAAAAAGGGCCAACTAGGTTCCGTACTCAAAGATCGCTGTCGCTTTTTTCCTCTCGTCTCGTGCTCACCTTATCACTACACTAGGTAGGTGATGAAAAGGGGGCATCCGGCTCAAGATCAGGAGATGGGGAGAGCGAACCTGACCGAGCATGGCAGAAGACTGACTGACTGACTGACTGATGATAATCATGGAAATGGTGAGAGTGTACCTACGTATGAAGCGTTATGGCGTCGTTGTGGGTTTGCAAGTCGAGGGCGGTCCTAAACTTGGCCGACCTTCCCCAAGCTCGAGAACCAAGCTCGGCTGGCGAGTTGTCATCGCTTACCTACTCAAAAGTAGCCTGCTCGCAGCATAAAAGAATCGCAAGCGCGACGCACTAGGCGAGTGCACGTTCAACTGGTAGCAGGAAGCCTCGACTGTGAGGAGGTTTTGTGGCATCGACACTGGCGGTCGTAGTTGGATATGGTTGAATGGGTACATAAGTAGGTAATACGGTGCCTGAGACAAGTCCGTAACACATCCGCTCTTGCCTACATGTAGGCAGTATGGGTGAGTCTGTGGCTTTACATGTAACAGCGCTATCAGCAGTTTCGATTGTTGTCGGTTGCGCTGGTTGGTGAATTTGACGACTTTTTGTGTCAGCAGTGCAAAGGAAAATTTAGACACAACGATGGATCCTGTGTGACACCATGGAACCAACTCAAGCCTTTGCCGATACCAGCCACATGGACGCCACAAAACCCCTTCCAGACCCTTCCAAGATTCCCCCGTGCAGACCGTGGCTTTGTCTCGGTTCCTATTTGCCAGCTTTACACCCCATTTGCCGATTATCCGTTTGGTACCTGATTCACGGTCCCACAAGGAGCGCACGGTGACGTATCAGTGGTTTCCAAATAATTTCCGGACGCAGTGTAAGTAGGTAGTGTAGTGTAGGTAACACTAGACAGCTGGAAGGGTTGATTGAATGAATGATAGAGAGGCTGTCGTCTTTGCGAAACCCCCGTTGTCCATTTTCCACTTCCGGTAACAAACAATTCGATGATGCGATATTTCGGTAGTGCAGGTAGTGAGGTCATGGGAGAATCGATTGTGCATAAAGTAGCTTGATGATACATCTAGACTGTGATGATGATCTTTGCATTACTTCCAATCAGGTCGTTACCGGCGGGCAGTGCCAGAACTGCTGTACCTAGTGTATCTGTAGTGTACGTGTAAATAGGTACGACTTGCGCTATGTAAGCCTGGAGGACTTATCGACCCAGTGGAACCGCGCTAATGTACACTATATGCGGTGGTGGGCAGCAAGCTCATATTCGCCAAGATGAGTCTCGCAGAGCTTAATTTTAAATTTTCCATCTTTTACAGGAGGAGTCTGGGAGGAGCCTACAGGATGCAGAGGAGGAGGCCGCCCGCCCGCCCTACACGTACACGTATGTTTGGGAATTCGCCAGCAAAGAATTGCCAAGACCTTGGAGCTTGTTGCTGGAATGGAATGGAATGGAATGAGCAGAAATGGGTTGCGATGGTAGGGCGAAGGCCGTTGACTACATATGTAGGTAGTTGATTTCGTGGGGTGCTGGTCTGCTAAAACTTCTCAGGAAGTTACCACTGCCCCAGGTGTGCGTGTGGTGATAAATCCCAAGTCTTTTTGAATGGTAAAGCATTCGTAGCTACAGAGGTAGTAACAGCAACCTGAGGTGTAATCGGAATAGCTTCGTTCTCACATCTACACATACGGTCGGGATGCGGAACCTACACATATCCGCGTATCCGTGTGCGGCTCGCGTAGAGGTGAGTGGGGTATGGGGCATCGATCGCATAGATAGGCATATGATTGGCGAGGACCGATCCTCAACATCTTGCTTGGCCTCGAATCACCTAAGTCATATCGGTACAGAGTGAGTAATTCAGGTAACAGCTGACTGACTTGCCTTTACGGTGGTTAGGTCTAGGTAGGTGAATGTCGTCCATGCGATCAGGTGGTCTGACATGACAGATAGCTCAGAGTCGATTGACCATTCAGCTCGGGAAACCAATAAGGCATGAATTGTGGTACTTGACCCCGGAATGGGTGAACCTGCAGCACCCGCGCTTCATCACCACGTCAGGCAGTACCGACATTCACGGCTCTCTATGCTATTGGACAGCACTTGCAGCGTGGTGGTGTACAGCGTTATCGACATGACAGATCTTGATCAAATTGAAGCTGTCCGTCTCATTTGTGTCTTGAGACTACGAAGTACGTATCCATTGGACCTCCTTCTCTCTTGGTTGGGGAATGGGATGATTAGACAAGAAACAACACTTCGAAAATAAGGCTGACGCAAAACATCGTGAGCCCGCTTGGTCAGTGCCTAATACTGTTGTCCCATGCAACTGTCTAGTGCCGTAGGCAATTCCATGCCGCGTACACGTAGCGTTGCTAGGTAGGTATTGTTGCTTACCTCCTGGCAGACCTCAGGTATTGGCTGCCCTAATTGCTTCACACCAGGAGTGTGTCCAACCCGTAAAAGTACACCACTTACTATAATACCCATCCATTATTACTTACCTGTGGCATGGTAGGGCAGTAAGTAGAACAGCAGGTGCCTCTGCAAAGCTGACCGCTTCCCAAGTGCAAATTCTTGCATCTGTCGGGACCACGAACAAGAGGCACAAGAGGCAGGTAACCGGCATACCTAATACCTACCGCACTGTAGGTATGGTTGCATCACCTCATTAAGTCCAACTAGCAGGTAATGTTTTACATGTAGCTAATAGAAACAGAGATATTGTGCTCAAGAAACTCCCCGGATCCATCCCTTCGAACCCAAGGGAATCTCGTCATTGTCTGTGCTCATAATGTACTTAAGTAACAAGACCTGAGGTACCTACACTACGGTAGGCCCTGTAGCTTGCACACTAAGCACTCCGAGCATTCGATGCCTTTTGTTGAGCGGTATGTACCTAGCATATGTAGCCTGCACCTACACTCGGTAGTACATCTGCTAGTACATCTGCACCTACCCTTAGACACTTGGACACTCGCCTCCGTTGGCAGCAGGATCCATCATCCATCCCCTCAACACACAAAGAGAATCCATTGTCATCTTGAAAATGCTCTCCGAATACGCCACACGCAAGGGAAGAAGAGTCGGTCGCGGCGTAGTGTAAGTAGCTAGGTAGGTAAAGACTGAAGACAGACAGAGAAGTCCGAAAGGTCCGCAACACTTGGTACCCATGCCTTGCCAAGGCAAAACCATGCAGTCCAATGTCGCTCCCCTGTCCAAGCTAATGTCCAACGGCCCCAATCAAGTTCCCTCCGACCACAGCTAGTGTCGCCGGCTCCTTCTGCTCCCTGTCGCTAACTCTGGCGGGCGCGGTATGGTTTTGATTTTATTTTTTCTCTTTTACAGCGCCGTCTTCAAAATTCTCTTTGAATCTGTATCTGTACATTACGAGATCCTTACTTCACTGCCACTGCCACTGCCATTTGTTCAAGCAGCTTCCTCTCTACGCAATCGTTGAGAAGGCCGAAGCCATCTACTGCAGACGAGGCGGTCTTTCCTGGTCGACAGACGACGACGACGAGAAACCACAGCGCCGCCCCCACTTCCTTCTGAGTACTTGCAAGGGTTCGGCGTGGAACAAGAAAGATTCCCGCTCGCTGTCCATCCCAACCGAGTCGATCCAAGGAGGAATAGGATTGCTTCCGCAGATTTGGACCCTGAACCAGCACGCCCCCCCTGGCTAGGCGCTTATCGTTGTTTTTCCCCTTTCCCCATCCAGTGTCTATCAGTCAGTCGGTAAATCTAGAGCCTTTTCCGAAGTCGTTGCTGTCGTTGCTGTCGTCCTCATCGTCGCCCTCCGATTCTCCCCATACTGGTGAAGCTTCAATTGCGTTTCAAGGCATCAGATGAAGGAGATTCGGCCATCCTTACGTTCACCTTCATGACACAACTTCGGAGATTCGCTGCCTCTTGGCATCCCCTTAGCAGCGTCACCTATACCACACTTTTTCTACTCTTGCTCTGGACAACATTCCAGAGATTCATAGCTGGTACGGTTTTGGTCCTCCTTTGTTTTCGCGCCGTGCACGGTTTTAATATATATATATATTTGAATAACTTTATTGACACCTCGGCAGGTCAATCAGACCCGAACAGATGTCGCGCACTATTGACCGACGGCGCATGGTCGCCTGCCACGAGCAGTTCGCACGACACGCAGAAATGGGAACCGAACGGTTGTCGCATGGTTGAATACTCGAGTCATGCCATACACGACTGCTTAGCTGGTCGTAAATTCGTACTCGCTGGAGATTCCACTATCCGACAAATATTCTGGGCTGCTGCTAGGAAACTTGATCCCAAGTTAGCTGCGGCCGAGCTGAACGAGATCGTCGCTGCAGATGAAAAGCACCGAGATCTTTCATTTTATGCCGAGGGTGTCAACCTAGAGTTCATATGGGATCCGTGGCTAAACTCGACAAACCTAGTGGACACGCTTGAAGCTTTCCGCGCCTTACCTACATCCGCGCAGGAATCGACTCTCGTCAAGAAAGAAGAACAATCACCAGCACTTATAGTACTTGGCGCTCCTGGTCTTTGGGCGGCTCGCTATGGCGGAGACGAGTACATGACTTTGTTCAGGGATGGAATCAGCACGGTCTCATCATACTTGTCGTTGGCCTCGGAACACAGCACCTCGCGGTCTAGCTCACTATCCGCATTACCGAACAGCAACGATGGTTACAACTCTGGACCGAACCATATATTACTGACTCCTGTTCAAGAACCTGCTTATAACTCCCTGTCCAACAAAAGGACCGAGACCATTACACCCGAACGCATCGATGAGATGAACGATTATCTCTCCCACTTGCCCTCAAATCAGACATCTCATGTGGTCTGGGCCTTCAACCGAATGACAGCCTTTTCAGATAAGTCCTTTGAGGATGACGGTTTACATGTCGAAGACGCAATAGCCGATCGCAAGATTGATATTGTACTGAATGCCCACTGCAACAACCCGGCTGTATTGGAAGACCGAGCTTTCAAAGGCACGTGCTGCGTAGAGGAACCCTCGAATTACCTGTTCAACATCGCTTTGATCGTTTTATGCGCTGTAATGCTATATACGCCAAAAGCGCAATCCATGCCAAAAATCATGCGACCTGAGCTTCTCACAGCAATCCGAGACATACTCGTTACGTTGGCTTGGTGCTGGCTGTGTGATGGCACACTCCAGTTTAGCAAACTAGAACGCCACTACCACCAGGGTGCTTTCATTGCTATTTGTCTCCTATGGATCGTCGGCAGCTCCATAGTGTTTCGAAAGCACGTTGGGTCAGCAAGTGAGGTGGCATGGTCGACCGGCAAGGACCCAAAGAAAGATATTCCACACAGGGACGAAAACAAATTCCTCTCAAGGGACCAAACAGATGAAATGAAAGGTCTTATGCAAGGCATCATCCTTCTCTACCACTTCAACTATGCCTCTCAAACGCTATGGGTGTACAAGCTTGTCAGAGTGCTCATATCAATGTACTTCTTTCTATCCGCCTACGGTCACACTCTATATATTCTGAGGACACGCGACTATTCTTTCAAGCGGGTAGCTATGATTCTCTTTCGCATCAATGCCTTAAGCGCTCTACTCCCATATATGATGGGCACAAGCTACTCGTCCTACTATTTTGCCCCAGCAGTCACGTTCTACTACCTGGTTATCTACATAATGCTCCGAACACTGAGGGAAAACAACGACGACCCGTGGCCGCTTGGGATGAAGGTTATGTTGACTGCTGGTTTTACTAGTGCATTCATCATGACCCCTGGATATCTAGAAATGGCAACACAGGTCCTTAGCACAGTTTTCCGAATGTCGTTTGATGTCCATGAATTACGCTTCCGGCTGGCGTTAGATCGACATATCGTCTTCGTGGGTGTCACTGTGGCAAGCCTTGTACATACGGCGACAATGAACGACTCACGGGAACTCTTTTCAACGAAGGGGTCTCCTCCCTTGTTCGACTCGGGCCGCACTCGATTTTGGATAATTTGTTCGGGAGGCTTGGCTTTGTTCCTCCTGGTCACACAATGGAATTTTTCCTCCAAACAGTCATATAACGCTGCCCATCCGTATATATCGTGGATCCCTGTTCTATCCCTTATCACACTTCGCAATCTATATACACCGGCACAAAACTTGTTCCTTGGCATTCCAGCAGCGCTTGGCCGAATATCTCTCGAGACGTACGTCTTGCAATACCACATATGGCTGGGTGGAGATGCAACGGCCCGGTTGACTCTGGGTGGCTTTGAAAATGCGTCGTTCCCTTTATTCCTCGTTGAGAAAGCCTTAATCACAACGCTGTTCATCGGATTAGCAGCGCTCACTCATCGTGCTACTCGCACATTAACGGGTACACTCTCCGAGTTCGGGTTCCTGGCGTTCCTGGCTGCATTGTGGGTTGGCAATCTCATTTACACGTAGGCATAGCGTGGCGTGCGTTTTTGGGGGTGTTTAATGCATAGAGATAATGGATACTTTTTGATTTTCGAATTTGCGCTTTTCCAAACGACAAACGGACGGCATAGGGTGAATCGACTGTGGGAATTCCAGTCGACTTCAATACGGCTTTCACGTGAAAGAAACATAGAACGAAGCAACCGATACAGGGCATCGCGTTGCGTGTATAGGCGTCCTTACTCGAGAAACTCATAGCAGAAATGGGCATGAGCATATCTAATGATGAATTACAACTTGAGAGAGGGGGCGGGCTCGAATTTGTTGCATCAGCATATAGCAAGAGGCAGGCCGTGTTGACGGGCAGAGATACCGCAATACGAAGTCAAAGTGAGGTTTTGAGATACCTCACTGTCTGCTCAAGTTTTTGGTGGCCCTTAATGGATGGAGTTGTATGGGTTATTATGCCTTTTTTTCAGCATATCAGTGCTATGTTACTGCTACTATCTATCTATAGACCTCTCTATAAGTCAGTGCCTTTTCTTCAAAGAAAGAAAGAAAAGAAAGGCCGGACTGGGATGCGTTGCGTTAGTTGGCTGGACCTCATTGTATGGGGGCTCGGCAACACCTGCGCTTTGGTAGGATATAATGTTAATGGATTAGAAATGATGTCAAGATTCAAACAATCCAATTAATTGAACCTTATCGTTACGTACACAGTTGTTCCGGCCTTTTTTTTTACCTCTTTTCTCTTATCCTGTGCGATTTGCTCCTCCTGGTGAATGAACATAGTGGGTAGCTTAGGTAGGTAAGGCTATGTGTTTTGTGCTTCTAAAACCAAGCACGTAGAAACCTTGCTGCACTCAATAACAATGCAAAAAGGCATTAGTATATATAGGACATAGGGTAGGTTAGTTAGTGTAAATATCTTCGCGGATGTGAAAGCTTTCCTATTGGATAAGTTTTGCCGTGTCACGGTATTATAAATATCAATACCTAGTCATGTGTAAATATGTACGCAGTTCCATATAACTAACTCATTGGGCCATTTTAGTATCTACATAGCTGAGATATGTAAGTACAAGCAGAGAGATAAACCTACAGCAGGCAATGCTAAACTCAGCATCCTTTAACGCCGCTAATTTTCCTCCCTTTCTTTTTGTTTTTTATCTTCCGCTCTTGCTCGAAAACGCCGATGATAGATACTTAGAAGTGCAGTATCTGGTTATCTATATATCTCCTTTTTACTCTTACAATATTGATGTTAAGCTTGACTTTTTGTGTTCCTGTGTCTGTCTGGTCCTTGAACGCCGGAGAATAAAGCAAGGAATGAGAGCAAGAAAGCTGCCTTAACTCCGAGTACGCTATATATCGTACATGCATGTAATGTAACGTAGTCAGTCATCATCATCTGGAAATGCATTCGCCGCCGAAAACACCGGCGCAAGCGGACGCCAGCCCGCCGAATGTAGCGAGACCCCAGGCGAGAGACCCAGACTCCCAATCGGGATCTTCTGGCGGGGATTCGTCGCCTTCGAGAGCCGATCTGGCGGTCGCGGGAGTCGGTTTGTAGTCATCGTCTTCCTCGGTCTGTTTGCGGTGAGAGCGCTGGGGTTGTTCACGGGGTGAAGACGTCTCCTCATCCGTGCTGTCTGCGTTGGGTTGCTTTGATTTTCGTAGACGCCCACGTGGTTGTTTCGAGGGCGTAGGGATTATCTGTGCATCATCACTTGTATCGCTCTCGCTAGCAGCGCTGCCTATGCGCCGACGCTCACGAAGGCTCGTAGCGTTGTCCTGGCTGTCCTCTTGCTCTTCATTTGTATCGGCTTTGCTGGGCTCTAAGAAATTGAGGACGTCGTTTCTAAGACGTCCTTTCTCGCGACTTGTCCACTCAAAGCTGGACGGGCTGGAATTGTAGTAAGGGATAGAAGAGATTAGCATGTCATGGGCATTAATGCCGCGAATGGCTGCCCAGAAACCTAGACTTAGCGCACACTGTACGACGTCCCAAGCCACGGAGGCAACAACAGGATGTTCGAATGCAGATCCGAGAACTTTCCCCAGGGCGCTGGTACCGCGCTCCCAGCGCGACCGCTCTTCTACATCCCAAGGGAACAAAGCGCTATGTCGGTGATAGTGTAAATTGGGCTGGTTCGAGAGCAAAGCCACGATACTCGTTTTCATGTGCAAGGCAAACGAGGCGGCTGATAGAAACCTAAACAATTTCGTAAGAGATTCGTAAGCGCCGTGTGGGTGCTGCTGAATACTACCCCAGTGAACTGGTATGAGCTTAGGTAAGAGGATAGGCAAGAACGTCGAGGCACGAGCTACGAAAGCCACATTTGAGAACGTGGACGTTTCAGCAGCGTAGGGCAGTAACAAACTCAACCCAAGATTTAGTGCTATGGCTCCGTATAGAAGGGGTGGATTGGGGACCCAGCCAGTTGGCTTTGGCTGTCTCAACTTATTGCGTAGTCGGATCCAAGTCGATGTTGGCAATGGTGCCACTGGCAGATGAAGGTCTCCGTCACCTTCGGGCAATGGTGAAGGTGTCAGTAGGAGGGCTACAAAGAAGAGATTCAGAGCAAACGATAGGTTCACCAAGTGTGCCAGAGCGAGGAAGGCTGTTAACATAGGGATGTTGCGACGGCGGCCTTCGGTAGCTAACATCAAGCTGAATGCTGTAATTCCCAGATCGATCTGCTGTCCCCACCAGAAACGACGGGCTCTCTCGGCCACAATTTCAAGAGCATCTCTGTAAATCGGCGTGTCACTCAGCCATTGGGCAATGTAAAGTTGGCTTGAGTTGTTGTCGTCTAGGAGGTAGTTCCCACTTTCATCCAGGAGCCTACAGCAACGTCAGAATCTAGGTAGTCACTCTCATACGTATCTCTCGGACCGAAGGATGACTATACCGGTGTCTCATGTCTAAGCCATGCTCATAAGCCCAAGTTCGGTACGATAGGGTTGCAAACTTGATCGAGCCCGCTGCCGCTGCCAAAAAGGCGATGCCTGCGAGCGCAAGGAAAAGTGGAGTGTATTTCCTGCGCTGCTCTATGCGAGATCGTGTGTTTGAGACAGGGCCTAACGACTTATAGGATGTGTACAAACTGTCACATACGGCATATGTGAAATATGCGATGGACGAGAGGTGCCCTGCAGCTAGTATCAAGGGAAGATGCCTGTACGAGAATTAGCCTCTATATTTCTATTGCTTCTGTGTAGATCGACTTGTCTTAGTACCTGACTGGGTGCGTGAAAGGAACCGGCGCCATCTTTTGTGTGTGTGAGACAGAAATGTCGAATGGTATAACCGTAGTGGGAAGTAATCACAGTCTTAGGAGGAGGTGAAAGATAGATAAATATGACATTTCTGAAATATCTCCCTGAATGATAACAGCAAACACAATCGTGACCGGGGACTGGTATCCCACTACGGCCGTACTTGTATGAATAAATGGGAGGTTTCTCTACTACTGACAACGAGAAGTAACCTGTTCAACCCAAGAGTATATTCGGATTTAAGAAATATAGAACAAGGCTGAGACGAAATAGCAGTAGACGAAGAAGTTTTGAGACAGATATTGCAATTTACACGTGCCTTGCTGGCGGTTACCCGATATGACGACATGCCTCCCTTCGTTGAACACTTACATCCTGTAGAAGCCGCTAATACAGGTACCAATGTCACGCTAGCAGCCCATTGCATGCTGGGCCTGCAGTGGGTTGAGCCCCTCTATCAGCCTCCACCCTCACTGGCCCGGTCAGACCCGGTCACTATCGTTGGAGGTACTGGGGTACTATCTGACCATCTGAGCTGGACGTGAGCCACATTTTCTAACGGTTATCTGCAGGTCAAGCGGTGCTCATCAGCTAATCTACCGGTATCTGGTATCACCATATGAAACGGTCTCCACTCGCCTGACAAGACGCTGACTGTAGCTCACCACTACAGTAACTACCATTCACACACATATATATATATGTATCTGAAGAGAGCGAGTCACGTCTAGTCTAGTCGATGATACGATCACGAATTTCCAGTCCTTACAGCCATGTACCATTTAGCAAAAGGCCTATATCGGCTTGCGACCAGTAAAGAGGGTCAGTTGCGCCGTCGCATTTCACAGCCGACCCGTTCTCCCTTACCTTCATCATCCTGCGGCGCTTACTCTAACTTGGGATCGCCGCAGAATATTCCGTAATCCTTCTCGGCCTCGACAACGCCGGCAAGACGACCTTCCACGAACAGACCAAGTCCCTCTTCTTGCCCGATCGTCCGGACCCTAAGCTCAAGACTGTGCCTACCGTCGGTCAGAATGTCTCGACCCTCACCCTCCCCGACATGTACCTCAAGATCTGGGATGTCGGCGGTCAGCTGAGTCTGCGCAAGCTATGGCAGAGCTACTATGCCAGCTGTCACGCTATCGTCTTCATAATCGACAGCACCGACATTGGCGACGGCAACATCGAGCACGACAATTCTGGTCGGCTCGACGAATGCCGCCTGGTCCTCGAGGACGTCCTGCAGAACTCCGAGACAGAAGGCGTGCCACTGCTCATCCTCGCCAATAAACAAGACCGTGAAGACTGCCTCGAGGTGGTCAGGATAAAAGAGGGGCTCGTTAAGAAGGTCTTCGAGGGTGAAAAGGCCTCCAGTATTCGCGACTCGAGAGTGCTGCCGGTCAGTGCGCTGACCGGAACGGGTGTCCGGGAAGCCATCGACTGGGTTAGATCTAGAGTCAAATGGAACAAGGAGTCGAGACCGCCCGTCATGAGATAGGGATTTTATCACGCGCTGCAAATTTTCCAATCAAATTCGAAAGCGTTTTGGGCTTGCATTGAGCGGCATGGGCACAGGCGTTAGGGTTTCTTCATAAGAAGCTTTCAAGGGTTTGGCTTCTATAAATTGGGTATCTTTATTGGTATTATCAAATCATAGGGGGGGCCACAAATGCTACCTTTCATTCTCAGCAGACAGCTCCGCCAACAGACCTCCCTTATCCCTCCTCTGGAAGTCGTCGGCTAGTTTCGCGTCTACCAGTGTCGAGAATTCTTTCACCTTGATGACGGCCGCACTCGCACACTGTATCAAGGATATAGCTTCCACCGCGGTACCACCTAGCTTCGCAACCTGACAGATCTCTCCATGCTTATTGAGACTGATAGTGCAGCTACTCACGCGTAGTTGCTCCTCCAACAAGTTGGCATCGACCAGCATAATCTCTCCATTTTCGCCATAGAAGCTAAACGTAACGCAGAAGGGCGAGTGCAGCCAACTAAGCGGGACTGGCTCTCTCTCCGCCGGCGTGTAGATGGTGACACTATTCCCCTCTATGCTTGTGTCTGGTTTTCTGAAGTGTCGTAGCGCTGCTACTACAGCCAAACATGATGCGTCGATCAAGTTACCGTCGTGCGAGAAGACGTGGAGATCAACCCGTACAGACCAACACTTCTGTCCCGCGACAAGACACAATGACTCCAGGTCGAGGGCGTTGGATCGACGAACGGTCTTCTCAATTAACCTAGACAGCAGAACTTCGGTCTCGGTCGGTCTGTTTACTTCAAAGGCAGGGGAGGCCATAGGGCTCAGCTCGGTCGTGATTGTAAAGATGCCGTCAAACGGCCGATCCGTGTACGGTGTGGTCACTTCAGCGGACACCTTTGCGACAAGTCTACAGAACATAGTTAGTTGGTATAAAGTAGAATTGTGCGCCGTGCAAACCAAAAGCTTTACCTTGTCTTGCCCAACGTCACGTCGGCCACTCCATACTGATCGCCAAACCGCAGGTCAAGCTTTCGAAACTCGTCAAAGGCGCGACCATCGATGCGCTGCCCTTCTTGTAGAGCTTGTATTACAAAGGCCCGTTCATTAAGGGAGGGTTCGGCCTCTCGCGGCATGATTGATTGTTGTAAGGCAGGGAGAGAGTGTGGGCATTTACTGACCAGACTGTCTTGTATCCATGTCGTAGCCAGTAAAGAAATAGTTATCATTAGCCTCCTGGTGCTGCAGGTGGTGTGGTGTGGTGTGGTGATGGTTGGTGGGGTAGTGGGGCCGTACCGCGAGCCGGAACCCCTGTAAGATCGGTCTCCCAGCCACTAAATGCCGACCCATCACTACTGTAGGTATCCTCTGTAAACTACTGGCTGGTTGCATGCGCGCAGCCTTGCCAATCCCAACCCATCAATCATCGAGACTCATCAGCCAAAGCATCAAACAAACCCCCCATCTCAGTCCTTGACCTTCGACCGAGTAAATCGCATTCAGTATGACTACAGCACACAGGCCAACTTTTGATCCCGTTCGTATATATTAAATTCACACAAAGTTATGCTTCTTTACTGACGTTTTTCAAGGCACGTGGAAAAGAAGCCCTTCGGGGACCAGCATATCACCAAAGGCTCCTTCCAGCTCACACACAGCTCAAATTCCGGTACGTAGTCGACTTATTCCCATAATCCGCGCCCATACTTACGAACATCAGACAACCGGGACAAGGAGGAGATGCTGATGAGGTTCGCGATCTACGAGCTGAGCTCCTCGCCGCCGAGGCCGCCCATTTCGCCAAGAAGAACGGCCAGGCCCTCCGTGATGTGAACGAGACCGAAACATCTGTCACCAACAACTCGAAACGGCCGCTAGAGCTAACATCACAAACCGACGGCGAGGAAGATCCAGACGCGAAGCGGCGGCGCATATTAGAGGAATCGCGAGACATAGATGCAGATTCGGAGGATGACTCTGAAAATGACGACGACGATGATAGTGATGAGGACTCGGAAGATGACGAGGACGCGGAACTGCAAAGAGAACTGGAGAAAATCAAACGAGAACGGGCCGAGAAGCGGGAGCGCCAAGAACGCGAAAGAGCCGCTGCAGAAGAGGCCGAGCGCGAGCGCGATATAGCGCTGGGTAACCCCTTGTTAAATCCCAAGCAGGATTTCAATATCAAGCGAAGGTATGCTCACGCCCTGACGGCTTCATACATACAGGGGCTTGTGAGAGACTAACTTGGCCGAAACAGGTGGGACGATGATGTAGTCTTCAAAAATCAAGCTCGGGGTACCGAGGATAAAGGCAAAAAGAAGGAGTTCATCAATGTAAGTTTCATATGCTCACTTAGAATGAGTTTTTACATGGTGCTAATATCGTTTAGGACCTTCTGAGATCCGACTTTCATAAGCGTTTCATGAGCAAGTACGTGAGATGAGTTATCACGCTGAGTTAGGAGGCGGCATTAGAAAAGCAGACAGCTGAGGAATAGTAATGTCTACTATGGTATAATGGTAACGATTCTGTAACACCAGCTTCGCCGAAGATCCTTACGGTCTTCATGATTGTAAGGGCTTTACACCTATTATATGAGGAGGTCAATGGTTACACCTATTAGGCGTAAGGTTACCGTCTATTTGATAGGCCATCCCATTCAGCAAGCGAGGCCTAATTGCCCCTAAGTTAGTCTACTTCGGTAATGCCTAAGGCTTTTATAGATTTATGGCATCTAGCATATCACTAGGATAGGGGCAGACATGAAGATACCAACTTGTAGCGCTTAGTATACTTGAAGAACCCTCAGGTTAGACAATTACGGAAAACCAAGGCTACTATGAATCGTGTAATGGCTCTATGTGCTCTGTTCTTCAACAACCACGTGCTTTTGAAGACAAAAAGAAAGGTGAATATAGTGACCTTCTACAATTCGGTCTCGACATGATTTCACTGTTCTCTATATGTATTGATGATGAGACATATTGCACCTACATGCTTGCGATGCTATATTTCTCACGGTGGAAGTTAGAAGGCTAGAATCTAGTTTCAATATGAAATAAATAAAATGCATACCATTAAGTACAAACATTATAGGGTATAGTATACTCTATCTAGATCGCGACATCTGACCTTCTTACCACGTCTTGCGTGCTTTCCCGTACATCCCTTCTAGAAACTACAAGTTTATTTCGTCTTCTTGGATTCCCGTCGACCCCCAATACCGTCACTCTGTGTTCGAGTGCGATGCGAGTTTAGCGTCACCTCCGCCTTATCAAGAGCCCTCATGGCACGCGTAACGGTCTTCACGCTATCCCATAGAAGGACTGAAGTTTTTGCTGGCGTTAGTAACCTGTCATCCGATATCTACAAGGGCAGGGAAACGGCGAAATCAATCAATCAATCAATCATCAGCGAAAGAAAAACTCACAAGCTGGTATTATTGCCCAGGGCAGATTGAAGCCGACGTAGTATACCCAGAAATACACGAACTCGGGTCGACTGTGCGATCGCCCCGTGAAGTAGAACTCGCACTGGCTCGTGGCGTAGTACAGCGCCACGCCGTAGAGGTGCGCGACGCAGGCGATGATGCGCAGCGCGTGACGCGAGGGAGTGTTGCGCGCGGTGGCTATTGCGTTGGCGAGACAGAGGGGGCCCCAGAAGAACTGGATACTTTAGTCAGGTCATCGGAAGAGTATCCTGGTAGGGATCGTATCTTGGAGTGTGGAGGGAGATAGTTAAGTAAAAGAGAGAGGGAGAGAGAGAGAAAAGCAAGACTTACTACCGTGATACTCTCAACGCTCAGCATGAAGAAGTCAGACGTAAGATATCGCGAGTCGGAGAGCGCGTACTCCTTCCATAGTTGTGCCAGCAGCGATTGCGACGATGCGACGGTGGCATGATTCAGAACAAAGAAGCCTTTTCAGAGAAGATATCAGTCAGTTTGATTTCTGCTTTTCCTCTTTTCTTTGCGACACATAGGTAGGTATCGATCTCATCATTCGCCCCCCCTCCCCTCGGAGCTCTGCTATTGAGTATCGGTGCCGATGAAGCAATTCACACACCTTCAAAAACGCAGTGTAAACATGTGTCTGTTAGGTATGTTAGTTTATTTACTGGATGATAAAACAATGCTATATGTTGGAATAACAGCGCTGAAGCGCGCGGAAATAGGCGATCTCACTCATCATAAACCAACAGAACACAGCGAGTCCCGAGGCGCCAAGGCGCGGATTCAGCTTCCGCGCAAGAAGCGCCGCGCTCAGCACTGCGAAGCTGAGGGTGCCGGCAAGCGCCGCAAGGAGAACGGGGACGGGGGCTTCGTTGGCCGCATACGCGGGGATGTCCACGCCGAGAGGATGGTAGGGATGGGTTGGCTCCGGAGGCAACGCGGGCATTGTCATGTTCTCCAGCCCTTCATCTGGGCTGGCGAGGGGCCACCACCACCACCGACCACTCATAGTCCGGTATCACTAGTTTTCGAATTGCTTACTATAGAAAGAAATCATGCAATCGATATCGATCTGGGATAAGGGAGTAAGTAGTATATGGAATGTATAACTACCAATTCTAGGATCTGCGTGTAAGGGGCATCGCGCTTAGCTTTGATGGAGCCAGCGAAGAGGTGTGTAGCTAAGCCTGGACATTGCAATGAGCCGCGTCGGCTCCGATAAGCCGTGATAATACTTAAGTTTCCAGCAGGAACATACAAAATTCCAGCTATTGTGAGTAGTCATCTCTTATTTTTATTTATATTTCCCAAACCCCAATGTTTCTAAATTTGGGCTAGCAATCTGTTTATTGATTTTGATCGTTTTTGAGAGGGAAAAGGTGTTGGATTAAGACCAATAATAACGTTTTGTCCAAGTAATAAGATCTTTTGGTACAGTGGTAAATCCAACAAAAGGCCCTAGTTGCAGGCAGCCTCTTGTGTAATGCTGTTGTGATTTTAGCACCGACGACAACTTCTATCTAACAGACAGAGAATGGATTGCTCTATACCTCTCTCTTTGAATTACCTGAACAAGATATAAGACGATGAAAATGGAAATAAACAGACTCATGCGTTAGATGGCAGCACCAACGTCGGTCTCGGTTTCGGGTAAGCCATTACGGGTATAACCGGTCTTTACGGAGTCTTTCTCTACATCCGTGTAGTGTAGTGAGTGTAATCCAAACCAAGATTCATTTGAAGCAATGAGATGCATTTGACTCAGCTTCTTCTTATGATTTCCCATGATGAAAGGATTTTATATCCGGTGAATGATGTGTAGACGAGACATCTAAGTACGGCTGGAAACGAGACGTGATTTGGAGACTTGACTCTGACAGGTAGGTAGGCGCCGGTGCCGAAATCGGGGATACTATATAGGTCAACGTCCTTCCCACTTTCTCTCCCAAATTGGCATGTATTTGGATTGGAGTCTCGCCATTCATATTATAGACGGCATCGAGCCCAAGCAAGCCGAAACGGATATCTTTGGCCGCTCTCGCGCCACTGCCGCCGCCGCCGCCGCTATTCCTGGTCGCGCCTAAGCCAAACGACGTGCCATACACTGAAGCGTTCCGTCGGCAAAAGCAAACGAGCCTGGCGCGCATGAAACGCCGCCCTCTACCGTTGATGGCAGACGCCCATCAAGAGGCGACACACCCTGTACCACTGCCGAGCCGGATCAAGAGGAATACGGCCTGCACATCTTGCCGTGATGCTAAGGTAGGAAACAAATCGCGTGCCTTACGTAAACCGTTCAACGGCATAGGGCTGATAAAACTCTAGGTCCGCTGCAATCCAAGCTCGAACCCGGATCAGCCATGTCAACGATGTGCGAAGTTACAGTTAACATGCGTCGTCGATAAGACGCATAAGAGGCTATCTCGAAGAAGGTATGCTTTAGTACAGTTTGTATTTTTTCTCATGATTATGCTTGCCTGCTTTAATTTTCATTTATTCGTGTGCACTTCTTTTTCTAGCTATTTTTAAATCTGCTTGCTCGCAGCTCAAGTATTATCTCGCCATCTGTTCTTCCTCAAGTCACATAGTTATCCTCATTCCACTACCTCAAGAACAAGGCATCTTATATTGCTTTGGTATTTAAGATTGGTAGGGGTAGTTAGTTCCCTATTAGTCTTCTAAGTTGCAGTAGTTTTGACTGATCTACCAAGACACATCACTAATGACCATCTTAGTAAACTAGATGAACTTGCACAAGAAATTCAGTCTATCAAGGAGTCTGTGGGTTCAGCCTCATCTAACAGTCTTCCGGCATCAAACGCCGTAATCACCCCTTCGAGGGACTCAGAGCAACTAGGCATAACTTCTCCAAGTACTGGCTCTTCTCGGTCCCGGCAACATGTTGCTGTCGGACCTGTGGGCACAGGTGCCATTGAGCCCCCTGTGGCATTAAATACACCCGTGACGACAGTCATACAGGATACAAGTACTGGCCCCAGTCTGCCCCGAACTCTGGGTTCGTACCCCTTCTCTGGCGAAGATATCGACTATTACTTCCAGAAGTTCTTCGAATGTTATCACCCGTACATGCCCGTGGTACGCTATCGTGACGCCAATAAATGTTACGAGTCTTGCCCTCTTCTCTTCTGGACTATTATCTACGTGGCCTCCCTTCGTTATGCAAAAAGCAAGTCATTAATCACCTTCCTGTCGGAGGAGATTCGACGGCAGGTATTTATGGCATTGGGTGAAGTTCCTATTACACTGCCCACCCTCAACGCCATAATCTTGATTTGCTCCTGGATTTTCCCGAGCTGTCGTTTTCATCATGACCCATCGGTCATGCTCTCTAGCATGACTACTAATGCTGCACTTCTATTGGGACTGCACACCGGGAAGGGGGGCCACCCGGAATATAGTCATGGGGTATTTAAGAACAATTTCACAGACGAAGAGGCAACCTATACTTGGGCAGGGCTCAATATTGTGTCACAGAGGTGAAGTTGGCTACCTTTAGTTTATATCTCAGACTAATTAGCTAGCAGAGTGTCTTCATTCATGGGGCTGCCTCCCGTTACTTCCTTATTCAATCAGACCATTCAAAACACCAGTGAGCCACATCCACTCTCATATGCGGTTTAACAACAGATTCTGAGTCTCTCTACATCTGCTTCCACAACGTCATCGCCTATGAAAACTCTGTCATCTCGATTCGATGTAAAACGAGAGCTGACTCGGGACATTGCAGTTGATGGACGAACGCCTTTTCACGTCCCATCTGGCTTTCGCATTCTTTTGGAATGTCAGAAATTCAGCAACCATATCAGCAAAATAGTACTGGCCAACCTTCAAGAGTCAAGCGGGGTATCGACCCACATAGTTCAAGTGCTGGAAGACGAATGGAATACCTTGCAAGGGATGATATGTTCTGAACGAGCAGGTATGTGAGGCCCATTTCCTAGTTATGCTACGTTGCTGACGATGCCAGACGACTTAGATAGGTTCAATGCCTTGCTCGTACGGCTTGAGATACAGGTCTACTACATGATGCCCGCACCGGGTTACAGTCCGAGGCTCTTGAAGCAGCTCATTCTACGCACATACCACACGGCTACTTCAGTTCTTCAAAATGTCCAAGAGCTGGATCAGAAGATTGGGCTTCTGAGCCACATCACATATCCACAATTCCGTTCCCTGATAACAGCAAGCTGTGTCATCTTCAAGTTGCTACGCTCGTCATACATGCAGTTCCTGGACCGCAAGTCCGTCGAGGCCACGGCGGCAGACGCGATCTCGATTTGCGAGCGATTGAGCGTCGTGGAAGGCGATATGCCTCTGCGTCTAAAGGCATTGCTCAAGACATTTCTTGAACTTTACCACTCTTCTTCGGACCCAGGTGCATCATGGCAGACCGAGGAGCCTGTTGCTGCGAACTTCCGGCAGCGTCTTGGGGCCGCCGTAACCTTCGATTGCTTGATGTCGTGGAAGTCGGACGGCAGGATAAAGCGCGGCCCGAACCAACAGACGCCCAATCCCCCGAACGAAAACACCGGGGAGGAGACAGATACCCTTCTAGCCGGTATTGTGCCTGATTCATTGGCTATTGATTGGACTTTCATGGACGACTTCGAGTGGACTTGGACGCCGCCTGGTCTAGCTCCACCGATAAACTTATGGCATGGCATGGCACGTTGATCTTATATTATACCCACGAAATTATGGCAACTCATAAGCTACTATTGATTTTCCAAGGGCATTTGTGGCATTCAGCTGCATTGACCTCATAACTCTGCATACTGGTATTTAGTCTCAACAAGTACAATGACACAATTATTAGAGATCTCGATGGTTTTCACTGGGTGGTAGTGTTCATCCGCTCTGCGTGCTCGTTTGTCTGTTAGATACGTTATATCATGGTATAGAACTGATATACAGCCTTCAAGATAGCAGGTTCTAGATTAGAACAGCTCGCTCATCTATCAAATCCATGCTATTTACAACCTATCCTTCTGTATCCATGATGCGAAATTCCATCAAGCAAGACGTTGGTCCGAGCAAAGTAAGATCATAACATCTCTTCATCAGACATACAGATATTATCGCTATAGGTGATTCGTGCAATCTCTACTAAGGTGGCTCTTGATCGCCTGGCTTCCTTCTTCCGCCCATACCAGAACTACCTTGCCACAATACAGCTTTTTCTGTCCATTGACTGGTGATGTACCGGTACCATCACGTACAAGGCGCATAAGTAGCTCGAAGTATCTGTCATGAGTGAACCAGACCCTTCAGTTAGTTGGTCGCTTCGTCTACCGCCCGTCTAAGCGAGAGCCACATACCACACCGAACGTCAAACAATATAATATGTATGTGACGACGCACACCCCAAAATCCACGGTTACGAGAAGAGCGCGCGCAGAACGAATCACATCGCCACGTTATCAACACTGTCCTCCCAATCAATGTATGTATGACCAGGTCGTCGCCAACCCGTCAGCCAGCCCATACATGCCCTAGCTTGCTTTGCTTACTCGCTTCTCCCACGCTCGTATTTCGGGTTTCCCACGGGAAAGGAAAGGGGGGAAAGGAAGTCGTATATCAGAAGATCTCGGCGCCCGTTATCCGGGCCCCTATGATCCCGAGAGAGCGGACCGGGGGACTTCGGACGAGAGCGAGACGGACGTGGCTGTGCAATCTCTGCTCTGCGTCCTTGTCTAGCGCCATCACATCCACCCCATCTCATGCCGAGTCCCGAGGGCACACACCTGACACTTGACAACCTGACACATTGTCACGATCGTGGGTGTGACATGACGTGCGAACTGGTCCATCCCACTAGTTGACATTTTTTCCTTTAGCGCCGCACGAGTTGGAGAGAGGGGAAGGGAAGGGAAAGGAAGGGAGGTATGAGCTTTTCCTCGGATGTCAGCGTTCGCGGTCTCAGCTGTAGAGAGGCTGTGCCGGGGATAAAACCCTTCGCGACATTTTATAGCCCTCACCTCCGTGCCTGCTCTAGCCTACTAACTGGCTAACCGCGGGGGAGCCATGCGAGTATGAATAAATTTCAGACGACTTGGCAGATGCGGTAGATGGGTGGCAGGCGGCAAGAGAGAGAGATAGAGAAAGGAAGGAAGGGAAAGGAGGCTGTGTAAGTATCAAGCTACTGTAATGCTGAAACATATATCACGTTCATAGATGGGATGGAAAAATCGGGAATCTATCTATTCGATGCATTATAGGCGGGCGGACAGGCATTATCAACTCCTCTGACTGTCCCGGTATATTCCAGAACTGGTAGGTAGGTAGGTAAGAGGATGGACAAGGCGAGGCACGATGATCGAGACCAGGTAAGGACGCTTCGCCGATAGGTTGTCGAATGTGTGTGATCGCCGCGAAAGATCGCCGTGCTATAGCGGGCTTGCGGAAAAGAACATTCCACTTCTCTTCCATGCCACGAGTTCCATCCATTCTTCCATTTCGAACATTCGATCCGATCTTTTCAATCGAGGTCCGATGGAATGCGGATGTCAGACTATTCCTCTTCCTCCTCTACTCAACGTTGTCTCTAGCTTAAGTAGTGCAGAAGGTGGGGTGCCCAGTAGTAGCAGCAGCACAGCGCCGATTTACCAATTATCGAAACCATCGCGTTACTTGACATTATAGGACATAAAACCCGAGTATCCGCGTAGCAATGTATATCAAACCTAGAGGTGCAATTTGGGGGTGAAGAAAAGGTGACTGACTGACTGACTGACTTTTGAGTTTGGGGATCCATTCGGTGATCGCGGGGATCGACAAACCATAACGATCACTTTCCCAAAGTGGAGAAGAAGCGACAACCTTGCTGGGGAAAAAAACGTCTATGTGTAACCGTGTATAACATTCCATTGTGTGTGTATCTAGCCGAGCTATATACTTCGTAGGTATTCCTTACTTCTATGTAAGTATATGTGTATTTCTTGTGGGTTACCGTGGTGCGCGGCGCAGTGCAACGCTGTGGGCAAAATGAGTATACATAGGTAGGTATATACATTACACTCTCTAACTACGAAGGTGAGATCTCTCTGTAGAAGATAGCTAAGTAGGTAAGTAAGTATGTACATAAAGTATAAGTAGGCATCATGTAATATCGCTTCCATCGGCTCAACGCTGACTGAACCCATCTACTGTATACTACTTACTAAGTAAGTAGTAGCTGGGGGCGCCCGGCGTCTGGTCCCGTACCTTAGCGAAAGAGGTCCCCCCCTCGACCGACCGAGACCTTGTTAACTCATCAGGTACCGTCTGTCAACGTATCTATCTACAGTATCTGTGTGCATAGTATCTGTCTCTACTTCATGTACTGTTGTTACCCCAGTAAAAAAGATCGGATTTCCGGATTCTTCCGCTTGAAACAAACACATTACCTAGGGACCCATGCAATCCCATCACCCATGTGCAGTGAGGCAGTTACAAGACATACAGGCCACCTTGAGCAGCAACCTGCAGCAAATTAGCTACCGAAGTGATTTGATCAGGGTAATTTACTCCGGTCTAATCCATGAAAGAGATGTTCTGATTGCCCCGACGTGATCTTGAATTAGTGCGGTATACTATCTATGTATGGATCATTCGGTATATAACATACCTGGGTTAATTCCTACGTTGGGCATCTAATGTCCGTTCATTTTTCATCTCTACTATACTCCGTATAAGTAGGTATAACCAGACATACTAAGTACGTGGGTGAGAGTGCGTGTGTTGCCGTAGAATTAAATAGGTAAAAAAAAAAAAAAATAAGGCGTTAAGCAAAATCGAGTTGGACGTGCAGTCTCCCGAGTCCCGACACAGTGGCTTTTGGGAACAGGTACAGATTGCCTATCTAGGTAGACCGGCACACCCAGGGACAGGTACTATGTATACTCATCATCCACCTTGGAATCGTGACAAAGCCTACACCACGCCGCAAGATGGGGGGTAGCGCAGCTAAGTTTGGCAGGGTCATGGGTGGTTTGAAGAGGGGGGACAAGGGGAAGGAAAGGAAGACAAGACAAGACAAGACAGACAGGGGATGCTGACAGGATAGAGAACAAGAATTGGCGAGAGTCATATTCTCGCCGACATAATAATAATACTCGAGATACTATATCATACTATAGGTGTGACTGGCTGCAAAGCCGTCGTCATCTCGGGCCAGGAACACGTGCGGACATTTAAACTTCATGGAATACCGTGACACGATCGCGATCTTGGATGGGCAAGGGCAAGGGCAATGCAGTGCAGTTCGGTGTAGCGAAGTGCCATCAATCAAGGAGGGTATGCAATGAAGATTGAACAAGATGCCTACACCAAGAGTCTCGAGATGACCATAAGCTCCCGTAGACTCCCGCCTGTCAAACCTACTTAGGTGGACAAGAAGATAACGAAGTAGGCATGTAGTCAGCGGTGGAGATACATACCGGCAGTAACCCCCAACAAAAACCGGTTACCTTAAAACCACCCCTTACCTTGATCTTCCCGTCGGCGCCCCGTCTAGGTATGCTACTCCGTGGTAACATCGTCGCTGGCTGGCTCGCTCACTCGCTCGCCCAACCCGCCCCTCCCACATCCCGCTTCCATCCATCCGTCCATTCACCCATCGTACTTAAAAGCACCAAGTATAGTAAAACAAAAAGATGAATAAGCGGCGCCTTACGGTGCCGAGATGGCGTTAAACTGTGCACCCCCATTTCAGCTTTTCTAAGTAGCAGCTAAGTAGGTAAGCAATACACACAACTTATGACTTGAAGTAGTGAAGCGCGGGACGACGCATCCGTTAACCGGGGGAGGGTCTCGTGAACCAACCCCAGGGACACAACGAGCAACTATTGGGTTACAGTCAAGAGATACTATGACGGTATAACATCAGTTATTTATTCAAGTTGTGGTACGTCCTCACCTGCTGTACTTAATATGTACTGCGTAGGCATGACCTACTGTTACCTTCTTGGGTACTACTGTATATCTCGGTCACGCGCAAGTCGAGGATCTGGGTAAACGATTATCCGAGTTTGTCTTTTCTCTCTCTCCCTCTCTCTCTTGCGGTTCTCCGGTATGTTTCGCTTCACGCCCCATCTCCCCCGTCTTTCGACTAAAGATGCAGGAGTTAGGGTGCTATGACCACCATAGCGGGGGGATATAGGTCGTGAGTTAGGCTCGATCCTGTTGAGCGCTACATTGTATTCGATGTTCGCTCATCCGAAAGTAGGTAGGTAGGTAGGTTACCTAAGGTAACGGTAGGCGGGAAAAGGGTCCCTAGCAAAACAACGGCATGCCGCGCATCTGCACGCGTCTGCCAGGAATGCAGCGAAGAGAGGGCTAAGAATACCCGCGAGTGCTGTTGCGTGGTTCGATGGATGTTCTAGATCTGCAACCCTCCCCTTTTTATTTCTCTTTGGGGGGTGTGCTAGACCGGCGACTGCCATTGCTTGACGTGCAAGGACATGCCTAGTTGAGACCTTAGGCCTGCGTGGGATGAGTTGATATGCAGGTGTAGAAAATGGCCTTATCGTTTAATTCTGCTTTTCTCTTCCCTTCCATACGTGCATTTCCATAATGGTGCTGGCGGTCCGAGATGAGGAATCTTGATCGTCTCCTGCAATGAAACAGTCAATCTTGTTTACCGCCCTCCCTTGTCGGTCAGCCAGCCAGTCAGTTTGTTCTGTCTGTATGTCTAC